CTCACCATCCCGGCAGACACGTCGATAGATACGCTCAAGAGCCTGCTCGCGCTCCGCACAAACCTGCCGACGACGGACCTGCGTCTGGTGCACGCCGGCAAGCACCTCACATCGGCCGAGTCGACGCTGTCCGACTACAACATCACGCGTGACTCGACGCTGCACCTGGCGCTCCCGGTGCGAGGCGGGATGCCGCCCAAGAAGATCCGCTGCAGCTACAAGGACTGCAAGGACGCAGCGCAACGCATCGTCGGCGACTGCGGCTTCTGCTCGGGCCACTTCTGCGGACGTCATCGCCTGCTGGAGGACCACAAGTGCTCGGGGCTCGAGGACTGCAAGAAGGAGAGCCACGAGCGCAACGCCGAGAAGCTCAACTCGGAGCGCACCGTCGCGATACGCGGCATCTAGATCACGCGTCTTTGTCTTCTCGGCCGGCCGCCATCATCAGTGCTACTACTACTTCCGGACATACTTACGACATGCGATAAGCGATAAGGGTTCATATATTTTCAAAGGAGTTTCGGGGGGAGTCATCGATCTACGGGAATTGCTTTTCGGCTTGCTTGTCGCTGCTCTTAGCGGTCCGTTTTTGGAGGCCAGGCGTTACTTGGACCACCGGTGGCTTTGGATTGCTTTTCTTGCGGATCACGCTATCGCGCTTACCTCCAGGCTGTAGATGCCACCGACTGCTGCGACTACCTGGCAGTATACTATTAGTCAATTAGCTAATCTGCGCTCTTGAGCGTGCTTCCTGCACCGCCACCTTGTCCCGTCACATTCCCGTTGCTGATGCGACTGCCTGATGACGACGCAAGCCAACCGCGGGCCGTTATTCTCGTGACACCTGCTGCCGCAAATCCCGCTGTTTCGCCGCCTCGTCGATCCCGTAGCTCGGCAGATTCGTCGGTGGCGCGCGCATCCCATCAGCCCGTTGTTGTACGAAGCCTGAAGCCTGAAGCCTGAAGCCAGCAATCCCGGTCGGCGCCAGCCTCCTCCAATCCCGTCTGGCACGCCGAAATGGTAGACGCCTCGTCCCAACGGCCATGGTAAAACCGACGGACCCCCGGTGGCTGTCTGGGCGCGAGAACAAGGCGCACCTCCACAAAAACGGCGTCTCCACCCGACGGGGCGGGAAAGGCGAGGGGACTAGCATCCACCAACCCTGTCCGTCGGGGAACAAGCAGGCAAACCAGAACGCGATAGGCGCGCCACCATCACGCGACTCTTGCTTGCTTTGCAGCCATGGCCAATGCCAGCTACCTAGCACTCTAGCCTGCATTTCCTGCAACGGTCAAAAACGATCAATGCTGCCGTGCACTGCGCGTTCCCGGACGAAAAAAGAAAACCGCAGGGAAGAAAACGGACCCATCTCTCTGCCTCTTCCCGTCCGGCGGCGGTGATGCTGAGCACTGCAGTCGCGAGACGGTAACCCGTACTTCGAGGTGGTGACCACGCCAACACGACAAAACACCGCCAGCCGCATCACATCACGCCGCCTAATAGATTAACGACCAGCACGACCTAGGCTTGACCGCCTTTCAGCCACGCCCGCCATTCCACGGACCCCTCCCGCTGCCCGCGCGCTTCCTTCCTTCCAGACGCTTCTTGGGCCTTCTTCCCCTTAGGTGCCGCATCGAGCGGTGACGGCAATGTTAGCGGCAAGCCTCGACAATAAATGCGGTGCAGCTGAAGAGGATCAATGGGAAGCCCGCGTGACACGCACGCTACTTTGGACCGCCATATAGAAGGAACCGGGATTCGTCAAGCATTTCGCGGACGGCTTTGATCCGTTACGACCAGCGAGCGAGCGAGCAAAGCAAGCCTCTTCGTGGCCCCCCGGCTCTCCACCCACCACTGCCACCGCCACGCGCGTCAATGGTTCGTTTCCCTGGAGCACGCTTGCTCCACATGACGCAACTCGTTGCTCTCTGGTACCTCGATTTTTTGATTCTGGCCATCCCCGCAAATCTACTAGCGGGTAGAACCGAGAGGGCCGTCGAGGGCTTGTGATTCGACGGTTTGCTATTCCCGTGCCGCGTGGCTGTTTGGTGAGTCAATTTGACAATCGCCCTCATGTTTGTTAATGTGCCATTTATTAGCGTGGCCGTGGGACTTGTTGGTCCCCAAAGCCGTGCATGTTGGCAACCGGTCCCATATGTCCTGTCAGGCCCTGTCAGATCCTGTCGGCGTAAAACTCCAACACTCCAAAGCTCTTCTACGTTGGAGACATCACACAATCTCACCAACAATCCCCTACGATGCGAGCACATGTCAAGCCGAAGTGTACCGAAAAAGGAAAAGCAGGCCACTCGGGTGGATATCGAACGGCAGAGGGACCTGACGTGTACTATGGTCGTGTCTCGCGTCATCCTTTGTCATCATTAACCCGCCGAGTGGACGGCTCGGTTGCTGCTGCAGGCCAGCGATGTCGACTTGGAAGATGATAACAGGGCTCGCACGATGACGAAAGAATGATCGGCGCAGATGGGGGGGCATATGGAAGCGCTGCCGCGAATACGACAAATGGGTGGAGAGGAAGAAGACCCTGCGTCAGCAGAGAAGAAGGGACTCGTTGGTGCTTGCACCCTCCTCGCCGAAGAGGCGCCTGCGCGATTCATGCAGAACCCGCGGGCGAAAGCTGAACGCCGACGAAAGCTTCTTCGCCTTCTCTCCCCGTCTCCCAAGCTGATAAACTGAGCAGTGGTAACTAGTATCAGCACCGTCGGCGCCTCGAGGATTCGCGCCAGCCAACGGAAACCTCTCCGCTGCGCAACGGTCACGGCCCGGACTCGGAAACTCGGATCGAAGGAAAGGACCTGGGGCAAAGAGAAAGGGCAAAACAGGGCGAGATCTGGTTCGTCAGCAAATATCGAGCTTCTACGAGCTGATAGGCCGCCACTGAAACTTTACTGTCGAAAATTTTCCCATCTTTCGGGTCGTTCCCGGGATCGCCACCCTGCTCTTACTTCAGACAGACCAGGCACCCACCCTATCGGTACCTGGCCTCTTGTCTTGCTGATGCATCTCCTCTCTTCTGCGTCACCGCTGCTTCCGGCGGCTGCGTCGGTGGACCCGAACCGAGCCCTAAGCATCCGGATGTGGCAGGAATTTGTAAGGGGACAGAGGCTAGAGCGACTCTACTCAAACTTCCATGGCGTTTCGAGAAGGTGTCTGCTACCGCACGGGCCGTGGTGGAATCCGAGGACGAGGACGAGGCGCTGATGGGGGCCCGGTCCGCGACACCTTCTTTCCGCCTGGGTCCGGAGCTCCGCTCGCTTTTCCGGCTTTTCCCTGCTAACTTGCGCCTCGTGAATGCCCGGTTCCTCTTGCGTCATCGCTTGGCCCCGATTCCTGCCGCGCTCTCTCTCATCGCCAACCATCATGACGCCTAGGTACCACGGATGATGATGCCAGTGGCAAATACCGTTCATCATGTTCTTGAAACATGAGGCGTCTTCGGCACGTGTTTGTGCCTGGAGATAAGCTGTTCGATACGGCGCAGCCACGAGGATGGACCCAGTCGAGCTGCGACGGGGCTGGGCTTACTAGTGGTCGCCACGAGACTAGTAGTGTCAGCATCGTAGTTTGGCTGTGGCATCTTGTCGACAATAATCCGGCCTCTTGTTGAAAATGGTCTTACCAGGACCCTGAATCGACTTGTTCCTCCATCCGCCGCGATCGCGACCTGCCATACCTGATGTTTCCGCCTGGTACGCAACCTCGTGTGATCTGGCGTAGCCAAGAGTGACGAACCAAGTACGGCTATCTTCGATTGGACCCTATTGGCCCAGCCGCCCAGGCGAAAGGAATGATATCAGTTCCTTGCTATCAGCTACTCGATCTGATGGTCTGCTGGTTTGGCATTATGGTCGCTTGCTGGGTTGGACTTCGAGCGAGATCAAGTGGTCAAGTCTGGTTCACTGAAGGGAGGCAAGGATTCTGCGTGCAGTCAGCATCGCTTGCGCCTGCAAGTCATGCGATGGCCGAGCTGACAGTAATAACATGGCCGTGCACCCTACCTGGATGCGGGACACTGTTGATCTCCCGCTCATACCCATCCACGTCTGCACTTCTTCTTGTCAGATGCAAACACTGCGCCGGCCATCGGTGCCCGCATTTCTGTGACGTCGCCTGGAGAGAAGTCGCGCGCAGTCCACTTTTCATACTTTCGACCCCCCCTTTGTCGGCAGCGGCTTTCACATGCGTCTAAAGTTCGAAAGTATCGTCGCCACTGCTTCCGGGTCGAGGGGCTTGCATGAGGGAAAGGGCTGGAAGGGGCTGATTGCGTGTAACCCTGCGACATCACCGGTTGAGCTTTCTGCGATTAGCTTCGTTCAACAGCAACAAAAGCGTGTCTCCTACACATGGGAGTCCAGTTTCGCCGTCAACACCCGACCGCTGGTGGAGCCACCGGTGAACGAATGCACTCCGCCCAGTCAATAATTCCGCTTCTTCGTTCGCATGAAAGAGAGCCAATTTTATGGCGGGGATATGAAAGGTAACGTTTTGCGATTATAATCTCGTCTGAAAGCTCGAGCGTGCAGCAAGAAATAGTATCTGCATTTCTAATCTAGCCCGAAACCCTTAGCAGTAAACCAACACCATTAGTAGAGGGTTGGTAATAGTAAGAAGGTTTATCGCCCGAGCCCTTCGTATTCTTTAAGGTGCTGAATCGATCTCAGTGCACGGCAAGTGATACCATCATGAGCGCTTTCATCAACTTCGGGTAGAGGCCGTTGATTTTCAAACATCCCTTTATCTTCGACTTCTTTGCGTGGCTTCAAATAACATATGGTATCATTTTCAATACATGAACTCAAAAGTCCAGGGTGGCTGTCCACGGGTCCGTGTCCTTCCAGATCAACTTTGAAGTATCCCGCAAACCGGAGTGTCGTCAAAAAAGAAAGCCATGCGTACATGCATGCATGCATACATGCATCCAATCCCAATCCTCCCATACATCCGCAACATCAAACCACCACCACCACCTAGGTACCCCCTCAAACTCGCCGCCCCGCGCCCTCCAACACAACCGGCACGACCACCTCCCCTCCCCTCCGCCAACTCCTCCTCTCCTCACCCTCACAAACAATCCCCCCCGTCGTCCCCGCTCTGCCCCTCAAACCTCCCTTCTTCATCGCAGAAGAAGAAGAAGAAGAAGAATGATGATTAAACCGACTGACCACGCCCTGCGCGCCCAGCCCACCAGCAGCATTACTACCGCCCTTCTTCCTCCCCGCGCCATCGCCCCCGCCGCCGCCCGCACCGCTCACGCCGTTCGCGCCGCTCGTCGCCGCCCGCTTCAGCGCCCTGCCGGCGATGCCCTCGATGCCGACGCCCCCGATCGTCTGGCTGTTGCTGCGGATGAGGCCCAGCTTCTCCTCTTGCGACTTGCGCTCCGCCTTCCAGCCGCTGGGCGGGCGTTGCGGGAGCGCCGTCAGCGTGGAGTCGTCCTCTCCGTCGTCGGCGGCGGCTTCTTCCGCCCTTGTGGCGGCGGGATCTTGCTGTTGCTGCTGGCGTCGGCGACGTCGTACGCTCTTCGGCGAGGATGACGACGTCTTCGGTCGGGGCTGTTCTTCACCACCACCACCACCACCACCACCACCACCGATGCTGGGGCCGACGGCGGCAGCGTAGTTGGAAGCGATGTTTTCCGATAGCGAGCGATGCGTACCGTCACGTGGGGCTGCTGCTGCTGCTGCCACCGCCGGCGGTGGGGGCCCGGCTGTGATGTTGTTGTTGTGTTCGGACGAGTAGTAGCGCTGCGTGGGAGGTCTTCGGATCATGGCGGGAGAAACCGCCGGGTTGGGTAAGATGGAGCTGACAGAAGCCGTACGATCGGTGGTAGTGGGAGTGCGATCATTGATGGTCGGGGTGAGCTTGTACGATATTGGGGTTCGAGGCGTTCTGGGTCTTGAAGTATATGACGGTGGCGGCTGATCTTGGGAATATGTTGACGATGGCGGCGGTGGTGGGTTGCTGGCGGATGGATCGCTTGCCGGAACGGAGGCTTCGGAAGCGTTTTCCGGAATCTGCTCTGGTAGGGAGGGGTAGGGTGGGAGTTGCTTGTTTGTGTTGGAGCGGGAGCGGCCGGGTATCATGGAGGGGACTGGCGGGAAAGATACGTCTGAGATGGTACCGCTGACTGTAGACGTGGGCTGAGAGGGAGGTGCCGTGTTTGCAGGCGATGGCAAGGCAGCTGAGATACCGAGGCCATCCATGTTTGACTTCTCGTCGTTGTCTGTTGTGGGAGTGATAGGACGTTGTAGTAAGAGATGTCTCTGGAGATGGTTTGGCTCCACATTGCCGGCGCTACACATACTGTTCCGCATCTTGTCAAGCTTTGTATTCGCCCGCTTGATGTCTTTCCTGTAACCTCTGTTGTCCCGCTTGCAGCGGACCAGTTCGTTGACGTGATGCTCAATCTCCTGCTCCAGTTGCCTGATATGTTCTTTAGGATCATTCAAGGGGTGTTGAGAAGACTTCCCATTCTCCTTGGCAATCAGAGCTTTGACGCGCCTCCGCGTCTCCGCCGCCACGAGCTCCAGATACCCATCAGCGCTGGAGGGAGTTCCGGGGATGAGGCTCCTGGAGATAGCTTGTCGTGCCTGACTTCGCATCTCAGAGTGTAGGAGCTTTCTCAAATGCTCATATTCATCCTGAACGGTGACAAGATCCTCCCCTTGAGCTTCAACAATTTCCTTTAGCTCTGCGTTTTCATGATCCAACTGCTTGATCTGTTCCTTGACTGCCTTGCGCTCCCGAGACTCTTGTGCAAGCGCCTCGTCATGACCTGCGGCCAACCTGGCTTGCTGGGTGTCCATCTCTTCAAGATCGAGCTTGAGCGCTTGGTTGACATGCTGCAACTCGTAAATCTGTTCGTCTTTTTCCTTCAGCTGTCTCTTCAGGTCATCGATGGTTTTAGTAAGTTCGGTGATAGTGTTCGGTAAGGGAGTGCGCAGCTGCATTGTCTCCAGTTGTGTTGAGAGCAGTTCCGCGCGCAGACGTTCGTCTGCGAGGCTTTTCTCTAAATCGCCGATGCGGGACTGCTCAGGCTGAGTCCGCAGAGCGTCTAGCTCAGATCTGAGCTCTCTGTAACGTTCATGCATGAGGCGCCTCTCCATCTCTAGCTTGTATTCTGATTCGCGGAGATCGATCAACATTTCGTGGTTGTTGTTGACCCTGACCTCGAGATCAGCAGCACGGTCCTTGTAGGCGTCCTTGCGAGCCACCAGCTGCTCCATTTGATCCTTCATGGCTGCTATCTGTCTGGTTGCCAGGTCGAGCCTCCTGTTCAGATCGTTGATCCTTTCTTGACCTTCGCCCGACGTTATCGAGGCCTCATTGCCAAGGCGATCGTTGACAGTCCGCTTCATGGTGCTCGAGTCATCCGACTTTGTCCGAGTAACTTCTAGACCTGGAAAAGAGGCTTCCTTGCCTTGATCAAAAGTTGGCGATATCTGCGGGCTGGCCCCCCGAAGACCTCTCGCAGGGATGGTGAGGTGTGGATGTGGTGCTGAAACCTGTCAGTATGATGTAAACAAAGCGTTCCAGATTCAAAACATACGCTTGCAATCGCGAGACTCTTCAAGATAGTGCACATAAGCTCTCATCGCATCCATCTCCCGACGGTGAGCTTCGGCCAAGGTAGACGCATGGGCCTCATGGGAAATGCGCAGGTGCTGGAACTGAGATTTGAGGAGCGCAATCTGCTTATCCTGGGTGACAACAGCAGCTTTGAGTTGTCCGGGTTCTGAAACTTGCGGCTGCCGCATTGGCTGCTGCTATAGCTGTCAGCACAGGCATATGACAAGGAACAGGGATAATGCGCTGCCGCAATTGGACGGCGGATATGCAAGGATGCGTGTGATATACCTTCGCGGAAACGTTGCTGCTCTCAGAGCCAGCGAAAGCGACTGCACTCGAGGCTTCTGTGACTTCGGTGATGGGGGACCGCAGCACAGAACTGTTGTCGCTGCGGTCACCCCGCTTCCTTTGCGAGCTTGCGTGGCTACTGGATCTAGAGGCGACGCTTGGCCGGTGGAACAGAGGATGTGGCGCTCTGCTCGAGCCTGCAGCCGCATCCGGGGCCCATCTCGACGTGGCAGTGTTCAAGCTTAGGCTCTTCTTGTGCTGGGTCGCTTTAGTAGGGGCTGGCACTTGGAGAGCCGAAGCAAATGCCTGCCTTTTTGCCGCAAGATCGCCCTCCTGGCCAGCCACCGCATTTTCGACCGCGCTGGGGAAGCCCTGGTTCTCCAGCAGTATTGACCCTGGCAACTCGGCAATGGTCGGAGTCGGAGGAGCAGTGTGCGAGCGCGGTCTCCCCAAGGTGGGAGAAGGCAGTGGGTTGTCCAATGCCGGAGAACGAGGCCTGTCATTCGCGGTAGCGACATTGGAGACGAGAGCGCCGGAGGTCATGGTGGTCTCGTGCAGGGCGGAAGCCGGAGCGATTGCTGAGGCATCGAAGTCGCTGTGGGAACCGCACGTGGACAAGGGGAGAGGTTTTGGACGATGTTTCTTCTACAGATCTGTTAGTCGTGCTGCTGGGCGGCTTCTTATTGGAAACAGAGGGCCTGAAGCAGTCTTCAAGAATCCAGCGCGGGAGCCCCACGGCAAGCACGGGCTGTGCAGCCACTGGCGCAAGGCGTTCATGCCGGGGTGCTCGTTTGGAGGGCCCGGCGGACTTGACGCACGCTGCGGCAGCAGGAGCAAGGAAAACGGGCAGGCTGACCTTCCGCTTCTTGGAGCCAGCCAAGTCTGAGGGCGAGTCCCACTGGCCGGCCGGGTACTGGTCCACTGAGATTAAGCCGTCCACGCGATATGACCGACACGCCCCCGCGGCATTATGGCGGTCGGTCTTGGTCCAGAGAAAGAATTTGGAGGCCATGGCGAATTAGAGACATGGGGAAGAGAACAGAAATCACAGAAGGAAAACAGAGGACATGGCGAGGAGTCGCCGTGGGCGCCTTGGGAACCAGAGGAATGGGGTCGCCGCGGGGAATGCTCGTGGGAAATGGAGCCATTTGGGGCAGCGCAGGAGCTGCGGCGCATGAAGCCAACGGCGGCTCGAACTTGGAGCGTAGTCGGCGCAGTGCTCCCGGGCAGACTTGCGACGGCTGCAAGGGCGCATGGTGAGGGGGGCGCGTCACGCTGAAACGGGACGACGCGATCCAGGTGCCGATGAAACCGTGGGCCAGGGCCGCAGAGCGCGGCGCGAGCCTTTCTGGCGCGCCGATTGCACCAAGGATGCACGCGCGCTGTCGACGACGACGACGCTGCGGTTGGCGCGGCAGAAGGCGGATGACGTTGTGTCGTTGTCTTGGCGGCCAGCCCAGCTGCAGCCCGGCCGGGGGCAGGTGCTCTCCACACTCAAGCTCTGCAGATGTGCAGGAACGACGCGCCGGCCCTTCTCCATGAACCACCTGCCCACCAACGCCTGACCTCCCCCCGCCAGCCCCCGCCAGCCCCCGCCTCCAATCCGCCCAGCCCAGCTCCTTGGTCGTGCCGGGCCCCGTCACCCGCCACAATGCCCGCCGACTCGGTGTCGCCGCCGCGGCCGCGTGCCCGCCGGCACTCGCTCTCCGACGATGAGGACACAGGCTCGAGGCGCAACCACGGCGACCGCGACAGGCACCGCCGAAAACGGGCGTCGCGCAGCCCCACCGACTCGCGCGAGAAGCACCACCGCTCGCGCCGCCATCGCGACGATGACTCGCCCGCGCGGTCAGACGACGAGCGGGCAGCACGCAAGCGCGGGAGGGACCGCAGCCGAGAAGGACGACGTCAGAGCAAAAGCAGGAGCCGGAGCAAGCACAGGCACAGGAGCCGCAGCAAGGACGCCGCTCGGGACCGGTACGAGAGGAAGCGCCGCTACGACGATCGTTCGACCAGCCCGCGCCGCCATCACCACCACCGCTCTGAGCGACGCAAGGACCGCGACGCGTCGCCCCGCCATTCGCGTCGCAGCAGGCACGACCGCCACGACCATCGCTCGCGCTCGCGCTCTCCCAAGCGCCGCAAGCCATCGGCGAGCCCGGAGCTGCCCCACAAGCGCTCCGCGAAACCGCTTCCCTCACAGGAAGCTGCCTACAAAGGCAGCGGCGATGGTCCGGGCGAAGCGGGCGAGCCTGCTGTAGAGAAGCAGAAGCCAAACTTCAAGCAGACCGGCCTGCTCGCTCGCGAGGCCAACACGGTCAACGTTGCCGGCACCGATATCGTCTTGAAGTACAACGAGCCGCCCGATGCACGGAAGCCGCCTGCGCGCGACGACTGGCGGCTGTTCGTCTTCAAGGGCCAGGACTGCCTCCAGACGGTCGAGCTGGGAAGCCGTAGCTGCTGGCTGATAGGGCGCGAGGCTGCAGTCGCAGACATGCTCGTTGAACATCCGAGCACCAGCAAGCAACATGCTGCGTTGCAGTTCCGCCACACCATCCGGGTCAACGAGTACGGCGACAAGGATGCGAAGGTCCGACCCTACCTCATCGACTTGGAGAGCAGCAACGGGACATTTCTGAACGGGAAACAAATCGAGCCGACGCGGTTTGTAGAGGCCATGGACAAAGATGTCATTAAATTTGGGTTAAGCGAGCGGGAGTACGTCCTGATGCTTGCAGGGGCATAGTGGCACGTACTTTGTGGGCCCGAACTGCTTGAACGAAGTCTAGGCAGTTTACTCGATAGGTTGAGTAATGTTTTAAGACCGGAGGCATGTCCTCGATGGCCGTTTGAATGTACCAGACATGCAAGGTCGGCCGCGACGCCACCGGCCCAATCAGCCTCAACACCACCAACGGCGGGACCAAAACATCGCCAATCACCACCTCACAGCCACAGCTTCGGCCGCACTCAAGATTCGGCCCTTTGAACCAGACGTTCGAAGGTCGACTTAGTCGAGCTCGATCCGGCAGAGGTGCGTGGCTGCATCTCTCGATCCCTCGGGCTGCAGCGGGTTTTAGACTTTTGGGGCCTCACGACAAGCTTGGTGAGCCTTCTTTATCCGGGCTAGGAGGGGTCTGTCTCTAGGCGGCGATGGAAAACTGGGTCCGGGAACAAAAAGCAAGAGGCGGCAAGGGCCGAGGTGGGTGGGGAAGCTGTGGCACCAACAGGTGAAGTGAGCGCTACCCAGCCGGACGGACGTACCTCCGCGCGCTGCCATGTGGATGATGTGGTGGAGAACGGGGGCGCGGCGAGAATTCAGTTAGTCGATGCCCCGTTTTACTCGTTTTGGCTCGTCCCGCGGCTCGCTCCCTTGCCTGTTCGGGGGGCATCTGGGCCTCGGCCAGCAGCGGATGATGCTAGAGTGCATGGCAGAGCCATGGCGACGGGTACGAGCAGTCGGCCCGAGCCCTTTCGTTTGCCTGCCGCAGCTGCAGCCGGCACCTGGACTCGGGAGCGTCGTGATGGCGACTCGGCCCTGGATTCTTTCTGAAGAGCTCCTCGACGGCCCATGACGGTTTGCGCGGCGAGACAAAAGACAGCTACGAGCAGCTGTGCACAGAAGGTATAAAGGGCGCCCCGCTTTCGTTCCAACGCTACGGGCGGACCGTCTTTCCGCGCCAGCTCAAAGGCGTTGGGCGCTTGCGTGCCGAACAGCTCCTTTCCGGATCGAGTTAATAGGATGAGATTTCGACACCAGCTGCTCGAGCCGTGCTTGCCGACCATGTATCATTTGACGATGCGCCACAAAATATTGCCACAGGCCTTCCGCATCCTATTCTGGGTTTCCCATGTCCATCCGCACCGGCCTCGACTACATCTGTTCGGAAGCCCGAGGGCACAAGGGCACAACGATGCATGTGTCCCGCACTCGAGGTCGCTGGAGGGTTGGGGGACAACGATCAACCACGGCGCATCAGGACGACACTATCATATCCCTGTTGGGAGAAGGTAAAAGGATATTGCTTGGGTCCTTCTTTCTTCTCCCTCGCGGTCTGCCTCCTCTCTCCCACCGACGAGCTATTGATGGCTAAGCAGTCGAGCCAAACCCAAAGCGGGATGCCGTTGCGGCAGACGGTGTGTCGGTGGGTGGACGTGCGCTTCCCGGCGCCCCGTCCCGTCCGCGTCGCTTACGTACACGTCGCGTGGTTGCTTCCTCGCGGGGCAGATGAGCATGCGCGCGATATGGCGATGGACGTTGCACGTTTCATGGTGTGGGGATTAGTGGTACACACAACGGAGATGAGTGGCCTTTCTCCCGTTTGCATGCCAGTCGCGGTGAGCGAGCGAGCGACTGAGGCGAGCAATTCGCGCTACCGGACGGCAGTTGTCGCTCGGGTTTCATTTTGGTGCATCTGATCTTCACTTGGCTTTTTTCTTTTGTTTCACTCTCCCAGCGCAGCGGGTCGCCCTGACTCGCGAAAGAAGGCGACTTTGCCAAGCCAATATATCCCCGGAAATAAGGCATCTCACGTGGGTGGGCGGCAGATCCTACGTTCAGAGGTGTTTGCATGGGCTTGGAAGGTCACATCGACGTCCAGATATTGCTGCGGATTCTCACGAGTGGATACACGGAAGGACGAAACCTGATGTCCGACCGACACCATGAAACGTTGCTTATCCCAGAAACTAAGATCTGCACCGTAACGCTACTGCCACCACGCCGAAGAAGACGGCCGACCGAGAGACGGAAATAGCCGGGTTTGATAGCCATCTATAAATCCCACCTTTAGTAAGGTTGCCTACGCTAAGACAAGTGACGATCTTAACGTCTTATATAACGACGAGTCGTCCGCTAAGCTTCCTGCGTATGGCTTTCCTCGCACTCACGAACCATCTAATGGTCCGACTCTACTGAAGACGTTTAAAGATACGAAGCCGTCGGGCGCCTAAACAAGAGTTCTTACTACTGCTACTACTACTCTCTACGATGGCCAGAATTTACACAGTAGGGAGTACAAATAGTCCCGACGCACTTCGTTTAAACATTTTACCGACCGATGAGGTTGGAACCAAGTGATTAGGTTGGGAATATCATATACACATTCAGCAAGAATAAAGTGAAATATTGAAATTTGATGTGAAGGTTGCACCAGCGTGGCCCAGCCAGGAGATACCAAAGGAATACTGTCACTGTACAGCTCGCAGGCATTTATTGCGCGTCTACCTTCAACGCCAACCACCACTTGTCTCTCATCTTTTTGTCAAAAGAGTCTCTTGTCTAGGCGTAATACCTGTTGAGTACGTCAGTAAGCTGCACTGTTCAGAATTCTAGGCTGTGGGCCTTCTTCTAGACATACCTAGGCTCATCAAACACATGGTAATGATGACCCCTCACGCCCTCGCCTCTGAACAAAGTCGGGAAGCGAAGGCCGTACGGGACATCGTTTTCATGGATCATGTCATCGGAGCCCTCCGGCTGGCCAACGACGAACTTGCCGACCTGAAGCTCCGTGTCGGTGATGGTGCTCCTGCTGACTCTGGCGTAGCCGGCACGCTTGAGGTTCTTGTAGAGGATGTACTCGCACCATCGGTCCCAGTCACTCGGGTCAATATCGCGCATACCACTAGTCTCGCTGACGTACGTGTTGTAATTGCCCTCCTTGGGCTTGGTGACGAGATAGCTGAGCAGGATGCTGGGGCGAGGGGACGAGCCCATGAGGTTGGCCAGGTACTCGCTCTGGAGCCTGCGATCCTCCGGGTCCTCTTCTTGGCCCGAGTGGAAGACGAAGACGTCGACCAGCTCACCGTAGCAGTCCAGTGTCGCGTGGATGGCCGGAGCCAACTCACCGACAGGCGATGGCAGCAGGTGATGCGTCGAGTTGAGGATGGGGAATTTCGACAACAACGCCGCCCCCCACGTATGTTTGTTGGGGCCTGGGCCATAGTCGACGTACATCCCAAGGTCTTCGGCGATATACTGAGTCGTGTCGCGATTGCCCATGATGATGCGCTCAGTATCGCTCTCAAGAAGGCCAATGACGTCGACTTCCATTTCCTTGATCAGGTCACGCATGCGGCGCTCAGAAGACCACATGTCGTTGTCAAGAGTGAAATGAATCGTCCAGATACCGGCAGTAATGACCTTGTCGTTTTTGTGGTAGGGGGTGTAGTCATATGACGGGAAACGCAGATATGCAACAGAGGCACCGAGCGCTTCGAGCGCAAGCAACACGTAGAGGTAGTAGGAGCGCGTCTTGCGGGAAGTAGGGCTTGCGGGCTTGCGGGTCTTGGCGCTAGCTGCCCCGTTAGGTGTGCTAACGGCGGCAAAGACGCCGGCGCCAATGAACAGCATTGTCGCAGTCATAACCCAGTCAGTATGCTCACGCATCAAGGGACCACCCGGAACGAAAGCGTAGGCAACAACCCAAACATGGGCAAGGACCAGGATGTTGTAGAGGAGAAAGCCGAGGCCAAACGTGGATGCCGGGCTGTGGCGGGCTGCGGAAGAGATCAGAACGGGTGCAACAGCCATGATGTAGGCGGCCAAGGTGAGGGCACCATAGTACCCAAACCAGTTGCCGTTGCCGGTCAGTACAGCGGCGCCAACAGCACCAATGCCGTAGAAAGCCCAGCTCCCGGAAAGCCTCGGGTAGAAAAGACCAATTGTAAGGCCAGCCCCCATAGCGAAGAGAGTGTATGCACCGTGAGGAACTGAGAGTGGCCCACGGACTGGGTATCCCTCCCAAACCCAGAGAATCATGGTGCTCGTGTCGGAAAGCAGAGAGTGCATAGCAAAGAAAAGGCCGGCAAGACCGAGGCCGGCCAAGACCGGCGAGCCTTTCTGAGGACCAGGAGCAGGAATATCTGCGCCGCCGCTAGCCGTGAACCGAGTAGAACGGAAAACGGACACTACAGCTAGAGCAATCCCAAGCTTGTTCCAACCACCATTGGGCGCGTGCATGATTGGCCAGATGGGGTTGTTGGTCCAGAAGGCAAACTTGGCGACGCTGGACATGAGGAGGCCAAGCGCAAAAGCCGAAATACGTGCCTCCAGGCGGTGGGGCTGCGAGCGTTCTGCGTAGAAGGTGGCCGCCCAAGAAAGGCAGGACATCCAAAGACCAAAGCCAACGGCGAACAAGCGCTTGTCTGGGGCAGTGATCAAGTAGGAAAGTAGGCCGGAGAGAGAAAGGAGGTGCGTGATGCGAAGGTTCCGGATGACCAACGACCGAAGAGGGCGGATCCCAAGCAGGAAGGGCGAGACGGTGCACATGACTATGACTTCGTAGCCAGAGATACCCATGTACCAGAGCGGGAAGTCTGCTGAGGTTAGCAGAAGTGCAAGCGATACGCAGTACCGGGAGACTTACACCACACAAGCAGTCCGAGAGAGGTCAGCATCGTCCAGAACACGAACTGCACAAGGATCAGTTATGCAAATTCATCCAAGGACGATCAGAGAACCTACGCCGTTGTAGACATCTGCGGCGGCATCAAAGAAAGCAGGCCAGTGGAAACCGGCGGCGTAAAGATCAGCAATCTCACGGTTTTTCCTGCACTGCTTAGCCAGGTTGACTTTTACCATAGAAACGGGGCACGACATACTCCTTTTCCGCAATGCGTTCGGCTTGCGAGTTTCTGCAAGAGGATAATTATCAGAGTTGGGCTTTGAAATGGCTTGGTTCTCCTGCCTAGAAGCTATCTACTTCGGAAGCCGTGAAACATACCCTCTGCTGACACCTCTGAGGTCCTTGATGGCAATTTCAAATGCCGAGAAGTCGTACACGGTGACGGCATCGAAAGCTACATCAAGAAGGACAAGGCTCCACTCAAAAAAGGCGTAGATTGTGTAAGCTGTGATGGTATATTAGCCGACACATAATCGACTCCAGCACGCCTCGACTTACCTCCAGCAACCTTGTGAACCTTGTGTTGGATGAAGAAGTAGACCAAGGGGACGATGGTGGCAAAGAAGCTTGTTGCGAAGATTTTGCGGTATTTGATGGCCTTCACGTTCGGCGGGCTGAGAACGTAACAGCCGTATGTCCACGGAATGGTCGCGACCAGGTACGAAATCATAAAGATATCATGCCAGTCATGGTCATCGGTAGATGTGATGTAGGTCCACCCGCCGCAGGTCAAAGTCCGGAAGATGCCAACGCCGGCAATGAACTTGGGCAAAGTCGAGTTGGGCTTCGCCGTGAGGACGTACCAGAGGGCGACCAGCGCAAAGCGGGGACCTGTTTGGGCGTCTTAGCAGCGGCGCAGGCACATCCTAGTTGTAATCTCGTACCAGCAGTCATGGCAATGAAGAGCTGGAAAACGCTGCGCTCGGGGTAGCGGTCGCCAATGGTGGCGGAGACGGACGGGAACCATTCTTGCGGGTAGCCGTAGTGCTCATTCTGCACAATCTTTTGGTAGTGGAGAGCGCTGTACACGATGCGTCAGCCCGAATGAACGCGCGCATGGCGGCAAAGGCTCCTCTTACACTCCGACGATGAGAGCTCCCAGGAATGCCGCTGAGCGTCGGGTCAGCATTGTCACCTATCCGGCGGCGGGGGCAGTCGCGGGCATACCATAGGCGACTACAGTGTGTGTCCATGACACCCACTTGCCATTGAACTATGCGGGAATGCGGAATCAGCATCTGCGACGCGCAGCATGGAAACGGCGGGGCTCACGGCAGCGACGGTTTCGCCGTCCTTGTACTTCGCCATAGCTTCTTAACAGCTGGCCATCCGATGCAAGGCGGAACGCGACAGAAGGAAGCAAGGGCAAAGGAGCGTGGAGAACACAATGGACGAGGTCCGCTGGAGACCGACTGGAGCGCCAACGGGCGTGGAGAGGTGGATTATCCAGGCGTCTCCTGAGGCTGGGAGGGTAGGTAGGTAATGCAGCATGAGCGAGGCGCAGGGCCGTCGGCTGCCGGTCGACGCGCCGCCGCCGGGCAAGCAAGGGTCCGCGTCTTCCGTCCGCCCCGGGTCCGTGCGCAAAAAAGTTCCAGTTGCAGTCGTCAGTCCCGCATCCTCTACAGCACAAAGCCAGCCCAGCCCAGCCTCGTGCGCCATTCCAGACCCTGCCCCGGCTCCCCGTCTATCTCACGAACCGCTCCCAAAATGTCGGGCGCCGACAAAGCCCGCTTCTATCTCGAGCAGTCCGTTCCCGAGCTGCGCGAGCTGGAACGGAAGGAGCTGTTCTCCAGGGTATGTGCCGCTGCCGGGCGCTTGAATGCATCCAGTGCGCTGACGTGGCACAGGACGAAATCACCGCCATTGCCAAGAAGAGGAGCGAGTTCGAGCACATTCTCAACGGCCGCGGATCCTCGTCCCCCTCCGACTTTGCTCGCTACGCCGAATACGAGATGAATCTGGAGTCGCTGCGGAAGAAGCGAGCGAAGCGCATGGGAGTCAAGGCCGGCGGCCACAGCGGCCAGCGCCGTATCATGTTCATCCTGGATCGCGCTACACGAAAGTTCCACGGCGATGTTGCTCTCTGGTTCCAGTACCTCACCTATCTGCGTTCGCAGAAATCCACCGGCAAGAAGATGAAGGAGGTCCTGACATCGGTGCTTCGCATGCACCCGACGAAGCCGGATCTATGGGTGTGGGGCGCTCGCACAGCCTTGGACGCCGACGCCGACATGACGAGCGCAAGAGGGTACATGCAGCGCGGACTGAGGTTCTGCAAGAACTCTAGGCAGTTATGGTTGGAGTACGCCAAACTGGAGATGATTTATGTCGCAAAGATCGCGGCTCGGAGGCAGATTCTGGGTCTTGATCAAGAGCGGAAGAAGACAGAAGAGGTGGCCGAGGACCCAGACGCAGACATGATTGCGCTTCCCGACGTCACGGCAGAAGACATCAACCCCAGCTTGGCCAAGGATGACGGTGTCGACGAGGTGGCTTTGCAGAACCTCGCCAACACGCCCGTACTGCAGGGCGCTATCCCACGGGCCATCTTCGATGAGGCGATGAAGCAATTCCAGAACGACCCCAGGCTGGCCGAGCAGTTCTTCGACATGTTCGCTGAATTCAACCGGACGCCATGTACCAGGACCCTGCTTCAGTACATTGTGGACACGCTGAACAAGAGGAACCCGACTGCCCTGCCAAGCCAGGTTTGCAACTTCAAGCTACCATTGTTCGGTCTAGAACCCACCTCTGCCGAGTTCCCTGGCGCTCTTGGCAAAGCTCTTCAGAGCATCAAGGCATCTCTACAGCAAACTCCACAGACGAAGCATCAGCTGGCCGAGAAGGCCATCTTGTGGATTCTGCCTATTCTACACGTGGAAGACCTGGATGACGCACTACGCCAGGTTCTATCCGCCTCTCTTCGCCAATACGTCCGCTCTTTGCAGGGTGAAGATCAGCTGGTCAGTGCCGTCGCTGGGTTGCAGCAGGCGAAACGGACGGAAGATGCGCGCGTTCTAGTCGAGTGCTGGTCGAGACAGTGGCCCGGCAGCGAGCGCCTGATTCAGGCTCAAGCATCGTTGGAGGTGTGAGAACATGCTCAGTGTACCATCCGCAGGATGCTCACGCCACAAGCTTGGAGCGCAACAGTCGCACGAACTGTGATCACCTTAATAGTCAGGACTGCCTCCCTTCCGCGCACTCTTCTTGCTGCTGTTAAACTTCTTCGTCTTGAGTCTGGCTTCATTGCTTGCTTTTTCTCTGGACAAAAAGTCAGCACGAGGACGAGCGGGAGGTGAAGCAAGCACATACAGTTTTCTGACCCGCTCCTTTTGCTCTTCTGATGTCTCGCCGGGCACGGCGGTTTTGCCAGCGTCCACAATCAAGTGGTGGAGTTTGCGATAGCAGGCATGAACGTTGTCAGTCTGCTTTCTGCTGTCATCTGACTGGATGACCAGGGCATTGGAGTTGGCGGCATAGTAGCGGGAGGAACGTATCTCTTGGTGAAGGAGAGCCGGCAGCATTGGCAGCAGGGCATCAAGGGGGACGCGCAGAGTGGCCTTGGAGCTGATTCTGGAAGGGTGTCAGCAGTTGCCTAGATAGGAAAGCCGAGACTTCGGTACTTGTTCACGTTTTGGCCGCCAGGCCCCGACGATCTACTAAACGAGACATCGCAAATGTGTTTGGGAATGGTCTCCGGATCCAGCTGCTGCAGCCATTTGCGGGCGGCGGCCAGCTCGTCGGCAGACGCAGCGGCCGGCTGGTGGCGGGAGGCCAGCTCGCGGGCGTGCAGCAGAGTCTGCAGCACGGGGGGCGGCACCGGTACCACGGCGGTTGCTGGCGCCGGACGCAGAGGTGCTTGCCGCAAGGCTAGGGGGCGCAGCAGGCGCAGGGCAGGGCCGCGGACGTGGGCCATGGTGGGTTGGAGGGGCGATTGGCTGCTGGGCGCGTTTGGATCCGTTTGGAGCAGTGAGCCCGCAAGCTGGTCGCGGCGGCACGTCACACGCTGGTTGCGGCCTCAGGCTCGAGCGCGGGCGTCGCCGCGGGCCGAGCTGCCCGAACTCGCTCGAGCGATTCTTTTGCTTCTCCCATTCCTCCCCCACCACACGTTACCGCCTCGCACCTTCTGCTGCTCAGCCCACCCCTCTGAACGGCCGCCCGCCGCAACAGACACCGCCTTCGTGCCCCCGGTCTCTGCCTCAGCGTCGTGCCCTCAGCCCAGCGTCTGACTGTAGCGCCGCCAGTGTTGCCTCTCGCGCCCGCGACCGCCCGCAGCCAGCCAGCCCGCTCTCCACGTATGCTTTGAGTTGAAGCGTGGCCTGCATCCCCTCCGCGGCTGCCCGCTAAGCGTAGCTCTGCCTAGATGACGACCAGAAGCCCGCCTGTAGAGCCTGAGGAATTTCGCGGCCAGACGCTGACGCCCGTCTCACCGAAGCCCATTCACTATCCTGCGCCCGCCAACATACCCGTGCTTGAGAAGCAGATGGATCCCGTCTTCAATGACACGGCGACCCACTACCCGCCCGATGACGCCCAGCACGACCAGCAAGACAAGCAGAGCACACACTCGTCGGCCGACTCGCTGTACGCCGACCAGCCCGCCGCAGAGCCGCTGCGCGAGCCGCCGCCGCAGCAGGACGACGAGTACGCGCGGTCGCTGGCGTTTGAGGATGGAGAGGGCGCGGATAATCAGGATACCTCAAAAATCCAGAACTTCGCACATTCGAGCTCCGTCCCCGCTGATGCGCCCAGTGACGCTGCCCAGCCGCCCTACACCAGCCAGCCCTATGCACCGCCCAACGGCAATGACGGCGGCGTTGACTTCCAGGCCCTGCTGGATAACCTAGCCAATGCCTCTGCTCCTGCCGACCAGAATGCTCAGGCGCAAGCCAACCCATCTCAAGTGCCTGCTCCATCAGTCCAGACGTCTGCGCTGCCCGGCAATCCCAACCTCCCTCCTCGCCCTCCGCCTCAAGAGAAGCCCGCCACGCATCCCAACTACACGCCCGGAGATGACATTCGCTCCTATCACCCCCACAGCCAGAAGAACCCCGCCGCCTCGTACCGCGCCCAGCCCGGCCTGCCGCCGTTGATGACCCAGGGCCAGGCGCCGGGGGCCGCCGGCGCACCCTTGTCCCAGCCTGGCTACCAGCAGACCCCTGTTTCGGCCATGTCCCAGCGCACCGCCAGCCCAGCCACCCCCAGCTACCGCCAGCGCGACTCGGTCGACCGCCGCCCAGACCGCGACCAGGTTGACGACAGCGATGTGCCGTGGGGCCCTGACGTGCAGAAGCTGTACGACGCGTTCCTGCAGGATGAAAGAGTTTACGTGACCGAAGGCCAATGGGACAAGTTTCCCTCCAACTCGCGCCTGTTTATTGGTGGGTTTTCCAGACCAGCAGTGAAGGACGGTGCAGGACCTGACCGTGCAGGCAACCTACCAACTGAGAAAGTGACCAAGCGCGACCTCTTCCACATCTTCCACCGCCATGGCAAGCTCGCCCAGATCTCCATCAAGCAGGCGTATGGGTTTGTTCAGTTTTTGGATGCCGGTGCCTGTTTGCGGGCCCTTCAGTCAGAGCAGGGACAAGTCGTGCGAGGCAGGAAAATGCGTGAGTTTTACCAGCCCGTGCCGTCGATGGAGATGCTGACATGACCAAGACCTAGAGATCTCCAAGCCGCAAAGGAATACCCGGAAGGAAGATGACAAGACTCAGCGTAGTGACCGCAATGGCGCCCGGCGCAGGTCACGATCCCCTGACTACACCCGCGGCGCCTCGGCAAGTGCGCCTCGGAATGTAGACAGGTACACAGGCGCAAGTAGCGCTTCACCCCGGAGAGATGAATTCCGGAGGAGCAGAGACGACTACCGTCCGGGAAGATCACCATCGCCCCGTGGTTACCGGCGCGGTGGCCGTGACCGGAGCCGTGACCGCTATGATGGTCGCAGAAGAAGCAGATCCAGGTCGCCCTACGGCCGCGGCGGGAGATACAGAAGTCCAACTCCTCGCCATGATCCTGATGATGAGTTGACACTTCCTCGGAGGCATCCTAACGAGGTGCCTGACGTGCAAATCCTCGTTCTACAGCCCGGTGAAGTAGACAGACACTTCATTGCCTGGGTGGAGCAGACCTTTCAGGAAAATGGCGTTCGCGCTGACGTGCTCCTCTTGAGCCCGCGCCTGAACGAAGCAGCGGTAGTTCGACGTCAGATTCTGGAAGGTGTCCATGCCGTTTCACGCATGACACGCCTTTGTCAGCAGACCGGACACATTCCTTTGCAGGTCTTCAACCGGAGTGCTGGCCAGTCCAATGTCACGTTCGAAGGTGAGTCCTGCAGAAGCTAGTCCAATACTACGCCAGGTTCTAACAGCCCTACAGAATACGACAATCTCGATGTGCGTGTCTGCGCTCAACTCATCCTCCGCGCCAAGGAACAGAGCATGCCTGCTCCAACACCGACCTATCCTACGACTTATGGTATGCCTCCTCCATCGTACGGCATACCATCCGTTCCCGCGCCCGCAGCATCATACGGCATGCCGGTCCAACCAGCCGCACCACCAGCCGCACTTCCTGGAGCTGGACCCGACCTCTCCAGCCTCATTCACAATCTCGACTCCAACGGACTCCAGAAGTTGCTGGCAGGTATTTCACAGCAGCAACCGGCCGCTCCTCAGCAGCAACCCCCTTCAACAGTCCTTACCCCGGGCTCGACTGGTATGACACCTGACCTCGCTCGCCTCTTCGGCGGTGGCGGCGCCTCGGGACCTCCGCCGCCTGCGGCCATCGCGACGCAGCAGCAGCAGCAGCCCACGGGGTACCCGCCGCAGCAAACGTGGCAGCAGCCCGGCGGCCCAGTCAGCCCGTTCGGTCCCCTGCAGGGCAACCCAGCCCTCGCGGGATTCATGCCGCCGCAGCAGCAGGGCCACCAGCAACCAACATCGCAGCAGATTCCTTTCACTCAATCGCAGCAGCAGCCACAACCCGGTGCGGTGCCGCCTCCAGCGGGAAACATGCAGGAGATTATGGCGCAGTTGGCCAAGTACCGGCGCTGATGATGAGCAAGAGAAAACACAAAAATACTGCAATTGTACATACACTAGGAAGAAAGATATTCTCCACTATTGCTTTGATAATACATTAGCGAACGGATGGGAAAGTTGCTTTTTGTTTTCTTCTTTCTGTCCTTCTTGGTAATTTCAAGAAGGGTCGTTGTTGACGTTTCCTTCTTCTCGATATCTCACTGGTAGATGGAAATGGTTGTGGTCTTTTCTGTGGTTCTAACAACTTGGTACGGTTACTCTTTTTTTTTTCTTTTTTGAAACTGTGATGACTAGTCTTCGAGCTGGGAGGGGTTTTCGGTTTTTCTCTCTTCACTGAACGATGACTGTTGCGACATGGCTTTGTCTCTTTCCTTTCTCTTGTCATTAAATCTTCCTTTGCTCTCGTGAGCGTGGCGTGGTGTGTGCGCCTTGTATAAAAGCGAGCGTGTCTACTACGAGCAAGCTGGAGTTTTCCTTTCTTCTTTTTCTTCTTTCCCCCTTTCTGTTGGCCCTTCGAATATGTGTGGTTCTTTTCCCCTTTCGTTAATTGAGCAGATGGGGTGGGGACAAGAAGGTTTTAGTCGGGCCCTTCTTCTTCAATCGCTCTGATCTTTTTTTCCCCTACCCTTTCCTCCTTGGACACTCATCTCCTGAGCGAACAGGCGTCGAACTCGAAGGCGGTCATGCGGAGACGGTGCTAAATCCTATCGAGGCAAAAGAACTACAATTGCAGAAACGATTTTCGCTTCTCCATTTACCACTAGCGGATTTTAATTGTTCTTGTTCATTAATATATCTCTCGCTCTGTTTTGTCTTCTAGTTGTACAACTTACTATATGAGGGGGTAGGGATGTGGGTGTGTATATCACTGCTATTCGTACGCGTGGGATGAAAAGGGTGAGGGAGTTGTTTCTTTCTTTTTATGTGGTTACATCTCTTCTTTCTCTTTCTCCATCTATCGTCCCTTGGACGAAGCAATTTTTGTCTTGTTCGTCTGCATGTAAATCTTTTTTTCCCCTTCTTCGTTGCCGGCCGTCGCCCGTCAACACACACATTCTCGTACTCGAAGCTGCCCCGAGGGGGACGCTTGGAAGCTCTCGTATTGGATTTAATCACCCAACACGAGCACTCTACCCCACACATGTGCGCTGGCGGTACAGAGAAAAGGAGAAAAGAAAAGGGGACCAACTGGGCGTGCGGGCTTCGCCGCGGGCAAAGCAGGAAGGACTTGTGGAGCACGATCATGCCACTTCGGAGGGGGGGGGAGGGGGAGGACGGAAACGTAGATCCAACAGCGTCGCCGGGCCGATCCTGAAGCCGCTTCAGCACATGGCAGATGTTACCCAATGGATGATATGTCCTTGTGCATGTACTGCTGCTCGTTTGCATTTTTTGATATCTTTTCTTGTTGAGAAGAGAGGGCGGGAAAAAAGCTCAAACCTAGCTAGCCCCTGGACCATCTTTGAGTGAGCGACAGATGCGCGAAAACATTATGCTAACTAACTTTCGACAAGGAAAGGTACATGCAGACACTGATGCGAATGGTACGCCATACAAACGCCGTAAACCAGATCACTACGCGGTGAGCGTTCGGTACCTCTGTGTAGAGGGTGAGGTCTGTGTCGGAGGGAAGGAGACGAAAAGCAAACCACCACCAACCTCTAATTGTAAGGATGGAAACCCGAGTATAACAAGGAGAGATAAAAACAGACGATATGAAAAGAAGATAAGATATAAAACCAAAAATCCTCAACAAGGAGCGAGTGTTCCCCAACGTCTCCTTTTTAAAACATCACTAGTTTCCGTTTTCCCTTCCCCATTTAGCCTACCTGCCTGCCTACCTGTACCGAGATGTTGTATGTAAACCGTGCGATAGTCCCCGAGTTTAACGACAAACCCAAAAAGCAATAACAAAAGCACCGCAGCAATCCCAAAATGAGGCCATCCCAGAACGTGTACGAGCGGTCATGGAAGTACTCCCTTCAGAAAATGTCTCCTCTCTTCTTGCTCTCGCCACCACTATGCTCCCAACTCCTTGCTTTCCTCCAGCTTGAAGTCATTCTTGTGCAATCCATCCAGCGCCTGGCGGCCTTCCTCGGTCAGATCCGGCTTGCCGTTGGCATCCGTCGCGTTCGAGAAGAAGCGAGGCTTCCAATCGCTGTTCTTCTCCTTGCGTTCGGCAGCCTTCTCACGCTGGCGCTCCTCAAGCTCTTGCTTGCGGGTCGTGGCAAGGGCGTACTGCTTGGTGGTGATGGCTTCGGTTACGCCACCCCAAAACTTGCGGGACTCATTCGGCAGCTGAACCTCCTCCGGGGGAATGATCTTGGGGATGGGATAGAGCGGGCTGACATCGATGAGGAGTATCTTCTCCTGTGCCAATTAAACATGTTAGAGTTTGTTGAGAAAAAGCTGATGGGACTCCTAAACTTACCGCTGCCTTGCTGACGGGTTGGCTACCAATCGAGTAGTAAATCTTGTCATGCCAGCTGCCCTCAATGCGCGCCAGGACGTCCTTGTCCGCAACATCCCTGATCCTCGTCTTGTCGTCCTTCTCTGGGTCGTACGTGAAGATGACGCCTTCAACTCTGTTTTGCGTCTTACCCAGCCAGCCCTCCTCCAAATAGTGCAGGATGACTTTTATCTTCGTCTTCGGGCAGGTGATGTAGCAGACGTCTGCGACTGTGACGCTGAGGGATCCTATACATTTCCTGTTAGCGCTTAGTAGTCTAGAAAGTTGCAATATGCATACCTCTCAACAGGCCACCCAAGTGGGCAGCGGGGTGAGTAAGCTGGTACTGCTCATCATCGCGCTTGCTCAGTGTGATGAAAATGCCCAGGTTGTGCGCACCGGGCGTCACTCTTATGCTGGTGCCGGTGAACTTTGCGCTGAGCTGATCATAACCCTTGGCGGTGATTCCCTTCTCCGGGCAGTCGACCCAGAATGCCGAGACCGGGGGATGGTGGGAGGTCTGCTCGGTCAGGTACGAGACCTTGACAGTCTTTCCGGCGGATGCGGTGCTTGAGGCGCTGCTCTGCGTGGGCTTGTCCTTGGCCGATTTGAGCGGGGGCGAGGTGTCCTCGATTTCCCAGTTACACTTCATTCCACGGTCAGCCCTTCCGCGCAAAGAATGTCGTTGTTTTCAGACCACTCACCCTGAAAAACTCGCCCAAGGCCGAGTTGTAAGGTTTGCAGGGCTTGCCCTTCACGTATTTCTTCCGACGCTGTCAGCACCTCATGCCTTATTGTCCAGCCGCACAGAGTCGTACCAAGTCCTTTGTGAACCAAAATCTAAGCGTCCCAAGCATGCGTCCGAGAGCATCTTCCGAGTCACCGATCCTGTCGCACCCATCAGTCGCCATCCCCCGGATGAAGCTCAGAATCCAGACTTACGCAATGAAAGTCTCGGGTCGATCCAAGTAATTCCAGTACTCTGTACAACGTCAGCACCTCCATCTTTCTATGGTCTTCCACCATCTATCCTTGCAGGTTTCCGATGCGCCGGCACTCAAAGTGGTTCCTCAACAAGGAAAAAACAAAAAAAGCCACTGAGGCTCCGAGGAAAGAGGTCGCCCCAACGTACCCAAGTTCGGTGTCGGTTCTAACAGCTGCGCGGGCAGCGAGAAGCGTACAGCGGCGATGTCGGAAACGCCCATGAACCTGCATACGCGCAACGGAACCCGTCAGCCCATCCATATCTGATGTCGGTGGCGAAAAGTTCATGCGCCTCGCGCTCCGACGCCTCCCCATGCCCCCCTGCGAGGGAGCGGATTGAGCGAGCTCCCTCTCCAGCAGAGCTCGCTCGCATCGCTGCCGGCCCGTCCTCTCTTTCGTCTCGTCCTTGTGTTGGGGTTGGGAGCGATGCGGATACGCACTTTCTCAGTATGCCGAGGAAGGTCTTCAGCTTGGAGCTGTCATCGGGGGCTTTCTCAGCGACGGCGGCGGAGGCGGGGGTGGTGGCGCGCGAGGGCTCGGCGGAGCTGGCGGGCGTGGTGGGGTCGAGGCCCGAGGACGAGGAGGCCATGGTGGTGTGCGGTGGGTTGAGTGTGTCGGCGGTGGCGGCTTGAGAGTTGTTGAGTAGCGGCAGCTCGGAGGGGAAAAGGGAAAAAGGGAAAAACAGCGGGCCCTGCTGGCTTTTGGGGCGAAGGGGGGAGGGTTTCTTGTAGAGTGGCGCGTCTAAATGCGGCGGAAGCGAGATTGAGGAGAAGAAAGGGAGATGTGGGAGGTGCGCGGGGGCTGGTGGAGGATGCGCGGCGGTCGTGACGAGGTGCGGCTCTCAGCGGCGTGCTCGGCGTGCTCGAATAGTGTGCATCTGCTGGGCTGCTGCACCCCGGAGGGGCCTTGGTCGTCGACGTCACGCTCCGCCTGCGGGCCGGACAGGGATGTGCTCGCACTCGCAGCCCGTTTGCAGCGCCGGGGATTCGACCAGAACTGCTCTCCTGGAGTCCTGTCTCTCCTGTCTCTCCTGTCGCAGCGAGAGGCCACGCGCCGGCGCCCTTTATCTCGCGCCCGGCGTTGCGTCGCACCATGCCGCTGTCGCCGTTCCGCGGCCAATCAAGCGCCCACTGCGTCGTCCAGCCCGCGTGCCCGCGCCCGCTCTGCGCTCCACCACCCCGGCCGCTGCGCCCTCACCGGTCCCGCTGCCTTCTCCGCTGCCTCTGTCCGATCGGCCAGCGTGCCAGCTCCCCGGACACTAGGAAGCGGCCCCATAAAGCTTGAAGTCGAGCCCCCAATCTCCCCGAGATGGAGATGCTATTTATTGTCGCAATCATTGTCATGCTCGATTAATCTGCCCCAACGCCACCGCGCGCCCATAGCCCTATTCGCCTCTGTCGATCTACCAAATCACTTTTGCACGCCATGCCCTCGCACTCTCGGCACCGCCGGCCCAGTCGCCAGGAAGAGCAGGAAGAGGACCCAAGCACGTAAGCCCTCCATGCCGCTATAACCGACGCCATGCCCACTACCGCCGCCGTCACGCGTCCCAGCCCCGCCACACGCCCACCGCGACTCCGTTGGCGCTGTCGCAAAACAGCTCGACCGAGTAGTATTCCGAGCAGCCCGTCGTCGGCCCGCTCAGCCTGTCCAGGACAAGCCACATGTCGCCCTGGCGCAACATGTCTGGCCTGAGGTCCACCTCCTCGGTGCGGACGCCAGCCTCCGCGTCGCTGTACTCGCCGCCCGAGCTAGAGATCAGAATCCGGCGATCCGGTCCGCGTCCGATCTCCAGGGTTACCCGAAGTGGGCTGCGCGTCCGTGCCTGGAGCCCGGGAGCGTCGTGGGAGCCAAACGCCCGCACGAACTTCGCGACAATCTTGACGCGAACGAGTTTGCGCGGGATCACCGGCGCTGCAACCCGGTTGCTTGCAGGGTTGAAGCACGCTTGTGCCAGCTGCATCGAGAGCATCCCGGCTCCTTCTTGAGCGATTGGTGTCAACTGGCAGCGGACATCGCTGTCCACTCGGAGCTCAAAGCTTGCTTCCTGCCCACTCTCAAACGTCGAGCATGCAATCGTGTACACGCCTGGGTCCACGTTCTGCATCTCTGCATATGCGCAGTGTTTCCTGTAGAGCCCAGAGCTGACCACTACGTCGCGGGGTTTGACCGTGTGCATTCTCTTCCCCTTCCCATACAACACGACGACGTTGACCTTGACTGACTCGGCCGGTACCTGCAGGAGCACAGCCAGAGATGTCGCCTGCGGCACACTGAGCTTGAACTGCGGGTTCTTGCTGAAGTCCGCGCTGTGCAGGTTTCCGCCGCCGGTGCTTTTGTTCCACCTCGACTTTAGCTTCGTGCTGTGGTCGCGTTTCTCTATCGCGTGGTCGAGATACACGCGCTTGGGAGAGAAGGCCGACAGGGTGAAAGTGTATGCCCCCGACGCAAGCTCCATTTGCTCCACGACCACCGTGTACGTCGACTTGGAAGGGTTCTTCCACTTGAGGAGCATTTGCGGACTGCTCACAAAGGCACCGCTCTCCAGTGCATCCAGGCTCGTGTATACACGATTTCCGCCTTCATCGAATATGTAGAGGCTGATATAGCCACGGGCAAGGTCACCATGAGCGGGCGATTCCGACCTCGTCTGGCTCGTCTCTGGCGACAGACGAGAATAGTATCCACTGTCTGCACCAGAGATGGTATCAGGGGTCGCCGTTGCACTCCGTTGGGGTGGTCCGCCTCCGTCCATACTATCGACCTCTGTATCCTTGAAATGTCGAGACAGTAGAAGCCAAACTGGCTCCCCGACCTGGACCTTTAACGAGAATTGTGGATTGTTGACAAGACAACCTGGGACGTGGCGAGAAGAAGCCAAGTCCCAATGGAAATGGATGTCCTGCCGGTAGCGGAAAAGAGCGGGGTTCCAGTTGACGTACACATTTTCAAAGTTCTGGAAAACTTGCTCGAGGCTGATCCAGAAAGTACCTGGCGAGAGACTCTGTTCGTCCGAATCGCTCGAGGGTTCCGGAGCATCTTCCTCAGCGGTGTACGATGGCCGACGTGCACTACGCCATCCAGTTCCTTCGGCCCAAGGATTCTTCAGGAGCAATTTTTTCTCACCATTCTTCTCTTTCAGGTCAAGGACGGCGTAGTCGTGTTGACTTTCGAGTCCCAGCTCCCTCTCAGCCCGCCGGCTCATGTTACCAGTACCAACGGTCATCAGAACATCGCCATATCCGAAAGACTTGAAGAGCCTGGCCCATAGCTCGTTGGGGATGATGTCGGCCTCTGGAAGGAATATCTGCTCAGGAATCCAGCCGCAGAGGGTCCAGAGGTCAGTGCAGGAGCTGCTGCCCGGGAAGTCATATCCTCCGCGGACCTTAAGATAGGCCTTTTCCAGAAGTACAGGCCACAACAGCGAAGGGTTCTGACGATCGAGGACGTGTAGCATGCGGGTGGTTCTCGACACGGGTAACCGATCGTCTACAACCACCTTCCTCCAACAGCCGTTGAAGTTCATACGGAAGACGTACTTGCCATTCTCAGAGAGAAGCGGCACGCCGGCAGAATAGTCATAGGGCCAAAGGTAGTTGGAAAGAAGCTGATCATTTCCACGCTCAACTCGGGCTGAGCCAGCGATAAGACCGGCAACGACTGAGCAGTCAGTTGCGACATCCTGCACCATGTCGTTACGATTCTCCTTGATCATCGTGGGGCCGTCCTCGGCAGTGCCAGCAGCTGCCCAGGCTGGCGGTGGCAAAGCATCCTTGGCACGCTTCCAGCCATCAAAGAACTTCAGCTGAGCTGGAGAAAGACGGAGTTCAACGTCGTCCTCAAATAGGGCCTCGCCAGGTCCCAGCACGAAGTCGGCCGCAGAAGGGCCGTCTTTCCACGGAGGAAAGGTTGAACCATTGATCTTGGAGCTTTTCAGCAGTAAGATCTGCTCAGACGTAGGAAGCGCTCGATCGGAAACGGGCTCCGGCTTGATTTTCGGGGGCTTTTGAGTGAGGGGCGATATGGCCCTAGAGGATTGCGGTGCACGTGACGGAGTGGAGTCCAAACTGAGCGATGAGATGTTCGGAAGGGTTGCTGCTGGCCATTCAGGCGACTTTTTGATACGCTCAGCTTCGGTGAGGAGCGTTTGGCAGTGCGAACTCAGGCCTGCTTTCTGGCGCTTGTCAGTGGCAACCTTCAGGGCCCGCATGCACAGCTCGGCAGCTTTGATGGCGAGCTCTAGAGCTTCGTCGCGGGTTGGAGCGCCTGCGATGCGCGCCTGGAGCGCCTCCATCTCAGCCGTCATGGCTGCAACGCGGGCCTGTTGGCTGGCCATGGTGGTGGAGAAGTGAGATCAGAAGAACGAAGACGGATCCGAGGAGGAGCGGTGGGCAATATCTGGCATGATTGGGCGCCGAGCAACCCCAGAGCCGGCTAGGGAAGGAGGTCCAAGTGCCTGCCGACCTGCGCGGGTACCCTGGGTTCCAGCTTCAGCCCTGTCGCCCGGAGGAAGCGGCGATGGTGGTGGGAAAGCAGCAGGAGCAGCGGACGCGGGCGATGCACAGATGCGATCTCAAGCCATTGCACGGTCAACACAGGCCCAGAGCGGGATGAGGGGCCGTCTGGAGAAGGGAGTGTTGATGTCCAACCGAGGCGCTGCGGCTGACTCGAGGCACTGGGTGTGGCGCAGCAGCCGGGCGGCCTCATGCCAAGCGCCAGCCATCTAATCTGATGGCGCTAGTCCCGCTTTCGTGCGGCGCCTGGCCCGTGGCTGTTGCAAGTTGGCAGGAGCCGAGGTGCAGTCGGTCGTCTTCGGCCGTGAGCTCCATGTGCGGGCTGCCCGCCGTCGTGATCTACAAGCCGTAATGGCCTACACCACCCTCTCGCGCCTTTCCACTGTAAATTGTCCGCCTTTTCCACTTTTCTCCCCTTTTCTTGGTATGCGTCCCTAGCCTCTTGACCTCCCCTTCACATCCGTCCTTGTGCCGCCGTTGTTTGCCCTCTGGGAGTTGGTCTCTTGCCCTCACGAGCTCCAAACCGCTGTGCGCCGGCCGCGAAAATGGCAGGACAGTCAAAAGTCGCTCCTCTCCCTCCGTGGGGCTATGCTGTCGCCGGTTCCGCCGGTGCGGTGGTTGCCAACGCGCTCGTCTACCCGCTTGACATGTGAGTTCGACCCGACTTCGGAGCCGCATGTCGGACCATGGCGCGCATACTGACCGCATCGCAGCGTCAAGACGCGGCTCCAGGTACAGGTCAAGCAGACCAAGTCTGCCGATAGTGCCAGCAACCCTGCCGACGGCCAGCACTACACCTCGACTTGGGACGCCATTACGAAGATCGTGAACGATGACGGCCTCGCTGGACTGTATAACGGCATGCCAGGCTCTCTGCTCGGTGTCGCCTCCACCAACTTCGCCTACTTCTACTGGTACACGGTCGTGCGCACTCTATATCTTTCCAGCCAGAAGGTTCCCAAGACTCCCGGAACGGCCGTTGAACTTGGCTTGGGAGCCGTTGCCGGCGCGGTCGCACAAATGTTTACCATTCCTGTCGCCGTGGTCACGACGAGGCAGCAAACCCAGGCAAAGAATGAGCGAAAGGGGTTAATGGACACCGGACGTGAGATCATCGCGGGTGAGGATGGATGGACCGGCCTCTGGAGAGGACTGAAGGCCAGCTTGGTTCTGGTGGTGAACCCAGCCATCACCTACGGAGCCTACCAGAGGCTGAGGGACGCTCTTTTCCCCGGAAAGGCCAACCTGAAACCCTGGGAGTCCTTCTGTGAGTCTCGCCGCCAGGCTCGCTGCCGTAACCCCTACTAACCATGACCTCACAGTGCTCGGCTCTCTTTCTAAAATGCTGGCTACCATCGCAACCCAGCCACTGATCGTTGCCAAGGTCGGCCTTCAGTCGAAGCCCCCACCGGCACGCCAAGGGAAGCCTTTCAAGACGTTTATCGAAGTCATGGCTTTCATTGTTGAGCACGAAGGCCCGCTTGGCTTATTCAAGGGCATCGGGCCCCAGATCCTCAAGGGGCTGCTGGTGCAGGGCTTCTTGATGATGACCAAAGAGCGCGTGGAGCTCATGTTCATTGTCCTTTTCCGCTATGTCCGGAAGGTCCGCGAAGAGCAGCTGAAGAAGGCGGCGGCAATGCTCGCCGAGAAAGCAGCCAAGGCGGCACCTCGGGTGTCGGAGCAGGTGAAGAAAGTTGCCCCTGTCACTATGAAATGATCACGACGCGCCATTCGCACTTGTATGTTTTATTCCCTTTCGGCGATGTAGGGTCTGCCATTTGCTCGCTTCTGGAAGGTCAGCTTTTGATTTAGAGCAAGATTCGGACTTGAGGTCACACCTCTTGCGAGGAAACTGGGTTTGCCGGCGTACGGGATGTTTGGGACAAGCTTGCGACCGCAAAGCAATGTGGAAATGCACACACATACTCTATATAGGAATTCATGCACACTGTTCAAAGCTTCACACAAGCAGCAGCGAGGCCGTGGGTTGTGCCGCTGGATGACGTCCGTGGGCGCAATATCCGAGCGGTAGCCGAAAGCGCAAGCGCGTCGCGGCAGGGCTAAGGGCTAAGGGAGGGAGCTTGGACAGCTCATGCCATCGTCACTAGCCCGGCCGAAGCACCTGCCCCCATCCCCAGAGCGCAGCAACCACCAGCCTGCCATCCCCACATCCAAACAACTCGCCGAGCGAGAGCTGTGCGTTCCCACCCAGCCAACCAGCTAGGCGCAATTAGCAACCCACTCTCCGTCCACCCAACCCGCCCACCAGCACGCCCCTCTCCACGCGCGCCTTCGCCAAACCACCACACCCGTCTCCTCCATCAACCCGCCCACCACCACAAGCTCCGCGCTCGCCAGCTACCGCCCCCAGCCAACCGACCTGCCCGATCCGCAGCAGCAACAATGGCCTTCTGCTCCCGCCGCGCCGCCTCCACCCTCCTCCGCACCACCGCTCCCGCTCTTCCGCGCCGCAGCTTCCAGACGTCGGCGCGCCTGCTCGACGCGCAAGCGGCTGCTCTGCCGCAGAAGAAGCCGGTTGGCGCGTTCAGAGCGACGTGAGTCTCAACTTCTAAATGTCACACGACACGCCACACACACCGCTTGTGCCGACGACGCTGCCGCCGCCGCCGCCGCCGCCGCCGCCTACGAGCACGACGAACACATCGACCCAATGGACGCAAATTGGCTAACGTGAACGGTGTTGCAGCATCTTCGGCTTCCTGACGGGCTCCGTCACAGCCGGCGCCGGAATGTACTACTATGTCATGGACGAGTACAAGGTCGCGAACCAGCTGCTTCAAGAGGACATCTACGTACGTTTTCCCCACTCCTCCTCTCTCTGTCTCTCTCCTCCCTCCCAATGGCTGCGACATTGCTCGACCGGAGGTCTTGTGGGTTGAAGCCGCCGGGCCGGGCATTGGATACCTCGGCTATTTTGGCGGGTGGGGCGAACGAATGCCAGAGAGCAACCTTCCGACGGGGGAATCGATGGGCGTACGGGGAATATTCGCTGACGCATGTTTTCACCACGGTGTAGGCCCTGCAGTCTGCCGTACAGAGGATAGAAAGCTACGTCCGAGTCATGGAGAGCAAGGTGGAGAAGTCGTTCAAGAAATAAGCTCATGGACGCGATGGCTTGGACCGGGCCACGGGGTAAAATATCAGTGCGGGATCGATTGAGGGTGTGATACCAAGGAGTGCAAGACTGGAATTTTGAAGGGCATGCGATATCGGGAAAGGTCTTTTGAGGGGGATGGATGCGGGATGGCAACGGGCAACGAATGCTCTGTCTGCATATCACAAACTTATTTTCTCTGCTCATTCAGTGACGACATGTAGCGAGTATAGCGGACTCAATTCTTCTTTGCAGAATTTCGAAGGCGGAAACGCTATGATGTAACTATGTGAATCGCTCTGTCCCGTGTTGTCCATTTCATCTATGTAACAAACATGTAGGCGCAAAGCAGTTCTCCTAGTTGGTGAATCCCAAATCCATTCTAACATACTAGCATGTCAAAGTCGAACAACCCAACAAAGTGGTCTCTGCTGTAACGGAAGTGATTATATTTTCCGTTTTTAGAATTATGATCAATTCTAAGCGGGAGGCTGGCTATACGTGCATTTCTACTCTTTTGCCAGATTTTGGAGCTAAAGAGTGGGTAAAGGTATTGTACCTTCTCTCCTTCGCAGATGCCGCAGTTAGCATCTATCCGCCCGTGGCCGTCGCATTGAAGCCATCCCTTTTTTTTTTCTGTCTCCTTTGTCCGACCATTAGCGCTACAGCCAAAACCAGCCTCTCCTTGTTCGTGGGGCTGAGATGTCTTCCGACAAAGGCAATGTATCTCGTATGAATGTCTTATTGTTTACCAACAACCGCACACCGAAAACATATAAATACAGAACGAAACCTCACTCCAACCTCACACACACCAAACAAGTGCTTCGAATCCTCAAACTCGAACACTCTAAGCCTTACAGTAACCTGACAACGTCCCCAACCCCCCACAACGCACTCTTACTTCCTCCGTCCAGCAACAATGGCGCAGGACAACAGACCCGTGACCTGGACCTGCTGCCAGTGCAGCAGAACCAACAGCGGTGATCATGAGGAGTGCCCCACCACTGGCTGCGGACACTGCCCCGGCATGGAGGGCTGCTGTGAGTGGGACTTCTACCCGACGACCAACGGCGAGAAGCCGATTACGTGGGTCTGCTGTAATTGCAGCTCGATCAACTCTGGTGACCATGGGGGGTGCCCCACCCCTGGCTGTGGGCACTGCCCTGTGGAGGGCTGCTGTGAGTGGGACTGGTAGGACCTCAATTAGTTTCAGGCTTATGGGCCTATGGCCTACTGCGCTGACGAAGAAGGTAAGTGAAACACAGTAAGAAGAAGAGGATTGTGAGTTCGAGAATCTTAGAAAGTCTTATGAAAGACTGCAAAAAGGAAATGAATTCATTCCACCAACTTGAAGTTTCCCATGTTCAAAGTGAAAATACCCTTGCTCCCGTGCAAGCCGTTATTGCGGCTGCTTGTGCTCATGACTACGAACAACGTTTCCCCTTGACGCAGACCATTCATTCCATAAGTGCCACTGACTATCTGAATTCAAGCAAGAAGACAATGGCTTCACTGCTAACACATGCAGGAAGAGTTCCTTCTGCGCGTGTAGCAAATATATTTCAGAATTACGTTGAGGTCTAGCAATTCTTGCGCCGGCTGTGCGTGTTGCAGGCGCAACTATTCGCGCAAGAAACATGCCTGTAGCTGTAGACCTCCAAATACGGGTATGCGGCATGGTATACCTCGTCAATTGAATCCAGTTCACTGCAGTTCTTTTGCCGCTCCGCATAAGCCGCACCTTGCAGAATCTCCAGCGTTTACGTATGCTCCTCCACGGCATGTCAGGCTCTTACACTTCCAGGAACCGGCCACGGCTTTTGGGTTGAGCACGTTGGCGCAAGCAGTACAGGTCAAAGCACCCGGACCATTGACTAACGAGCAGATCAGACATGCCATATTAGCGGAAGGCTGAGATGAAGCGGCCGACTTCTTGTTCTTCGTGCTGGCTTTGGAGTTAGACGGTTCGGGACCATTGTTACGGCTCGTTGGCAATCTGCCTGCTTTGGCGCTGGAATCATGCTTCATGTCAGATCTGCTACTCTTGGTCGGCTTCCGATCCGATTTCGCCGGGGGTGGGCTGTCTTTCGATAAGTCAATGAGCTCTGATGCAATCTCTTTAGGTTGGGCTTGCTTCCTCGTGAACTTGGTGATTTTTTCCTGGCGTAGCGCTCTGAGCTCATCCATCTCTTGCTTGACGTTGGCATCGTCTTCGTCTTCGTCTTCGCAAATCTTGATAAGACCATTGCCCTTACCGTCTCTCATCTCCTTGCCATCGACATCGAGAGCAGCAGGCCCAACAACTCCGTCATAGTCATCCTCGGATTCTGTATCGGACATTTCCGCCTCCTCCTTTTGATCGTCCTTCACCTGGTCGAATCGCGCAAGCGCCGCGGCAGCTCGCAGTTCCCTGCCTCTAGCGCTGTTCGCCACACGTGGTTTGCCCTTGCCTTTCGTCTTCTTGCCGTCTTCCAGCTCCGACTTGACAGCGTCATCTGCTCCCAAGGCTGTACCTCCAACACCGAACTTCTTCTGAATCCTGCGCTGTTGCCTTTCCGCGTAGCTCAGCTGCGGCTTCTCTTTGCCACCTCTCCTCCTCTTCCTCCCCCTACTCCTATACGTGCCACCGCACAGGCTTTCCACGCCCGCCATGTCGACCAGCTCGTCCTCATCCACCACATCACCGCCCTCCAACTCTCTCCCTCGCCCCCACAACCCCTCCCCAGTATACCCTCTCGCCCACAACCCCCTCAGCTCCTCGACATACGCGTCCCGCACCGTCCAAAAGCCCCGGCCGTGGTTCATCTGCTTGCAGTGCGCCAGCTCGTGCATCAACACCATCTCGACCTGGCGCGCGCCGAGCCAGCGGCCGTCCCCGCGCCGCAGCACCAGCTGGATCACCTCGCCGGCGTTGAAGTTGCGGCCGACGAACTCGGGGTTGGGCGCGTGCTCCTCGAGCGCCATGACGGCGATGCGGTGCGCCCGCATCACCGGGTAGCACCGCGCCGCCACCCGGTTGAGCAGGCGCTCCGCCGTCGCGGCGCCGCCGCCCGGCAGCGGCTTGATGAAGTTGATCAGCGCGTTGGGGCGCGTGGCGCGCTCGTTTAGCCGCTCGAAGCCGAGGGGCATGGCGGGATGGCGGGCGGGCGGAGGGCCTGCTGCGCGTGTCTGTGATTGGTGGGTGGTACGTAGTGCTCCGGTTGGGGGTGGTGGCTCGTGGAACGTGTTTGGTCGGCGATTGAACGGGAGCCGGTCTGTGGGTGTGCCCGTGTGGAAGGCGGGGTGCGTCGGCGTTTGGAGCCGGGTAGGGTGAAAAGCGTGGGGTGGTCGTGAGGTCCAAGGCGACGGAACGGTGTCAGTTGGAAGATTTTGGCGAGTGAGGTTGTAGCGTGAAGGGAAGCGCGGCCCAGAGAAGCGTCTTTGCAGAGGACCCTGGGGTCGCTTATCCCCCGGTGACCCTAGCCGGCCAATGACGTCGTTGCAAGTCGTTGCCCGCTGTGGCTGCTCGGCTTTCCCCACTCAGGCAACCCTTGACAGAGCTGCTATCAGTCGCTTTCCGGGGAGATGAGGGGGAGGGGAAGCATCCGTCGGCTTTTGCATCTATGTGCATTTGCGCTATATATTGCGGGTCGATTGCTGCTGTCTGCCACGGCATTCAGCACATTCTCCGCCCAAAAGTACCTACACCACCATGCCTCACAAGGAGCATTTGGATATAGTTGAGCTGCATCCCACTTTCGGCGCAGAAGTTCGCGGCATCGACTTCTCGCAGCCAATCCCAGAAGACGTCTTCGCTGAAGTCCAAGCTGCCATCACAAAAGTATTTAATCTCAGCATTCACTTCGTAGGTTCACGCCGGCTTACGAGACTACCAGTACGGCGTCCTCGTTTTCCGCAAAGCCGACCTAGACGACGCCGGCCACGTTGCCTTCGCCTCGCGCTTCGGCGCGCTCGACGACGTGCGCCCCTACTCGACGCTGGGCAAGCAGCACCGACTCTCGACAGACCAGCTCTTCGACGTGTCCAACGTGCTGGTCGACGGCAGCGTCGCGCCGCTCGACTCGCACCGGCACGCCATGAACAAGGGCAACGCCCTCTTCCACGTCGACTCCAGCTTCAACGCCCGCCGCGCCGGCCACTCGCTGCTGCGCGCCGCCCGCCTGCCGCCGCCCGGCTCCGGCGGTGCCACCGAGTTTGCCGACACGCGCGCCGCGTTCGCAGACCTGCCCGAGCGGACGAGGGAGGAGCTGGTCAGGGCGGACCCGGTCGCGTGCCACTCGCTGATGCACAGCCGGAAGCTGGCCTGTCCCGAACTGCTGGCCCATGTGGATCCCGAGAGCTACCCGTTCGGCAGGCACAGGCTGGTGCAGAAGCACGAGCCGAGCGGCCGGTGGAACCTGTACATCGCCAGTCATGTGCATCACCTGGAAGGCTGGGAGAAGGAGGAGTCTGACCGGCTGGTTCGAGAGTTGTACGAGCATGCCTGTCAGCCCAAGTATGTGTTGAGGGTGGAGTGGGAGAACGATGGCGACTTGGTCATGTGGGATAACACGTGTGTCATGCATAGAGCTACGGGAGGCGACTATGAGGGCAAGTATGCGAGGGATATGAGGAGGGCTACCGTGCACGACTCCAGCTCTCAGGCCTACGGAATGAACGGAGAGACGGATTTCAGGCAGGGATACCCCTGAGCTTGACGGGAGAAAGACCTTCCGCATAGGATCACTATCTTGCCCTATTTTTACTTTTCCGCTGCGTCCTTTGGCGAAGTTCGGCGGTTCCATTCATCCGCTCTGGCATTGAAATTGAGTCGAAGCTATCGTCGTGTGGAGGGATGTTTTTTTTCAAAAAAAAATTTAATTTCTCTCTTCATCAATCTGTGCGCGAATTATTGTACACATTATGCATCATTCAAGTGGAAGTCTCAACTACGTGTGACCGGAATTTGATCAAGCATTGGCTTCCTGCCGTGAGGGTCACGAGATATCCCTTCAGGGAAATAGAACGGCCGTAAGTACTGTTTCAAAACATTGCTCGTGAAGTGAAATCGGTACAGCGGTGGCCTCACTGTAGCCAATGCTTGGAGCGTAAGAAAACAATAGACCAATGATGAGGCCTCGGTCCCGTTCGTACTCCAGTATTGAAAATTTCGTCCAAAGTCGGAACGTGCCCGTTCTCGAACCGTATTCCCCCGGGAGTCTCGTGATGATCAGCTCATAACACTTCAGCCCCCTGGCCCCCACCATCACCGCCCTCGCCCACAATGAGGTTCTTCACATTCAACGCAACATGTAGTCGATTAGGAAGCTTCACAGCCTGCAACTGGGCAGTCACCATGATCTAGTGTCCGCATTTTGCCCCATACACTTCGTGTCTTCGAATTTGCATCCCGAGAAGGCACGGTCAAGATTGGAACTTCAGCTCCGGATCAAAATTGAGCATACGCAACGTTGAAACTTCATAAAAGACAGGTGTAGGTACTAAGGATAGTCGGAGATACATTTCCCCTGCGTGGTAGGGATTGCCGTCACATGGCATGCCGAAGCCGGCGCCAGAGCGCGCAGGGGTCGAAGATCAGGAAGATCGCCAAGATACCCGAACAGCCAACCGTCGAAGCTTGTTTGAACCCAAAAGAAGAGCCGTTTCCGGCAGTATGCTCCGCTTTCGCAGCAGATCCCGCTTCTTATAGATCGGGCCGGCATAGCGCGAGAGCTTGCACCCACCCGCCCCCGAAACATATATCTGGTAAGCTCTTTCGGCTACAAGCGGGTTACAAGCGGCTCATAGAATGTAGGAGGTTCAGGAGGGGCAACACGGCCGTGGATATGTTGCTGCGGACCGAAAGAACGAAACTCGGAGGATCTCGGGGGCGAGACTCACTGCAGGTCTCGCAGATCAGTCGACCGCACGTTGAACGCTCCATGATATGCGGCTCAACGTCCCTGATACCCGCCACTCCTTAATCGGCGCTGACCGGTCCCTCGTCTTTCCAGAGGCCAACCTCCCGGTCCGGAGTGCTGGCCTCCCGTGCGAAATGGGTCTTTCTGCACGCCCAGACTCTGCCGTCCCACGTCACACGGTCGTTACGCGTGTACTTCTTATCTGCTGCCCCGTCCGGTGCTGCATTGCCGTTGTCGCTGCTTCGCCATCCCTGGGGCTGACGCTCAGCTTGCGTCTTCGTCCTTTTCTTGGCGCTCACCGCATCGTGCTTGTTCTTCCACATGCCGCCGTAGCGGTAATTAGGATGGCCAGCGTCTCCGTCAACCCGACCGCCGCTCAGCTGGCGCCAGCACTTGCCGGGACAGATGAAGACCCAGGCGCGGGACTCGTCGATCTGGCAACGGACCAGAACGTCCCGGAGCACGCCGCAGTGCGAGCATGGTTTGCTGTGGGAGCTCGGAGCAGGCGGTGCCGGGGTGGCCATATGCGAAACGATAGCTCTCGAGAACAAGTCGGAAGGAATACAGTTCGAGATGCGGCTCTGGTCGATGCTGGGCAGGACGTGCGGCGGCGTGGCGTTGACGTCCAAGCGCCACTAGCGGCCGTGACGGCTCGCGGCAGCAGCAGCGGCGGCGGCGGCGGCGACGGCTCAGCCAGGGCTGGCACGCTGGCACCCGAGGGCACGGCAAGGGCGAGGCTGCTTATCGCTGCTATCTCGCGCTCGGGAAGCAGCTGCATGCCGCGCGTGAGATGCGAACCACAGGCGGGCTGAGGGATATTTCCAGGGTCCCGCTTTGTGTAAAAAATTTGAGACGCAGGTGGTGAGATGGCACTGCGGTGGCCCGATTAAGGAGACGCGCTCAGCCCTACGGCAGCGGCATCGCGAGATGTCCCGACCAGGCCCGAAGCGTAGCGCGAGCTGGCTCGCGCGAGATCAGCCGATGCCGGCCAGCTTTTCCATCCAGCCCAGAGCTCCGACCTGCCTGCGCCCCACCACCGCGACTCAGGCGGCGGCGGGAGCGAGGCGGCTGCGCAGGAGTAGCTGTGCGTCGTGTCAAACCCGTCCTGCTCATGCCATGTCGAGTGACGCGCCCGTGGGCACCCGCTGCGCTGTTGAGCCTTCGTCGAACGAGGTCCATTTCGTCATGGCGGACCCTGGTCGCCGTGCTCGTACAAAAGGCTGCGGCTGCCGCGCTCCTCAGTCAGCCACCAACAATTCACATCCCTTCGCAACAAACACCACCCATTGCCATCACCATGAGCGGCGCAACCACTCCTCTGCCTTCCGGCGTGAGCACCCCGGATATCCGCACCCGGGAGCTCAAGCAGCCCGTCGATGTGGCTGAGGTCAGTCCTTTCCCTGCCCCAAGCTCCTAGCCCTCCAGCTCACCAGCCACAGTACCTCTTCACCCGTCTGCACCAGGTCGGCGTCCGCTCCGTCCACGGTCTTCCCGGCGACTACAACCTGGTTGCCCTCGACTACCTGCCCAACTGCGGCCTCAACTGGGTTGGCAACTGCAACGAGCTCAATGCTGGTGAGTGCAGCCTGCCCCACCTCGCCCGCCCGGCTGCTTCGGGAACCCCGCGCTGACCATTCTGCAGGCTACGCCGCCGACGGCTACGCCAGAATCAAGGGCATCTCTGCCATCGTCACCACCTTCGGTGTCGGTGAGCTGTCGGCCATCAACGCCATTGCCGGCGCCTACTCGGAATACGTCCCCATTGTCCACATTGTCGGCTACCCCACCACCGCTGCCCAGAAGAACAACCTTTTGCTCCACCACACCCTGGGCAATGGCGACTTCGACACCTTCGCCGACATGAGCCGCAAGGTCTCTTGCGCCGTGTCCATGCTCAACGACCCCCACGAGGCTGCCACCCTGATCGACGATGCCATCAAGAAGTGCTACATCCTCTCGCGTCCCGTCTACATCGCCCTGCCCTCCGACATGGTCACCAAGAAGATCGAGGGTGAGCGCCTGAAGACTCCCCTGAACCTCTCCTTCTCGCCCAACCACGAGGAGAAGGAGGACTACGTCGTCGACGTTGTCCTCAAGTACCTCCAGGCCGCCAAGAACCCCGTCATCCTCGTTGATGCTTGCGCCATCAGGCACAGGGCCCTGGAGGAGACCGACGCCTTCATCAGGAAGTCTGGCATTCCCACCTTCGTCGCTCCCATGGGCAAGAGTGCTGTTAACGAGACCCTCCCCAACTACGGTGGTGTGTACGCCGGTGACGGCTCGAATGCCGGTGTCAGCGAGCGCATCGACGCTGCCGATCTCATCATCAACATTGGTGCTGTCAAGTCTGACTTCAACACCACCGGCTTCACCTACCGCACCTCGCAGCTCAACACCATCGACCTCCACAGCTACGGTGCTACCGTCAAGTACTCGGAATACCCCGGTGTCCGCATGAACGGCGTCCTCACCAAGCTCACTGCTCGCCTGCCCCAGCTCAACATCCAGGGCGGCCCCGTCCCCACCAACACTGTCCCCAAGGAGATTGCCGAGAGCACCGACCCCGTCATCACCCAGGCCTGGCTCTGGCCCCGCGTCGGCCAGTGGCTGCGTGAGAACGATATCGTCATCACTGAGACTGGTACCGCCAACTTCGGTATCTGGGAGACGCGCTTCCCCAAGGGCGTCACTGCCATCTCTCAGGTTCTCTGGGGCTCCATTGGCTACGCCACTGGCTGTCTGCAGGGTGCCGCTCTCGCCGCCAAGGAGCTTGGTCGCGAGCGCACCATCCTCTTCACTGGTGACGGCTCCTTCCAGCTGACCGCCCAGGAGGTCTCCACCATGCTCCGCAGGAACCTCAACCCCATCATCTTCGTCATCTGCAACAATGGCTACACCATTGAGCGTTGCATTCACGGTTGGGATGCCGAGTACAACGACGTCCAGAACTGGAACTACAAGGACCTGCCCGCCGCCTTCGGTGGTAGGCCCGACCAGTTCACCACCTACCAGGTGAAGACCAAGGAGGAGCTCAACCAGCTCTTCGCCAACGAGGACTTCAACGTGAGCAAGAAGCTCCGCTTCGTTGAGCTCTACATGCCCCGCGATGACGCCCCTGCCGCTCTCATGCTCACTGCTGAGGCCGCGGAGAAGCGCAACGCTGCGTAGACTTCCTCTTTCCTTGTACTATGAAAAGCGGATCATCTGGGAGTTTGGTATCATGGGCGATTTTGTTTTTCTCTTCTCTTTGTTATTCCCACTTGCATCCTTTTCCTCCGCCATGAGGTCACGATAATTTTCATGGATTTGATATAGAAGCTACCAAAGCCGGAAAATGGGTTGTAAATAGAATTTGGACATCAAATGGCAATTTGTACTTGATATGAAGCTTCCAAACCTAGTGCACTGTGTTCAAAACTTTGAAGAATTGCAATTGAATATCGGAAGTTCAACTGGATGATCAATCAGCTCCAATCACTTCTGAAGATTCCAAACACGAGCCAGGCCATGCCGATGATCCATTTGCCACGAATCAAGTAGGGCTTGCGCATTCCCGAAATAGAAAGATGGCATGATCATGAATCAAGCTCTAAGAAAATCAGATCGTCGATTTCTGCTCATCATTGATAGTGGTGGGTACATAGCGAGACCGTCCGTCTCACCAGCATGCATGGCCTCCAATTCAGATGCTTCTAGCCTTGTCGGCAGAAGCAATTCGTTATCTCATCCCATCCGCCCGTTGAGGCCGATGTTAGCGATCGCTGACGCATCGCTCACCGTTGTCAACCAAACGTCCCGCCACTTCCGTCCCGAACTTCGGAAGCAAGCTTGGTGGGTGGGTAGCTGTGGAATCCCACCAATTCTTAACCTTTCGGCGCCGCGGAGTTTTTCTTGTTGTAGCTAAGTCCCGGGGTCCTTTGCTGCGTTGGCGGAACGCATTGGCCTCGCACGTCGAGTCATTGCACCTTATGGAGCTTTTGCACGCTTCGAGCCCTCTGCATTGCTCTGGCGAGGACAGGGTCTACTTGCATACAATAATGCTCAGGGTAAGGGATAACACACCGGGTTGGAGGGAATTTGAACGTACCGATTAGCCTTGGATCTCACGCTATCATACCCAAGTCATCGTCCAGCGTGACCACAAATAACAGCAGCGTGTGTCCTTTTTAAGCCGGCCTCACGTCCCTCAGCACCATCTCGTTGCTCCCGTCCCCACCAGCAGCGGTGGCGGCGGTCGTCGGCGCCCGCGCCTCCGTCGTCGACGACGACGCCGACGCACCGACGCCCATGTCTTCAAGCACAGCTCTTAGCTTGCTCACACGCTCCTCCAGCTCCCCAATCTCCTCGTGCTGCTCCTCCACAGTCCGGTCCATGTCGCCCAGGCGCCCGCACGCCTGCCGCGCCTTCTGCAGCCGCACCTTGAGCGCGCTCGCCGCCGCCGACAGCTGGTGTATCTCAAGCGGTTGGGCATCGGGGTCGGAGGATGCGCTCGCGCCGGCGCCGGCACCCGCACTTCCTCCTACGGCGGCACTTACAGATCCTCCGCCGCCTCCTCCTCCTCCACCAGACTTCAACCCTTCCTCGCCGCCACCGCCTGCTACTGCTGCTGCCGCTTTCCCCGCTCCCTCCTCGCCCGCCTGCTGCTGCTGCTGCGCGGCGTCCGTGGGCTTTTGGATGAGCAGCCGGTTCAGCAGCGCGTGCAGGTGGGGCAGCACGTCGAAGGTCGCGGGCGGAGGGAGCGGCGGGGCTGCCGCTGCCGCCGCGGCCGCCGACTGCGGCGGTTGCTGCTGCTGCTGCTGCTGCTGGGACGACGAGGAGAGCTGTGAGTTCTGCGCGGGCGCGACGGACAGGCCGCGGTTGGCGGGTGTTGCGGGTGTAGAGATGGACGACAGCCGAGGCGTGCCTGTTGCGGCCATGATTGTCGGGGGAGGCGCGGATGCGGCACGGGTGACCTTCTTTTCGGGAAGGGTAGGGTTGTGTCGAAAAAATGTAGGTATGTAGCTGTCCTGTCGTAACTAGTTGTTGGTTCCGGCGGCCGGCCCAATGGGAGCGGGGTATTTTGGTTGGTTGGCTCGGGATGAACGCCTTTTGGCTGGCCTCGTTTGCTTGCTGGCTTGCGGCGCTCTGTGAGCTGATGAGATGCGCGCGGCCCCGTAAGTAACGAACGATGCGCGAAAAGAACGCGCGGGCCTGGGCGGGTCGAGGCGAGCAGCAGCACGCAGGGAACGGAGGGTGGGACGCGCCGAGGAGTATCAGCACAGGTGGGGCGCTTGGAAGCGAGCGGAACAGGGCGAATGGCGGCGCCACGGGGGTGAGGCTGTCTCGGGGGCGTGGCACGGGTGGTTGGGTGGGTGCGTTCTTCCCATCGGGCGCGGCCGCGACTTTTTGTGACGTCGGCCCTTTCCAGGCGGCCGCCGTGCCCCTCCCGCCCGCCGATGATCGCCGTGTCTGTTGAAAAGAAAACACCCCACTGCGTGATATCGAGAGACTCTCAGCACACCACGCCCCTTGCTATCCGAGTGTCAAAGCGCCCTAAATAGGTTGGCTTGCCCGTCCGAAGTGCCCCACGAAGCTTGCTCGCTGATACCTCACTCCTCGCAGCTGCATCCAGCCCCACCCGAGCAAATCCAACAAAAATGGCTAAGGTTGACCAGAAGGCCGTTCTCAGTAAGTCGGACCCCTGCGGGACAACAGAGTGTTCAGCCCTACTGACATAGCCGCACCTTAAGTCGTCATTGACGGCTGGGGAATCGCCAGCGACAAGTCGCCCAAGAATGGCGATGCCATCCTCGCCGCCGAGACCCCTGTCATGGACGAGTTCAAGCGCCCGGGCTCCGAGGTCACCCAGGGCTACACTGAGATCGAGGCTTCGTCGCTGGCCGTCGGCCTGCCCGAGGGTCTCATGGGCAACAGTGAGGTCGGCCACCTGAACATCGGCGCTGGCCGTGTCGTTTGGCAGGACGTCGTGCGCATCGATCAGACCATCAAGAAGGGCGAGCTCAAGGATGTTGAGAACATCCAGAAGTCGTTCGCGAGGGCCAAGAATGGCAACGGCCGCCTGCACCTCCTCGGCCTCGTTTCCGACGGCGGTGTGCACTCCCACATCAACCACCTGCTGGCGCTGCTCAAGCTCGCCAAGGAGGTCGGCGTTCCCAAGGTCTTCATCCACTTCTTTGGCGATGGCCGTGACACCGACCCCAAGTCGGGTGCCGGCCACCTCGAGAACCTCCTCAAGCAGACCAAGGAGATTGGGCTGGGTGAGATCGCCACGGTTGTTGGCCGTTACTACGCTATGGACCGCGACAAGAGGTGGGACAGACTCGAGATTGCCCTAAAGGGCATTGTCCAGGGCGAGGGCGAGAAGAGCGAGGACCCGCTCGCTACCGTCAAGGCCAGATATGAGGCTGGCGAGACCGATGAGTTCCTGAAGCCCATCATTGTCGGCGGCGACGAGAGCAGGGTCAAGGGTAAGCATCCTTCACCGTCTAGACCCTTTTGCTAGCACGACTAACGGGAGGCCAGACGATGACACCCTCTTCTTCTTCAACTACCGCTCCGACCGTGTCCGCGAGATCACTCAGCTGATGGGTGACTTCGACCGCTCCCCGCTGCCCGAGTTCCCTTACCCCAAGAACATCGCCCTCACCAACATGACGCAGTACAACCCCAAGTACACCTTCCCCGTTGCCTTCCCCCCTCAGAAGATGGGCAACGTTCTGGCCGAGTGGCTTGGCAAGCAGGGCACCCACCAGTGCCACATCGCCGAGACCGAGAAGTACGCTCACGTTACCTTCTTCTTCAACGGTGGTGTCGAGAAGCAGTTCGAGAACGAGCTCCGCGACATGATTCCCTCGCCTAGGGTCGCCACCTACGACCTGCAGCCCACCATGAGCGCCATGAGCGTTGCTGAGAAGACGGCTGAGCGCATCCGGGAGGGCAAGTTTGACTTCATCATGAACAACTTCGCCCCACCCGACATGGTTGGCCACACTGGTGTCTACGAGGCCGCCATCAAGGGTGTCGCCGAGACCGACAAGGCCATCGGCGTCATCTACGAGCAGTGCAAGAAGAGCGGCTACACTCTCTTCATCACTGCTGATCACGGGTGAGATGATGTCCACTTTGCAAGGCGTTCATCGAAGCAATTGCTGACCAGGATCCAGTAACGCCGAGGAGATGCTTAACGAGGAGGGCAAGCCCAAGACCTCGCACACGGTCAACAAGGTCCCGTTCGTCATGGCCAACGCTCCCAAGAACTACAGCCTGAAGAAGACTGACGGTGTTCTCGGCGATGTCGCCCCTACCGTCCTCGACGTCATGGGTCTGTCTCAGCCCGAGGAGATGACCGGCCACAGTCTTCTGGTCAAGTCGTAAATGTTATTAAAAGTCAGGAGGCGTATGTTGATGAATGAATGAGATGAAGGCGTTGGATGAAGAAAAAAGCACAGTCGGACTGGGTAGAGGTGGAGTAGACTTGCTTGTGGATTGCCGGGTGATGCATGGAGCGGCGCGTGGGATGTAGAGGTGTAGGTTTTTGGGTTTCTTGAGAGATACCTTCTTTCTTCTTCTTATTTCCCCCTTTCTTAACTTGGATAGACGGCAGAAATGAAAATATATGACACTGATGAGACAATGTGTCTGTATGACAAAATGGTCATGATGCTTGCGGTTCTTTTGGTAATGTACGTGCTCGATTTTACGTCTAGCTGCGCACTTTGAGGATGTGCTAACGTTGTTGTAGGACAACTCCGCCAGAACCTTGAGCCGATTGGTTGAATCGAGTACTCGTGATATTTTCTGCGTGCTTCACGAGATCTATCAAAGCCCATGAAATTTACACCCCAGCGCCTTGTTTCTGGATGCGTCGCCTTGCGAAGTCACCCTTTGGAATTTCCAATTGCCCTCGGATCTTACAGATCCCTGTAACGAGGCCCTTATAATGCTAGCCAAATAGAGGATACTCCTCGACTGCACTCGGGAATCATCCATCCGTCAGCAGCGTGGCTGAAGACGCCTTGCGCCTCCTTCTGCAGTAGTGGTATCAGGCTCCAAACATGGGCATGTACCCCGTCTTTCATTGGAGCCCATCACCGGTGTTTTGAGGCCATCATGCAGTGTTGTCTTGGCTCGGCTGCTACTGGCAGCGCCTCTGCGACTGGTAGCTGCATCTCTTTTTGGCTTTGTCGTCGCTGCGACCTTATTGGCGTCAAGAGGGATGGTGGCGTCCAGATCGTCCAACTTCCCTGCGCACTTTTCTTGTGTGGCCATGATTACCTACATGAAGAAGTGTTGCAGACATACGAATAGTGGCTTGCCTGCCGTGCATGCTTACGCCTTTCCTTGTGGGTACGTCATCGACCATTTCAGCCGTTCATTAAACCCTATGCGAGGGTAAGTCTCCATCACAGCCATTCATTAAACCCTATGCGAGGGTAAGCCTCCACCACAGCCATCACGATGTATGGCGGTTATATTATGAGCAGTTCGCGTGTAGTTACGGATCAGCAGAAAGGACGCGCCACCCCATCGACCTTACGTTCAAAAGCTCAAACATCGTGGATTCTCGAACTGTCAGCTTGCCATCGAAAAGGGCCAACATTGGCTGCAAATGTCTCTGAACTCAAACGTCCATCCAAATGGTGGGGTGACTTCTCTTCCCGTTGTGCGCTTCTGCAAGTTCTGACCGCTTCGTCTAGGCACTCAGTCAGTCACGACGCAGGGTACCCAACCGCTAGGCAGCTGGTCTGTAGAGGCAAGATTGCTCTTGCCTCTCTCTTGGTTATGGTATTCATCCCGTTGATCGGACTCTGCCGCAGTCGCAACAAGTACTTGAAAAGCTGCGTCACATACATGGTCTCTCTGATTGGTGGTTTCCGAAAGGAGGAGCACAAGGGTAAATTTACTTTTGGTCTACGGAGCACATGTAAGAAACGTCTGATGAGGTACACGGAGGAAGACATCGAAGCGATCGCCTATCTCTCATCATATCAATCTCTTTTCGAAGCGTCTATGCAAGAGATGGCAGGTTGGGAAGAGATGGCGACGCTCCGAAGGCCGAGGAGGCGCCCAACATTCGACATGGACCAGTGAAAACCAGCGCTCCCATGAAGTGTGTGCTTCTGGATGACGCATCCCCGGCCCCGAAAGTATCAAGGTGGACGCTGCACAGGAAACATTTTCATTCGTTGTATGATAGGTAACCCGGCTCTGAGAATTCTCCGGAGATATTGTTCCAGGCTTAGGTTCACCTTGTCGAGACTCGTGCTCGACTTTCCACTATATAAGTTCTTAATCATTCTTTCCTCAAATAATATGTAGCAAAGTTTTGGATCATCAAGGCCCTTCGATCACAAGAACTGGCCCTACACTCTCATTGTACTCGGTGCTGGCCATCTTTCGTAAGGCCGACCCGGTAAGCTCAGCAGATGCACACGAGGCAGAATGCATTACCACGACCTCTTGCCAAGGTACGTTAAAGTCTCACTGAGGGAATAAGCACGGCTGGCGCAAGGAGCTTGGATCTGAGGCGACGTCGTGACTGACGCTTGTGTACAGTACAACTATCTTTTTCGGAAGATCTCTAATACGCACCCGATGGATGCGGAAGCTAACATTTCTTCCTGACATGAACGAACAGCCGTAGCGTTGAGTTCTACCGCTCTATGTGCATCCCATCAACCACGAGCTTCCTCGAGCAAGGACTAAGAACCGATACCGATACCCTGAATGCAAGGCCTTGTGTAGTCCAAAACGTTCCGCGTGCCTCTTCTGACGCCCGCGATGCAATTGAGCGGCAGAAAGATACTGGACGGGTGCGCAAAAAGGCAAAAAGACTGGACGCTGTGGGAATTGAACCCACGACCTTTCACATGGGCTCGTTTTGAATGATGCGAAGCGAAAATCATACCCCTAGACCAAGCGCCCGGGTCATTATAGAGATGCTGCAAATTGGTTTGTATATATACTCTCAAAGAAAGTCATGGTAGGGTGCTGAGTGACTGTGTGGGGAGAACACTGCGCAATTGACGCCATTAGCAATGGCATCAAGCCGGGAAAGCACCGTAAAACGAGTCGTAAGGCCCAAAAGCACGGGGCTGCAATTGGGGATCGCAACTTGGTCAGTTGAAGATAGGGTGGCAAAGTAGAACTCAACCCCTCTGACGGCGGTTGTGACAAAGAACTCTGTCGTTTCAAGCATCACGGCCGTGGGTGTGACCAAACACGTTGCGAAGAGACTTTGGATGGAAGGAAGAAAGTTCAATCCCTCTTGTAGAAGGTTGTTTACTTTGCTCTCCAAGCTGTGTTTTCCAAACTTCGCGCTGATGGTGCACGGACCATGCGTTCCCCCGCCTGCCGTGTATACCGTGTAGGTATACACTGCTTCATAGCAACTCTACGTGCGGTAACCATCGCGATAGTAGAGGGAGGTGAGCTCAGTCGATATTTTACCTCATTGATACTCCTATATTCCATGAGGAATCATTGGATTCCGGAGAGATATCCATTCTCTTGGGGAAGGAGGCGGCAGTAGAGAGACTTGATTTACCTCAACAATTGACATGGCTATTTTCATTTCCTTTTTTTTACAACAATGTGAGCAGGGAGAGTTCTTCCTGGTCTCAACATCTCCAACTCGCGCCAAACGCCCCAGATACATGGCATCGCATAGCTTACAATCACTTCGTTCAGGTTCTACACGCCAGAATACACGGCCGTCACGCCCCGGCCACACTCCACCTTCTGCTGCAACTCGACCCATCTTCCGTCCAGCTTGACCTTCTTCTTCGGCGTGATCTGGAACCGATGCTCCTCCTTGCCCCTGATCTTCCTCTCCGCGACCTGGTCCAGCGGCTGGATGTAGATGGGAGTGCTCACATTATTGCGTCTACCCGTGCCGATCTGGTAGTGCTCATTGTTGCCAAAGAAGAGAATGTCGGCACCCCAGTTCGTCTCATTCTCGGACTCGCGATCACTCGATCTGCTGGTGCCGACGGTGCCGGCGGTCAGATGGGCGATGTTGTCCATGACGGCGGCGACGTGGTTGGCGCCGACGGCGAACTGCGCGAGACGGATGGGCACGACCTTGCTCGTCTTCTCGTCGAACTCGAACAGGCCGGAAAAGGCGGGGATCTTGACGGGCGTGTCCTGCACGTGCGTCCACCGACCATTGCCCAGGCCGCCCCAGATGCCCTGGCCGCACGCCCACGCATCGGCGGTCACGTTGCCAAGGTTGCGTCGCGCGAGAGCGTCGTCGGCGCCTGGGTTGGACACGCGCGTCGCGTCGATAGTGAAGTAGCTGTTGTTGCCGCCGGCGGCGACGCCCGTGACCTTGGGGACGAGACCGGTTCCGCGGTAGAGGCTCGAGATGGGGACCAGGGACGGGGCGTCGACGAATGGGACCTCTGAATCGTAGCGGACGCCCAGTTGGCCGAAGGAGTTGTCACCGAAGCTGAAGACTCGACCTTCCTTGTCAGCGGCTACGCTGTGGTAGTCTCCGGCAGCAATCTTGACAATGTCAAAACCATTGAGGGTGGTGATCTCATGAGGAAGGTCGTATGCCCCCTGTGGGCGGGTTTGCCAGCTCAGACCGGGAATGCCAAGTTGGCCCTTGCTAGGATAGTCGAGAGCGCTGGAAGCGGAGGAAAAGAGTCGGCCCTTGGAAGTGAGTAGAAGGACGTGCTCTAGTCCACCGGCAACGGAGGTGATCTTCTCGCCTGACTTGAGGGTCGCGGGTTCGATTGTGCGGTAGCTGACTGGCGCGGTAGAGCTCCAGAAGGGAATCCAACTGCTCTCGGAAGCCTTCTTGCCCGTCTCCTGCTCTTCCTTTGATACGGGGACCGAATAAACCTTGCCGTTGGATGCCAGGGCAATTACACGGTCCCTGGACAGGGTCAACGACTTCAGGTTTTTTCCCTTCAGCGTGACTGCTGGCGCAACGCAATCCTTGTCATATGCGGTTCCCCATTGCAGCAGGTCGCCCTTTTCGTTGATGGCAGCCCCAACGAAACGGTCGAGCTTCACGTCGCGCAGCAGCAGGCCATCGAAAAAACTCAGGCGGCGCGGGGTCTTGATGTGCCTTTCCTGGCTGTCGGGCGCAACGACCTTGCCGTCATTGGAGCCCCAGGCATAGAGACCAGGATTCTCCCAGCTCCTCTTGACCTGTAGATGCTGCGAGCTGATTATGTCTCTGTTCTCCTCCTTCGAGCGGGCCTCCTTCCGGGGCTTCTCGAAGACGAGCTGGGGCTCCTCGGGAGCTTCGGCATAGACATTACGGTGGATCTGGTTCCCAGCAGAATACTGATAAATGGCACCGGCGGTGCCAATGGCGGTGAGGATGGCAATTGAGCGCGGAAAAGGCCTGCGCGCGGCGGGAGTGGTGGTGGTGGCGGTGCCAGAGCGCGCAGGACAAGCTCTTTGGGTGCGGCGGGCAGCTGTCTTATTAATGCGGCGCGCGGATTGGCGCAAGCAGCGCGAAGGGAACATGATGGCGCGGGAGTCGAGGCTTGCGGGGTAGATGGTGTCGCGGGCTCAGCAGAGCGTCTGCCTCTCAGCACCGAGCTTTGAGCTTTTCGAGCCGCAGGGCTGGACAGGCGCAGAGCTGACGGTCGAGCAGCGGCGGCAGTCGCGAACGTCACCAATCCTTCGGCGCATCGGCGGACGCCATCCCTGCAGCCTCGGCGCCGCATCCCGCCCCGCCGCCCCGCCGCCTCGCCGCCTCGCCGCCTCCGGTTTCCGCCCCGAACTGACCAGGTGTGCAGCACCAGGAGCTCCGGCACGCGCCCGCTCAGATCGCGACTCCAGGCACCACCCCACGCCACCTCCACCATGTACGAGGATGCCTGGATCAGCGGCATTGTCCCGGAGCACCACCGCGAGCCCGAGAAGCCCAGGGCCGCTGCCCACCGCCGCCGCGTTTCGCTTCTCAAGCAGCCCAATGTAAGCCTCGCCCTTCCCACGCGCCCGCGCCGATGGTAGTATTGATGCTTGTGCCCACAGGAGAGCAACCAGGCTGACGTCGATCCCGTAGAAGCCATTCCGGACATAGTCGAGGAGCCCGAGCTGGATAATGGGCCGCCGCAGGCCACCGTCGCCCGCCGCGCCAAGTCGTTCAGCGACTTCTACGACGTTGCGCGCGCGCACCTAAAGAAAGAGCGAGACCTGGAGAAGCTCAAGCTCAAGAAGCGCTCGAGGGATCAGCTGCGGACCGAGCTGGACTTCGGAGATTGGTACAATGGCATTAGCGACGAGCTACTGGACGCAAGCCACGAAGAGTATCAGTGCGTTCATTCAGCGTCCAATGTGCGGCGGTCTATGCTGACGAGCTGTGATATTCCAGGCTGTATCGCGATCAACTTCATCTGTCCCAACGACACCTTGATTCCCTGCTGGAAAGCACCTCTTCCGCCCTCGATCTCCTGTCCGCGCTCTCCGACTCGTTCAAGTCCGTATCTGCCCAGACCACCACCTTCCAGAGCCAATGCGAGGGCTTGATAGCAGACCAGAAGCGCGTTACGAAGCTCGCCGACGACATCTCCGAGAATCTCCAATACTACACCTACCTAGAGCCCACCACAAGGAGGCTCAATGCTCCCGGCGCAACCAATTTCGTCCGCGCCGACGGCTTCACCGACATGCTGCTCAATCTGGACAGCTGTATAGACTACATGATGGCCCATCCAAACCACAGCGAGTCGGCAACATACCGTTCTCGCTACCGACTCCTGCTTACGCGCGCGCTTTCTCTCATTCGAGTCCACTTCACCAATACCCTCCGCGAGATCGCCGCCGACGTCTCCAAGAGGATAGCCGACCGCCAGTTGAACGATACCACAATGTCCGCATTGCTTTATGCCAAATTCCGTGTCGGTGCGGCAGAGCTGAAGGAGCTGGGTCTGGAGATCCAGAAGAGAGCTGTATTGCCAGCCGATGCAGACCCCGATTCCGAACCAGAGTACCAGAGCTTGATGAACGAACTCTACCAAAGCTACTCGGCAACTCGAGGAAGACTGATACTCCCCTTGATCGCGAAGAAGATGGCGGAGATATCGTTGGCACCGAGCTCTGCGAACGACCTGGTCACGTTCGCCAGGAGTAGCATCAGCTACATCCGCGGCATCTGCTTCGATGAATACGGGCTGTGGGAAGAGTGGTTTGTGGGCGAGGGAGGCGTGTACGATTTCCTGGAGAGCATCATGGAACCATTCTACGACTATTTACGGCCGCGCACCATCCATGAGACGCAACTGGTAAAACTCTGCGAACTCTGCACCCTGATCCAGACCCGATACATGGAAGAGGAAGAGGAAGAATATGAGCCAGTGGAGTCAGTCCGGCTCAAGTTCGCCGATTTGATCCTCCCGGCGTTAGAAGATGCTCAGACAAGATTGGTCTTCCTTACTCTGTCCATCCTTCGAGACGAGATCGAGTACTACAAGCCCAAGCCCGAGGACCTAGACTACCACTCACGTAACCGAAAGCCCTCGGAGGCCGATCAGACAGGGCCTGTTCTATCAGGGAAGAAGACCACGAACGGGCCGATGATGATCCCAGCGGGATTGGAGGATGAAGACGGCGATTCGCGCTGGGCATTCAACGCGGAAGCCGCATTCAGAGACTGGTACCCCACGCTCCGCAAAGCCATCTGGCTGCTCAGCAAAATCTACCGCCTCGTAAACGTAAGACAATCCCCCTCAAGTCCCAGTCCCACACATCAACACACACCCCACCCCACCACAAACAAGCCTTGCTAACCACGCCCACCCCACACGCAGTCCACCGTCTTCGACGACCTCGCCCACCAAATCGTCCACCAAACCACCCTCTCCCTCTACGCGGCGGCGGCGCAAATCGCGTCGCGCCACTCGCCGACGGACTCGCAGCTCTTCCTCATCAAGCACCTGCTCCTGCTCAAGCAGCAGATCGTCGCCTTCGACATCGAGTTCGTCGCGCAGGACGTCTCGCTCGACTTCTCGTCGGTGACGTCGACCTTTTACGAGCTCCGCGACCGCGGCGCCCTCTTCAACCCGGCCAACCTCGTCCGCGGCCTCGTCGCCGGCTCGCTCCTGCCCCGCGTCGTCGAGAACATGCTCGACGCCAAGGCCGAGCTCGACGGCCGCCTGCGCACCGTCATCAACGACTTCACGTCCGCGTTTGCCGGCCGCGTCACGGCGCCCCTGTCCAAGGCCGCGAAGACGACGACGAAAAAGGGGAAGTTTGGTGGTGGTGGTATCGGTGACGGAGAGCAGAAAGCCGCACTGGCCGCCGTCGCAGAGGTCCGCGCCTCGGTCGAGCGCGAGGTCGCGTTCCTCCGCGGCAAGCTCGACGCCTTCGTCGACGACCTGCGCACGCGCGAGACGCTGGTCGTCGCCGTCGTCGAGCAGGTCGTCGCAAACTACGAGGCCTTTTGGGAACGGCTGGTCGCCGAGGAAGATGGCGGCGGCGGCGGACAGAAGCAGGGGGCTGCGGCGGCCAAGGGCAAGGCGAGGGCGGACGAGGTGTGGGAGCCGGGCGTGTTTGCCGAGTGGTGCGCGGGCGTGTTTAGGGTCGGCCAGTTTGGGTTGGGGGCGCAGCTGGAGGGTGCGAATGCGGATGCGGGCGTGGGTGCGGAGGAGGGGGAAGAGGTGCAACAAGGGGTGGGCGATGATGAGGAAGAGGGGAGCGTTACCAGTACGTAGCGTAGTAGTAGTTGTTGTCGTTGTCGTTGTTATCGTTGTAGGAGTGGCCCAGAACAGGACAGACAGACGAAAGACCGATTATCCAAGATACCTGCAGGAAGGGATGAGGGAGGGAGCTGCAGCGACGTTTAATACTAGCGAGCGAGCAAGCAATCAAAATGGCACACTCTTCTTTCATCATCATCTTCCTTCTGATCAGTGATTTGATAATTTTTTTTTTTTGTATTCATTCATCCCTTTTGCTTCTTCAAAAGAGGTATTTCGTTCGCTACTTGGCTATGCTCCCTCCGTTCGTTCACCGTGGTATCTCTCTCTCTCTCTCTCTCCCCCGATGCCGTATGTAAACCTGAATGAATCCAAGAAACGAAAAAGCCAAAAAGAACCCAATCTATCTCTCCCACTTTGGTTTGGACCCTTTACCCTACACCTCCCCGAAAGTTAAACGCCCTCATTATGCGAGATGATTGCAATGCAAAGTTGAACAGAGGAAAATAGGAAATGAAGAAGAGAAGAAGAGAGAAAACAAGGTGGGGAGGATTGAAAATGCTGGGGGAAGACTCTCCATCTTCGCAAATGCCGATTCCCATGCTCTCCGCATGCTGCTGTAAAATATTAACCCGAGAAGTTGAGTAGAAGAAGAGAAACCGCTCATGAAAAACAAAACCGTAAAGAGAAGATCCCCGGCCCAAGAAGAAGAAGCCCAATCGTTATACCAACCCGTCATTCCCCGTTATTCACATTCATTCCATCGTTTCGTCTGTATTCCCGTTCAAACCAGAATGAATCTCGTGATAAGCTCGACAGTTCAGGCGGGCGTGTAAGATCCGCCAAGCAGTCGAAAGAAGTCGTCAATCGCTTGACATGCAAGTTCGCTGAAAAGAAACCAGAAAAAGGGGGAAATCATAATGATGCTTCTCGGGGACAGTTGCTATCGCTGACAACATGGGGGTATCGTTGACGACGGTCTCATTGCCGGTCGATGCTAAACTTCATCATCATCATCCTGAAACGAAAAAAAGGCTTATTGCAAGAATTGCGCGAAAAGAGCGCTCAACCGTCGGTAAGCTTGTCCAGGACGATGATGCTCAAGATCATGACTAGCAAGCCAATCGTGACGATTATGAGTAGTACGAAGCCGAACCAGCCGAGGACCATGGAAGCGGTGCCGACGCCCGACCTGATGCTGCCGTTGCCGAGATCCTGAGCCACGGTTGCGGCGGCGACTGATGCCGTGTGCTGCCATAGGACCGACACCAGCACGAAGATGGACGAGATGAAGATGAGAGCGAGAGCGACCTGCGAGACGGGGCGCGAAGGGAACGGCTTGACATCGACATCGGAACCGGTGGTGGCGTCTTGCTCCTCGTGCCAGCCCGGGAAGGTGGCAAGCAGGATGAAGGTGACGAAGGCCAGGATGATGGCGACGATGCTGTGATTACCATGTCAGTATGCGTCTTTTTCTCTCGGAATTCCTGGCAAGAGATAGATGCTCACAGTAGGTAGGGGAAGACGATGCTGTCCTTGAAGGTGCTCGCAACCCAAATGAGGTTCAGCGGGTCCTGATCGACATTGATCTGCTCAGCAAGAGCGGTAGCATTGTTGGAGCAAAGGAAGTCGCCGCCGTTGGGATTGACGCAAATGCCAAAGTAGCCGACGCGGACCTCGAGGACGGCGTTGCCGACAATGTTGGCAATGGCAGCGGTAACACCGGGGTCGACCTGAGACGGGTCGTAGGTAGGAGTGTAGGACTTGTAGTATAGGCTGATGAGGAAGATTCCCGGAATAAGCGGCGAGGTGCTGGAGCAACCGGCGAGCAGGAGGGCTGGATTGCGTCAGTCAACAAGGTCATGGAAGACGGCACTTGCGAGACAGCAACTTACAAAGAAGGATGACAGCGATGGCGATGAGGATCATCAAAATGTGATGATAGCCCAAGAAGGGCAGGATTCCTTTGAGGACTCTCTTAGCAAATTTCTTGGTAGATTTGGCGGCGGCGACAGCGTCATTCTTCCACGGACGCAGCTTGCCCTTGGCTGCATCGACGTGCTTGTCGAGAGCAGCCTGGCAGCGTTGCAGGAAATCTAGGCGGCATCAAAGGCTACGCGTGGGCGGGGCAGGCATTGGACTTACTTTGCATGGTGACGGCGAATTTCAAATTGGCCATGGATCGAGGGCAGGTCGGTCACTACGACGAGATGGTGCTCCAGCGGTGCCCGCAGGCCCGAGGAAGCAAAGGCGGCGCGGGGCGGATTGCCAATCGAGACCGGAGTGGTTGTGCTCCGGCGAGGTGTGAGGAATGTGTGGACGCGTGGGCAGAGTGTCTTGGGAGAGGAGTCGCGGAATGGACAGGCGCGGGGCTCTTTGTTTGGCGGCGCGGTGGAGACGAGCAGGGACGAGCAGGGTCTGGGCAGCGCTGCTCTTGAGTGCGCGGACGGCGCAGATGAGGCTACGCGGGCGGTCTGGAAGATTGCTGCGAAGGGTGTGGAAAGTGGAGAGCGAAGTTCTCTGGGACGCGGCGCACAGCTAGTAGTGATGTGACTGCGCGGTGTGCAGGAAAATGGGGAGGTTGTTCCCAGCCACATGCTCTGGAGATCCCCAGCCTCCCGCTCAGTTAGGCGGCCCGTGCGCAAGTGCAGGGTAAACACGGCGGCCCTGGCAACCGCGAACCGTCGCCGCGCCCCGCCAATCTGTGCGCGCGGAGGGCCAGCCAGCCAGCGCATCCCGGCGCCCAAAGGACCCTGCTCCGTGCTCCGCAGCCTCGCCCAAATACTTGGTCTGCCAACCTGTCGTCACGCTCGCCTTTTAGCTGTGAAAAAATGCCCGACCGCCGTCTCCCGCCGTCTCCCGCCGTCCCTGTGACGCGTGCCGCGCCCTAGAACGCAGAATCGCAGGCGGTGGCGCCCAGCCTCAGTCGCGACGAACAACAATGGGTGATCGGCGTTCGTCGACTGCAGGTACCGTGATGGTCTGCAGCAGATCCCGCAGCTTAGCACGACCCTGAATCGAGCGCGACGTGATGCTATTCGTACGCTGCCAGCCACTACCAACGTCGCGTCGTCGCGTCGTCGCGTCGTCGCATCCTCGCATCCTCGCCGCAGCCTCGCTAGGGAATTCGCGACAACCAGAGATACTGCGTGCTCGTCAGTTGTCGGGTTGGCCGGTCTTTGAAAAGGTGTCATCGACTGCCGCGACCGCTGCGCTTTCGCAGACTGCTTCCTCGCCGAGTCAGGGTTGCACCCTGGGATCGACGCCACGTACATCTTCGGCTTCTAGACGTGGAGACGTGGGGTGCTACGAACTGGTACCTCCGGCTCTAGCTAGGTAGATGTGCCAATTTAAAACCGAGAACAGTCAGGGACAGCACTAATTTGTTATTCCGTCACGACATGGTCAATCACATTGCATCGATGAGCAGAGGTTTATTGAATCGATTTCATTTCTCGAGCATAAAGTGGTATCATAAGACTACTGGTTCAGGATTCTGAATCCCAGAGAGAAATCTCCGTCATTGAGTCGTGTTCCGTAGCCGCTGTCTTTAGGAGAGCAGCTTATTTCTTGTCCATGCCGACGGCGGACTTGGCCTTGTCGAGAATGCTCTCGCCAGAGCTGCCGTGCTCGTGACGGTCGTGGCTGCGGCCAACCTTGTCGCCGAGCTCCTGGCCGGTCGACTTGGAGCTATCGGTCTGAGCACCACTGTGACATTTGTTAGTTGACAGCCCAAAGGACCAAGATTGTGGACAATGCTTACCGAGCGAGCTTGTCGCCGGTGTCAGTGAAGGCCTCCTTGGTCTTCTGCTGGGTGGACTTGGTGGAGTCGGGGGTGAGCTCCTCCTTAGCCTCTGTGAGAGGGGTCAGCTGCAGGTCCGGAGACAGTGTGGAGAGTCAACCGTACTGGTAGAGAAATCCTTGCGGCCGGCGTCAGTCATGATTGCGGTTGGTGGTTGGTGGTTGTTGGTGGTTGAAGTTGTAGGTTGAAGTGTGTGTTTGGAGTGAGGAGTGGATGATGATGAGAGATGGAGCGGGGTAGAAGAGCTTCTTTTATGCTGCTTGTCTAGCTCCCGCTACGTCATTACCACCGGTAGCAGGTGCCGCATGCAGAAAGCGTCCTTTGGCGGCGTGGCGTGGGCGAACAAGGTAGCTGCGCCTCTCATGGACAGCACCACGCACGAGCGCCAGCGCGAAGGCAGAGGGGCGTGAGGGGCAGTCAGGCGGGCACCTACCTACGTTGTTGGCGCGTCATATTAGCGGGACAAATTCCCCGGACGACTTTCAGGTACAAGACCAGCGCCGGTGGTGCAGACGCACGATTGGAGGGGTAGCGCGGTGGCTCAGCCAGGTCAGTGTGACGTCAATGTCATCAAGCTCCGGGCCCCCGCCGCCACGGACACGGCGATCCCCAAAGCCGGTTCGCTCACACTTCGCTCACCACCGCGCAGTGGCTACCGTGGCTTGACGCACCACCACACGTGCTGCCTCCAGACCGGTCCCGCCGTTCATTAGCCCCCTGGTGCGTGCCCGACGTCCTGCTCTCGCAATCAGCTGCCTGCGTTTGAACCTTCAAGCGTCATCCTGCCCCGCAATCGAACCCCCTCCCCTCCCCTATTGGTGCCACCGCTGCTTCCAATAATGCCACGCGTTCTCTGGATGCTGCATCCTGGCGGTGGCGAGTGCGACCCTGACTTGTCTTGTCGTTGCCGCGAGGAATGTGCCTGTGCAGCGTCAGGAAGTGGCACTGCAGAGCGATGGGCTCTAGACGGCTGGTGGGCATGCAATTGCCGTCGCTGCACGCGAAACGCGAGTCGCAGCAGCAGAATGCGATGGGCGAAAGGCGATCGGGATCTCGATTGTGCACATCGGGGAGGCCCGCAATTCGCAGCACTGGCCCCCTCTCGACCCCGCTCCCAGATCCAGATCCGCATGCTCGTCCGCCCGCCCGACTCCCCCGCCAGCCAGCACGCTGATCCGACCTCGAACCTCCATCCAGCCTAGCTCTGCCATCCCGTCGTTTCGCAAAGGACAGCAATGGCGCTGCCGACACGCTTCAAGCTTGTTTTCTTCACCCCGCCCGCCGCACTGCCCGCCATCAAGACCGCGATCTTCGCCACCGGAGCCGGCCGCTATCCAGGCCCGGGCGACTACACCGAGTGCGGCTTCACCACCTCGGGCAAGGGCCAGTTCCGGCCAGGCGCTTCCGCCAACCCGCATATTGGCAAGCCCGGCGCTATTGAAGAAGTCGACGAGGTCAAGTTTGAGACGCTCTGCGTTGGCTACGATGTTACGAGAAAGGCGGTCGAGGCGCTGAAGAAGTTAGTGCTATTGAATATGGTGTGATACCGGAGCTGACACCGGCCAAAGGGCCCATCCTTACGAGGAAGTTCCTTATGAGGTCTACAAGATGGAGGACTTCTGAACCCGTCAGGCTCATGCGTGAGATGCGGATCCTTGCTACCATGGCCATCTTTCTTCGCTGTAAACGACAGCCTAATGTATCGAATGACTTCACGGCCGGCATTGTATCCTGATGGCGAATTTAAATTGTGCTTGCTTTTATGCAGCGACTCTATAATCTCTCAATTTTATGCACGAATTGAACACGGTCAAAGACGCCAGAATCCTCTACTCGTACGCGCCGATTCCCTCGAACATCGAACACCTACCTGGCCGAGCACCTCATGGAGCTTATCCTGTCATTCATTGAGCTCTGGCCCTTGAGGTTCTTGTAACCAGGGTCGAACACCTTGAGCCAGTTGCCGGCGCAGTTGCCATCCGCGTAGACGGTGCACCCGGTGCCAGGCGCCAAGTAGATGGAGCTGACCCTGTTGTTGAGGAAGCCATAGACGTTGTAGCAGCCGGTCGAGGGCCTGAAGTCCTTGGTGTCGCAGGCACCCCCGCCGTTTGCGTGCTCGCAGAACCTGACGGTGCGCACCCAGTCGCCGCGCTTTTCGATGGACGACTCATCGTCCAAGTCGACGACGTCGCCATCGTCCTGCACGGCCTCGGTTGAGATTTCGAGCGCCGGAATTGCCGTGGGAAGCGTGAGATCGGTCTTGGGAATTGCGTTGGGGGCCGCAGCAGCGAAGCCGGAGCAGGCGACGAGCGTGGCCGAAATGAGTGTTGTGAGTTGCATTTTGTGTGTTATGAATAATGATTGTATGTGGTTGGACTAGCTGGGTGAAGGTGGTTTGTTGGGAGCAACTCCAGTGTCTCATATACAATTCATTCTCAAAGACAAGCGCTTCTGGCGGTCCAGCCTGGTGGCTGACGCCCGGAGAGAGCCCTTTTACTTTTGGACTTGTCTGGCTTGTCTGAGAACCATTCGATTGGCGGTAGGACAAAGACGTCTGGGGAACAGACAGGGCTAAATTCATCCCGGGTAGGACTTTTTTCCTTTGACGCTACCTCATTGGGAAGGAGGCTTGGACAGCATTGAAAGAACATGAGTGCTGAACGCGCCAATTCAAGACAAAGAATGCATAGGAGCCCAAAGAAAACATGTGCTTTGGCGGGTCGGTTCATCTTCTGGGTATTCAGCCATAAACTCAGTCGTCCTTTAAGCCGCACCGCGACCTAGTATACCCATTCAAAAATGCCTTGGGTTAAGTTGTGATGTTTAGTGCCAAGCCAGAGACAATTTTTTTGAAATGAAGAGCAAAATCGGTAAAGAAAGTTGCATTGGACATTGCCAGCTACTGGTGCAAGACTATCATTGATGTCGTTTTGTAGTTTGCGGTCCCTTTTTGGATAGGATTGGGAGGTGACCCCTGGGCTCCCCGTATGATCATCGAGTAGGCTCAATATGTTTTCCTATTTGGGGTTAGTCCCTAAGCGCTCAACACCAGCCAGCCGGCGTAGAGGAAATAATGGCTTGTAGCCCTGTAAACAGGCCATAATGGAATATAGAAGTGAACTCACCAACCAATGGGAGCTTTAGATTGGTGCCGCGTGGGGCCCAGACTTTTGCACTACTTCCAACACCCAATCAGTTCCTCCTTTCGATGCTGTTGAAACTATCCCTCCGTCAGCCGAACCAATCACCTACAGTGTTGATTACGACAACAGTGTGTCCACTGATTCCAGCTCGGAGCCAGCCTACAACAGCCTGGATAGCAACTCATCATTCACTAGATCCTGGATCTGCAAGGACGATGTTGATTCTGTGACGTGAGAGAGATTCGCTCAAATGCTTCGCAGCCCCGGAGCAACTGGGAAATCAGACACTACAACGTTACAGGATGCTGGATGGAGCAGCGGAGCCCGAACGAATGCCGACTCAATGTCGATGTGTCCTTCCTTGGACTTGTCATCTTCGCCAACGTGGTGAAGAGAGGGACAAACACGCACAGGAGACATGTGTATTTGTCGTATATATTTAACCAACGTGGATACCAAACTTTGCAGGCTGTAATAATATTTACGTCGAAAAATAGGAGTAGCATCTCGAGCGGGGGGTAGAAAGGAGTGAAAGCACCGAAAACCCCCGCAATCTTCTCGTCAACAAGCCGTTAACTTTCCCCCTTCCCCCCTTATTTTCGTACTCAGATCTTCCCAATACCAGCGGTGCTGTCCTTGTACGCCGCCGTGCTGGCGCTAGCAACCGTCTTCCCGTTGAAGTTGGACAGGAAGCTGGTGTCGGAGGAACTCGTGAAGGTGCCGCTGCTGCCGAAGGCGTTGACCACGCACGTGTGGCCGAGGTAGGTCGAGCACACGGCGTTGGCGCTCGTGCTGGGCGCCGTGAAGATGCGGCCCTCGACGGGCGAGAGCAGCGGCGTGACGACGTTCTGGAAGACGTTGCCCTCGGCCACGGCCATGGCGCCCGACTCGCCCATGTCGAACGCGTGCCCGGAGACGGCGTACCATTCGTTGTTTACCTGTGCGTGCGTTTACATGCGTGAGTGGGATGGATTCGAGAGAGTGCTGGATTTTCGCATAAGTGGGAGGGGGGGGGGGGGAGAGAAGGCTTACTGCATGGATGAGCGTGTTGCCTCCGACCTTGGGACCTCTGCCGGACGTGTGGTGGATGTAGTTGCCTTTCATGGTGATTAGATCGCTGGACCCGAGCAGCAAGATGGTCCAATAGTGGTGCCCGTCGCACGTTGCGCTCCAAGATGTCGAGCCGTCGAACTCATTGTTCGTCAGTGAGACCCTGTTGGATGCCTCGTAGCCGGCCACAAACATCTGGCGGCCAACGAGGGAGATCTGTAAATCCCGATGTCAGCACATGATCCTCCAGGTGGAGGATATGATGTTTTACTCGCCTTGCAGTGATCGACCCAAACCAGATCAGAGCCATCAAGAGTGATTGCGTCACCGCCCCAGATGTACTGAGGGTTGAGTTCTGTGATATGGATGTTCTGGATGATGATGTTCTTGGCTCCGTTGGCGATACGAAGACCCTTGCCACGGATGACACCTGCGGATCCAACGCCAATGAGGGACTTGTTCGAGCCCAGGTTGATGGGTGTGACTCCAGCGTTGTCGTAGGTCACAGAGACCGCAGGAGCACTCCCGCACCTGCACGGCGTCAGTATACAGTGTCAAGCCTGGGGAAATCCGGAGCCCGGACCATCCATTAGCGTTGATGGCATCCTGACCGCCAGCTCCGGGGCAGGTGTTTGAGGTGGGTCTGCAGCCCGTTGCCGTAGTGGTTCCCTCGGTACCCTTGAAGTTGTACCTGACTAAGGTTAGCTGGGATCAGATCATCATGGGCTTTCCCTGATACGTACTCCTTGTTGAGTACAATGACTCTAGCAACGTCATCCTCCAACCATGACTCCAACTCCGTGGTACTCGAAGGATATGCTGGCGTAGCGCTACCTCCGCCCGTGGTGCCCGAACCAAAGCCTTCTGGACTGCCAACCACACCAACAGCACATGCTCTCAGAGCAAACGCCAAAAGAGAGATTGCGATAGACACTGAAGGACGCATCTTGGGAGTGGATCTGGTTGATGAGACTCGCAATTTTAGGAATGTATCGACATGTATTTATACTCGGCGTAGATTGACAACAGATGCCACCCACGCTCTCACGGATAGGGCGGTACACTGAAGCTCGGAGGACTTCCCGAAACCCGGCGTATAGTACATAGGCAGAGCACCTGCCACGCACCGGACCAATCAGTGGGCTTGACCAGCTTATTGGATAAATGCGGGGCTACTTTTGCTTCCAGACCACGACGCGCCAAGATCCCACCAATCGGTCAGACATAAGCTTATCAAGAACCTGGGGTGCGTTGCCCTATGCCGTCGTTCCGAGCTCGCATTGTCACCGAATATTTTCCCTCCAGTCGTCGCCCTTTACGACACCAAGACTCCAGCTTCCAAACTTCCTGATTGGGGTCCGCCGGCGAGTCAGCAACGAACCGCCAACGCTTTTGGACATCATTGCCGCGCCGGGCGTGGCAGGCGAGGGTAATATTGGCAAAACCAAGCAAGGCCTCCAATGCTACAGCTCTTCCCGACCGTTTCCTCGGCGGAATTTCACCATCGGCTCGTCCGTTTGGCACACCGCTTGCGCTTGGAAAGCCACCACTGGGAGATGTGTAACCGTCGTGGTGGCGTCTGTTGCGTAACGGGACCCCGCGAGCTAGACCTATTAGCTGCGGAATTGGCGCTTGGATGGCAATTTGCGTCGGCTTCCTATCCCGATGACCGGCCATCAATAACACCCGACGCTGTTTCCGAAACTTCGGAAGGTTAGGTAAACGGTGCCGGCCCCTGAGGTCTCGTGAGTCTGACTCGGATTGCGAGAATGCGGAGGTCCAGCTGGAAGGAGGATAGCTGCCGTTCTTGGCCCCCAGCAATCCTCAACACCAACCGCAATAGACGGCGATATCGGGTCAAGATATAGGCCAGGGGAAAGAAACGACCCACCCCTGCCACCCAGCCCCAAAAAAAGCCCCTTCTCCGGTCCAAACCACAGACAAGAGGCAGGCGCAATTCACTCGAGCTTATCTTCCCTCTCCCCTCCCGCTCCCGCTCCCACCCCCTCTCTCTATCTTCACCTACCTGCTCTTCCACCTCACCCTGCTCACCCACCGGGCCCACCGCTGCACGTCCTCGCGCCCGGCCAGCGCCTCGACGCTCGCCCACTCGCGCGCCAGCTCCTCGTTGCCCGCGACCGAGTGCACAAACGAGTGGCACGCCCGGCACAGCCACGCCACCTTGCCCAGCTCCCACGCCTCCGCCCACCCGCGCCGCACCGCCTTCGCGTGCACGGAGCGCGGTATCAGGTGGTGGTACGTCAGCGGCACCCAGTCGCGCTCGCACAGCTCGCACGCCGTCGCCCGCGTCTGCGCCCACACCGGCGGCGCGGCGGCCGCGGCGGCCGCGTAGCCGGCGATGACGGGGCCCAGGAAGGACGGGAGCGATGTCTCGTCGGGCAGCAGGCTGTAGGCGGCGAGCGAGTCGGCGACGGAGGCGGGGAGCGGGGCGGCGATGGTGTCGAGCAGGGAGGAAGGCAGCGGGTCGGCGTATTTGGAGGAGAGGGAGGGGTCGGCCTGCGTGGCGGAGTAAGAGAGCGTGCGGAGATCGGCGGGGAGGGCGGGGAAGATTTCGAAGGCGAGATACTGGCGGTGAGTGCCCGGAGATGTTAGCTACCTAGGCCAATTGAAGATGGAAGGTAGTGTGAGGGTGTTACATCTATAAATTCCCCAAGCTCCTCGGCGTCGTTGCTCTGACGCGCATCGTCTTGCTCCTCTTTTGGATAGACGGGTTTAATCGTGCTTTTGCGGCCCCTGGCTGCGCGGCGCTTCGACGCCTCGGGTGGTTTGATGGCGAGCTTGCGGATGACGGGCTCGGAGAGACAGTCGCGGAAGGTGGAGAAGTTGGATTCCTCGTCAGCGGGGATCATGCTGGCAAGTATCGTGCTCAATTTCACTGCAGAATGAGTCGAAGGCTGCTGCTCTAGCCATGATCCTCAGTAGGGTTGGAGGGTCTATTGTGTTCAGCTCCATGGGGAATCGAAGTGGCTCGGGAATTGGCCAGCGTGCTGCGTCATAGCCGCGTTCAACATTACCTTATCCCCGCACCTCTTGATTAGCAATTCACCTCGAACACCATAAATCGGAGGGTCATAGCAACACAAACTGCATCGCACGCCCATCATACGCTTATCCGAAACCCATACGTCTCACCGTCGGTTTTCGTCATGCCTAGCAGAGTGGTTGTCGCGTTTGACGCGTACGGTACCCTCTTGTCGACCGAGTCCATCGCCAAGCAGCTTGCAGAGCATTTCGGGCAAGATCGGGCGCAGAACATAGCTGCAACATGGAGAAAATACCAGCTGGAGTATACTTGGAGGCTCAACAGCATGGGTATGCCGGAGATCCCAGCTGTCGCCATGCTCTTTGGCTGACACACCATGCCAGATCAGTATGAGCCCTTCTCAGCCATCACTCAACGCTCCTTGAAGCACGCCCTCAAAGAGTCAAACGTCTCGCTGGCGCAAAACGACGTTGAAGCCCTGATGAAAGCCTACGACTCGCTTTCCATTTTCCTAGACGTCGCCCCATGCCTCACGTCCCTTAAATCCCAAGCCTCAGTCACAGCCGTTGTGTTCTCCAACGGAACTCAAGCCATGGTGTCCAACAGTATCAACCATTCGCCCGACCTTGCTCCGCACGCTTCCGTATTCTCAGACATTGTGGTTGTCGAGCCGGTCAAGAAATACAAGCCTGCGCCCGAGGTCTACATGCATCTTGCTGAGAAGGTTGGTAAGAAGCCGACTGAAATGGATGACTTGTGGCTGGTAAGCGGCAACCCGTTCGACGTTGTCGGAGCCAGGGCGGTGGGGATGAAGGCGGCGTGGGTGGACCGCGCTGGCAATGGATGGCAGGATGCTTTGGTTGCTGGACAGGCGGGGGAGCCGACGGTCGTTCTGAAAAGCTTAGAAGACCTCCCGGCCATCCTCGAAAAACGTGCGTCGGCTTAGGTGACAAGAGACTCGGGAGGACGGGTTCCTGCAGTCCTGTCCGCCGCGTTAGGTGATATTAGCACCAATGCCCATGCCCTCTGCCAGCGCTGGTCGCCCAAAGATACGTCAGATCGGTGGCATCTCCGAATCTGAGCGCAGCTCTCCAAAGGGGGCCCAGCGGCGTGGAAATGTATCGTCAAATATATTTCCTTAGCTCTCACAGATAATCAAGAGAACCCAGGGGTAAGCTGACGAGACGTCGCTCTTCCCTCCATTTTCCCCTCCAAGTACCCACGGAGTAGAGGATTTCAGAGTGAATATGAAGGGTTGTAGTTTTATGTATGGAGAGGAAAACCAACCGTGGCCGCAGAGCGAAAGGTTTTGAAGGGATTTCGGGCCCTAGCGCTAGGCCTGTGCGGGCCAGAGGGGCGGTTGACAAAAGAATGAGCGCTGTTTCGCTCGCTGCCCAAAGCACCACAAGACCCCTCCACTCACCCGCAAATACCACCCGCCTGATTTGTTCCGCAGCCGACCACTCACTACGTCAACGCACCACACACGGTTTCCCTCACACTTTTGCCCAGGACCCCTATTTGAAAAGACGCCACACGTCCACAAAACACCCTCGCAGCGCTTCAAACCCCGCACCCTGTCCGAGTCATAAGCCACCCCGTCGGCGATCTTCGAATATCCACACCAGAAATCCACACTTTCAGCAACCATGTCTTCCAGAGGACGCGCCGGAAAGTACATGAAGCCCAAGCGTGGCGGTACGCACCCACATACACCAGCTATACATTTTCACGGATTCTGACTGCTCGGTGGCAGGCGGCAAGCACTTCAGCAAGAATCTTGCGCCTCTCGGCCCTGATGGCGAACAAATGGGCATGTGGGGTGTACGTTACACGAGCCTCCCGACAACGTTTCAACCCACAGCATATACTGACTCCCGCACCAGGAGCCCGCCGACAAGAAGGACGAGTCTTCGGAGGGGGAAGAGGACTCCTCCTCCGAGGAATCCTCGTCAGATGACGACAAGCCCCAGAAGCAGGACATGACGCGCGAGGAGCGCCGCGCCGCAGCAAAGGCGCGCAAGGAGGCCGCGATCGCGAAGCAGAAGGCCAGGGCTGCCGAGCCGGGCGACATGCCGCCCTCCGACTCCGAGTCCGAGGAGGACGAAGGCGCCGGCCTGCCCGCAAACCCCAACCACACCGCCAAGGCCGCGAAGCAGGCCGTCGCACCCTCGGCATCGTCGTCGGCGGCGCCCGCGCCGTCGAAGAGCAAGGACACGCCCGTCAGCCAGCTGTCGCGCCGCGAGCGCGAGGCGCTGGAGGCCCAACAGGCGAAGGAGCGCTACCAGAAGCTGCACGCCGAGGGCAAGACGGACCAGGCCAAGGCAGACCTCGAGAGGCTGAAGCTCGTGCGCGAGCGCCGCGAGCAGGACGCTGCGCGCAAGAAGGCCGAAGCCGAGGAGAAGGCGGAGCACGATAAGGCAAAGGCGGAGCAGATTGCGCGCATGGAGCGCCAGAGGGAGCTGCAGAAGAACAAGCTGGCCAACAAGAAGAAGGGCAAGAAATGAGCCGTCTCTTGCCGTCGGCACCGAGAAGGGCAAACCAGACAGCGCTGCCTTGGAAATGGACGTCGTTTGGATGACGGTACGACATGACGATTCTGCGTATAGAAAGCTGCATAGACTGCGGCTTCGCCGTGAATTCGGATGTTTACTCGTGCTGTACAGGCAACGATGCTCGAGGATGTGCTGGCGTGACTATCGGCAGCAACAGCAAGGCCCCCTTCTCTTATCCGTTCTAGCGATGCCGTATGAGCCTTTTGCTCCACTGAGCATTGCTAACCAACTTGAAGTTATAGTACCTGCAATTTCCCACACTTCCTAGAGCGCAACGGTCGCGAGGATATTTTGGTATCCAAATATTGACGTTAGGGGTGACGTAGAGAATAGCTCGCGGGCTACGACTAATCAGAAGCAGTCCCTGCGAGAATCTGGATGTAGTCTCTGGCATTCTCTGGTCATGCGAGTAAGAGTCACTGATTCCCGGCAGCCACCAAGGTCTACTAGTTTGACCGGCTTTTCATGCCGGGCGAATTTCAACATTATGCTGGCTGGGTTCGCCGCATTGCTGGCAGTTATACGTTGGGTGCTTTGATGCCCGCTCTCTCTTCTGAATGCAAGCTTCCATCAGACCAGTTTGATACACTGCACACTTGATAACAAGGAACCCTGAAACAGACAGCACTCCGTATGCCTGCTAGGTAGGCAGCGTTAAACTCCAGGAGTATGGTCTATTTTTACAAGATGCCGGGCGTACGTCATGGGCGCCGAGCCTAAATCTCGCGAGCACGCACCATATTGCTTTCTTTTCTACATTGCAATACATTGCCACAGTGGGTTTTAGATACATCGACCCACCGACGTCTATCTCATGTGGGTAGGGAAGTCCTACATCCGGTTGCATTTGTACAGCTTCAGTGCTCGCATCTACATCCGAGATGACTGCTTTAAGTACGCAGAAGAAAGGTTGTCCAAACCTGCATCTGCGTCAGAATAAACGCTTCAACTGCCTACACATCCAGGATCGCTGAAGGTCGAATTTCTTTCGCAACCCACTGTGCTGTCGTAACCTTACGCACGGATCCGTACCTCAGGCAGGACTGCCATCATTCAAACTGAAGCTTGTCGGGAATGGCGTCGCGCTTTTGACGATGGAACAAAGGGAAAATCCCTGGAAGAACCAGTGAAAGAATAGCGAGATCGAAAAATGATTGGTTGTAAGATAATCAAGAAGCACTGGAGCTGAAGATGGAAAATACGCGAGTCTGTTTTACGTCACAGAAGTGGACAAAGATACTTCTTCGACTGGGCAAATTCGGGCTCGAGAGACGATTGGGTACCGATATGTGCAATATCCGCCCCATCAACGGGGAGTCTAGCTTTAGCGGTGAGGTTATGAGTCAATTTACTGTTGGATGTTGTCAAAAGAAAAATAGTGAGGCTTGCTGAACTCCAGTCATGTTCGCCTCGTACAATGGGTGCCGATGAATGAGTAGCTTGCAGGCGAAGGTGCCCAACGGACCTTTTCCTACACTTTGTCGCAAAAGCCTCTTGCCCACAGGCCAAGAGAGTTAACTGTTAAGAATACTTGGATTCCAAGGTGCGTGATTCAGCAGAACAATCGGCGGAGCATATGGAAGTGATACTGCTTTTTCACTTCTTTGACAGGGTTGGTAGGGCAGCAACAGCACAGCGGAGGGCCCCGGCACCGGAGTTGGTTCCTGGAGAGTGGCGACACATTGCCGGCATTCAGCTTCACTTGAAACTCTCCCACGAGACTTGCCAGTCTGGATCCGTGATGGATATGCCGAAGGAGTTGATGCTGCGGACGCTTTCCCCATTCAAGCCAGCTGAGATGGGAACAACGTCGAAAGAGTCTCAAGGCACGCCGTTTTCGTAGCCCCTGTATCCAAACTGATTGCCTCATTGGATCGCTGGGTTGGGGAATCGGCATGTCTTCTAGCACGGAGAGGAGGCCGGCCACGTTGATGGTATGGATGCTCAAAGCGGGCATGGCGCAAAAGCTTAAAGACTCGATGAAGCAGGGAAGCGGGGCATGACTAGTTCCCGGGCTCCAGCTGTCAAGCCAGTGTTTTGGAAAGCATCCCGCTGCTTGGGGCGCGTAAGGTATACGCTATTGGCGGGAAGCGACGGGTGTTTTGACAGATGGGGAGAAGCTCTGTTTGGCAGCAGCCGTCCAGTACGGCGGAGATGTCGAGATGCAGTACTCGATTTCAAAGACAGGTCAAATATTGGGGGAGGGGTAGCGGCGGAAGAAGAGTACAGATAAGGATAAACCAATGACGAAGCGGGCCAGGCGGGGCCCGAGTCCGTGCTGGCCTTGGGTGGTCTCGGCAGGACGTGGGGCGAGAAAGGTTCAACGGCGGCAGCCGCGGGCGGGGTGCGAGGATGCTGAGAGACGTCTGGGAGGTGTTGTGAGAAAGATGGTGTTTTGCGTTGCACGCGTTGTTTCGCAGGCGGATCAGCGGCGCAGAGGCCAGCGTCTGTCCCGGGCGCTGTTTCAAAGCGCGGGACGAGGGCTCGCGTAGGCATGGGCGAGGGGATGCGCGTGCGCCTTTGCGGATGCAGCACCGGTGCTGGCTGGGCGGCGCACGGCGATGCGATCGCATGGAGCCTCTGGCCGCGCGAGGGTGTGGATGTGCGCGCTGTCAAGTTGCCATGGATGCGCCGAGCGCACGAGTGCACCATCGCTTGTGCCAGCGCGGAGCGGCGCTGGGATGGCAGGTAGCGCTGACAGGGGCTGTCTCAGCGGGCGAACGGACAGGCAGCGCCGCCGCCAGGCACAGCCAACCCGGTCTCTGGAGCGCCCTTGGTGAGACTCTAGCGGGCGATCGCCAGGATCCAACGTGGCCAGCCGCTGCGGAGCTCTTGATGCACTGCTGGCTGGGGCGACGTGGACGCAAGGGCGCGGGCCTTGACAGGCGGCGCTTGCGGAGCGCGCAAATCGCTGTGCCCCAGCTGGCCGTGGCTGCTGCAGGGGGGCGCACACGGCGCCGCTTTCGCGCGCCAGGGCCCTGCTATAGCCGCGGCTGTCCTTATTTGCTGCGCGCTCGGCCGGCGCCTGCTCTTCCTGGCTCTTCCTGTCGGCGCCGCGGCGGCTCGCCGCAACCATCCAGGGGCTTGTTTTTTTTTTTTTTTTTTTTTTAAAACGCCGTGCTGCTGGGTAGCCCCGCAGCGTGCTACACCACGCCCCCCAAGTCTCTCGCGTGGGCAGGCCATGGTCTCCGCCGTCACTGCCGGCTGTTGACGCTCACCCTTCCCGCTGGCCAGTGCTCCACCACGCGGATCGCGCTCCAGGGGCATCAAGGTCCACCTCAGCTCCAGCGCTGCAGCAGTTGCACCGCGTCGCCGGCCAGACTGCAATTTCCCGCGCGCATTCTCCAGCCCATTGGCCGCTTGCAGCGCGCAGTCCTGTGCGCTCGCCGCCAGACCCTTTTGCGCGACGTCCATGAGGCCGCGCTATGGAAGCTCGCGACCCATCCCTCCCGCTACAAGCTTCGAATCATTCCGCGCCTGCAGTCACCCAAGGAGCTATGCGTGACGAGTCCCCGCCGCGCACGCCTACCCAGCACAAGGGCAAGGCTCCAATGCGCGCCCTGGACACCCGCTCCGCCGCCCACGCGACGACCTTCTTCGACGATGACACGCCGGTAGACAAAAGACGCAGCGGAGCCACCGAGCTGTCAATCACGTCGCGCGACTCGCACGACCTTCACTTCAGGGACGTGACGCGGGAGTCGGTCGTCGACAACATGCTGCTCTCGCTCGACAGCCTCCACAACCCCGGCACGAGCGGTGCCATGCACTTCGGCCTCTACAACGGCTTCAACGACGACGACGACGCCGACGACCAGCCCTTCCAGTCCTCCGTCTCGCGCTTCTCTCCGCCCCCGCACTTCCGCGGCCCTCAGCACAACCATGCGCCCGCAGACTACGACCCTCACGGTGACCCCTCTTCCCGATACCCGCACCACCACCTCCGTGGCCGCCGTAGCAACAGCACCAGCAACTTCCGCTCCGATCTGGACAGAATCGAGACTGTGGGGTCCAGGGGCTATGGGTCGGCAAGGATGAGCTCCGACACTGCCCGGAAACCGCTGTACGGCGAGGGCAGCGTTGCGCAGCATTCAAGAGGACAGGGCAGAAAAGGCAGCTCTTCATCCAGTGTGGACTATGGCTACAGCACTCAGGTTCTCCCTCCGGGCTCGAGGCATACGAACCGGTCGGCCAGCTTCGATAACGGCTATAACGGTCGGCCGTTTGGCAGTGACGAGATGTCGCCTACCTCGGCGTACGACTCCGTCCTGAACAGAGGCAGACCGAATGTCTTTGACTTCCCGGCCTACGATGCTGCGCCCACGCCAACCATCCCGACCAGACCGCGTAGGTTTGAAGACCTTCCACCGTCGTCACCAGGCTACGACTATGCCCCTCAACAGTCGCCGTTCGGCTCCCTGCCAGTCCATATTCCCGCCGTTCCGGCACCGGCGTCAAGGCGAAACAGCATCCGTTCGTCGTCAAGCAAGGGGCCCTGGAACAGCAAGGCACGGGGCCCAGACGCGAGCATCCGGGCCCAGGCGACCGAATTCGTCAACGCGGTCAATATTCGAGAACTCCCGCCAATCCCTGCCTTCGCCGATAACACGACACCAAGCAAGCCGTCGACGCCACAAACCAAAGAGCCACCCAAGGAGCGCCGTGGGTTCTTCAGTCGTGTGTTCGGAGGCGGCAGGAGCCAGCCGCCCCAGGAACCCCGCGCAACGCCACAGCTAGCACCTCTCGACGTCCGCTCTCCAGAGCAGGCGAAACGCCCCTCCACGACACCTGCACAGCACAACTCTCCGCAAATCGGACCCCGGGCACCGACTCGCTCAGGCCCGACGTCAACACCGCAAAAACAGCCCGCAGAGCCCCCGCAGCCAAGGACACTCACCAAGAAAAACTCTTCCTTTTTCCGCAGGCGAAAGAAGTCTGTGACTGAAGAACCCTTGCCACCCCCGGTGCCTGTACAAGTCCAGCGTGCAGGTGATATTGGGACCTCGGTGCTACCAAGCCCGGCGGCAAGCAGCTTACGACATGCGATGAAGGATTATCTGAGTGACCAGCAGGCTGCAACTCCCCGCGAAGCGTTCTACGACACTAGGGAACTGCAGAGTCCCGTCGACGACGGCGACGACCACCACGGTGGGTTTTCACCTGATTACACGCCCCACAGGGATGCGACTATCCGAACAGTCAAACCTGGCTCGCGTGGAACAGATGACGGGCTGGCCCCTGCGGTCGACGATATTCAGGATTTGCACAACCGCACCGTGGACACCCCGAAGTATAAACTGAAGGTGAAGCGTGGACAGGGGGCAGCTGGTAGAGCGAACGACGACTCTTCGTTCCTCGCCGACAGCAGCGAGCAAGAGGACAAAACCAGCAATCTCTCAACATCAAAAGGTCAAACCATGTCCGTGCCTGAGCAGTCCAGAAGACCTGCCACCAGCCCGACGGCGTCATCGGCCATTCAAAACACATCATCAGGGAAGGAGGGCCTGGGAGCTCGACAGAGAGCAAACGTTGGAGAGAAGAGGACAGATGCGCACCCGAGCTCGTCGGCGGCGCAGAATTCGTCTGCGTTCGCCGAAGGCAGTGGCTATGATGAGGACGGCTGGGTCGTTACGACACCGTCCAGAAGGGGGACCGTTGACAGTGACATCAATGGCAAGAATAGCCGAGTCTGGCTCGAACCGACGTCTTCGGAAGAGAAACTCGACGAACAAACCTCCCTTTCCCTGCCCCTGGAAGGCGCCAAGTCTTCGCTAGGAAACCAGCAGTCTCCTGCCGATCGCTCGCCCATCACTCCCAGCGACGCCTATCAATCCGCATCGAGCCTCCCTATTGTGCAGGTTGAGGGCGGCGATGTCAGGACCTCGGCAGAGGTAGAACGCACAGCGCCTGTCGCGAACAGCGAAGAGCCAACGGACGAGGACCGTGAGAAGGCGCAGCAAATTTACGATGGCGACGAGAGTTTCCTTGCGAAGGGCAGGTCTGCAGCATGGCTTGGCGGGAATACCGCCATCAGTGCGCGTTGTCGGAAGGCTTACATGGAAATTTACGAGTGGACCGGATTCAGCATTCTGCTCGCCATGCGAGATCTTTGCAACAGGCTGGTTTTGAAAGGAGAGACGCAAGAGGTGGACCGAGTTCTGGATTCGTTCGCTAATAGATGGTGCGAATGTAATCCAAACCACGGGTTCAAGTCGCCAGGTATGCATTGCCATTCCTGCAGGTCATCATCCATGCTAACGATCGGTATAGGCGCGGTTCACACTATCTGCTACTCATTGCTTCTCTTGAACACAGATCTCCACATGGCGGATATCGAATCGAGGATGACTCGGAGTCAATTCGTGAAGAATACCCTACCGACTATTCGCAGCGTTGTTGATGCCGAGTTGGAAGAAGCCGAGGAGAACGCACACAACACCCAATCCCGGAGCCAAACCCCCGTGGATGATTCCTCCATGCCTGTATCGCCAACATTTGAGAATAGGCAGAGACCGTCCGTGGACCTTACCAGCAAGAGGTCAAAGAATCGCCTGTCAATCCGGCCAGCCATGGGTCTTCGCACGGACTCGGACGGCAACCCCACGAATCCGGATGCTGGGGCTGGTGATGCATGCACTGTCCTAGTCAAGGCTCCATTTGAGGGCTCGATGAAGAATTGGGAGTTCCAGGTTGAAATCGTCCTAAAAGAGTTCTACAGCTCGATCAAGCACCAAAAGCTTCCATTGCACGGCGTCGACAGTACTCCTGCACAGTCATCGAACAATCTTTCGGTTGCTGGGGTACTCAGGCGCACACCGTCCGTTCTCAGCAAAGCTCCTTCGGATACCACGAGTTACCGCGGCCGTCATAGCGAGTTCCGTTCAGCAACTGCTCGATGGAATTCGAAGACTCGGTCGAGGCCGAAGCTATACCCGAACTCGACGATTGGATCAAGCCGGACCAGCTTGGACGATCAATCTGTTTTCAGCCCAGCTGGTTCGAGCAAGTGGAGCACTTATTCCATGGGCAAAACCGGCACCTCCATGTCTGTGGACTCGTTGGGAACACACTTTGCTGCTCCTGACTATCAGCAGTCTATTGGATTTGCAAATGCGCTCAGTCAGGCCATCATCCGTGAGGGAAATGAGGAGAATCACACCATTGCAAGCTATGAGGAATCTGGCCGTACTGCTCCCCTCCTGGAAGATGAATCTCTTGAGCTTCACGGCCCACCGTGGGCTAAGGAAGGTATCCTGAAGCACAAACATCACCTTGAGGCCATGGACAAGAAGTCCAAGGACCGCCATTGGAATGAGGTCTTTGCGGTTATTGAGAAGGGATACATGAAGATTTTCACCTTCAACATGAATGCCAAGGCTGCCAGGTCGAAGGCGAAGAGAAGGCCTTCTGCGGGCGGTGTCGTAGGCGGTGGTAACTGGGCGGACAACGCAGAGGAACTCCACTCTTTCTTGCTTCGACAAACCATGGCTAGCACCTTGCCACCTCCGGGGTACTCCAAGACCAGGCCGCACGTGTTTGCGCTGTCGCTACCCACTGGTGCGGTACACCTCTTCCAAGCCGGCACCACAGACATTGTGAAGGAATATGTTCAGACGGCAAACTACTGGTCCGCGCGCCTGTCGAAGGAACCTCTTGTTGGCGGCGTCAGCAACATCGAATACGGTTGGAGTGACAACGTTATCAATACTGCACTCATCGGCAGACCAGAGAGCTCCCCGACGACAATCGGCAATGCTGGAGCGCCTCGGCAGAGCATCCAAAGTTCTATTCGCAGCTCCATGGATCATGGCACAATGAAGCCGCGGCTTCCCGGTGACAAGGTCGTCCTTTCTGATTATAAACCACCGACTCAGAGCATGATGGCGAGCAACCTCATGGAAGTCGATCAGCACAAGGCTCTGTCGGCGTATGTTAAGAACGTCGAGGAGGAGATGCAGAGACACCAGGAGCTGAGGGCACCCTTGATGATTGCTGTGAGTATATCCTTCGTCTCTAGTCACATGAAGCATACTGATTTTTCCAGTTCTCTCCCCGTCATCCGAATGCCGCGAAGGCCATGGCCAACTTCGAAAAGAAGTCGGCCTACCTTTTGCGTGAGCTAGTCAAGTTCAAGACTTATATCGATGCGCTCGACTACGCCAATGAGACGAGGGACAGGATCTACAAAGAGCGCGAGGAGCGTCTGAAGGCCGAAGAGGAGGCGAAGAGGGAAGAAGAGCAGGGCGACGAGGAGGCAGCAAAGGACGAGGATGACATGTCCGCCACTGCTCTCGCCCAATCCTATAGCAGCCTCCTGAGTGCTTTCGATTCTCCACAGCGCTAATTCGGAAATGCTTTTTTAGAAGCTCCTTGAGATTTGCGACTTGGAACCATCCAAGACGACAGCGGCGCTTGCATTGGCGAGGACGGTCGAGGCTGGTAAGATCGCAGTACTGACGACGACGGCCTTCCAAACTACCCCGATGGCGATGCCTACACTGTTCTTTGTCCCGACTCCTAGACGGGGCCTACCACGTTTTAATTCTTCGAATTCACAGTTGTACTTTCTTTTCTTTCTTCGATTTGATCTACCACGGATTAGATCGACTCAGCTGCATCCTTAGCAGCGATTGGTTACGACCTTACGGCGCGGCATGCACGTTATGTTTTTTCATTCTCTTCTTTTTGAGCGTGGTGATACCAACTCTCGTGCACAAGTTGCACGTCACGTTCTCACAATACCCTCTGTCTTTGATCGACATTTTCTTTGTAGGGAGATGTCATCTCCACCATTTCTTTATTTTTCAATTCTGCTGTCAGGCAGATCTGCTAACTCCACGTCATGTGCTGTGGAGAGGTTCCGGTCCTGGCATTGTTTTTCTCTTCTGGGTTTTGTGCACATGCATTAGTACCTCTTTGCCCCGCTTGGCGCTCTGGGTTGGATTCTCGGGTGGATGCGAGCTGACTGGGCGGCTTATTGTGTTGCCGAATTTACAGTCTGTTTTCATTTCCTTGTAGCATTTGGTCGGTGGGTGGGCTGGACGTCAGTCCGAAATGTCAAAATTTCTTTCTTTTCGCTTTTTGGATGGAGACATAGAACCGGTGGATGGAAGGGATGTCGACCACCACTACCAAAAATAAGCCTGTTCTCCTTTCTTACTGGATCCCGGAACAACTTCTCTTTAACTTTCAACCTTGGCTAAAACCTTTCCTATCCTTTGTCGTTCCTTCAGCGGAATAGCATAGCGCTTTCGTAATCAGTCTTGTACAGCACAGAATGACCAGTATTATGGATACCCCATTTCCTACCACCATTATCAAATTGAGACCATTTTCAGACTTTCACCGTCCAAGCAAGTCAAGTGACGCCGGAGAATGGACAGCAAGAAGCGCATTCATCAAGTGGGTTTCCAAATTTCTTCTGGTGTCTCGGCTACCGTATAGCTAAATGAGAAGATCACGGAGCTCGCTCCGGATGACGCCGACGAGAAAATGCGGAGGCGGCTCCAGATTAAATAGTGTGGGACCGCATCGTGCTAGCCGCTGGTCAAGTGTAGGTGCTAACCACGGATGAGGAAGGTCGTAACGCACACTATGAAGAAAGTTTAAAGTTTGTCGGGTTCGGTGCTCGGGGCTTCGAGATGCAGGGCCGCCTGTGGGTTTAAGCGAGATGATACCTAGACCTTGATGGACTTGACGAGGATGGATGGTGTTGGCTTGGCCTGGCCGTTGTCACTAGTAGTTCGTCGGCATTGCCGATCGCTTAGGTACGCCGTTCGTTCCTGACATGTGCCGTGTGATGCGGGGTGTGCTATTTGCGTCGGCTGGCGAGTGACAAGCAATAGACAGGGCCTTCTCGATTTGGTTTGGCTGACATTACGAAAAGGAGAGTCGGTAAGCTGAGCAGTCTCTCCAGCTGCGGCAAGACCAGCATGGCCGATGCGACCTGTGGATGCGCCATGCAAGATCGTGGGAATCAAGCATATCTTGCTCAAAGCAGTCGCTCCATTCACGAACGCGCTACGATAGCCTGTCGCCTGTATATATATTAAAAAAAAAAGAGCTCAGACCGGGTCATTGCGTCAATGGGCTCGGTGGAGGCGTATATTGCACGAACGAGATCTGAGAGATTCGATCGAGCACAAAGACGCCACCGCGATGCGAGCCGAGTAGCTGGGGTTTGCGAGAGTGATCTTTGAGTGATGCAAACAGTATGTACTCCGGCCTCCTCCGCAATCCTCGCAGTTTCGACATTACGCGGTTGGCACTCGGCCCACCCTGAATCAGAACGAGTCACTTACTCACAGGCACACAAAATGCCGCAACAGCAATAATAAAACAATGACTTCCATTCGTGTCTCCACCGTCCAATGCGAGTACTCCGCGCACCTGGTCGCTTTCCTCTTCCGGCTAGCGCTGCTTGCGCTTCCGCACCCACCACAGCCGCCTCATCACTCTCGGCTGCCCGTGCCGTCTGCACCGCCAATCATCGACCCACCCGTGCTCCAGCCTTAATCTTCTCACGCAAAGGCCCCCGGTCTAGCTCACTGCCATCCCCACTTCTCTCTCTGAGACACCGTCTTGGCCCGGTGAAAAGATCGTATGCTCAAAAGTGAACACAACTCCAGACCGTGGCCCATGCACTCATTACATGTATGTATGTACGAGTGGCATGACGGACGAAGACGACGACGGGGGACCCCAATGAAAAAGGCTTCGGATTCGTTGGACCCCTGTGCAGCCGGTTCCCGACAACCTACTCCTCCGTTGTCAACCCTGTGCGGAAGGAGCCGAACACCAATATCAGGAGGGTGGCCTGAAACGTTCACTTTGTCACCGCTCATTATTCGCCGCCCCAGCACGATGTCCGGATTGGCGCAGAAGCACTCCAGTCATCATCACCTACTAAATTTTGCTCTGCATGCATTTCCCTGCAACTAGCGAGTTGTCCGGGACTTCTGCGTTGTTGCCGAAAAAACGAAAAAACAAAAGCAATGGCCCCTGTACTGCCGACACGGGTGGGTCATCGTATATGGGCACTGCTCCAGTGAATCAGCGGCAGATCATCAGGCATGAGCAGCAGAGAAAAAGCAAGCAAGCAAGCAAGCAAGCAAGCAAGCAAGCAAAGCAAGCAAAGCAAGCAAAGCAAGCAAAGCAAGCAAAGCAAGCAAAGCAAGCAAAGCAAAGCGATACCGCTCCGCGCCTTATAGTGACCCACACACTGATCACCTGGACCCAGAATGACCTTTTTTCGTTCTTCGTCCTCCCGCGCCCTGACGCCTCAACGGCCGCTGATGCGCAACGCAAACTTGACCCGACCGTCTTGGATCGACCCAATCGTTCCGTGAAGCGGCGGGGGGGATCGCTGAGGTGGAAAGGGGTGTCTCACTGCTGGCAAAAGGAACACTAGAGCAATCCCGCCCTAGAATAATAACAAAATGAAATACGCGGAGTTCTTTGGATTCCTGATGCTTATCGAATGAGAGCATGATTAGCTGTGTAGCGAAAGACGGCCCATACTACCATGATTCGCAGAACGCGACTCTTTGATGCCGTCTCCAGCTGCATGAGAAACGCTTGGCCGCGAAGCCGCACCGAAAGACTGTGGTGGTCGAAGGTCAGTTGGCACTGATTGTCGCGAACTCGGCTCACAAAGACGAGCAACAAGTTGGTTCACTTGAGCAACTAGGCACATCATAGCGAGAAGCCCTTTTATATCGCATTTTTGAGCTAGCTAGCTACTGTAGTCAACGCCATAACTAATGCCCCCATTAGGCTAAGATAAGTCCGATCCGTCAAGCCATTGTGGAAAACCCATGACCTCGCACTCTTGTCACCAGACCCTAGTAAGCTATGGAATCAAAGAAACAGCCGAAGCTCTGAAGAGCAGGGCTTCTCAGATGTACCACATCGAGAAGTCGATGCCCTGATTGTTGTTCATGGGCGTGATGGGAGCAACCTCGGTAGGAGTCTTCTCCGAAGTCGAAGTAGCCGTCTCCTTGGGCTCCGTGGTCTGCTTCTTGCCAGACGAAGGGTTTCCGTCCGAGGCGTGGCCACGGGCACGCTGAGAAGCCAAGTGAGCGTAGTAGACGGCAGGGAAGAGGCTGACCGGAGTCGTGGACCGAATGTACTGGAAGCTGTGCTCGAAGATCATCTGCTGAATCTCCTCCGAGCTCATCTTGGCCTCGTTCATCAGCACCGTGTAGTGGACCGGGCGAGCAGTACCCTTGATAGCCGAGTGGGCGCAAAGGTAGAAGTCGAACTGGAAGGGGTGCGTAACACCCGTCTCAACCAGAGTGCCAGGGTTCGGGTTACCGTTGCGATCACCGTTGCGACCCTCGGGGAAGAAGCGGACGTGGTGGCGCTTGGAAGCGACGATCACAACCAGCTGGGGAATGGACTTCGGGCTGAGGCGCCTGAGAAGGCTCCGGATGTCGCGAACCTCCTGGTCCAAGACATGCTGGTATTGGGGCTCCGATACACCGTCACGGAAGTAGATGATCCGCTCAGGAAGTTTGCCCTCACCAACGCCAGTCATCCAGTGCGTGACCATGCGACCAAGAAGGTTGTTTATGTTTGGAGTGGAAATCATCTCGACGCGGAAGCCGTTGGTATCACACTGGGCGGCATAGCGCGTCAGCGACAAGTCCAGCGACATGGTGATGGCGGCAAAAGAGCCGGTGGAGCCGTCCTTGAGAGCGCCAGGAGCAGGGTGGGAAACGTCGGCACCAATAGCCATGGTCTTGATCTTCGCGTTGCTCGGAGCGATCTTGGCAAGAGCACCCTGAGCCCTCGACGTGAAGCCGCCAAGCTTAGCGTTGACCTTCATGCAGACGTTGGAGTGGTATTGGTCCTGGTTTTTCATGACGTGCGCCGACTGGAGGAACTGGGTCACGACTCCAAGACGGCACTCGCAGATCTTCTTGATACGGTTGTACGTCTCTGAGTTGCGGTCGGGAACCACGAAGAAGAGGAGTTGAGGCCTGAACTGGTTCATGTTGCCAGTAGCATTCCAGACGTTCGTAACCATTTCGGTGCCCTGCTGGAGGTTGCCTTGCATGAGCTGAAACTTGGAGTTGACGACTTCGCCACCATGCTTCTTGTAGACCTCGATAAAGCGCGTGAAGAAGCGCTTCGCAGACTCTGCATCAACGGAGCCACGGCCCTGGATGACGCAGACACCCCAAGACTTGAGGGGAACCGTGTTCTTGCTCAGGAACTTCTTGCCGAGCAGCATCCAGCGACCCTTGCCAGCCTCGTTGGGAGCAACGTGAGCCTGGTTGCCAGTACCACCAAAGGTGACCTGGGGAGGCTGGAGCTGGCGCGCCTTGACAACGACAGGCTTGGGGTCAATCTTGAGGCCAAAGTGAGCAAGTGCGGGATCCGAAGGCCAGTTCAGCATGCCGAGGCCATGGTCGATGCTCGCCCAACGCTCCTTAGGAGGAGTGACAGCGAACTTGATCATGTTGCTCTAGAAAATAACAGTCAGCCCCGGCACCATGGCAAAGCAGCAAGGGAGTCACTCACGGTCTGTTTCTCGTTAAGCTTGAAGGGGTACCTCTGGTTCTGCTCGATCTTGCAGACTTCCAAGGGCATGTAGATGTCCTTCTTGGTCATCTTGACCAGCGGCAGACCAGCGAGGACCGTGATGTTGTACTTGCGGCGGAAGTAGTCGGAAACCGTCATCCATTGACGGCTCTCGCCGTCACGGATCTCGATCTTGTGCTGCTGAGGCGTACGCGACATGATCTTGTCGATCGTGTACACCGGAAGACCCTTGGTCTCCCTGTCGACACCGCGGTGGCCCACAACGACCCTGACCTTGCTGAGACGCTTGAGGTTCGTCTTCAGCATGGACCTGTCCCAATTGTCTTGCGCCTTCGCGTATGCACTTATCAATGCTTGAGGATTCGAGAGGTTCAGCATGTGCATGACAACCTCATGAAGCCGACCATCCTGGAAGAAGGTGCCGTTGGCCACGTCGACGGTAACGGTCAAGCACGGCTTGTTAGCAGGGGAGGTGGCAACTCTAATGGACGAGAAGACGCCCTTGAAGGCCTCGATGGCACCGGTGAGGGAAAGGCGAGCCTGACCACGGGCGAAGAAGGACTTCTTGATCTTCGTGAACTTGCCAGAGGGAGTCTCACGCATGAGATGGTCCAGGAAGATGATAGCCCTGTAAAAGCCTGTCAGTATGAATCATGAAGGTCGCAAGGTTGGGAATGTACTCACTCGGTGATCTCGTTGCCATAGTCCGCCTTGCCGCCAAGATAGGCACCAAGGAGATCGAAGCGGAGGATCTTGGTGGAGCGCATGTGGAACCGGTGCTTATTCTTGCCCTTGCGGTCCTCACGAGGGTTACGGCCACGCTCAACATCAAGATCGACCTCAAGGGTGATCGAATCCATCTTGTGGAGCGACCAGGCGATCTTGTTACCATCAAACAGCCAGCCATTGCCGATCTTGGCCTTGACGGTCTTCGACTCCCATACATTCATGACTAGGCCACGCTTCTCGGTGCCGGAGCCGATGTTGACCTGTGAAGGATGTGTTTGTCAGCAGTTGCTAGAGGGGTCACGAATGAGCACCAACTTGGGAGAATGTACTTACGTCGTACTGGTAGACGGGCTTGGTGGGCACCTGGGTGACGTTGAACGAGTTCAACTTGACAGGAACCTCCTTGCCTTGCATGTTGAGCTTGCCAGGTCGACGCGGGATGAAGTCAGGCACGACAAGCTGCGCCTCATCGTTAGTCTTGACGTCCGCATGCTTGAAGGGGATCATCTTGAGAGTCGAATGTGAAGGAGATGGTGGTGATGTAGAAGGATGTTGATTGTGCTTGAGCAATTGGTATGACAACAGATTGTAACCAGTCGCTGGTGCTGCGTATGAGGAAAAGGAAAATGAAGAGGAAGAAAGCCCAAGACGCCTTTATCCTTCATGTCCAAGCCGTGAGTGTTGGGAGCACATGCAGCTCAACCTCGATCATGCGAATGGAAACCGGCGCAAGGGCCGCGCTGTGATACTGCGCAGCTTGTTGGGAGGACACATGGGCGTCTATGGGGCTTCTTGCTCATGTCTTGTGACTGGACTGCGTGAAGATGGGATCTTGCACCTGCATGTGGCTGCATGGTACAACAGCATTGCTGATGGGTGGTGAAAAACATGACGCGGAACAACGGAGATGAAGCAATAGAGATATAACATGACTTAAAATGACTTTTGACTTACACCTTGAGAAGAGTAGTGGGCAGCCACGCCAAGCGAGTCCAGCACGTTGCGTGAGGAGATTTCGAAAGTGGCGCCAGGGCGCTGAGGATCGGCATTTCCGTCGAAGCGTGGCAGTGACTGAGGAGAAGAGCGGCTCTCAGACAAGTGCTCAGGACTGTTGCGCTGAACACCGGGCGACTGGCTCGTCTTGTCCTCCGACGATGAAGGCTCGCCGCAGGACGAGGCAGCAGCCTGAAGCCTGGCACGACGCTTGCCAGCACCAGCCATGGCGAAGTTCTGCAGAAAGGATACATCAGCGACACGGGTCAATGACACGGTATGATGTTCAGGCTTGATGATGAGCACCAAGCTGAAGAGCAAAGGCGAACACTCACCTAATCTTCTTCTTTTTTTTTTTTTGGTTTTTGTGAGGGCGGGCGGGCGAGTCTGATGTCGCAAGCGCTCTCTTCGAGTAAGTGCTGTTGCGGCGGCGTCAGCTTCTGTTGTCCTACAAAGGAGGACGGTTGTTGTCGCGATGCAACGTGAAGTGAAGGTGTGAAGGAGTGAAGGTCAATGATGATGATGAATTGCAAATGCAAACGATGATGGAGAGCGCGCTGTAGCGGACGCAACACAACACCGCTACCATTCGCCCAGCTGACTTGAACAGCTTGTAGGACTGAGGCAAGGTGACATGGCTGACGGATGCGAGTGCCTTGTCGCGAGGCGACATGAAGCTGGGGTTGCTTGTTCGCAGACTCGGAGGGGCAGACATGGGTTGCGCCTCTTGCGAGGGCGATGACACGTACCTTTTACCTTGTCTTGCTTGTAGCGGGGCGGGGAGCTTGCTCAAGAGAGGCGGAGCAGCGAGGGCGATGTTGAGGTCGGGGTTGGGTGGAGGAGGAAGAATGTTGGCTGGTCGCGCGCAGAGGCGGAGGACTTAAGCAGGAAGATCTGACGATGCCACGGGTTCCGCGGGCGCTGCTGCATCCAAGAAAGGAGGGCACGAGGCACTACACACCAACATAGGAAGGCACGGGACAGCACCAACGAAGCTCCCGCTCGAGGAAGGCGCTGCGAAGACGTCATGTCTTGTGCGCTGCTCGGCCGCCCGCCAATCTGACGCACCCAGCACACGACCAGGCGGCGGCGCCCGTGATGCTGCCAGCCCCCGATGGGTGCGCACGACCAGTATGCATCTACGGCGGCGGCGCAGCGCGTCATTTCCTCTGCAACGACACGTGACGAAGCGACGACATGGGCGCGCCTCGACGGCCGATGCGAACGGCACGCACACCCACGCCAAACCAATGACGACTAGAAAATAGGGTAGTTGCAGTTTTTGGCCACATCTATGACATGAAATATCACAATGTTGAGGTAATCGAGTCCGTTTGAGCTTTGAAGTCTCGACAAGCAATTTGGCGCCAGCCCTGTCCCTCACGTTTAGTAGACACAAGGCTTTCCCCGGGAACTCGCGAGTGATACCGTTGTGTTGAGAACCGGCCAGTAGCATCCTTTCTTTTCCTCCTTTTGGGGTATCGAATAAGTCCGTTGGCCTCGTACTTTGCATACTCAAGTTGCAAGGAAAAGCTACCAACATGCAGACGTCGCCGACAAAGTGTCTTCCCGCAATGCCATCCTCGGCTAGAAAAGCAGCCTTGGAAGCATCCAGTAGCCGATGGAACAGTCCCTGGTCTTCGAGAAAGCAGTTGCGGATGCAAGAAGGTACATGATACTGGACATCATCACACGGTCGACATTCGGAATCTAAGGTTCTCAGCCAGACGCCATTGATTTAGTCTTTTTGTTTATTGTACACATCCCATTCAAGTCATTGCAGCAGTCGGCCGCAGATAGGGAAACCCCAGAGCGCGCATACTCATAGTGCATCGCAAATTACCAAACGAGGAGGGGAAATCAGAAGAAACGCCATCATGCTCTTGAGAATAAGCCCCGCCTTTCTTCAAATTTTCCATCATTACTCAGCGTACGGAGAGGAAGAGAGAGAGAGAGAGAGAGAGAGAGAGAGAGAGAGAGAAAGGGATCCTGATTTCCAGACTGAATGACTGCCCGATATAACCCGCGCTATGTTGGAATGGAAAGGTGCCCATGTAGAACGTAATGCAGAAGCTACATGGCCATGGGCGTACATGCAGTATTACCACATCCCGCCATGACGTATCCGACCGAGTGGCCGGACGCGTCCCACTGTAGTACCACACGTGCGGCTGCCCATCATATCTCCAGTTCCCATTAGTTGAGAAAATTTCCCCCCAAGTTTGCGCCCATGTATGAGCGCTTTCACGTTTGACTGTCAACTAAAGTGAAACGACTCGAAGGTGGAACGGCAATGGTGTAGCTTTTAGCGATAGTAAGGGTTGGGGCCGTTCATCGGCATCTGGCCCATCGGGTGTCCGGCGCCAGGAATCTGACGGAGAGGCTCGATCCTATGTTGCGGCGGCCACGTCTGCGGTAGCTGCACGTTGCGCAGCACATCGACGACCCTCTCAGGAATGAACCGCACAGAGTTGTACGTGTGGGCGGACGGAATGATGCTGAGGATGAACGTAAGGTCGCGGGGTAGAGGCGTAGGCTGACCTCCGGCGCCTCCAGCTTGTGTGCTGTTGGCACCGTCGCGGCCAAGATTGCGGCCCTGTTGTGCAGCAAGGCGCCGGCCGGCAGCTCCCTTGAGTGGCGACTCTCCGCGGGCAATCTTGCGTGGCTGCACTGCCGAGTCGTTGTCTGAATCGTCAGGAACGTAAGGACGCTTGGGTGAGTCACGCGCTTGGACAGGAGGAGGACGGGGAGAGTCGATCACCGACGGAGGTACCGAAGGAGCGGGAGGTTGTTGCTGTGGAACAGGCGCCGCCGGCTGCGCGACTTGTGCTGGCTGCTCCATGCCCGGCGGAGGCTTCGGTCTGGCTTGCGTGAGAGGCGAGATGATAGGACGCATGGCGGTCGGGTCGAAGGAGGGCTTGGAGTAGCGGCGAGAGAAGTGGAAAAGTTGAGCATCCTCCGGGAAAAGCTCTGACATGCGCCTCTCGAGTTCTTGAATCTGACTGAGCTCGCCGTAGTGCGACTCGTATTCATGGAAAAAGGCATATATAGGTTTAGCCTTTGAGAGTGTCTCGGGTTTTTGCGCGAGCCTGCTGACCGTCGTCTTGAAGACTGCTCTCGCGTTGGTGATGTCGTTCTTTGCAATGAGGTGCTTGAGGTACTCCAACGCGAACTCCTCGTCTTCAGGAAACAACTTCATGCCGCGCTCTAAGATCTTCGTCGCAGCGGGATCGTTGTAGCAGTGATGCTCGATCAGAGCGCTGGCAACGTACACATCGCTTGTGATGCGACCAGCCTTACGAGCATCCGCGAACACCTGACGGAAGCCGCCAATCCTCTCGCCAGGCTTACCCTTGCCCTGAATGCGGCGCATAGCTCTGATCAGCGCGATCCATGCAAACGAGACTGTCCTGGAGAGAAGTTTGATCTGTGCAGCATTGCCCTTCTGTATCGCCTCAATCTGAGCTTGGAGAGCAGCTTCCTTGGCCTTGAAAGCGCTGTTGCCCTCCTGGTCATCGTCATCGTCATCGACTTGTTCTTCCTCGTTGTTTTCAGATTGCTGCGCAAACATGTCCTTGATGCGGCTGACCATGTCGGTTTCGCGAGCCTTCGTCTTGTTGATCAAAGCGTACAGAGCATCCAACGTTTTCTGGTACGGTTCGCGAACGAGCTCGCCGCGGCGGACGAGGCTGTCTTCACCCTCTTCGGTTGCGGACGTTATTTCAATCCGGTCAGCGCGTCTGAAAGCAAGCAGGCAGCTCTCCGGGTTGGCCTCACAGCCCTTGGCGAGGAAATCATTGCCTTCTGATTCCAGATCGTTCTGAAAAGCAAACTCAGCTGCATCGTACCACATTTCAGGCCAGAAGCGGAGAGCCATCAGTGCCTGCTTGTAAACGAAGATTACACGGGACTTGAATGCAGAGACGTCTTCCTCTTTCAGCACCAATGGGTCTTCCTTCTCCCAAGCAATCCACTTCTTCCAGATGTCGACTTGCTTCACGAACTCGAGATCACCATCAAAGCCAAGAGCAGGCGGCAGCTTCGCAAGGGTCGTCCTGTTCAAATCCCTGGTAATGTTCTCCAATGCAACGATCGAGCTACGAGCAGTCATGTAGGCGGGGGACTTTTCCTGAAGGAACTTGCGGCCCTTTAGAAACGCGTTAGTCATCGGTAACAAACATTCTCAGCCCGGGGTGGCTTACGGTGACCTTGTTCAGCCCCATTTCAAAGCGATCATACTGCTTCCAGAGTGCCGTGACTGCATCGGTTGGGACGCAAATAGCCTTCTGGTAGGCCTTGCGCAACAGATCCATCTTCTGCTGGTCCTGCCACGTGCTTCCACCCACATTGCCCGGACCGGATTCGATGAACTCGACGTAATCCTGCCAGAGCTGGCCGGCGTCCTTGTCCATGCCCACGTTCTGAAGGACGAAGTCATAGGCCAGGGAGACGGTTTGGCGAGCGGCGCCGGTTGCATCTGCTGTGAGGTTGTTGCGTCTCCGGATGTAAGTAAGATAAGTAGACCACAGCTCAACATGGGGCACTGTGAGAAGGGATTGCTCGAATATGCGCTCGACGCCATAGAAGTTGTTAGCCTGCAACTCCATGTTCGCGAACGCCACCCATTGCTCCGCCTGTGAGGATATATCAGCTCGAAAAGTAGTAGTACGGTGGACTGTTTTGGCTTACCGCGTGCGGGAAGACCTTGAAGAAGCGGCCATAGACGGCACGAGCCTCCTCGAGCTTGTCACGCCGCCTGTATTCGTTGATCAAGCTCAGCCAAGCGTCCAGATCGCCGCGCGGATCCTCCTGAATCCTGTCTTCAAGAATGCCAATGCGGTCCTGCGGCAGACGCGCCTTGGAGGTCGGCTGCACAGCCGCGTGGGTCTGGGACTGGGGATTGACAGACGCAGCGGAATCAGCAGGAGGAAGTGCGCTTTGAGCGCCATTGGAAACACCTGAAACACCCTGATCTTGTGCAGCTTTATGTATTGGTACATTTGATGATGATGAAGGAAGTGCATTGACTGGAGTCTGAGAAACAGAACGCTCTGGCGTATGCGTAGAACCCGGCGCAGAAACCTTCACTCCCTGAGCACCAGCTGCTTTTGCGACGGGGGACTCGTCCTCGTCGTCCTCGTCATCTACGACAAACCCACCCATCGTACGCGGCGGCTTGGCCTGGGTCTTCTGGTCGGGCACGGCCGACGCGGTGCGTGACGGGGCCTGCGAGGCGGGCTGCGACGGCGTCGGCGTGGACGTGGGCTGAGCGGCCTCAGCCGGAGCGGGAGCGGCGCTCGGGTCGTATGCGGATGTGTCGGGCATCAGAGCGGACGGATCGTAATCCTCGTCCTCGTCATCATCTTCGGCGGGCGCAGCCTGGGGCGGGTCGTCGGGTGGGGGCTCGTCGCCCTGCTGCGGCTCGCTGCCATTGCCAAAGGCGGCGGCTGCATCGGACTGCAGCGACTGCAGAAAGGCCATCTCGGGGGTCATGTCCGCCATGGCGACGGTAGGCAGGCTTAGGCGGGCTGTGGGTGTCGCTGCAGGTGCAGCGGAGGGGCGGCGACAGCTGTAAAGCTGCACTGTCAGTTGCGGGATCGGCGCTGGGGTCGGACGCGCAAGGACGCGATGGCAGCGCTGGGGCGGGACAGGCGGCCGGGCGCAGGGTGGGGGTGCGCAAGCGCCTTTGTCCTGGGCGGGTGGCTGCGGTGGTGCGGGTTTTGTTGCTTGGAGGAGGAGAGTTTGGAGTACGGAAGCGGAGGCCGTTGGACTTTGCAGCGCGCCAGCTCGCGCAATGACGCCCGTTCCTTGGCGCCGATCGTCACCTCAACCACGCTCCGCGCGCACCACTCCTCAGCTGCCCGAACTTGACGTGGCATTCCAGGCACACGCCCTCCCCGAGCCCTCCACCCGTCGCCGCGGCCTTCACTGCGCTCAGCCGACCCAAGCCATGAACCCGCAGATCTCGCTGCCGCGCCATGGCGGCCCGTCCAACAACTTCGGCGGCACCGTGCCCAGCAACCGCCGCCAGGGCGTCAAGATGCCGCGCTTCTTCAAGCGCCTGTTCAAGTTTCCGCAGATGGACTTCGAGACGGCTGTCTGGGAGATGATGAGCCTCATAATAGCACCCAAGAAGGTGTTCCGCTCCATATACTACCACGTAAGGCAGCCTGCGCCTCTTGCGCGCGCATGCGCCCGACACCCGGCTAACGTTCTGTGCAGAAGCGTAATACTCCTCGGCCGCCTCGCCTTCGCAGCGGATGCTGACGCGCGCACTAGAGACGAAGAACACCTGGCACCGCCCTGATCCCGCCTTCACCTACCTGCTGTCCTTCTTCCTGATCCTGACCTCGCTCGCCTGGGGTCTGGCCTACGCCGAAGGCTTTGGCAAAACGCTGCGCATAATGCTGGTGTTTGTCTTCGTGCACTTCATTGGCTTGTCTCTGGCTGTCGCGACCTCTGCCTACTTCTTGGTTGGACGACTGTTGGGTCCGGGTGTGCCCGGCTTGCCCGGGCGGCGGAGACAAGGGCTCTTTGTGCAGCCAGGCGACGGAGAGCAGCTCGAGTTTGGATACTGCTTCGATGTGAGTCCGGCCACACGACTCGGTCGGAGATGCCCTCACAGACTAACGCACAGCTGCGCAGGTCTCGATCCGCGCATTCTTCCCTGTGTGGTTCTTTCTTTACGTCATTCAGTTCCTCCTGATGCCTCTCATTGCCCGCGACTTTTGGGTTTCGTCGCTTGTTGGTAACTCGTTGTACCTGCTTGCTTTTGGGTACTATACCATCATCACCTTCCTGGGTTATAACGGTATTTCTCCACTTGAGCAGAATCGCAAAGTCTTCCTTGCTAATTATAGTTCAGCCCTCCCTTTCCTTCACCACACTGAGCTTCTCCTCACCCCGGTGGCTGTTTTCACCGTACTCTGGTTCATCAGCTTGTTCGGCGCCAACCTGCCCAAGCATTTGGCACCCGTTTTATGGGCTGGGGCCAAGTTGCGCAAGTCCGTATGATTTACCTGTTTACACTCATTGGGATCTCAAAAAGAAAGGATGCGGTCTGCGTGTTGTAATTCTAGCGATATAAGCTCGGCATGGGTTGGCGTTCTGGGTTCTGCGTGTTTTACATTTATAGTTGACTCGTCGCGAAAGCTTCCTGTATAGTATCTGGCGTCAAGGCCTAAAACGGTGGGGGTTTCACTTGCTCTCTCCTCTTACAACCAAGTGAACCATCGTCTAAAAGACAAAGTCAGCAGCTTGGTCCTGCATTTGCGTGGAAGATACTATGTATACTATTGGTAGTGATCTCTGTCGAATCTACGGCGATCCCTCACTCGCTCCTTCGGGTTGAGTGTTCAGTCAGTAACCAGGCCGCTTTTACTCGACACCATTGCCTCTACATTTTACTGTTTCAATGACATCCTACATTCATGATCTTTCATGATGGGCATCAAATGGAAACCGACTTTTGCATCGCGATCAACTCAAGCCAAGGGAGGTCTGCATGTAGGCCAACCAAATAGCTTAGCCCTTTCCCCTACGTCTTTGACAATCTCCGTACCCCCAACAAGAGACAGCTGAGTGTCGAGCGTGCTGTGTGCCATTGTATAAACAATAGCGACGAGCGGTAAATCAAGAAGCCAGACGAAACTTCATTTATATCTGTATCTATTTCTAATCGCTTCACCGCGCAAAGAATAAATCTATTCACACAACACCTCTCACCCCATGTCGTTATGTCCTCTAGTGAAATGTGCACATGCTACCAACCATATCGTACAACGCCTTCCTCATACAAACAACCACTTCGCAAGTGGTATATATGTTGAGCCGAGAATATCCCACGTACATCCCCCCCTCAGTGTCGTCTACAAAAATCTCTTCTCGAACTTCTCTTCGTAGCACTGAATCGTATCGCCAGCCTTGAACTCTCCCCAGTTCTCAAACGCCATACCGCACTCGTTGCCCTTCTGCATCTCCGTGATGTCCTTCTTGACCTGCTTGAGGCTGGAAATTTTGCCTGTAATGAAGAAGAAAAAAAAACCGTCAGTCAGTCTCATGGCTTTTGTCAAACGCAAGAGCGGGAGGGGGGGAAAAGACAACATACCATCATAAATCTTCTCGTCCTTCCTGAACACGCGCACCTTGCTCCTGGCATTGACGACGCCGTTTGTAACCCTGCAGCCGGCAATGTTCGACGTCTTCTTGCGGGCGACCTTGATCTCGAAGACTTCGAGGACGTTCGCCTCGCCCGTGACGCGGTGCGTGACGGCCGGTGCGAGGTGCTCGCTCAGCAGCGCCTTGACGTCGTCGACGAGGCGGTAGATGACGTTCTGCTCGAGCAGGCGCACGCCCTTCGCCTCCGCCATGGACGCCATCCGCTGGTCCACGGCCGTGTTGAACACGACCACGTGCCCGCCCGCCGTCGCCGCCAGGTCCACGTCCGACTCGCTGACGGCGCCCACGCCCGTGCGGAGCACCCGCGGCTGCACCTCGCCGTTGCCCACCGTCATGACGTAGTCCACCACCGCCTCCACCGACCCGGACACGTCCGCCTTGACGACGAACGGTATCACCTTTGGCCCGCCGCCGAGCTTCGCCGACTCGAGCTCTTGTTGCTCTGCCGCGGCGACGGCCGCTTCTGGGTCCTCCGCGCCCGCTTCTGCTGCGGCGGCGATCGCCTGCTCGCGCTCGCGCTCGCGCTCGCGTTTTTCGTGCTCCAGACGACGCGCCTCGTTGATTGCTTCCATGTCTTTGGCCATCTGGATGCGCTCCGCGTTGGTCTCACGGTATTCGACGACCTCGGCGGCACGCCGCTCGTTGGGTGCCTCGAGGACCTCGTCGCCGGCTGAAGGCTGACCGCGCCAGCCGTCGATCTCGGCAGGCATGCCGGGGCCAACCGTGGGGATTTCGACGCCCGCCTCGTTCCTGATCGAGCGGACGCGAGCGAACGTCTGGCCAGCCACGATGATAGAGCCGACTTTGAGCGTGCCGCGGCGGACGAGCACCGTGGCGGCCTTGCCTGACTTCTTGGTCGAGACTTCCAAGACCCAGCCCTCGACCGGGCCTTCGGGGTCGGCGCGATGGTCCAGAATTTCGGATAGCGTGATGGCAGCTTCTTCGAGGTCCTGCATGCCCTGGCCGGTCTTGCCGCTGACGGGAATGGCTTGGATGTCTCCACCGAAGTCTTCGACGTCAACACCATGGCGAGCCAGGTCCTGCTTGACCTGCTCGGGGTTGGCGCCTTCCTTATCAATCTTGTTGATGGCAACGATGATGGGAACACGAGCGGACTTGGCGTGTTTGATGGCTTCGATAGTTTGCGGCTTGACACTGTCGTCGGCGGCAACGACAAGAATGACGATATCCGTCACGTTCGCACCACGCTGACGCATGCTGAGGAAAGCAGCGTGACCAGGGGTGTCGAGGAAAGTGATGGTTTTGTCATTTGAGAGGGGAACGCTGAATGCACCAATGTGTTGAGTGATGCCACCGAACTCGGTTGCCGCGACCGAGGACTTCCGTAAATAGTCGAGAAGGGTGGTCTTTCCGTGATCGACGTGCCCCATGATAGTGACAACGGGCGGACGAGGGGGCAAAATCGCCTTGTCTTCTGGCTCTGGAGCGGGGTAAAGGTCGAGGTCGTCCGAGGGATCGGCGGCGACGGGCTCGAAGTTGTATTCCATAGCGATCAATCCAGCGTTCTCAGCGTTCAAGATGTCGTCATTCATGATGTCCTCAAATCCAAGCTCCATCATCTTGTTGACCAGGCTTTCCGTGCGAACCTTGAGTAAGTTCGCCAAATTGGCGACGCTAAGATACTCTGGAAGGTAGATTGGTGTCGGAGGAGCCATTTCTGTAGCAAGCTGCCTTTTCTTTTCCTTCTTCTTCGACTTGCGTTCGAGGCGGCTGATATCGACCTCGTCCTCTTCGTGAACTGAGAAATTGCGACCACCCTTAGCCTTCCGTTTGCGCGGAGCTTCCTCTTCCTCGGCAGCGGCAAACCTCGAGAACCTCGCAGCACGCTCGCGTTCCCGAACCTGCTGTAAAGCGGTATACGTCTGTTCCGATTCTTGGGGTTGCATCTCAGTTTTTTGAGGCGGCTTTGCCTCGAATTCTTCAGACGGAGCCGGCGGCCTTTCCGCTGGCGATCTCGCGACCTGGGCCATTGAAGGATCGCGCTCAACACTCGGCGGTGGTTGCGCCGGCGATCTCGGAAGCTGAGCCATCCGATAGTCGCGCTCAAAACTAGATCGTGGGTTCGCACGAGGTTGAGACCTGTCCTGGAACGAGAATGATTTCGGTTCGGGTGCGGCGGGTGCGAACATTGTATTTATCAAGTCCTTCTCAGAGCCTCTGGTGGATGGAGGACGGACAGGCTGCGCCTGCGCCGACCTCGTGAAACCCTGTGGTCCCGCCTGCTGTTCTTGTGCCGCACCACCACCGCCGCCGCTGCCGCCAAAGCGGTTGAACCTGCCCAGAAGCTTCTCCTGGTCCTGCCCCTGGTTCAGCGGCACAAAGCGCTTGTCTCCATCCGGTCTCCCTGATGTTCTCCTCACTATATTCACCCGCTGTGGGTACTGCTGCTGAGTCTCTTGCCGCCTTTGATCCAGCCCATTATCCCTGCTCTTCGACTGCATGTGCGTCCACCCCGACGCCTTGGACATGTCGAATCCTCTCACGTCCTCTTCCCTCTCGCGCTCCCTCAACTGCCGCGCTTTCTCGACCTGAGCCTGGTATTTCGGAATGCTCATCCTCTTGACAACTCCTCCGCTTCGTTGCTGCTGCTGCTGCTGGGGAGATGGCGCCGGGGCTTCTTGTGAGAACAACGCGTTCAGAGCCGCCGCTTCGGGATGGATCGCCGCTGATTGAGGTTGTTGTGGCTGCTGCTGCTGCTGCTGCCGCCGCAATAGCATCTGCTGCTTCATAGGAGGTATTGCAGGAGCAGCATTAAATTGCTTCCGCACAGCATCAGGTCCGGCGCCGACATCGTCGCGTTTCTGCTGCTGCTGCTGCTGCCGTAATAGCATCTGCTGTTTCATAGGCGGTACCGTAGGAGCAGCATTAAATCTGTTTCGTGCGGCATCAGGCTCGGGGTCTACATCGTTGCGTTGCTGTTGCTGTTGCTGCGCCGCGGCGCCGGAGCCGAAGTTCTGCGAGGGTCGTGACGAGGAGATGGCGCGGCGTTGATGGAGGAGGTTTCGAGCCGCGGCGGGGGCGAAGGGGGAGGAAGAGGACGAGGCCGGGAGCGGCAGCGGGTGGAGAGCGGCGTCGAGGAAGTTGGCGTTGTTGAGGCGCGTTGCGCAGAAGACGCAGACGTTGTGCGTCGACGATGACGCCTTTTGGTTTCGCAAATCAATTAGACGTGATGGAATTTTGGGGAAGTGGAGGTGTGAAGAGCTGACTCACTCTGAGGGCTTGTCTCCGCATCATTGGCGCGGTTTTGCAGAAGGGAGAAGTGGCAATGGGATGAGATACTTTTCCGGTTGGAGGGCAAGCAAGACCTGACGGTGGATGCGGCGCAGGCGCGGACACATTTGTCCCGAGTCATGTGGCGGAGTTATGCAGCGAACACGATTCGTCCGACGCAACTTTGACCATTTATGCTGCGGCCACGACATACTTGAGCAGCATGGGCGTGGCACGTAGAACAGCTGTACTGGGTAATCCCGCATCGGTCCAGTCGAGACACGACGCGATTAGTACCAGGTCACATCGTTTGTAGAAGCAGGATTAAATTTTTTTTTGTCACAAAACCAATCAAATAATGCAATTGGTATCTCCCAAGGTATCAAAAGTAGTCAACCAATCAAACGTGAACCACGCCATTGCATCCCACAATGTTGCGTCGTCCTTCCCCAAAACCCAATATCTGTAATGTTCGACTTATTCGGATCCCTGAAGCTTCGCCTCGCCCTTTTCCGCCTCGATGATGGAATGACGCCTGTCGTTGGCGTTGTACACACTGTCGGGCAACATGTTCAGGTGGTCCTCCTCCTTGTCGAGCTTGCGGAAGCAGATCCAGAAGAAGATGCCGCCGAGGGCAGCCAGAATGGCCGAGACGGCGTAGTTCCAGACGAGGAGCGGGTCCAGAGCCAGCGGCACGAGAGCCTGGTTGAGCGCGGAGCCAATTGCCGATTGGAAGAGGAAGACGGACGTGACGAGCGATCGCATGTTGTGCGGCGCCTTGGTGAAGGCGTACTCCAGGCCCGTGATGGACGCGAAGATCTCCGAGAAACCGATCAGAATGTATGCCAGCGATTGCACCCATACGTTGATCGGCGCCTCGATCTGGTTGCCCTCCTCGTCCTTGCACGAGTTCATCTGGTCACCGCATTCGCCCAGCTTGTAAATGTAGTACTGCGTAACTGTTGCCGCAATCATGGCGAGCGTGGCCATCAGGAAGCCGACCGCGACACGCTTGAGAGGCGTGAAGTTGATGCCCATCCTGCGCAGAGCCGGGTACAGGAAGTTGTCGACGAGCGGAATGAAGATGATGAGAGAGAGCGGGTTCAGGTTGTTGATGATGTCGTTGGGTGCGCCGTTCAGCGTCATGGTAGCAGCTTGCGAGGTCAGGTTGTTCGTCATCTGGTTGTACGCCAGCCAGTACAGAGGGTAGAAAAGGAACACCTTGCAGGCCTTGAAGCCACGACGGACCTCGTCAACCCATGCGTCGTCGAAGGTCATCCACGCGGGCTTGGAATCTCCGAGCGAGCTGGGCTTGACACTCTCCCAGAAGTTGCCGTTCTTGAAGTTTGTAACAGTGCGGACGGGGTTCAGAGAAAAGCGGCCCTTGGCACCCAGTCCAATAAGCCTGAAGGCCTTGGCGACCACCGAACCGTTGGGCGGAGTGGTCCTGTACTTGCTCTTGCACCAGAAGAGGACCATCGGGCAGAAACAGAACATGATGGTGGGGAGGGTGAAGGACAGCCAGAACCCGACATACTTCTCAGCGAAGACCATGCCTATCCATGCAAATCAGTACTCTGTATGGCAAACGGGTGAAGAATTGAGACACGTACAGACTTGGCCGACCAGAGAACCAATGTTGATCATCATGTAGAAGTAGAGGAAGACGCGGGCAACAGTAATGGCCGGGTCAGAGAGCACGCGCTCGCCGGTCTTCTTGTCTCTGATGACCTTTGGCTTGATGTCGGTGATTTGTTCGGCAATCAGTGGCGAGATGTTGGACTTGAAGCCGCCGGTACCGCAGCCCATGATGACGAGACCAACGGCGAAGATGCCAATGGCGGTGTCCGGCTTGGTGATGACAGCAGGCGATGCGGAAACGATGAGGAACAAGTGACCAATGAGCGAGATGAAGATGGACCACTGGATGGTCTTGAAACGACCGAGGTACTCATCGGCAACGTAGGCACCGATCAGTGGGCAAGTGTAGGACCAGAAAGAGTTGACTAGGGCGAGTGAGCAACCTTGGACATGCTAGCGTGCCTGTGGGACTTACAGGTGGTCAGGCCGGTGGAAGTCTGCTGGCCACGGTTCAAAGCACCAGATTGGCCGTCGAAGCCGGCACCCGTGTTTGAGCCAGCCGGGAGGGGCTGCTGGATGTAATTGACGTCTTGGTCCGTCAGTGCTACCACTCCGGCACAATATCGGGGCCGGTGGGATATGACATACAGACAATAGTGGTGCCATAGTACGAGAAACGCTCGCACAGCTCCACGAAGGCGATGGTGTACGTGGTCCACGGGATCTTGCCTGAGACGCGGAAGAGGGTGCGGAGGTCCTCTTCGGTGGGCTTCTCGTCGTCGGCGGCGGTGGACTCGGCGCCGTCAATCGGGGCCTCGATCAGCTCCATCTCCTTTTCGCCGAGCGGCGTCGGGGCGGCAGGCTCATGGCTCTTCGCGATTTCGGCGTCCTCGATGATCCTGCTCATGGTTGCGGCTGCCCGGGTGGGTGGTGGAGAGAAGAAGATCTCGAAGCGCGGGCGGCTGGGCGACTGAGGCGGGCGGCGCCGTGAGCAACCTCGAAGCAAGTGGGCTTGGGATGGAGTAGTAGACAGGCTGCGCGCAGAGGCGAACAAAGGGTGCGCGGGCCATGGACGAGGTATTATAACTTCTGGCGACGCAGCACACGGCAATGGCCCAACTGGGAAGGTGGCTGCGAATCACCGGCGCCCAGCATCTTGGAGCGGCACCCTTGCGCCATCGTATTCGAGATGGAGGCCAGACGGCTGCCAAGGCCACGCGCCCGCTGGAGCGACACGCGAGGCGCGCGATAAGCAAGGCCGGTATCTCCAAGCTCCCGCGGGCGGCGGAGAAGACGAGGCTGGGCGCCGCCGCTTATCCCGGTCGAGCAAGAGCTAAGACCGCGTACGAGTCCGCGGCCGCGCGCCAAGCTTTCCTCGCCGGCACCTGCGAAGACGTGCCAGCGCTCGGAGACGCTTTTTGCGAAGGGTTTTCACCGCGCGATTGCGTGCTCGTCGAGGCGGTCGAGGCGGTCGGAGATGGCCGTATTGCGCGCGCCGCTCCTGGTGCAGCCCCGGTGGCGCGCTGTCAGATATCGCAGCGCTTGGCTGGCAGGACGGGGCATGCGGCCGGCATCCTTCCTGTGCACGTCGTCTTCCAGAAGGTCTTGGACCTGCCGGGAGCAGCAAGGAGGGTGGGAGGTGGCGGCGCGGGCTGCGACGGTTTGGCGTGATAAAGGGCCCCCGGCCAATGGGCGCCGCGGTTGTCCTTGGCGGCCAAGCCTGGGCGGAGCGACGTCGTCGGGCCACTGCTCCAACCTGGCAGACGTCGCGTCGTCGCCCCGGGTGAGCATTGCGTGCAGCTCGCCATGTCGTCGTGCCCATTGGCCACCGCCCGCTCGTATTTGCCGCTATCGCCTGTCGCCTGTCGCCTGTCGCCTGTCGCCTGCTGCCCGCCGCAACCACCAGCGCCCCGAAGGAATATCGCCAGAGCGCTGAGGGATTCCGCCGCCGTGACTCTGCGCCGCGTCGGTCACAATATCGCCTGAGGATCGAGGCGCGGCGGTCGCTATCAGAGTGTCACCCGAACCTGCTCTCGTGGCTGGCCTCGTGCCGCCGAAATGAACCTTCCGACGTTTCGTGACAACACGCTTTCGACGTTGACTCGCGTCGTGTTAGCGTGGCAATTTAGTATTGGGTTGCCGCTAAACCCGCATCTCATGCGTCCCTCGAGCTGCCGTCGGCCAGCTCCATGTCGCACCGCGCTCTGCATGCAGTTAGCACCCAACACAGAACTGAGTGCACGCCCAGTCATCATGAGGCTTGTACTTGTGCGGCTAGAATTTCTGCAGCTAAAGCAATCCCCACGATCCGATGCAAGCCGTCCGTTCTCCCGGGCCTGCAGTGTCCGTTTTTGCGTTCCACCCCCAGGATATCTTGCAACCTAGCCTGAACCCACGAATCAAGTGTCTCAGAAAGCCTTGCCACCATATGCGCCGTCCATGTGTGAAGATGTGCGAACAAGGGAGGGAGCTCTTCCCTCAGGGCATGTACGCACCGCCCGCCAAAACGAGGTTCATCCTCGTAAACTCCACCTTGTACACCGGGCTCTTTTTGGTTGGAAACGCGCTTATCTGATCTGCCGTGATGACCACATCCTTCGCCTTCTTCTTGTTCGCACCGCCAGATCCGGAACCACCGCCATCGATCTTGGTGCCCGAGCCGCCCTCCGCAATCACTTTGCCATTGGCGCTCTGAGTTTCCGGTGTCTCTTGGAGCACATCCCAGACGCGCACAGTGCCGTCGGCACCGCCCGATATGATGACTGAAGATTCGACGCTCCAGGAAAGCGACCATACCCCTCCCTTGCTATGGCCGCGCATACGCTTGATGCGCAACCCCGCCGCGATGTCCCAGATGATGATGTTTCCAGAGTCATCGGCGCTGGCAAGCTTCTTGCCGCTCGGAGAGCAAGCAAGTGCGGTGATGTTGCTCGTGTGGCCGGTGAACATCCGCAGCGGATTGCCGTTGATGTGCCACATGCGCACTGTCTTGTCGCTCGAGGCCGTGAACACATAGGCACCGTTCGGGTGCCATTCCACACAATCCACGTCGTTGTCGTGACCAACGTACAGTCGGTGCGGTGCAATGTGGTCTGTCGTCCAAAGACGCGCCGTGCGGTCGAGAGATCCGCTAAGGAAATAGTGTCCGAAAGGTCCCCACTTGACGTCCCAGATAGGCCCGCTGTGTGACTTGTACGCTGTCACGCACGTCCAAGTCTCCAAGGACCACAGACGGATGGTCTTGTCCGCCGAGCTGGAAAGGAGATACTTGGAACGAGTCGAAGGCCCTCCGGAGGCAGGGTTGGCAGTGGATGGCGAAAACGAAACGGCGTAGATTGGACCCGAGTGACCGATCAGCCGCTTGGAAGCGGATGGCTTATCGTTCGGGTTCACAGATGGGAGTGCGTTGCCGTTCAAGGACCATACGCGGACGTACGACTCTTGCATACCCGCGGCGACGAACTCGTTGTCGCCAGAGAAGTCAAGGCAGTTAATGCTACACCCAGATCAGCACATGTTAAACCATGGTGCATCGATGACATACCTGTCAAATGTGTTGTGGAAGGTGAACATGCAGACACTAACGCCAGGGCCAACGCCTCCGGTGCGACCTTCAATCTTAAACCTGTCACGGTTCTCCTTCACCTTCTGGACCTCCATCAGGACGTCACGGGCTAGAGAAGGAGGCAAAGGCACTGTTTCACGAGTCGGTGCCTCCTCGGACGATTCCCGCTTGATGCGTTGTTCAAACTCATCAATAAGGGAGTTCTGGCCAGGCCGTGGAGGGTTCTTGCTGTCTTCTTCCTGAAGCTCGGCTCGCACATCCTCCATCAAATCTGGCTCCATGGGAAGAGCCCCTAGTTGCAGCTTCGCGAGAACCGGAGGTGCATTTCGGTCTGTGTTGGCTGAACCAGGGTTGTGACCAGGAATACCCTCATCTTCGGCAGGTAAGTCTTCTTCCACGCTACCGCGAGCAATCATAGCAGCCAGGCTCCTCTCGTTGCCGGTCGCAGTGCGATCCTGCGTGATGATGTTCATGAACTTGTTCATGAGACTGATGATGACAGAGCCTCCTTCCCTCTCCTTGGACTCCAGGTATTGGATGAGGCTGTTGAATGCCATGTTGCTCAACGTCAAGCGATATTTGTTGCCTCTGTAGATGTTTGCGATGTGGCTATCCGCAACGTGCTCCGGAAGGCTTATCGTCGACAACTGACGAACATCTTGGTCGTGTTCCTGGATGAAAGAGTCCTTGTATCTGGTGAAGAAGCTACTAGCGTCCTTTTGGTAGAACTCTCTGTGCATCTCGAGGTAGGAATAGACGAAGATGGGCCAGAGAAGTCGCCGAAGCTCGACCTTGTAAAGTTCAAGGTTGTCCTCGATCCAGGCGCGAAGCAATTCGAAAGCTTTTTCATACTGACCACCACCCCGGTCTTCGGCGCGAGTCACAATGGGGCGGCCATCGGCATCCTGATTGGCAGACTCCTTGCGAAGCATAGCCTCTGTTCGGTTGTAGCCCTTCTTGTTAAGGTATTCTAAGACCTAGGAGAAAAAACGAGAGATTAGCGCGTTGCTCGTCCAACATGTGCTGGCAAGTAGAACTTTATCTATTAGCTCGTTTGCGACAGCTTTCGCGTCTGGAGATTGCCGGGTCGACATCATCATCGGGAACAAGGAAACACCGAGAATGGACTGCAGGGTGGAAACGCGGTGGCAAAGATGTAGGGAAACGGGGCGGCCCAACACGCTGCTTGGTCCGAGTGAGGTCGGGATCAAGCGAAGCGACCAGTGACTTCCAGAAGTCCGGTCGCGAAAAGGTGAGGGTGGCACACGAGTTGAAACGCGATTTTGGGGGTGATAAGAGAAGATTGAGGAAGCCGCGACCTGTCGAGACTGCCCAGCCCGAAGGGGTTGTGCATGCAAGCTCGCCCAACCAGGGTCCATGCGAAGCCAGTAACGGAAATTCGTGTGCCGGCGACAGTGGATGAAATCTGCCGCTGCACCTTTATCATCCTGGCGTTGGTATTTTCAACACCGTACACGAGCACCGTGGGTGAGCCAAGATGATGTGCGGCACAGTCTGATGCATGGGCTCCCAAGCAGCGGCAACGGAATGGCTCTAGGGAAGTACCAAGGTCCTAGCGGGCCCCAAAGTTCCCGGCCGCGGCAGCTGACTCGAAATAGAGCAAGAGAAAAAGAGAAAAGAGGGAGGCACCTACGATATGGTTTAGGTTCTGGGACGACTGCGCAGTGCCGCCGGGTGCGGCTCCAACGGGAGGCACGCCACCCTGAGGCGCCATGGGCTGCGAGGGGCCTGCCATGCCCGCAGTGGGTGGGCCGTTGCCCACACTCACACCGCGTGAGTGTGCGGACCCACCGCCAGGCTGAGGGCCGGACATGTCGTCGTCGCGGCCGATCGACTCGAGGTTTCCGGCGACCAGTCGGGACTTTTTTTCTCAGGCGTCACGCGTTTCGCGGCGCTGCGTCTCCCTTCGCAACCAGTAGACCGAGAGGGCAGAGCTACTCCGACATGAATTACGGGTCCACTTGGAGTGAAGGAGTGTGATGCGGTGGAGATGGACGAGGGCGGGATTGGTGAGGGAGACGCTCTCTTGCAGGTCGCACACGTCGCAACGCGCAGGCAGGCTTGGGAGGCTGGGAGTCCGAATAAGATTTAGCGCGCGGCCTGCCCTCTGGTCGCCGCCGTTCGCTAATGCAAGCCATCCCGGCTGTTGATCCTCCACCTTCCTCAAACCAAGTCCACCGCACCGATCGGCGCCTCAACTTCTCCATCCTCCGCCAGGAGCTCGCCTTCCCAAGCCCCGCTTCCCACACGCCTTGCCAAGCTCAAGTAAACCGCGAGCATTCCAACGCCGCCCTTTTAACCTCCCCACTCCGGTCCAAAACATGTCCGCAGACGCCTACAGCAACGACGTCGCCGCCGAGCACATCCAAGAGCTCAGCAAAATCAAAGAAGTGCGACCACCTATCAGACCCCTGACTTAGAATGAATCCGGCGAGATTTGTGCCAAATCACTGACCTTGCGGCCCTCCCCCGCGCTTTCCAACAGGACGTCCCCAAGCTCCTCACCGCTGCCAGCCACGCCATCAACGCGCTAACCAACCGTCCACTCGCCTCCGACGACCCTTCTCCCGATCCCTCCTCCAACTCCACCTCTGACCCCCTCGCCGCCCGCAAAGAAGCCTACCAAACCCACACACGGACGTACTTCACGCTCGTCCGCGAGATCTCCAACAACCTCTCGCGCGAGATCGGCGCGCTCGAGGACGCCGGCGTGATACCGGCGAAGGCCGAGAGAGTCGAGCAGGCACAGAAGCAACAGCAGCGACGGCAGCGCGACGGCGGCGGCGGCGGCGCGGGTGCCGAGGTCAAGAACGGCGGCTTGGGCGAGTTGGACGTCGGCTGGCTGAACGCTCGAACGAGGGACGTGGGCGTGGGCAAGGCGGGGGAGCTGGTGGCCGAGGCGAGGAGGCGGCTGGAGGAGAGGAGGAAGAGCGGGGCGCAGGACGCCGACGTGAGTATGGAATAGGGCGCGTGGGCAAACCGAGGAGGACGGCGCGTCCCCGGCGGCATGATTGGGGCGATTTGGGATATGTTGGCATTGGACGGAGTTGGCTTTTTGGTCACTCACGATGCGCCGGTCGTGTGGACGATATGAGCACTGTGAATACCCAGGATATATATAATTGGGGCTGCAAGATATCGACAATGCACCGCGCCCGTTGATGTAGATTCACAGCGCCTGTTGTAAGTATGCCTAGTCACAGTGAATAAGGCGAAAGATGGGGTATGTTCTAACGAAGCAAGTAACGTCTCTGCAGAACTGACTTTTATGCCGCCAGTACTCTTATCTAATGTTACATAAAGGGATTAGCGAGGCTTGCTTGCATCTTTGCTAATTTACCATGTATTCTTTCTCTTTCCTTTCTCTTTGACAGTTTCTAGCATGCCAACGTGCAACTTAGGCTTGGCAGCAATACTGGACATCATTCTCGATGATTGCCTTCACAAAATGCTCTATTCATGGTCTTAAAAGCATGCAGTGCTCCTGAGCAAGAAAGGCATTCGTACTATATACACAATTAGATAGGCAATGTACCTTTTTAAGCTACTCGGACCCTTCTGATACGTCGCAAACCTTCAAGAGAACTCGTTTCTCCACCAGACATCCCCATCATGTTTGCCCTCACCATGGTTATCCGTGCTTTCCTTGCGAACAGTTCCCAGGCCGCCCGTGTGGCCATCGGTAAGGACCTTCCGGAATCGACCTTGAGCGTCAAGCTCTTTCCGTTCTTCGTCGAGTGACTTTCTGTATCCGTGGGGGCCTCTTGGAGCAGTCAGAACCGCCAAGCTCCTCTTTTCCCAGGCCGTTTCTGCCATCAACGGCCGGTCTACCCTCACATAATGATGATTGAAGTAGCTAAGTGTGGGAGACCGTGCAATATCATCTGCTTGTGTCATCTCTCCCGTAACGCCACGTACTTCGTTGACTTCTGCGACAACAATGACGTGATCGTTTACCTGCACGCACTTCTCCGGGAGCACGTCGGCGAGGATACAGCCCGCCACAGAGTTGCTCCTAATATATGGCGCAGGGTTCGGATCGACATTGTTCACATTGGACTCCCATTCCACAGTCTCAGCAAGCAGTCGCAGTCGGCCGCCGGGCCGGCTTAGGTAGACCTCGACGCCTTGCGACAGCAAGGCGCGATAGCCCTCGCTCGAATCGCCCTTGGCAAACATCGTGGCTAGTTGAGTAGCGCGCTCCGTCGCCTTCAGCAGGGTGACGCGGAAGCGACCCTGCGTGCGGATCGCGTCCCAGGTCGATGACGGGGTGCGCACGTTGAAGCTGATGACGGGCGTCGGGTCGAGAGAGACGGTGTTGAGTGACGATACGGTCATTGCCCGCAGCTTTTTGATCTCCTGCTCCCGGTCGTTGCTCAAGTCGCCGTACGACACGTCGGTGCTGTTGCCTCCATCGTTGCTCTCGTCCAGCGCCGTGACTATTGCCACTGGATGTGCGACGCTGCGGAACATGTTGCGGATGGTGGAGCGCAGGCGCGCTGGTTCCCACAGCTGTCCTTCGGCTTCAGATAGCTTCTCCTGACTGTCGCCGATGGCAGGAATATCGACGACTTCTTCAGAGGATATACGTGGTTCGTCAGACAATGTGGCAATGTCATCACGGTGACTTCTTCTCGCTGCAGACGAAGACAATAGGCGGCGGGGGTTGCGCGCGGCGTGGTTCGAGAAGGTTGTCACATCTATTCAACGGGTCAGTAGGTCAATCGCTATGCAGAGGAACGCCACGGCTGCCTACGGTTCAAGCGGAAGAAGATCTGGTAGAAGCGCCGTTCGATACGTGAGGCAAACATGATGTCGGTTCAGTTTTCTTCAGAAAAAAGAGCTGGTACGTCCATGGCACTGGAAGCGCGGCTGTTTGGAGAAATGTTGTAGGAGGCAGCGCAGGGAAGGGCGTGGAGGTTGGAGAAATGCGCGGAGCTCCGACGGGGAAAATCGTCTGGTCGTCGGCGATCAAAAGTTACCGCAGCTCCACCACCGCTGACCGCGCCAACTCCATACACCACGCACGCGATGCCGCCCACGCTCACGTCCCCGGCCCTCACGGCACTGCGCCTGAGCAGCAATGCTTCCGCCCTCCTCCCGAAGACCCAATGCCGGCACGCGACGCTCTTGCGGCGACCGAAGCGGCCGTACACCTTCACCCAGCTGATCACCCTCTCCGACGGCAGCACCTACCTGCACCGCACGACCTCGCCTGCCCCCGTCTACCGCAGCACCAAAGACATCCGCAACCACCCGCTGTGGAATCCGAGTAGCCAGAAGCTGCTGAACATCGAGGAGGATGAGGCCGGCCGGCTGCGCTCCTTCAGAGCCAAGTTTGGGCGCGGTTGGGATTCGGAGGTAACCGAGGATCCTGAGCAGGTATGCACTCACTATCCGGTCCTTTGGAGGTGGCGAGATACTCGTAGGGGTGTTCATGGTGAAAGCTGACGAGACCTTCTCAACATAGCCTCGCCAAGGCGATGAAGAACTACCACATCAAGGATCGGAAGATAATATGCTAGATTTGATCAGCGGATACAGCAAGGCGCGGGAAACAAACGCCGCAGGCGAGCGAGGAAAACCAGTAAGCGGGAAGAATGTGAAGGGCTCCAAGTAAGCGTGGGCCATCAACCTGAATACGGATGATAAGATGGACATGCAAATCTGTTTAGATTCGCATCCACAAGGTTCATACGACGCAACATACGACGGGCTAGTGTAATCATGTATGAAAAGACAAGGGCTTTGCACAAAACATTTCGGGCATTCGGGGCGCCAAAGGGGGAATGTGGGCTCCGTTGCCTAAGCTTCCGAGCATCTATTGCTATTTTTCTACATTGGATTGTTTTACAAGTATGAACTCCATGAAGCAATTGACCTCGTGGAGCACCAAGCTGCGTGTGCTCCGCCCACGGCAGAAATACGTAACTGAGTTCCAGCTATTACGAACGTTCCCCAAAGCTTCATAGATAAAAGCTCCTCACTTCAGGGGTGCCCTCGTCAAGATAGTCGCTAAAATCGGGTCTCGATTTAGTGAACTGTTTCTCCAAGTCTGCTGGTCGAAAGGTCCAATTTTTCCAAGCGTCTACAACTTCGTCAAGCATTTCCAGAGTGAGACTGCGGACTCTTACGTCATTCACATCCAACGAGCCCCCTCGCATTGGATCGCGGACTGCTCGTAACTCAGGAAGAATGGCTTCAGATGAGCCGAGACGCAATTTGTCCAGAGAAGTCCCAAGTGGGTGAGCATAGCGTTGGAACAGGCTGGAGGTGAGACGCTGCCAATAGGCCAAATCCTTGAGAGCCTGTTCGCGCACCCGAGGCTTTGGATCGAAATCAGCAAGACACAAGCTCTGCTGGGGATAAAACTCGTTCTGCTTGGTAGCAAGAGGCTCGAAAGGTCGGTTGTCCCACTCCAGGAGTGAGGGATTTTGGTAGAAAGCTCTGCGATGGTCAATGACGAGAGGCAGGAGTTGTTCCAGCACTCTGCCCCGAAAGTCTTTTTTGTCCAGTTCAGCCTTGAGCTTTTCCCAGTGCGTTTTCGCCTCTAAACGCTCCTGCGCAGGCCGATTTTCATCTCCGATAATGACCTCAAGACGGCTGACCTCGTCGGCGACAGCCCATTTTTCTATGAACTTGAGATGGTTCCGTCGTCTATCCATCAAAGACTTTTCCAGGACATTTTGCAGGTGGTCCAGCCGCTCCCGCCAAGGGCCAATATTTGTCCATGAGTGAGACTTGGATTTGAACAGCTCCTGCAGCTCGTGCAATTCTTCGAGAGGAGACTTGTCCGGAATGATCTTCGCTCTCAACTCCGCCTGAACGTCCTCAGCGTCCCTATCTTTCAATAGGGACAAGGCCATCTGGTGGTAACGGTTCTGGCGATGGGGCGGAACTTCGATGCCAGCCAATCGCATTTTGTCAGCGGCGCGAACGGCACTGGCGAGTTCCACGGTCGTGTCTTCCCGCGCAGCCCTTGGACCAGGGCGATCGGCTATTAAGTGTATTCGGGTGTGATGGTAAATCGAGAGGTTATGGGCGTCTAGCAGATTCAAATCGTTCGGCAACATGCGTTCCTTGTAGTAGTCGCCAACCCATACCAGCATCCGCACATGTCCATATCGACCTAGGCCGCTACCTGTCGAAGCGGTACCTGTGAGGACGTTGAGCACTTCACGGGTGGCAAAGTAGGTTTTTTTAATGCTAGAAGCTTTTACGCCACTGAGATTCAGGAGCAAGAGCAGCGAGGTATTCGTTTCGTTCAGACGAGGATCCCCCTTGGGAAAGGGGTGCTGGTCAGGCAGTAGACCTTGATGGAAAGTGTTGGCAATCGACGACAAGGCTTCGTCGCCAGCGGGGCCGTCGATGTACGTGGATCCAGGCGCCTCAAGTAGAGGCTTGAGAAAGGGCGTGTAGAACTTATCGGGCTCGAGGAGCACATGGCGTCTCGGTTTGAGGAAGTCGTGGAGTTTGGAGGACCACAGGCCGGCGCCTGGACATACGTCGACGATGTCACAGTTCTTGTACTGGCTGAGCGACGGACCTATGTAGGACAAGATGTCATCTGGCAAGCGTGTCAGCTAGTCGACAAATGCAGGCGCGCACCACAACATACCGCAGAGAGCTGGGTTCACAATGTCCGTACGCGCTGCAGCTGCGCCTTTGCGAGAGTCGCCATCGGCCAGCCGGCGAGCGAGGGGCAGGACGGGCGTCCGCGAGCCCCGGTAAGCCTTGCGCAGTCTGAGGTTAACCTTGGTCGGATTGTAGTTCGTGCCGCGCAGGACAAGCGAAGGTCTCATGGCTCCTCAAAGACGATGTATCGGGCGGCGTAAAGGCATGGTCGTGCAGGCAGATCGACGCCGGGGCCACGCCCAGATGCCCACCGCCCGCCACACCGCCCGCGGCTTCTGACGCTAGGTACTACCGGCTGCACCGTCAGTGACGCACGTCGCCCGGGCCATCAGGCACCGAAGAATGCGCTGGGCACTTTGTTAGGTACCATGAGGTCTGCTGAGTCTCAGCCCCGACTGCACCTGCAATCCACGCGCCCCGTTTCCCGCTAGTCGTCCGCGCCCGCTTTTGCTTCGCCATCCCACCACGCCGGGCGCGCCGAGCAAGTCATCCCACGGCTCTGCACTCACAGCCCACCGCCAACATGGCCTCCCTCAGGATCTCCGAGCCGCTGAGTGTCGAGGACATTGTTCAGCAGGCTGGCAACTTTGACTACAACCAAATGGTCCCGCTCCGCTACTGGTTGCGCAGCGCCGACACCATCCAGAAAGAGGTCCGTCGCCCGCCTCTCCATGCTTCGCACTGCTCACGCTTCTCGATAGGCCCGAATCTATGAACGCGAAGGCAACGACCAACAAGCCTACCTCCTCCTCTTCCGGCATGCCATGCTCATCCTGGAGAAGCTCCAGAAACATCCGGAAGCCAAAGACCCCGCCAACAAGCAAGCTTTGCAGGAGGCCAGGAAGATCGTCGAGCGGAATCTGCCCAAGCTGGAGGAGCTGAGGCCGAGGATAAAGAAACGGCACCAGAGGTTCCAGGAGATCAAGAGAGATGCCGAGAAGAAGAGGGGCGCCGTCCAGAGACAAACAGTAGCTAGCCCTACGCAGCTGGCCCGCGACTTCGACAACCTCGTCCTGCACTCGAGAAAATCATCAGACCCTTCTTTGTTTGGGGGGAAGCAGGCGCTCGATGCGGGCGAGAACCGCGACCTCGCTGTCAAAATCGCGCAGAAGGAAATTCGCCGGAGAGACTTGGCCAAAAGGAAGGTCCGCCAGGCCGGCGTGTCTGACGAGGAGGAGGCAGAGCGCCGGACAGGCGGCATGTGGAACAACTGGGAGGACGATCTGGCCAGCGATGGGGCAAAGGAAGAGCCCGACGATCTCAGTCAATTGATCACCCAAGTTGGTCGCCGTGGACAAGAGGCAGTCGCACGGCGAAGAGGCTCTGTTGACCCGGAGCTCCCGTCGTCGCGTGCCGCTGCATACCAGTATCCTCATGTGCCACAGAAGAGCAACTACGAGCCCTACGCCGAATCAGGTATGAGGCCGTTGACGCCGACGTCTGAGCGCGCTCCACCACTGCCTGATAAATACCCTCTGCGCTCTCCCGTGTCGCCTCCAAGCATTCCACGCAAGATTGCGATAGATCGGGAAGGCATTGCGCCTCCGCCATTGCCAGGGAAGCATCTGGACTCCGACGTGTCCAACGCGCCATCTCGTTCTGCCTCGGCGACTCCACCCCCGCATCAAGAACTGGACTCAGGAGACTACACTTTCAAGCCGACGGCCTTTCTTGAGAACGGCACACCTCTGCGGACAGTCTTCATCCCTCCAACGCTCCGCACCGAGTTTTTACACAGGGCGTCATCGAACACCAGGCAGAACCTGGAAACATGCGGCATTCTTTGCGGCACCCTCATCTCAAATGCACTCTTCATTTCGAGGCTTCTCATCCCAGACCAGGAAAGCACATCAGATACGTGCGAGACGATCAACGAATCGGCCATATTCGACTACTGCGACTCGGAGGACCTCATGGTCCTCGGTTGGATACACACGCATCCTTCTCAGACTTGTTTCATGAGCAGCAGAGACCTGCACACCCATTGCGGCTACCAGGTCATGCTACCCGAAAGCATAGCTATCGTCTGTGCGCCTAGTAAAGATCCGTCGTATGTCGCCACCTTTTGCTCGATTCCCAAGGCGCCGCGTTACTGACTGTTTGTGGCAGATGGGGCGTATTCCGCCTTACGGACCCGCCGGGCTTGAAGGCAATCCTGAGTTGCAATGCACCGGGCATCTTCCATCCTCATGCGGTAACGAACATTTACACCGACGCCAAACGGCCTGGCCATGTGTTTGAAGCGCCAGGGCTGGACTTCCAGGTGGTGGACTTGAGGCCGGGGCATTGAGCATTTGTTCGAAGCAATCAGCCAAAGCGCTTAGCCTTTCGTCGACGATTCAACGTTGTTAACAGCGAGAACGTTGCCCTTCCTTCTTCATGCAAGCTCGCAAACAAGCTTGGTGTAAGTAGTTCCATTCAGAAGATACCCACGAAAGATTGCGTCTAGCTTTGCTTTTTTTTTTTTCCTTCCCTCCTCCGCCCCCCCTTCTCGCAAGCTTAATCATGAAATTTCGCCCTGCCAAACCTCCCAACCGCTCAAGCATTACCGGCAGCCACCTCCGCATGACCTTTCTTCAGCCCCAACGCCTCCGCCTCCACAGCCACATTCCGAGCAATGTCCTCCTCCAGCGACAGCATCACCGGCCGCCAGCCGAGGTCCCGCCTGGCCCTGCTCGCCTTGCACCTGCTGTTCTGGCCCCAAAGCGGGCCCATGACGGGGTTCCCCACCATGGCCTCGACGTCGTCCAGCGAGAGGCAATCCAGCTCGGCGCTCTCGATCAACCCGCGCCGCTTGCACTCGTCGGCGACCAAGCCCGCGACGGCGCCCCACTCGAACTCGCCGTTCTCGGCAAAGTAGTACGCCTGGGGCCCCCACGTGGCCTTTGTCGTCGTCGTCAGCGCCGCCGCCTCGCTCGCGGTGGTGGCGGCGGCCGCGTCGGCCACGAGCGCGAGGAAGACGGCCGACAGGTCCTGCACGTGCACGCCGCACCAGCGGGCCTTGCCCGCGCCGACGACGAACCCCCTGCCGCGCTGCAGCGTGCGGCGCGTCAGCTCGGGCAGCTGGGCGCTGCGCGCGTTGCCCGGCCCGCGGCCGAGGCCGTAGATGCACGGCGGGCACACGATGGCCGTCTTGAGCGGGCGCTGCGGCGCGTTGGCGGCCGCGAGCACGATCTTGTCCACGTCGCGGTGCCACGCCGCGTCGGGCATGCGCGCCGTCGTCAGCTCGCCGACCGAGGCGACGTCGTCGTAGACCTTGGAGCTGGGCTCGCCGTGGACGCGCAGCTGCTGGTCCTGGATCAGGAGGATGGCCGTGCCCGACGTGTGGATGTAGTGGCTGGGCTGGTCGGCGGCGCTGCGCTGCGAGAGGCCGGCGAGGATGGCGTTGGCGGCGCCGCCGTGGTCGCAGTTGGCCCAGTCTGCGGGTGTGCGTGTGTGGGTTAGTTGGAGGCTCTTTTTTTTTCTTTTTTCTTTTGCTTTGAGAGTTTGGTTTTGTGATTTCTCGTGGGTGTCGGTCAGGGGGGGAGGAATGAAACTGTGTCCTGTTTGGGTGGGGAATGATAGGAGTTGTTCGCACGTCTGTACCGTGCTTCGTGGAATGTGGGAATTATGGCAAGGAGAATATCGAAGTCGTTCGTAGACCAAAGCTAAAGAGAAGACGTACTGCACACGATATCCGCCTTCGCGGCCTCTTCGGCGATGAGATCAGAGCTGTCGAGGTCTCCGTAGACGAGTCTGACCTTCGGGTACTGCGCCGCCACCAAGGCCCCCTTGTCGGAGTTGCGGACCAAGCATGTCCATTCGAATTCCGGATGGGCTTTGGAGATGGCGTGCAGGGCGTCACCACCGATGTAGCCCGTTACACCGAGACTGTTGTTCTGATCAGTTTGGCCATGGACACCAATCGGGCGGAGGAGGTATGATGTCATGCTCCAGGAACTTAAGCTGAGGGGCGGATCCGCAGTGTGAAGAACTTACGCGAAGATCTTCGTCATGGTAGCCGGTGAAGTATCAAGTCGCGTCTTGAATTGTCGGTATGGGGGTATTTGAGGTCTGCGCTGAGTGGTGCATGGAGACGTACATTTTGTAGGTAGTCATAGACCGCTGCGACCCCGCACCTAAAATATAGCCTGGCGGCAGGTTTGGAAGGCAGCACCGTGGCACACATCGCCACCGGGAACTCCACTTATTTTATTTCGCGAACTGCCTTCTGACGTTACACACCGCATCTGACGCACCAGAAACCAACACGATCATCTGGGCTCCGCTATCAAATTGAGGGGCATGCAGTGTGGTCGTTCTATCAACAAAACCCAAAACTGTGCACTGCGAGAGGACTCGAAATCATCCCTCAACCACCCACTATCTCACCCAGTTGTACCCTCACTGTAGAATTTATATGCTGAACCATGAGTCCTCAGAGACGAGCCGGCGTTCGGGAAGGGCACTCATTGAGCTCGTTAGAGGGGCACGCTCGAAGAGGTGGAAGCCAAAGATTCATCCGTCGAATTTTGCTAGTAAGATGAGGAAGTGGAGCGGATATTCGAAGGGAAATGAAGGCTGTTCTCGTTATCCGGGCTGATGGTGTAATGCAGGTCTGTCTCGCGGTTCGTAGTCTCCAGGCCTTCGCTTCCAGCCCCAAGCCGCGTGTTGCGGTGGCGTAGCCTCGCCATTCAGTGTCCGACGGCTACTTGATGAGAAAAGGCTTGGAATGGGTCTGTGAGGCATGTTATCTTTCGAAGCGAAGGCTGCCGCTGACGTTTGCGGCGAGGAAAGTTGGCCGGATGGGAGGCCCAGGCAGCAGCGATGTGGCGCACACACACACACACCCAAAGCTTAACGCTCCAGGCCATCAAGTCCCGGTTGACATGATCGCATGCGTTCGCCAAAGGTGCTAAAAGCTGCACTCGAGCTGAGAGCGACAGCATGTCGGCCGTCAGATCAGCCTCTCCATTGGGTTCGCACAGCCAGTCGCCCGGGCTCAATCAACCTCACCCTTCCCCCTCAGCCAGTAGCTGCAGAACTGAGAAGATGCGATGCCATGCAAATGAGGCAGCTCTAAATCTCGGAATTATAGGACGGCTTGAAGCGTTTGTGCTGCGTCCGCATCGCGGGATTCTCGCAGTCTGGTTGTGCTGGAATTTTCGCCACCAGCACGCGCCAGCGCCAGCACCAGCGCCAACGCCAACGGTCCTCTATTATAGAGCGACGAGTCTTGCAGGGCAGGCGGAGTCCAGCGTCGACTTATTCAGACTGTCAGACTTCACGCACTGGTCGGCGGTCAGCGGTGAACATGGGCTGGTAGGCGATGGGAACTGCTCAACTCAACTTTGCACCCGGCTGAGACCCAACACCGCAGCAAGCACTAAAACCTCAAGCCAGCAGGGCTCACGCGGGTGCAATCACTCATTCGAAACCCAGCTGCTTCTCTTCCTCAAGATCCTGCGCAAGGCAGGAAACTCAACGAAAAGATCAAGTTCGCATCAGCCCGAGACAGTGCAAATACAGGCGACACAGTGGGCAATGACATGAGCAAGCTCAGAGGCCACCACCCCAAATCCAAAAACAAGATTAATCTTGATGTTCCCGTAGGAACGTTTCAGAGATTAAACTGAAAAGAACAGATACTACACTTGATCTAAGCCAAAAGGCAAAGAGAGCTGGAGAAGAAATTTTCGGAGAGGGAGGGGGAAGGGAGGTTTAAGTAGTCGAGGACTGCGGCGCTAGTCGACTAGCGCGGGAAAAGAAGTGGCCGCTTTGCAACGCTGGTGCCTGCCCTGTCCGCGCTCAGCCCCGCTACGGGTTCCCCAAACACCCTGGGTGCCTGCCTTGCTGACGTTCACTCCTGCCGCAGCGGATCGCGAACGCCCTGGAGGCCTGCCCTGTCTGCGTCCACCCCCGCCGCGCTTGCTTCAGCGGAATGCGAAAACGCCTTGCGACTCACAGAATTTTACGTAGCTGCCCCACGCTCGCCGTCCGGGGAGGTCGGGACCGCCCATTAGCCTCGATCAAAGGCAGCCTCAGGCTGTTCCTAACATGCAGACCTGCGCACCAAGCAGAGACTTTGCAATGACGCAATAACCGCACAATTCCCATGCTCAAGGTCATCCGGGAGCTGAGCGCAATGCCGGGCGCATGGCGGATTCTCCTGGTAGTTCACGCCTATGCCGCGACATCCGGACTAACCTGGCTGGCCTTCCTCGCTCGAGATTGGAGTATGAGTACAGAATATTTCAACAATTTGAGCCTCCCCGCGTAAGTAGGGTGCAATCTTTGCGTGGTCTCAATTCTTTTGCAGCCGCAGTGCGGAGAAGTTGTTGTATGAGGCTGAACTCTTGGGCGTAGAGCTTGAAATGCATCCGAGCGTGCGAGTTTGCCCATGCGTTGCGGAAGAGACACATCGAAAAAAGGAGCAAGAGTCATAAATACTGACAATGTATGCTTCATGCATGGATTCATCGACAAATGGATGACCGGCAGACTTGATGCATTGCCTCCCACCTTGGGAGATCATGCTCGATGCAGCTTGCTGATAACAAGATCCTACAATGCCGCCATCACAGAAGTTCCCTTTTTTCCCCATAAACCTTCGACCCAAGTATCGACGTCGAGAAATCAAACCAATAGACGATCAATCCAAACGACAACTCAGATGTACCGGTCTAACCTGTGCCGTGGTAATTGATGGTGGCTTGCGGTTCTCTATTGAAAGGTTGTCGAAACCGGAGAGCGTCACCCCACTCATACCTCTCCAGGTGACCCAAGACAAACGGAGTATCATCTGAGAAAGGAGGAGGCGGTACCCAAAGCGGAAGGGTATCCTGGGGACGAAATGCTAAGGGACAAAAATTAGACGCTGCATCTCCCGCGGTAGACCGCGCAAGAGAAGGGAGATGGATACCTCCGCGAAGGTTGGCCCAAGCGGTGAAACGATTGACCCATTGGGTAAACAAGCCTGTGAGATGGCGTCGATGTATGAATGCAATAAGCGGGATCAAAATCATGAGAACAATGGCAATGATGCTCGTGATTGCCTCCACGGTCCATCGAGAGTCGCCGCTTTGAGAGGTACCTGCAGGCATGAGCCCCGAAATCAGAGGCCCGCATGTTGACTTTGCTCACCATTTTCCGCCATTTGTGATATCCTGAACAACACTCGACGCTTGGTGTCGAGCCAAATAGTTGCGAGGGGTATATCAGAGACAGACCTTCCAAGGGATTCAAAGATGAGGGGGTTAATTGTATAATGATGGAGAACGACTCGGCACAGATGGAACAGCGTATACGGCGCCTCAACCCCCGTAGCTGAAGATATGAAAGGTAAAGGGGGTCTGGTTTATCTATAGCAAATATGGGACATGGTCGGAGTTGATGGTTACACAACAAACGTACATACGTCATTCGTTGTCCCGTTGGGGGCTGTACGCTCTTGGGGGCGCAGCCCCGCCACGTACCAAGCGCTGACCATTTGTCGTTTCTTAGTGGTCCACCAGAGGCGCTACAACATGCATGGCCGCTGACTTCAGACCCTTCACGAATCCGGCGATTCCACCATACATATTGTATGTGGTGGATCACGGTATCCCTCTCCTGTCATGCGCCGCTTCAACCGCTCTAGGCCACATTCGTGCTCCTATAAGTCGTTCCCTAAAGCTTGGGATTCGCTTGATCAGCCTTATGACCTCAGCTCCGAAAGTTGCCATATTTGCGAGGGCCTACAACAAATCAAAACTCTATCAGATCATACCATTCTCCGTTCAACGTCCATCAGATAGCGGTCAAGCTTTCCTTTCAAGCGACTGGGCAAGCTCTTGCCCTCTGTTCTGCAGAACTCGCGAAACGTCTTCAACCATTATTGAAAAACTAAAGCTTATCTGATACTTGTGCGTCAGGTGTACTATGTAATGGCCTCATCAAGAGCATGGCCTCTGCGGCACGCGGCACAAGGAATAACCATCATCATCAACCCACAATATTATTGAGAAATACGATTTACTCGTTTAACCTGCTCCTCAGCTCGATGATGAGTACAGCCTCGTCCGTAGGCATATAACTACATATACAAACCAGCGGTTACATTGTAGTTTAGTTCTATGAACATGAAAAGTTGCGCAGTTCTTCGCCAAAAAAAAAAATTAGATGAATGTATCAATTCTGACCGCCCTCACTCATCACAAAATTGAAAGGAAGACACGTAATAATGGTCAAGATCACATATCAATTTCGTTTGCGCCTCTACTGACACGACCAGCGAACAGAGGCCCGTAGGTATAACCCAGAAAAAGCAAATGAAGAAAAGCAAGAACACCGAAGTCTGGGGTTTGATGATCCCATCGAAGACAAGAATGCCCCCCCCGTTTAGAAACCGAATTTACTCTTCACCGCCCCCATCACCATCCCCCTCTTTTGCTTCGCCACGAATTTCTGCACATCCGAAGCGAAGCCTGCCGAGTTGTCCTGCAGCCTTTCCATATTGTCGCCCATAATGTTCAGTTTCTCCGTGCGTTCGTTCATCTGCCGCGATAGATACGCCCAGTAACCTTCCTGACCATCGCTCCCATCTGCCGCGCCGGCGCCACCCGCCGCCGCTGCCGCAGACGACTCGGCCGCATTCCTCTTGGCGGCACGCTCTTCCTCCAGGCGTTGGCGCTGGTCGTCACGTGCGGCCGCGATCTCGCGCTTGGATGGGGGCCGGTCCGGCCCGCCGATGAGCAGATCGATGTCCTCGGGTGTGACATGCTGCGAGCCGCTGATCCATTGCATGTTGCTGATGGTCGGGCGGGGCGGGATCACCATGTTGGGGTTGTAGAGCGCATCATCATTCTTTTGAACGAGGTACTGGCCGATTCCCCAAACGTTGATGAGGGCCATCTCTGCGGGACCAACCCAGCCAAGAATATCACCAGAAGCCGTGATGGTTGCGTCTGCGAAGCGGCGGACATCCATGACGTGCGAGATGTTGGTCGAACCGATCTCCTTAAGGGCTGGGATACTGTAAGCCTTGGCGCAACCATCTCCGAAGAGGCCGACAAGCGCGTAGCCCTGGTCCTCATAGCGGGTAATGGCGGCATTGTCGCAGAGGAACTCATCCCAGGACTTATGTGCGCCCTTGTTTGTTGCTGGCTTGAACACGCGAGCACCAGATTGAGTGACGGCGACAAGGACACCATTGACCTTGATACCTTCACGCAGTCCGGCAAAAGCTCGCTGCGTGGCGAAAGCAGGGGCCCCGGAGTCTGCTGAAATGGGAGCGATGCGAATAACCTTGTCATCGAGCATCACTGCACCTATGAACTCGCATCTGTAGCGGCCGTCGGCCCCGGGAAGCATCCTAAACGTTGCGAGGTGACCTAAATTTGTACCGACGTGAAGTAGCGCGCTAGAGAACTCTTCACCATCCAGCGTCATGACCTGCGGCCATTAGCAGACATCTAATCTTGGGATGATTACGACTTACACTGAACTCGATGGATGTTGGGTACTCCAGCTTCGGTGTGGCTGTCGCACTGCTTCTCCGCAAGCTCTTCCTTTTGTCTGCTTTGATGAACTCCTGCATGCTGGCTTGGTAGATGAGAGCAGGCCCTCTCAGATCTATCACGGCCAGGCTTCCGCCCTCGAAACCAGCAGCAACAAAGCCGATGTCAGCCAGTTTCAGCGTAGTGACAGGTCCATTCTGCTCGTCCAGGAGAGTGAATGGAAGGAGACCCTCCTTTAGAGCAGGATCACGTCGCGAAACGATGTTGGTGAGCGCCTTTGGCGTGTTAGGATCTGGCGGAGTCGGCTCTGTGCCAACCTTTGGATTCGTTCCCCAGCGGAACACGACGACTTCGCCACTGCGGAGGCCGACAGCGAGTTCACCCGTAGCACCAGCTAAGGACAACTTCGTAACCTCGATGCCTTCTTGTCTTCCCACGGCACGAGCGCAATCTGCTTGAAGAGCAGCTTCATTCTCGATTTCGTCACCGTGGCCGGCGTCCCACAGCCGGATCGTACCATCTGCATGAGCGGTTTGAACGACGTTGCGATTCTCGAAACGCTTGAGAGGGTGCTTGGCCGCAACGCCACCTTGCATTATTGCCGGACCATGGGTCCGACTCTCGGTCATGCCGAGCCATCTCGTCCGCTCGATGGGGGCAAGAGCAAAGTGGTTGATGAACGGATGGATGAAAGTCAAAGAGGGGTGAAGCTGGTTCGTAGGCGTGATAGGTAGACCACTAGGGAAGCTCAACGTTATAATCTCTCCGGAGGAGAGCAGGGCAAGAACGGCAATCGGGTCTTGGGCGCCTGCAAAGTGAGGCGAGCTGCGGGGTATCAAACAAAAATCAACAACTTCAGCATTGGGAGGTGTTGGGAGGATGCGCTGTCGCTTGGGGTTCTCGAAGTGTTCGGCAAGGATCTGCCAAGATGACGTCTGATAAACGGGGGTCCTGCCCAGCTCGAAGAAGTTCAGGCCCTTCGTGGGCAGATTTGTAGGAGCACCGCCTGCAACCAAGATGCCCGTGTCATCCGGGTCCTGGTTCGCACACCAAGCAATACGGAAGATTGGCACCTTGACGGCAAAGGTCTCAGGAGTGAGGCCAGTAGTGGTGGCGCCAGCACCAGGTAAGTTGACGTTCGTGTCTTGAAGAGTCCTGGCCATGATGATGCGGCTGTTTTTGGGGTCTTTGCCATCCCGGGGGTCCCATATGACAAGGCTGCCATCCTCATGGCCGGTCAAGATGAAGGTTCCAGTGGGATGCCATAAAGCCTGGGTTAACCTGGGGCTCCTCGCCATGCTAACGCAGTTTGGGTCCGAGTCTCCTCCAGGTGCACCCTGTGGAAGATGGTAATGGAAGAACTTCTGAGGCGCATTCTGCTTGAACGAGTATACGACCGCGCCATTGCTGTACCCGATCAACAGTTTTCCAATGTCGCGGGGGTGGAACGAAAGCGTGACAACGGGGGAGATGCGAGCACGGGTGTCGTATTCTTTCCAGAAGTATGGTATCCTGAAAGGAGCCAGGTATTCGCGGTCGAGGTCGTAGACGAGGACGTCGCCTAAATAACCATCAGCATTCCGCCAACATCACGCTGCCGCAAGCAACCAACCGTTTTGCATGCCCAGCATCGCATAATCGATGGATGGATCCGTGTGCAAGGCGGTCACAGTGCCAGGCGGCGAGTAGGACCGCACCAGCTTCTTGGTCTCCAGCGAGAATATGGAGAGGTCATGTTTGGAATCCAAGCAGACAAGCTTGTCGGCGCAGAACTGGAGTTCCTCGACCGAGGCTTTGGTGGGCAGCTGGAAGACGACGCTCACGCGGCCTTCACCGAAAATGTAGATCTGACCGCGGCCGAACTGCGTGTCTTTTGTGCCGACGGCGAGGAGCGACTGGACGGGGTCGAAGGCGATTTTTGCGACTTGTGAGTTAATGCCGTAGCGACGGATCTGCGCAACGCGTCAGTCAGGCATGCAGGTACGGGGCCAGGAAGAGACGGCATACGTCGTCTATCTGAAAGTGGTCGGCGGTGAGGCCTGCAGAGAGGTCGTTCTGGATGCCCGCCTGCTTGCCGCGCAGGAGGTGAGCCATGGTGGACGGTGCATCGAGGTGCGCAGGAAGGTTGGGTTGCGAAGGCCGGCGAGTTGGAGACCAACAGAGCTGGAGCCCATGGCGTGCAAGGTGCACTTGGCGGGGCGCAGGGCACGCGGGGTCCCTGAAACGTCATGCCCTCGCGTCGCCCAGGCGGTTGATCGGCATGCCGGCAAACACGGCCAAAAACATTGTGTATTTTCTTTGTGCGACTGGCAGTGCACAATTGGCTGTAAAGCTCTTTCACCACTGGAGCTCGTTGAATCACCCACGCCGCAGCCCATGGTCTGTGTCTTGAACGTCATAATCTATCAGTGCTAACTCGTGTTCCATGGCGAGGTATTTCATGCCAAAAGTCAAACCTCACTGCGCCATGCAGAAACTGCGCACGCCAACCCCACCGCCCTTTTTACTTCTAAACCCAAGTCGTACCGCGGCTAGCCAAGCCTTTGGATATTCCAGATCGTGCAGCTCAAATGCTCGTCTAGTGGACCATGACATCGTTTTGTGCAGCCATATGTTGTTGCTTGTTCTTCGAATCGTCGTCCATCTCCATGTCGTCATCGCCGCCACCCTCCATTTCATCGTCCTCTTCATCCTCGCTGCTCTCGCCCTCGATGTCCTCAGAGCCGGCGTCAGAGTCGTCGTCGTCGACCTTGGCCGGGCCAGTGGTGTCGTCAGCTCCACCCATCTCCTCGTCCTCGCCATCGGCCTTGGGCTCCTCTTCCTCCTCGAGATCCTCGTCCGCGGCGTAGGCTTCCTCGTCGTCGTTGGCCAGGTCGGCGTCGGGCTGGTCGGGCGGGAATTCGGCGGGCGCACTCTCCTCCGAGTCCCTGGTGGAAGATCAGCAACACGAAAGCGGCCAGGCAGCAGCAAATAAGCATGACGCACCACTTGATAGCAAAGCGCGTGACCCTAGGCTTCTCGGCCAGGATGTTGCGGCGGACCTTCTCGATGACGGGCTTTGCAGGCGGCTCGGCGATCAGAGCCTCGTCCGTGTACTCGTTGTTGACATAGTATCCCACACGCACAAACTCCCTACCGTCGTAGCTGCAGGTGAGGAGGATGACAGTGACGCCGAGGATCTCGTTGTTCGGGATGCGCGAGAGGTTCGGCGGCTCGGCCTCGAAGACGAACTTGTTCACGCCGACAGGAATGGGGCCGACGAGGAGGGAGTCGAGCTCTTGGTCATGCTCGGAACTGCGAGCCGTAATGTTAGCGGTCGCATCGTGAAGCAGTGGAGGCGGGCATCGTACGAAGTCGCGGAGCCAACGTAGGTGAGCTTCCACTCCAAATCTGTCAGAATGTGAGCGAGGGCGCACGTTGAAGGGCTCCAGGTAGGTGCATACCGGACTTCAGCTGCTCGACGCACTCGAAGGTGATCTCGAACTCGTAAGGCGCGGTGAAGGGCGCGGGGTTGTTGCGGACGTCGACGTTCAGCAAAGACACGACGGACATCTTGATGGATGCGAAACTACGAGCTGAAAGAAATGGGTCTGAGGACTGTAGAAGCTGCTGGTTTTGAATCTGTTGTGATTGTGGATGCAGTGGAATGCAGTGTTGTCGGGTGAGGAAGAAGATGTGAAGGACGAAGCGCACGAATGTTTATGGCCGAAGAGCTGGCGGCGGCACAGGCTGGTGGTGGACGGAGCGATCCTGGGCGGCGCGACGCGTCTCTGAGCTGGTCGCGTCCAGTCGTGTAATCACGCGCCACAGCAATTAAGTGCGCCCGTCCGCAATCTCCCATAGGCTGGCAGCAAACAACCAACTGCAGCCACGAAGCGAAAGAAAATAAGCCCTCCAGATAAAGGGCCATTTGAGGCTCAATATCACATCCTCTCGTCCCCGCAAAATATTTCCACGTGACTTCGTGGTCAAAGCGGATTCTAGTCCATGCGTTGCGGTCGGACCACCCCATTCTCTCGCAAGCGCTCACAGGCTCAGCCACGAATGTTTGGGAGTCTACATGCAAAGTTGCCACTGGTCTCAAGAATTGATTCAACCCTCTCAATTGACTGTTTAATAGGCCGTACCTTAAAAGGTACGATACAGGTCGGGCCGAAATCAGGCTCAAGCAGCGGCCAAACAGTAGTATATGGCTGACCTCTGGACATGTAAAACCTACTGACTCCCAAAATCGTCGTAGCACGGATCAGTTGAAGGTCCGTGTTTGGGATGCAGTCACTGTCCCGAATCACTACTTGTCTTGCTCTGAATGTGCGTGTCCCATCTATTCAGGGATCCAAGAATAGGCACGGATTGTCTCTTTCGTCGCACATCTTGCACGATGTCGGGCAACGACAAACAAACATCACACCATTCGACGGGAGCTAGTCCGGTATGAGTCCCCAGTCAATGGTGTTTAGCTAACCCAAGGCCTGTTTTGGTCGCAACACGACAGTATGACTGCAGATGCACAGCATATCCTGTCTACGACCGGCAGCCTTTGCGTAGATAGTTAGCCGGCGGATACGTCTCGAAGTCGCGAGACTAGAATATGTCTGGACTCTTGCGTTCTTAGAGCACTGACCACCTTCCTCTTTCGTTTCCGACGGCGCCGAACTTGACGTGCTCCCCGTGAACTTGACTTCGCGCTGGAGGAGATATTGTCATGCTTCCACAGCTCTCTCCACCTTGTCTCAAATCTTATACTATCGGCATTTTCACAACTGTTAAGCAGGCAAAACGACATCCGAAAGTGGAACCCGAACCACAACAATACTCCGAGCTCCGAGGCAGTAACACCCATGGCAAAGACGATTAGAGTGGGTGATACTGCGGCAGTCTAGTGGGTAAGTAGAGGTGTAAATGTATGCCCGAAGCCCGAGGTAGCATGTGGCGCAAGATCATATTAGGTCGACGATGTGACGGCATCGCCGAAGGCCGGGGCAGCGTCACTGCCGGTGGAGAGTGCGGCAGTGCAACAGGGTCCAGTTTTGTTGATACGGCTATCAGGCGCGGGACGGGTGTAGATCGGGAGGCGCATGTGCAAGCAAGAGTGCTTTGGACAGCCTAAGGCGCAGGGTGCCTAAGCTGCCTTCCTGTTGCGTGGCGCTCGCGCGGATGTTCGGCAGCACAGGCTCTGCGCCGTTGTGGTGTTGGTGATGGAGCCCCTTTAACGCAGCCGGTTTAACGCCTCCCAATATTGCAATAATTTGCCCAATGCAAATTTTGCCGGCCCAGGACATTATTGGACTCCAATAACACGCGGAGTCAGTGGACAGCTCACCCAGCCTCGAGGCAGATTGTCGCGTTCGTGTTGGGCTCGGGTCGAGGGTACACAGCCTCATGCCCGGGCGTCGCAGCAGGCAGGGAAACGACCGGGCAGCGGTGCTCGCCAGCCCGGTGCCCGCCTTCTCGAAGCTCTGCACTGACGGAGAGGCGAGCGCGCTGGATCCGGATCGGCACTGTCGCAGCCGCGCGGGCCAGTGAGGACGTCTAGCCTTGTGTGTGTGTGTCTTGTGGACTCGCCCGCGGTGTTTGGGCGTGGCCTGCTCTGGCGGCCCAATTGTTTCGCAGCCCGCTGCGGGAGAAGCAGGAAACAGGGCTGCGAGCATGCGCAGGCTTACCTGAGCCGGGAAGTAAGCGTGAAACAAGAGCTTGACTGCGGCGAATGGAGCGCTTTGTGCTGCTCAGCCGCGCGCGGAAAGATCAGCTCCCTACCAGCTGACGTTTGCTAATATATCGCCGCCGCCCGCGACGGCGGCCGTGCACGCAGGCAGAGACAGTCAGCGCGGTCCATATTATTGACTTGTCCTGCACCGCGTGCCATTTTCGTCGCGCAGCCGCAGCCGCAGCGCTCCCGCCGTTGCCTGCTGTTTTGCTCGTGGTAAGTTCTCTGGAGGGGCTGCTGCGCCGGACTGGCCGCGCTAGAGCGTCGGCGTTGCCATCCAGCGCAGTCGACAGCACGCCCGCGCTTTTCTCACCCTCTTCCCACTCCGCTCCTCCATGCCTTCCTCTTCACTGCAGCCCTTCACACGCGCAAGGCCGGACTGCACGGGCATACCGCCACATTCCCACGACCGAGGAGGCTGACTGCGACCCGATCCAGAATTCCCGCCGGGCTGAGCACCAAGCACCTCAAGCGCCGCCGCTTCCCTCCACTTCCGGAGTATTGCGCCCCCCAGCTTCCCGCCCGCGCCTAAACCAAGCATGAGCTACCAGCCGCATCCCCACGCCAATAACTTTGGCCTTGCTGCCACCTTCGTTCCCGGCGGCACCGACGACTACTACCTTCCCCCGGAGCCCGAACTTGTCTCGCCTGCCCCGCAGCGGGTCATGCAAGAAGACGTCGACCAGATCCAGAACCAGGTCGCCCACATGGAACTCGAAGCGAACGGCAACGCCTTCCCGCCCCGCGGCAGCAGCGTGCTGTCCAACGGCTCCAACGGCTCGCAGTACCGACACGGCGACTACTCGCAGTACGGCATGGCGACCGCCGACATCCCCAACTTCTCGCATTTCCCCAAGCTCGTAAACCCGCCGCCGAACATCCCGCCGAACGACGATGAGAAGGAACAAATTCTGGAGCAGGCGCGCATGGGCGTGCTCAACTCCAACGACCCGGAGATGCAGCTGGCGTGGGCGCAGGACTCCCTTACCTGGGTCGATGCCTCCATGGTGCAGGCTGAGCGCATCTACGTCGACCAGGCCCGCCCGCCCACACCAGCCGTCGAGCACCAGCTGCGCGTGGACGCCATGAACATTGTCCAATTCCTCGCCGACCAGCACCACCCGCGTGCTGAGTTCATGCGCGGCATGTGGCTCGAGTTCGGCAAGTTTGGCATGCGCATTGACAAGAAAGAGGCTTTTCGCAGCTACTCGCGCGCTGCCGACAAAGGATATTATCGTGCAGAGTACCGCATAGGCATGCTCTTCGAACAGTCCAACGACCCGGTCAAGGCGCTTGTACACTACAAGCGGGGTGCCGATGCGGGGGATTCGGCCTCGAACTACGTATGTCCCTCTGCGCTGGTGGGGTGGCTTCTCGTATCGCTGACGTCCGTGTAGAGACTGGGTATGATGACGTTGCTTGGGCAGAACGGGCAGCCGCAGGACTACGCAAAGGGTCTGCAGCTCATCAAGCATGCGGCCAGCACCGCCGATGAAAACGCACCACAGGGTGCTTACGTAGGTGTCACAGACGTGGGGTTGAGAGCTGCAAGCTAATCCTCGGTAGGTTCTCGGGATGCTCCAGGCACGCGAACTTCCGCAGATCACAGTCCCGGAGATCTATCTTCCATATGACGAAAAGTCGGCCAAGATCAACATCGAGAAGGCGGCTTTCCTCGGCTTCGCGAAGGCGCAGCTGAAGATGGGATCCGCTTACGAGCTGTGCACCTTGGGTTGTGACTTCAACCCCGCACTTTCTCTACACTACAATGCGTTAGCAGCGAGGCAAGGTGAGCCGGAGGCAGACATGGCCATCAGCAAGTGGTTCCTCTGCGGCTATGAAGGTGTTTTCCAGAAGAACGAGGAGTTGGCATACACGTATGCCGAACGTGCGGCTGAGGCCGGCCTCGCGACCGCTGAATTCGCTCTCGGGTATTTCTTTGAGATCGGCGTCCATACGCCTGTCAACCTTGAGAAGGCCATGGAATGGTACGAGAGAGCCGCCAAGTCCGGCAACAAGGATGCCATTTCTCGTCTGGAGAACATCCAAGTCAACAGGACGCTCTCGAAGAAGGACCATGAGAAGGTTGCCATCAACAAGATCAGGTCCCAATACGGTTCCAAGAAAGGCCAAAGACCAGACAGATTCAGGAACTCGCAGGCTGCTCCTATGCCCACCATCTCAGATTCGGTGCCTCAGTCGCCTATCCAGTCGCCCACTAACGGACGCCCGCCTGTCCGTGCCTCGTCCACTGCTCCTTACCCTCTCGAAGACAGGCCGCCGACAATTGCTCCTTACGACCGACCATCCTCTGCTGCGCCTTACCCGATGGACAACGGTCCGCCAACCCTTGGAGCAATGCCTGGCGCACCACGTCCGACTTCCGCCTTCAACATGATACCACCTGGCCCTGGTGCTCCTGGTGCCCCTGCGGGGAGACTGCCGCCTCAAGGTTACAACTACGGACCTCCTCGTCCTCACACTAGTGTCGACTCGATGAGCCCTACTGGACCTCACCCAGGACGGAAGCCCATCGGTGGGCCAGGTGCACGTGTCTCTTCCGGTCCTCCTGGACCAGGCGGCTACCGCCAGCCTGGAGGCCCAAGTGTCGATCATCCCGAGCAGCATTACACACCTCCACCCCCGTCGGCTGGCCGTCCGCCTTCGTTGCAAGGGCCTCACAAGCTGCAGAAGCAGCCCACGGTGCAGGATATCGGATTCCAGGCGCCTATCGAACAGAAGAAGCCTATGCAGTTGCCTGCTGGTTATGAACGTGCTTCTACTGCATCCACAGTGCCTGCTGCAGGCCCCCCGATGATCCCAGCTCCCCGGCCTTCCGGTGGCGGCGGTAGACCAGGCAGCGCGGGTAGACCAGCTCCGCAGAAGAGCGACTCTGCACCGCCCAGGCAAAGTCAGCAGCCCCAGCCTCCCAAGGAAGCTGCACCCAAGCCTGCAGCAACGGCGCCGCCACCCGGCAAGGGACCAAAGACATTCGATGAGATGGGTGTGCCGAAGGTCAAGAACGACCAGGACTGCGTAAGCTCCACTTTCCGGCCCCTTGTTGGGTTTGACATGCTAATGACGCCGCAGATTGTCATGTAGATAACAAAAACCACCAAAACCGTTATATATTGCTGCATTGATACCACACACTACCGGAGGGATATATGGAGAAGGGGGGCACTACTTCTTGATGGCTTGTTCGATTCTTGGGATGATTTGCTGTTTTTCTTCTTGTTGCGCTTTGGTTTCATCCGTCTCGTTCTCGAACTGTTTGCATAGCGCCGCGAATGTACTGCAGAGGAAGGGGTTTTTGTTGTCCTACACCTGGGGCACCAATATGATTTGTTCTTTGTACAACTTTTTCTCACGGGGAAGAGAGGGGCCTGATGTTTCCGGTTTTTGGTACCGTTTCCTTACCAGCACGGTTGTAAAAGACTTTTATCCTTGAATGGATATGAATTGTACCTGACTTCAGAGCGGAGCTTCCATACATCCAAAGTTAATGAAGACACGAATGACTGCTTGAAGGCGAACCTTTCTTGGCATAGAGCTGATTGGATATGTTGGACCGCATCCTCGTAAGACTGAGCGAGGGCAATGCCATTTTAAAGGGGGTAAAAGTGCCCCGACTCCCTTGACTTGATGGTGAAAGTATACTTGTGGATTGATGCGGATAGAAACGGGGGAAACTTAGTGTGTCGTGAACGTGACGGTTCCGTGTAAAGCAGGTTACGGTTTCTATTGGGTTTGAATATGGTGGCGAGGTTGGCGATTGGCCATGTTGGCTATCCGGCGCACTACCTGACCCGATGGTTCTCAGGTTTTATGATTCAATCATGTTCTATTTTCTGATCGAGGGACGCAACATGAACAGATGCAGTGGACATCTCCTGGCATGACGTCATCCACCATCTGAGTACTTGCAAAGGCCGCGTCACACTCCGTAACCCACTTCTACGACTCCCCTCCAGAGAAACGCGGGCTCTCAGTAATTGACTTCCGAAGTGTTCCCCCGGGGTTTGTAAAGCTCCAACCGACGCCATTTCGAAAGACGAAGAGGTGCGTTGTTCCGAAGCCCTGTCAATAGTGAAGTACCGAGGTTGACGCAGACATAGACCTTCGAAGGCGTGATGTCGGCAAAGGACGAAGCTCAAGACATGACCGGATCAGAAGAGTCCAGCCCAACGTCTAGACAAGACGGGCGCCAGAACGAAGCGCAGCAGGCCGTCTCGGCCGCCTCCGAGGATGCGGCGACAGATCACAGATATCCCCAAGGCTCACACGGCCCTGTTCTGAGAAAGAAGGTGTTGGGTGAGAGAGGGCATGGCCCGGTGGTACACCCCAAACCGACGCGAGGGTGATTGAGCAATGAACCACACTATTTATGTGTGTTGGGGTGGACTTTATTTTGCGATTCATGCAATGTAAACCCGTAAATGATCACTTGTATGCCGGTGTCGAGCTTTTACATACATGTCTGTGGCACCTTCGTGTGTGTTTAGTAATCTTCACTAATACGAACCCCCACCAGAGTTGAGCGTCTCACTTCATCGAGCAAACTTTTTTTTTTTTTCGGAAACCGCTTACAAGCCACCTGCAGCTTTCAATCCACTGATACATTGGACCCTAGCAACTCAATGCACTTTCATCCTCCAGAAGCAAGTCCACATAGTTTTCAAGTCGCAAAGAGGGACAGAGAGATAGAGATAGAAAAAAAGAGCCCCACTAATTCCAGCTACCTCACCAAGTTTGAAGGAGTCGAAGAGCGTATAATTTTTTGCCTTTGCTTTGATCCCTTTGCAACTCCCATTGTCGTCGCACCAACCTTTCTCCGTCTTCTTTCAATTGCCGCTTTCGGTCGCCCTTGCTTAATCATCCATTGCGCGCATGTTTTTTTTTTCTCGCGTGTTTCCAGTGCCTACCCACCCTCCCTCCTATTACCCAAAAAAAAGTGATTGCGAGTGGAGACATGCGCTACCGACACCGGAGATGTACGACGCAGCATGGCGTGGCGCAGCACGCGTCGTTGGTGGAGATGTGGGTGGAGTACGTAGCCGGGGTGTGATATTGTAAATGGCAATGTGGGTTCGTGATGGGCTTATAGCCAGATAGACGAGATCGCATTGTAGCGGCGCGGCTCGTCGAGAGGTGGAATCCACTTTTTGCCCCCTCTCTTTCTGAGGATCTGGCGCCGATGCTATAACGCAAGGGTGTTATGATGAATCGCATGACCTGCGCGCGTACAGTTGATCTTCCGACGATACTAGCTGTGTAGAGTCGGCCCATTCATCGCATGATTATTCGGGCGGATCGCATGGGCGTTGATGCCCAAACGTAAAGGTATTTGAAGTGTAGATTCGCCGAAGAAATTGGTAGATAATCAACGCTGTCTCACTTTTGAGAGCGGGACGAGCCTCGTCGAACTGCCATTCTGTGACCAGAGCACCTTTCCCCACGGTTCTGTTCCAAATGTGCCTCCTCGCTTCCGTTTCCCCAGCCTCAATTTCGCGCACCCCTGCCCCTGCTCCCCCATCCGTCTCGATCGGGCTTCCAATCTGTCGATCATATTTCCCAATCTTGCTCCTGCGACGTCTCGATTCAGCCGTCATTACCTCTCAAAAATACTTTTCCAATCCTCAAGCCACCCGAGAGCGGTTTGATCTTCTCTCCCTCAGTGGAGCCTTGCTGGTCGGTCGAAAGCAAAAACGTCGAACAAATATTCCGAACCTGTCAAATTTCGGTAGAAAGCATGTCTATCGTCTATGGTCATACCTTTTCCGGGCGGCCGTCAATGAGAATAAGGAAAACAGAAGAACCAAAAACGATGCGAAAAAAACAGGGAGCTTATTTACAGCTGACAGATATGATCCTCAGACCCCTGTATTATCAACAACAATGACAAGATAATTGGAGAGCGGCCTTTCACTATGATTAGCAAATTAAGTGTTCCCGGTAGGTTGATTGGAAGCAACGAAACAATTGACAAGAAATTTCAGAGCACGGTCATGGTGGCGCAGTAGCGTTTGAGAGGGTCGTCCTTGTCCTGGCTGGCGGTGGTGCTGCCCTCGCCCCTCAAGCTGCGCACCATGGCGCGGTACTCGTCGAACGTGGGTAGGCGCACGACGTGCGCTCCCTTCATGCGCTGGCGGATGGTGGCGAAAACCTCCTCGGCGCCGGCGCGCTCGATCTCGATCTGCTCGCGGGTCCGGATGTGCCAGGCCAGGTTGATCTCGGCCCAGCCGGTGGGGCGCGTATCCTTCTGTTGCTCGCCGCCGCCGCCGCCGCCGCCGCCGCCCTTGGATCGCTTCCTCTTGCTACCGGTGCTGGGCTTGGTGAAGTCTTCGAGCAGCAGATGGCCGGTGGAGGTGGAGCCGCCAGCGGCGGCGACGCGGATGCTCTTGAGCCAGTAGTTGCGCCACCAGAAGGAGGCGCCGGCGCGCAGGACGTACCAATTGACCCACGAGTTGCCCCAGAAGACATCGCGGCGGTCGGGCTTGCCCCAGTCGAACAGCGGCACGCCGATGTTGAAGTAGCGGTGGTGCTGAAAGGCCATGCGCAGGACGGTCCACATGGCGTCGAAGTCGGCTGCTTCGTCGGGCGTCATCCGCTTGTGGATGAAGTTGCACTGCAGGGCGGTGATCAGGTCCTGGCGGCGCTGCAGCGCGGCGCGCCGCTTCTTCTCGGCGCTCTCCTGCGGGCGGCGCCACGACCACAGGGCGCGCTTCGTCTGGCGATAGACGCGGTTGGGCGTGTATTTTCGCCAGCGTGGGGCTGGCGGGCCGCGGGCCACGAGTTCACTGGGCGGGCTCGTCAGCACGACACGTCGCGGGGCCAGGAACAGGGAAAGCGCGAAAATGGGTGGGGTCGCAACTTACGGAGGCAGTTTGGACTCGATCTTGGAGTCGGGCGTGTCTTCGACATCCTGGGCGATCAGCGACAGCGTCTCGAGGATGCTGAAGCCGTGGGCGATGTGGGCGCGGATTTCGTCGCCAATCTCGTCCTCGGCCGGGACGCCGTCCAGAGCGGGCAGCGGGGTGCCACAGTAGCGGTGACGGTCGACGACGATGGCGGCCAGGTGTCGCGGGATCAGGCCGGTGAGCCAGTGCAGGGTGTAGGGCGACTCTGGGGAGGGGGCGTCAGGGCGAAGCGCGGTGTGGCGACGAGGGTGGGGTATACTCACTCAGCAGATCATGGTCCTCGGGCGGGCGCAGGATGAGCTTGCAGCCGGGGAAGGTGGTGCGGGCGACCTCCTGCACGATGGTGCTCTCGTAGGTGGCGATCAGGCTGCGGAAGGCGCGGCTGGTCAGGCGCAGCTGCAGCAGGGCGTCGATGTCGCAGTTTTCGATGATGAGAATCAGCACCTCGTCCGGGAGGCGCGCGAGACACAGCTTCGCGGCCGTCCAGCGCGCGCTCGGCCATGCGACGGGACCGGGCCGACCCATGTGGCATGGAGGGGAGGAGTGGTGTTAGGGTGGCGGGCTTGTCCTGGCGGGCTTGTCCTGGCGGGCTTGTCCTGGCGTGGCTGGCTCGAGGAGAGCCCCCCTTGGTGGTGGTCGAAGTGGCGGTGCGAGAGAGCACAGAGAGCGATCCATCGTGTCGCGTGCTCCACGGGCTGCTCCGGATTATGCATCTCTGGGAGTAAGCGAATTGCGTACCAGGCTGCGCCTCGGCTGGCGCAATCCGTGCCCCAAGAATGCGCGATTATTGCTCACCGTGGTCGGGTGGGGAGCGGGCCAGCCAGGCCACAGGCCGCCGCTCTCTCCGCACCGCCTCCGCATCAAGTTGTTGCTGCAAATCCTCGCGACCTGACGTTCCGGCCTGCCGCCAAGCCGCCAAATTTCGCGCGCGCTGATCGCCGTGTCGCCGCCGCCGGTCTTGCCCAGACCGCCGGCCGCTGCGACGCTGGGCTGGCCGCCGTGGCTTGGCCGTCGACGGAGCTGAAGGCAGCTCCACTCTTGCGCGGTGGACCGTGGAGCAGAGGCGCCGCACGTGACGGGCTCGGCGCTGCGCACTCTGGCGCTCCTCTGGCACGCTGGGCCACTGGGCCACTGGGCGGAAAACTGGATGCGCCGCGCCCGGATCCTGTCAGAAGTGCGTGCCCATTGCGGCGATGCCACATGCCGACGGGCTGGAGCGGGAAGTGGTCGACGTTGAGCTTAAGAAAGCAGGGTTCAAGCCACCGGCCAGGGTCATGCGCCCGGCGGCACAGCAGCGGCAGGCCAGCCCCCGATAGGCACTGCGATGCTCGCCGCCGCTCGGCACCGCTGCGACGCGCCGGCGGGCAGGCGACGGGCGGCGGCGGGCCACGGGCTGGGGATGATATCATGCGATAGCACAGACCGGTACCTGCATGACGTTGCGATGGCAGGCGGATCAGTGGGCGGTGGATCGAAAATAGCAAATAGCGTGCCAGGTACAAGTCCCGGGAACTCGGCAGCCCCCAGCGCTAGGGCCACGGCCCGCCCGCTTCGCTAGCTCCGATACCTGACCGACTCGCTCCCCTCGACCCTCCTCTTCAGCCTCATCGCACCCCACCAGCCCCTCGTTCCTCGTCATCAAGCACGTCCTCGCAACGGTCCTGCTGCCGCCGAATTCGCAACAGCCCATCTCCCGTGCTCGAACCGTCGGCTGCCTGGATAATTGAGTAGCATCTGCTCTCGTCTGGGAGAGTCTACACGCAGCACCGGCGAACATGACGATTGAAACGGCGAGTCGGGCTGTGTGCACGTTGGCTGCTACGCTCAAAACATCAGAAGGTACCCCGCTGCAGCCGAATTCAGTGGCAGTGGTACTACCCCGCAAACACTAGCCTGACATGCCATCTTACATGTGACGTGCAGTAGTCTAGCCCTCGCATCAATTCTCATCTCAACCTCAGCTGTTGCCTACCTGAGCAGGGCAAGAGCCAGAACTCAGCCGCGCAATCCCCGCCCACTCCTCAGAGTAAACCAGGAACTTGAAGAGCTACAACTTATACCATCAGCTACGGTTTCGACTGTCAAGCTTATCGCTGCCCCGCTGGGGAGGGGTTTCATTGCCAATCCTCGAAAGGCTTCGCCAGATTCTCGCCGTCTGCATAGAGTTGGACGAATCAATAAGCGTGTCGCATTAGGCAAACTGATCGCGACAAAAGCCCAGCCCCCAATGCCTGCCGTGGATGCATCCCCTGCCATGGGAGACCCCTGCGCCAGCCACATCTCAGCACAGCTGGACGCCCCGATTGGCGCCCCGATTGGCGTCCGCTCCCACGCCACCACCTCGCTTCCCGAGCAGAGGCACCGCCAGCGAAACCTGAGGTATTCCTGTTGACATATGGTCCAAGGTCCAGTAGATGGCTTGGTCATACGAGCAGGGTACAAACTCCTCACCGGCTCGCCTACCACTATTCTCCATGCCATCCATACAGTCAATACCATCGATTCAAATCATCTATTGCAACAGCTACTTACGTGGACCACGCATACTAAAGGGACAGACGGACGGAGATGATAGACGATGAAAAGCATTGATCCGCAAGGCTCCAAAGGACTGCAGGCGTAAATTAAGAGACCATCCTTGTGTCTAATTCCATTTTCCAAAACGGACTCGAGAATGTATGAGGAACTTGACCCTATTATGATGTTCGTCAGCAGTATGGTGTGGCAAAACTGTACAGTGACAAATTGATGGCGAGCTGCGCTAGGGCGCAGTGCAGACTGCGATGCGGTATCAAGTGACCGCCTACCCCCAAGAAATGGTGGAGGGGTGACGGTATAACAAAAATTTAGACAGATCGAACCGTCGCCTGTTCAAAAAAAAAAAAAGAAGGGTTGCTGCAGTGACTATATAAGCAGCACGGGCTACAGGCAAGCAATGGAATAATGGAGGTCAAGTCGGATCATTTGGTTAGCTCCCAACAAGTCTAGACGCGGCTGAAACGGTGCACCAGTAACCAAGGGCGGGCGAGGGGACCCGTTACCGGTTCCGACGCTAAGTCGTCGCTCGCGAGACGCCATCAAGCCACAGTCGTGATGCTCTCCGTCGCTCCCGAGAGCACCCCAACAAATCTATACAGCAACACGAACACCATTGTACTCATGACGGACCGGTTTCCTCTCATCACAGCTAAGCACTGGCTTCGCACGAGCTCAGTCAAAGATCGGGCAAAGAACTGCTCCATTGCAAATATGACCTGTCTGGAACGGTTGTTACATCTGTTTCATATCCCTCGTTGCTATATGAATCATCAAGCAGGCTCGAAATAGAAACACGGGGTGGATCGGCAGCCACAGCCGTGCCGTCTCCAGAGGCCTGGAATCATGATTCAATCCATTGAGCATGCAGGTACGTAGAAGACGGGTGCTTATAGCGCCACGCTGTCCCCATCTTGTCGTCTCTACAGATCCGACTGGGAAAGGCGGCTCGCTTGTCATGCTCAAATTAACATAGTGGCGGAATTGCAGCTCTCCGCCGAACTATTGGCAACAGGGATGGTCTCCGCATCTTCAGCATCGGAGAAAAGGTGTGGCGAGCGTCGGAAAGGGCCCCAGAGCGGCTGAGCGCGCCTGAGAGTCTCTATAAACCCCCACGATCCACAGCCGACTCTCTTCGCTATCAATTTGTTGTCTTCATCCAAGCTTCCAGCATGCGCACCACCACTTTCGTTGCTGCTACTGCGGCATACGCATCTGCTGCTTCCGCCCACCCATACCTTTACACTAGACAGGCCAATGTCACAGCACAATGGGGATCCTGGGTTGTGACCAGCCCCAGCTCCAACTACCCACCGTCGGGAAGCCACAAGTCTCTGGACTTCCTCGTACGGTACGAGTCTCAGGCGGATACCGTCCATTGCGGTGCCTACTTCCCAGGCACCGCAAAGGGAATCGGGCCGAACCAAACCTACACTCCCTGCGATGACGAGGCCGTGTCTTTCACTTCAGATCTGTCAATTGGCAGTGAGTAATCTCAATTCATCAAATACGGAGTGAGATACCAAGACTGACATGAACCCATGAAAGATGTCTGGATAACCCAGAAGCTTTACCAGAGGAGCGCCATCGTGATGTTGAAAGGGAGCGCCCCACTCCACTTGTACGGAGGCAACTGCACCACCGATGCGGTCGGCGGTGGTACCTGCTCGAGCCCTCCTTTCAAGATCCCGGTCACGTCCGTCAGCATCCAGCTTGCGAACGGCACTGTCGTCGGCGACGACAGTACTTCACCGGGCAACGGTGTCCAAGGAGATGATGCAGCCGGCGGATCAAGTGAAGAGGGTAGCCAGGACAGTGGCTCTTCCCAGGACGACGGTAGTCTTACGGATGATTACAGTGGTTCTGGCACCGCCGGTTCATCCGAAGACACCACCACCTCCGGAGACGATGGGTCGTCCGACCAAGGCTCCTCCTACGGTGATGGCGGTCCCTATGGCAACACCACTGTTCTGAACGATGGCCATGGCTCCAGAAACACCACATGGCACGGAAGTCACAGCAACGACACACGCCATGGACACTATGCTTGAGCCACCAAAGAGCGCTTTTTTGACAATTCGCCGGCCATTCTCTAGATCTTTGGGCGACAGATGACGGAATGGAGTCAGTGTTTCGAGTGAGACTAGATAAGTTTACCGCAAAATTTCGCATAGAAACATGGGATGAAGGATCTTTTGAAAGAAATAAAATATTCAAGTTTCAACAGGCTTTCCATTTGATTATCGATTGTCAACATATTGCACCTTACTCATCTGTACAGTGGATTGATCCAGATGTAGAGCTACAAACGATGGGCTTCACAACAATCACTGTGCCGTGTTCCCACGATGCAGCAGTATTTTTTTTTCTGGTATGCTTCAGTAAAGCCGACAAGCAAGCACTGATAGGCGGAGTAAATAGGCACAGGCGAGGGATGAAGTGAACGTACTGCTCGCCCCCGACGTTGTCAGAGCCGTGGGTCGACATCCCTGAAGTGCGCCCTCCTCGAACCAGCTGGGCACTCGACACCATGGACATCCCCTTCCCGGGGCCAGCCCAGTTATCGTCATGCGCGCCGTTGTTATTCTCGATGCGCAGTCATGCTGCAAAGGCTGAATTTCTCGCGATCGATCAAGGGGAGCCCGAAGGACTGGCAGCAGCATGCAGCTTATGGGATTGCGGCGAGGCAACGTTGTTGGTCGTGCGTGTGGGCTTCTCACGGAGGAGATGGAGAAGGGAAAGGCAGAGGTAGAAAAGATGGTGGGCTCAGCAGCACGGGCAAGTTGCTGGCGTGTCGCGCGGGCCGTGACGAGGGGTAGAGTGTTTGGGGATGGTGGCGAGTTGTGGGGGTGGGATAGGCGTTTTGTAGCTGTTGCGGGTGGTGGTGTTCGTGTTTGACGCGGTGATGTTGGATTGGGAGTCGTTGGATCAGAGAAAGGCGTGAAGGTTGAAAGGGGGGGCCTTGGGTGAGTCTCCTTCTCTGTCGGTATGGCAGAGAGGTTTAGTCCGGGAAGGCCCTACTCCTGCGTCAGTTTTTTAGTTGGGGGAGTGTGGGATCTGGAAGAAGCTGCGGCGCATGGCAAAAGGACGGGCGGTACTATTTCGTATAGGTACCCTGGCTCGTTGAGTTGATCGATCCTCTCGCTAAGGCTAGACACATCCTCTCGCCAAGAGACACAACCTCCGCTCAAAGGCACAACCTCCGTTAAAGGCACAACCTCCACTGTAAAAGACACAGCCTCCCCACTAAAGGGCACAGCCTCCCCACTAAAGGGCACAACCTCTCGCTAAAAGGGACAACCTCTCGCTAAAAGGCACAACCCATGGCTAAAAGGCACAACGTCTCGACAGGGAGGCAATCCTTCTGCTCGAGGGCACACAGGTGATGATGTGACAGATGATGCAGAGACGGGGGGAAGCGAGTGAATTAAGCGCCCGCCCCACCAGTCAGATGGCAGTAGACGGCGGCTATCGCGGAACTCCGCACTCCAAGCGCTGGCTTACAACGGAGTTATCCATCATGGACGTTGTGCAGGCAACGTTGCTTTTTCCAGGAAGCACAGTCCTGCCGATACCTGTTCATGTCCATTGGAGGGCGCGGCCATGGATGCGGTGAACACTCTGTCCTGACCCCACTGACTGTGCCGCAATGCCGGGAGTGAGTGATCGATCCTTCGCCAGCGTGTGCGCCATTGACTCGTTACTGGCGATCTCAGCGCCGGGAATAACAGGAACACTGTAGATAAGAAGAAATCCTGAGTAGTGTTGCTCATGTTCGCTAAAGTGGAGCCTGTTGACATGTATTGGCGCCGTGTTGCCTTGCGCCTCCACCATTACTATTACCGTAATTCTCATTCCTACTTCTACCATGATCATGATCAACATTCTCAGCATCCCGAGTGACCCTAACGTCATTATCCGTGCCTGGGAATTCGTATTGTACCACTCGTTGACAAATCTTGGTCAAACTTGAGAAGGTATTGCACATGGACAGGGATGTAGGAGTTGGGGGCCAGTGCCGTCTACCGTGCGGTCTTCAGAACGACAATGTCTGCCATGTCTTGTAGTGAACGGAATTCAAGTCAGCTGCCATCGAGACATTTAGCCGGGCCCTTGATGGACTGTAATTACCTGCAGGTGATAGCCCTTCAACCCCCGGACTTTTGGAGATATCTGCTTCTTCACTCGCATGTTTTCGTCAGCTGGAACTTCCATGCAGGATTAGTGCTGCTGTGCCGCCCATGGTCCAATTGGATGAGCTCCCGCCTCCCCCATGAAGCGCGTTGAAACATGTCTGCGCTGCTTGGCACCTCGCCCAGTTCCTGACGAAAAGCGCGCACGTCTTTTGTTGTTTCTTGCTTGGTCTGGTCGAATCGGAAGTGTCGGGCGCACGTCCGCTGAAGATGATCCCTCCATCTTTTGAGAACATTCTGCATAACGGCGACTGTGCCTCTCTAACATTACATGTCCTAGGCAGCAGCAAACCAATCAGAGGCCTAGTGGGTCTTGGGAACTTTGAAAAGGTCCGACGTGGGAGTTCGCCAATTATCTCCACATCTGACTCCATCAAGCGTGGACATGAACATGCAGCCACACGGCGCAGTCAAGCCAGCAACATAGCGTCTCTTCTTATTTGTGGGGCCATGATGACGTCTGGGCCCTCATGACCAGCTCTTCATCCATGTTCCATAGGAAGGGCGGTTGGGATCGAGATGGGAAAGAGAAGTATAAATACCGCCCGACCTCCCGCTCAGAAACCATCCATCCATCGACAGACACCGGCTCTCTTTTGCCTCATCTCCCACCGGCTTGGTTTGCCGTGCAGAATACACCATCCATGCCTCCGAAAAGACAAAGCGATGGTACCTACCATTCGCCCAGAGGCAAAACCGGCACCGGCCGAGAAGAGAACCGCAGCTTCGAGCAGATATTGCTTGACGAAGCTTGGATAGGCTACTGGGATGACCAGTGGTCTATCGCGGCAGATTCTCAGTTCGCTAGACGATTCGACCGGGACACACTGTCGTATCTCGAGCTCACCGACACCCGCCCTGGACAAGTGAAGACGTTTGTGGTCGAAGGCCGGGAGCCCGATGATAAAACAGGGTTTGCCAAGGAGCTGAATAAGAAATCCGCATTCGCATCACTCGGAGAGGTGACGCTGGTTCCTGTTCCATTCAAGGGGGATCTCTGGGTTAGTGCCTCCTCTATCCAATGGGTTCGGTCTGTCATGTTTACTGGGATATCAGTGCTGGGCGTACAGGTTTCGCAGGGTGATTCCTGGAGCGGGCGAACCGGAAGAACTGTTTGCCTTGTTCGGATATGAAATGAACAAATGGCCTTTGGGTGGCTTCTACCATGAGAAGTACTCGTACCTCTTGAATGAGGAGGTGCCGGGACAGAGAGGCTACTCGACGAAATACTTCGCTTTTGTCCCCACCGGGCTCCCTGTGCCGTCAAGCCGCACAAGCGGAGGTCAGTATCGCCCACTCGACTACCACGACAGTAGCTGACGGCTTTGAAGTCCATGGGCAGGCTTCCAACCTCGTCGAAACATCCTATGACTCGAGCTTCGGACAAATGGACGAGGCTCCGCCGACACAGGAACCAGATCATACCCCGTCGTCATACGCGTGCAGCATGTCCCGCGCGACGGACGTGTCTCAGAAAAGGTCCGAGACACTGGGACCAGGCTCTACACTTCGGAATGGCTCGTCTCCCACGGATCCGCCTGTGGCATCAATCGAGGCTTCATCAAGTCAAGAGGAAGAGAACCCAGCCGCTGCAAGGGGCCTCTTGGAGCAGTTCCACCCACGTGCCTGTTCCATGCGGCCTCCGAACGCAAACAGCGAGTACGCTGAAGGCTCCACTCAGAATCAGAAACGCAGGAGAGACTACGAAGACGACGGCACCGGTGATGCCGGAAAGATGCCACCGCCACCTCCCCCCAAGCATCCCAGGATGACAGGCCTGCGGGGCTGCGGCCCCAACGCATCGCCCACCGAAGACGTACAACCCTGCTCATCAAGCGACGCCCGGCAGCGCCGCGCTGCATCAGAATCGTCGGGAAGAAAGGGGCCATCCCCGGCGGCGCAGACTCCCCCGTACAAACCGAAGCACCTGGCACGCTTCTCCATCCAAGGCTCCGCCCTCCGCGACAAGACCGCCACGGCCCAGCTGGACCAGCCGCCGCCGCTGCTGCCGCCACTGCCGCCGCTGCCGCCGAGCGGCCACACCAGGGAAGAAGCATCGCCCCATGAGCCATCTCCACCACCAGACCAACGACGCGATTCGCCCATGCAGCAACAACGCTCCCCGTCCGACACCACGACGTCCCATCACCACCACCACCAAAGCGAGGAGCAGCAGCAGCAGCAGCAGCAGCGCCCGCGGGGCGGATCCGCAGCCAGCTCGTCCAGCGCGTCGTCGCCCTGCACGCGGGCAGCACAACCCGCGCTTGCCAAGAGCACGCCTCCCCCGCTTGCGATCCGCACCTCTCCAGCGCCGGGCTCCGCAGCAGCAGCAGCAGCTCCCGCCGGGCCACCGGTACTGCAGAGCGGCAGCAGCAGCAGCAGTGGCAGCGGCGGCGGCGGCGGCGGCGGCAGTGGATTCGACTTCGACGTCAACCGGGCCCTCTTCAAGCTGGTCGTGGTCGGCGGGTACGACCGGGAATACGGGCTGCGGTTCCACGGCTGCCACACGGTGCAGGCGCTGTTCCGGCGGGTCGCGGACCGGCTGGACGACGAACTGCGTGCCGGAGACGCGCTGAAGAGGCTGATCTTCCACGTGGATCACATCGATGCCGGGTCGGCGCCGGCGCCGGTTTCGCGGCTCAGTCGGAAGGGCGTCGTCGTCGCCGGCGACGACGACGAGCCCGGCTTCAGCATCCTGCTTTCTCGGCTGGCGGACGCGTTGGGCGCGTCCGGAAGGAGCCACGCTAGGCAGCATGTGATTGCCGTGGAGGTCGAGGTGGCGAGGAGGAGGTAGCTGTGCGGGTTGGGCAAGTGGCGGTTTCCCCCGTTCCCTCCCATGTCTCTCCCCTTTTCTTAGCCTGGTTGGACTTGTCCCCGCCCATTTCGTACGCTGTTCTTTCTTGCTTTTCGGCTTTCTTCATCGATCCATCTAAAAGTGCGCCCCCCCGATTGCGGCTCGATCCGTCAGTGGCTTTGAAAAGCATATGAAAATAATAACTTGCCGCTGCGCTGATGGATCCATTGCGAATTCTGTGACGCCATTCGATGCACCCTGATCATGGCACAAGCCGTGCCCCTGAACGCAGACTTGGTCATTGACCGGCATTACAAACTTACCAGCCACAGGGACCTATTGAGTAAGCGCCTTGCCCCGCTGAATCCGGCGTGCAGTGCTCTGTGATGGATAGCAATCAGTAATGGATGGTTGGAGAACATGTTGCTTGCGTGACTCTTCTATCGGTGGAGATGACTGAAATCCATGGGTGATCGATATGAATTCAGACGACGCGACACTTTCAAAAGATTTACTCAACACTGGTGCTACCATCTACCTCTTCATCAGCGCCCGCGTCAACCAACTCTCTTCCCCCGCAGATCCGCCATGACGTTCCCCCACAGCTCGCCAAAGAAGCCCGCCGTCTCGACGATGGGCAGCACGCACGAGATGGCGGTGCTGGCGAAGACCCAGATGAAGCTGACGACGACCCAGGCGGTGAAGAAGGGCCTGGAGAACTCGTACTCGGCGAAGAACATGGGCATGGGCACGAGGAAGTCCATGATGAACGTCAGCACGAACGACGCCACGCACGCGACCCGGAAAGCGCCCCGCAGCGACTTGGCATCGTCGTCCACCGGCGCCGGCGGCTCCCCGATGTACACGTCATCCACCTTCCCGGCCGCCGCATCAACGACCGGTGCAGCAGCGGCGGCGAGCCCCTCCTCCCTGGCCTCGACGTCCTTCTTACGTCCCCCGTCTCCAGAAGATATCCGTTCCCTCGAATCCCCCTTCACTTCCTCCTCCCCCTTTGCCGCCGCGGCAGCAGTAGCCGGCGTCGCAGTGCCCGAGCTCTCCCCCTCCTCCCCCTCCTCCCCCACCTCCCCCACAGCCACACCCCCCACCACAGCAGCATTAATCCCCCTCGTCCTCTCCCAATCAAACGGCACCTCATCCGGCCACGCCCAACTCACCACCACGCTCACCACCAGCCCCGTCCCCACCGCGCCCAGGTTCCCCGCCAACGTCGGATACTCCCTCCCCGTCGCCTCCACGCTCAGCGCGCCGTACAGGCCCCTCGCCGTCCCCAACCACGCCGCCACGCCGACGGCCAGCCCCGCCAACGGGCCCGCCGTGGCCCCACGCCGCGTCTGCGCGCGCCACGTGACGGAAAAGGCGGCGGGGAAGACGGCGCCGCCGACGACGAGGCCCATGACGAGGAAGAGCCAGCCGAGGTCGATGCCGGCGCCGTGCCAGGCGCAGGCGAAGGCGGCCATGGCGGCGCCGAAGGCGCAGATCATGGCGTGGGAGACGGCGATGAGGCGGGCGGGGGTGGCGCGGGCGTTGACGTACGTCTTGTAGACGTCGAAGGTGAGGATGGAGGAGACGGCGATGAGCTCGGCGCTGGCGCACGAGGTGACGGCCATGAAGAGGACGACGAGGAGGGCGGCGGCGCCGGCGGTGCCGAGCAGGGCGGAGGCGGCGAAGGCGGCGGCGAGGCCGGCCGAGATTTGCGGGTCCGACGGCGCGGCCGGGTAGGTGGGGAAGCGCGGGGAGGGGACGAGGGCGGCGGCGGCGAGGCCGAGGGTGGTGGAGAAGCCGAAGGGGATGGCGAACCAGGCGAGCCCGCCGAGGAGGTAGGCGCGCACCGCCGTCGTGGGCCGCGAGGCGATGGCGCGCTGCCAGTAGGCCTGGTCGAGGAAGACGGTGCCCGAGCCGCTGCAGAGCTGGATGACGCCGAAGACGAGGGCGAAGTTGGATTTGAGCGTGAGGTAGCTGCCGTTCTTGTTGCCTGCGATCGGCCGGTCGACGGCGGCTTGCTGGAGGAGGTCGAACATGCGCGAGGGCGAGCCGATGAGGTCGCTCGTGGCGTAGGCGTGGAACATGAAGTAGAGGATGATGATCATCAGGATCAGCGTGTGCGAGTAGTCGCCTGCAGCGGTGGTGATGGTTGCATGTCAGCAGAAACAGTTCCTAATTGAGAACGACGGAAGCTTTTCCCTCACGGGATGGCTGCTCCACTCACAGAGGAAGGTGGCTCTCAGGCCGCCCAGCACGACGTAGGCGCAGACTCCGGTCGGGATCAGGAAGATGGCGGAGTAGACATTCATGCCGGTTAAATTGGTCACGACCGCACTGCCGCCGAGCAGCAGCTGGCTGCCGACCAGGATGTTGGTGACCAGGGCGAAGAAGACGAAGATGATGTGCGTGCCTGTGCCGTAGCGCGTGTAGATGATCTCGAGGAAGGTGTGGCAGCGCGGAGCATTCTGCTTGACTGCAGAGCGTGCGTTTGTCAGTTTTGGTCCGGAAAGGCGGCCAGTCTCATACTTGACCTACCTTTGCACGCGAGAATGGAGAACATCAGGATCTGCACGGTAGCCCCGGCGGCATACCAGAACGGCCCGGCGACGCCGTAGGTGTATGCCACGGTGCTGCTCTGGAGCAGCGTGGCGGCCCACGTCCAGGCCGACACGATGCCGCTGGCGATGAGCCCGGGCTTCACGCTCCGGCTCGCCGTGTTGAACTCCTCGCTCTGCTTGGTCGAGAAGCTCGTGTAGCGGTTTTGGATGTAGGAAATGCCCATCATGACGAAGGCGAAGAAGAAGCCGACCCCGATGACGACGCCATACCCGGCCGCTTCGGGCAGCGTTGTCGCTGCTGAGTGAGCCGACATGGTGGCGGAGACGGATTTCAGCAATTTTCTTGAGACGAATCGACGTTCAAATAGAGAAGACCCCCGGCCGCGATAACGTCCTCTTCCAGCTGGCTAGACCCCGCAGCTGATCGCGCAAGCCGTTGAACTCCAAAAAATAGTCAATGCCATCATCGTGTGCGATAGGGAGCTTATCCAACCAAGCCGAAGGGCTAGAAGCCTGATAAGAGTGCGTGCCGCAGTGTGATGGCCGATAGTAATCTGCCGCGGGGTGCAACGAGTACTTCGCTAATGTTATACCCCCAACCTTGATGCTAAAGCCGCAGATCCCTGCCGTCATGGGCGCGTTCCCGGGGTGCATGCCTGTTATCTCCACACCGTGGTAGAGATAAGCATTTGCCATTGGAAATTTGGCCGCACCTTGACCAACTTCTCTTACAACGTTGCTGGTAGTGAGGGCGAATGAATGAATCCATGTTGACATATACCCCAGTCACCCTTTATTCTTTCAGCCCCGATGGCAATGGAACCCCGTCAACGACGCCTTGGCCGAGAGCAACGTTTCTTTCAGAGCTCCACCAGTTCCATGTCTGCTCTCTATTTGAGCATAAATTATTGCGTAGAGCACGGAGATTGTCGGTCAAAGCAGCGAGAGAAGAATAAATGTAGTACTTAGACAGAAGTCTGTGCGTTGATGAGTCGGGCGTCGTTAAATAAAACTGTTGCTCGCACAAGAGGGAGAGGGAGAGAGAGAGAGAGAGAGAGGTCTGCAGAGAAGTGGGTCAGTTTGACATTGCTGGTGACGAAATGCAGTCCCCTCTACGATACTACATCGCAAACCCCCTACCAACGATTCATACCAGTAATCTAACCTGCTAAGGCCAGGAGAATTCCGTTGTACTTACTAGTAATTTGCCTCAGGTCAATCGACGTTTTAATTTGCGATGTTGTGAAATATTAAAGCCCATCTCCACCCAGAAGCTGTCCCATCCGATACACATACATACGAACCGCAAAAGCCCGAGACGCCGTCAATGCTTCCGACCAAAGCCATGTATATGATCGATCAACCTTGCCCGCGACCAACTTTTCTTTTTTTGTTCCCTGGTCCCATATTAGTTTCCCCAATGCGCCCCACCCAAAAAAACAATAGAATTAGTATTCAGCTCTGAGAAAGAAGTAGGAGACGGCCTCAGGTATGCAGACTCAATCGTCAGGGTATTCGTCCCTGATGTTGCTCACGAACTTGGACTCGGCCGTATCCCACCGCCTGAAGTAGCGTCCGGCCAGCTTGTTCAGCAGGAAATCTGGAGGCGGATCCGCCGTGACCTCGATGTTCTCCTCGGCGACGTATCTCGAGCTGGAATCCTCACACCTGCAAACGAATCTGTCAGTCCAAAAAAAAAAAAAAACTCTACAGTCTTCTCTCGAGTCAAAAACCTAGAGATCCAGCACTCACAGCACATTATAAAAGGCCTGGTTCCGTCCGTTCGGCAGGCCATCGATGTTCATCGCATGCATCCAGTCATCCCCAGCGTTGCAGTACGGATCCCAGCCGACGATGACGCCGTAGTAGTGGTACCGCTTGTGCTTGAAGCACTGCCCGACGCGGAACCGGACCTTGTCCGTGTGCACGCCGCGCTTCTTCAGCGCCTTCTTGTTGCGATCCGCCGTGTGCTCGCGCTGGATGATGTACAGGAAGTCGCCCTCCTCGGGCAGGTCGTGGAACAGCGACGCCATGTACCGCTCGACCAGCCAGATCTCCCACGGGTAGAACTCCAGGCACTGTTGCACCACCTTGCTGATCAGGATCCGGCGTCGGTGCAGAGCGATGCCGCCGGCCTCTTCGCCGCCGCGGATGGGGTCGCCGCGCTCGAGGTACAGCCATGCCCACAGAGCGGCGTGGAGAGCGCTGTGGAGATTCAGGTGGGTGTGCGTGAACTGGATCCCTATCGTCGATGCAGCAGGGTCTACCAGCCCGTTCCCGCTTTCCACAGCACGGCGAATGTTTCGGGCCGTCCGGATGACCATCTCGATTGGGTTGGCAGGCTCGAGATACGTCGCGAAGCTTGCCGCCGTTGCTCCCATTGTTCGCAACTGTCCTTCAAGGTCCAAGCGCGATACCGGCTCGGCCGACCGGAAAGGATCCAGGTACATGGTGTCGAGGGTCTCGAGATTCGGAGCGGGTGCGCCCTCCAGCGTCGTCTGAGGAGGTGCCTGTATGATCGAGTAGATATGGTAAGGGTATCCACACGGCTTGGCGTCGATCTCGAGCCTCTCAGCAACCGCGCAGAAGATGACGTTCGTGATCAGTGGTAGCGCTTCGTGGTCCTTCTCCGACAGGGCCAAGCCGATGAAGTTCTGCGCGATCTGCCCGTACCTCTCGCTCGGCGCCCCCCGGTATCCGGCCCTCCGCAGGAAGACGACCAGCCAACACGCCCTCCGCCGCGTGGACAGCTCCCTCCACTCCGGGTGCGCGTCCTTGAAGCGCTGCGCCAGCTCGTCCAGCTGCTGGCCGATCGTGTCCAGGTCGCCCAGCCCCTCGTCGCTGTCCAGCACGAACATGTCGTAGGCACCCAGCGCGCGCTCCAGCGACCGCGACTCGCCCTTGCGCAGCTTGCACCACTCGTCCATTGCAATGCTGCGGTGGATCGTCGTCAGGATCGCGCTGCTCCAGAACCGCCGCGCCAGCACGTCGTCCTCCCCCTCGCCCGCGTTCTTGTGCTTCAGCAGCGCCGACTTGACGTCATACCCCTGCTCCGCTATCCATTCGATGTGGTTCGAGCGGTTCTGCTGCGTCGCGATGATCTTGTTCATGCGTCGGTCGACTTCGTGGTCCAGCTGCATCCTGTTGATGAACAGTCGCCTCCATGGTACGTTGGCAATCGGCTGGCGTAACTTGGCGGATAGGCGGTGCTTCGGGTTCCAGAAGCGGAAGTGGACGCGGCAGAGGTGACGCCAGAGAAGAGGCTCCTGGGAGAGGGACCGTAGGCGTCTTGCTGAGAGCTGTATCGCATTGAGGTCGTAGGGGTTGAGGTACGAGAGGATGTGCGTGAGGATCTCGTCTGGCAGTGCCAGTAAGAAGGGTGGTTCCGTGGCCATGCTTTGCATCCTACGCTGTAGCTTTGCCCCCGGACGCGAGGTTGTCTGGTACAGGCAAACGGCAGGCGCATCGAGAAATCGAGACCCTCGCCCCCGCGACCCAAGGGCACCGATGACGATATCGGCGACCGGGGCAGGACTTACCGAGGATCTTCGCTTACTACAATCCCGCAGGCCGCTCGAGTCACGTGATAACGCATCACGCTCCTGTCAGAGAAACATCACGGAGATACAAAGATGCAGCAGAGCTTGAATTTATCTCCTCCCTTTATATAAGCTATCTGTACCCGTATTGACTCCGTTTCCAAGTTTTCATTTGATGTCTTTTCGCTCATTCTCCGAGCCCATAAAAACCGAACCAAAAACATACAACCAAACGATTCCAGTGACGCCCTTGTCTTCTCCATAATTCATAAACGCAGAGGCTGTTTCCTCGGCGCACTAAGCAACTCCCACAGCTCCGAGCAGCGCGGCAACAAAGCATAAGGCAGAAAATGTATACAGCACAGGGAGCTCTCGTACCCAGTCGACCAGCCTCAGTGGCATAGCAAACCGTCTTGCTTTGCTCATCTCATCACACCGAACCTGAAGCGCTCAAGGTCAAGCTTCTGCTTCATGGCCTTCACACGGTCTTCCACATCCGAAAGTGCCCCTTCACTTTCGCTATCGGGGATGATGTCAAGGTCCTCGCTGCCCTTGGTCGTCGGGAGAGCCATGTCTAACGGTGATTGCTTGGAGGCCTTCGGCGTCACGTCATCCACCGGCTCAGCCTGACTGCTGCAAGGCACGGCAATCTCCGCATCGTTACCAGTCCAGTCGTCATCGTCAAAGATGTCTGCGTCTTTACTAGAACTGGAAACTTGGTGTGATGTGGCCAAAGAATCCAACTCCACCTTGGAGTCCTCAGATGTGGCAGAGATCGAGCTGAGAGATTCATCGCCCTTTTTGCTCCAGGAAGATTCCTCAGCCAGTCTGGATGATTGAGACCGCTTCTGGGAGGCGGGCTTATGCTCAAACATTCTGGCCAGATCCTTAAAGTCGCCAACATCCTGGGTTTCGGTCTCTGTTGTCTGGGTCTCGCAAGGAGCACTCTGACTATCGGATGACGTAGCAGGGGTGGAAGAGCCATTTGTGTCTTGAGAATCCAGACCGAGTGACGTGGAAAGACTGCGCTTCAGTGATGACGTCCTGCTGGTCTGAGACGCCTTGGACTCGGTCGTAGTTTGGCTCGGATCAGGCAGATCCTTCATAGCTTCTTCGATCGAGTCATCGGACCACAGTTCGAAGTCCTGAGCGCCCATCTTCTTCGACTTTGAACGACGATTAGATGGGCTTGGCTCGACAGTGGATGTGAAGAAGCGACTGGTTCCACTTTCAACCCTGAAGCTACCATCGGCACCCGGCAGAACCGTTGTGTCAGAACAAAGCCTTTGTCGCTTTGCTGGGCGCGACGTTGAAGATCGCCTTGTGACCCAAGGCTCTGAAGCAATTCTACGAGACAATTGAGGGGGGACGGACGTGGGGGCTGCAGTAGGCCGAGCAGCCTGGGGTGGAACAGGTGAAGCACTCCAGCTGCCGCGGTTCTCATTTTCCTGGAGGGTTTGCTGCTGACTCGGAGAGGGATTGAACAAGTTCAGGTCGAGCTCCGCAAGTGGGATACGCTTCGGCTTGAAGAATGAGTCGATGGATTTGCTTTTCTTCAAATCAGGCGTCTGCATGGCTGAAACCCTCCGGGAAACCGGAGTCGGAAGCTTGATTGCGCGGAATGACTGCGGCAGGTCGATAGGTCTCTTGGTATTGGGGTGAAGCTCTCCCTGCGCAACACCAGCCGCTATTTCAGGTTCGATGTAGCGGCCAATGTACAGAAGCTTCTCCATCTCGACGTCCGGGTCAAGTTTTGTAAAGTGTACCAGGCGCTTAGCTGAAGGACAGAAGACCCACTGATACAGGAACGTCAACTCGGCCTGGGCATATGCCTCAGGATAACCGGCAGGCATCTTGAACTTCCCATCAAACTGGATCTGACGCAAGACCCTCTCGACCGTCTTGTGCTTGCGAAGGAGGCGATAGGCAGTCATGAGTCCCATCTTGCTGATGCTCGGCAGGTAATCGCAGCCACTGAGGATCGCCATCTGCCTGAATTGCGCATCGCTCCAGCCGACAAGGTTGATATCCTTGCAAGCCGTGAAGTCTGAGCGGTTGATGGCGATACATTCGCCGTAGTTGTCAAGCTTGGTGATCAAGCACTTGGCGCCGAAGACGAGTAGATCCGAGTCCTCGGATATAATTCCCTGGATGATGCCCTTCTTCTCGAGGTACACCATCTGCGAGTCGGCTTCATACGGGGCGACAACATAGTCGACGCCGAGCAGCTTCAGCTCCTCAATAAGCATGCGTGCCATTTCCGGGGTGACATCGACAGCCTTCTGCAATTCCAGGTGGGCCTGGGAGGCCTTTCCGAGCTTCAACAATTCGGTGCCGGCCTTCCTACTCTCCTTGCGTTTGGCAGCTCTTTCCCGGTTGGTGACCTCTTTACCAGGAAGATGGTCACCATCGAACACAAGGTAGGGCTTAATCCCGAAATGAATGAGCATACGAACGCGGTGCATGCAGTAGTCGATGTGCTTCCGCGTCGGCTTGTCAAGAGCCAAGTCAATGGCGCAAGCAACCGTGCCGCGGTGCAGCCAGCCATAGGCATCGACGCCCAGGGTCTGGCCGGCAAACTGTCGGAGATGGCATTGCTTGTGAATTGACTTAAGAAGAGGGAGCAGGCCTGCAGGTGGTTAAGATTGACTAGTAATCAGAAAGGCGCTTCGCAGAAAGTCTCGTACCGGAGATGCCCATTGCGACTCGAGGATGCGGATCGGCGTGTGCGACGAGCTTCTATATCAGCTACTGGCCGGCGTTGCTGAGCATTGTCAAGTCCTTTCAGGGTACGGAAAGTCAGTGGTGGAGCAGGCGGTGGTGGGACGCGTGTAGCGACGCGGTCGGGGAAGAGGAATGCACCGGCGGTAGAGACTGGAGCTGTCGTCCTCGACGCGCCTGCTTGGACGGTAGAAGAGACGCGTCCGGCTGCAGTCGCCACAACGGCAGGTCGTCGTCGGAGCACGGGCCAGGCTTCCGGGAACCCTAGCTCCTTCCCGTCCAAAAATTATGCCAGCTTCCTCCGCCGCCGCAGCCCTCTATTTTCCACCGCTCCCATACCCAGAATTGCCGTAGACCTCTGAGCTTTGAGTCGCGTTCCACCCTGATCCTACGCCCCACCACCGAGCTGCTTCCAGTCTCACAGACAAGCCCACCATGCCGAAATCCCTCTCCAAAGTCACCAAGCAAATCTCCAAAAAGCGCGGCAGCAAGTCCTCCGCCCTGCACGAATTCTCCCGCGACTCTCGACGCCTGCAAGCCGCCGGCCTGCGCGACGAGAAGATCCTCCGGTCCGCCACCCAGCGCAGCAAGCAGAACCAGCCCACCCGTACGCAACCCCGTCATACTTTCCCTCCTTCTTTCCTCCTCCTCCTCCTCCCCATCCGCTAACCACCACCCACCACCACCACCAGTCCAACGCGTCCACCACTTCCAACTCCTCGCCCAGTCCCCCGAAGCCCCCGAAACCTTCGACGCCTCCTCCCTGCAGTCCGCCATCCTCGCCTACCTCGCGCGCGCCGACGACGAGCTGGCGGCGCTCAAGGCCGCGCGGCGCCCGGGCCGCCCGCCCGCCCCGCGCGAGCAGCTGCTCGAGCAGCGCGTCGCGGCCGAGCGCAAGGAGTTCGACGGCGGCTTCTACTGCCCGGACCTGCGCGACGCGGCGACGGTGGAGCGGCTGCGCGCCTGGGACGGCGAGTGGGTGGGCTGCAACGCGTTGAAGTTTGCGCGCGTGACCAAGGCCGGCGAGGTGCGGGAGAGCGTGTGGCCGCCGAACGGATTGAGTTGAAGGGGGATGTTACACAGTGGAGAGAGAAGCGTGAGAGAGAGAGCGGGAGCCTAAGCTTCAAGTGACTTTGGTGTGACAATCGGGTGACATTTGGAGGACGAGGGCTGTTCTGGCGACCTCAGGCATCAAAGTCACGACTTAGACGAACAAACCCACCTTGGACTTCACGACCTTGGAAATTTTGCAGTGGGACTGCAAGGTCGTTGCGCGCCAAGCGTAAAGAGATTCAAGTTCTCGCTACATAATCGGCGAATCCACCGCCAGAGAAGAGTGTCGAAGCCTCACGACACATGCTAGGCGCACGGCGATGAATAGGAGAGAGGTATCTGAACGTGCTTTTTCATATCGTAGAGTGTTGTATACTACATAGCTTGCAAAAACTGCAGCTTTCCGGAGTCTCCATACCGAGCGCCGGATATTTTAAGAGTAGCGAGGAATTGAAAAGAAACCAGCCAAAGTCGCTTCGAGGGGTTCATGCTGTTAATCGCACTTAAGCAGCGATGAAGTTCTTGAGGTCTAGAAGAAAAGTTAGCGTCGTGTGCGAATCATTCGACGGTGAAAAGCCGACTTACTGTCCAACCACTGGAGGTACTCCCTCTGCTCCTTGTAGTCGATGTAGTCGGGGATGAACAGGGCCATCCTGGTGTCGATGCCCCTCTCCTCAAGGAACTCCTCGAGCAGAATCTGGAGGTCCTCATCCAGCTGGCCGAACAGCGGGCCGGGCCAGATGTTCCGCCTGGCCCATTCCTTCTCGGCGGTCTTGGGGTCGGCCTGCTCAGCCTCGGGGAAGTAGTGGACGTTGCTGATCTGGAAAGCAGTATCCTGTGCGACAGCCTCGATCCACAGGGCGCCCTTCTGGCCATCCTTGGTAATGGTGACGACGGCGCGAGCAGGGAAGCTGCTCTCCTCGTTCTCCCCCGTGTACTCCTCGTCCTCCTCCAGCTCCGGGCGGTCGGCGGGCGACACCTTGTCCTCGGGCGCAACCTTGACGTTGCCGCCGGGAGTGCGGCCCTGGGCCACGGAGCCCTTGGTGTTGGCGCCGCCAGACTGGCCGTCGATGTCAACGTCCTCATCAAACATGGCCGGGTCGTCCATCTCATCTTCGACCTGGGGCTCGCTGATATCGGAGATGGAGAACGTGACGGTGATGCTAAACCATTGTTAGTATGCGGAAGCTTATGCGCCAATGATGCGGAACTGTGCATACTTCTCGTTGTTGTACTTGCGGGTGAGGACGACCTCCTCCTGACCGGGGACGTCCTTGACGCTGAAAGGGCTGTTCTCAAAGTAATCCTTGATGTTGTCGGTGTAGTTCTCGGGCTCGCCAACATCGGTCTCCAAGTTGCGCTCGCTTTCAAGCTTTGCCACCAGCGCGTCCTGGACTGCATATACATTCAGCACTTCGTCTCAAAACGCAATTGAAGCAAGCTAGATGGACGCATACCCTCATATCTGGGAGCCGAGGTGTGGAAGGCCGACGCGAGCCTGGGTGCGGAAGCGGTTCTCCATGTTGCCTGCAGAGTACTCGGCTTGAAAAGAGCTGGGCGAGCGGCCTTGGTACTCAAGCGCGCGAGCGAGCGAGGCGCCGAGCGAGCAATGGATCTGAAAGAAAGCATCTCGGGTCGTTGCTGCACGCGATTCTGGAGGCGCACAAGGATGAAGTATGAGTTGGTTGGTGGAGGGCGAGCTTATGCTATGGTACGAGGTTCGCGAGAGAAGCCGCAGGTGGAACTTTGCTCGGTGGAAGGTTTCGTCGCGATGAAGTCAGCACGGACTTGCAGGGATCTGCTCCCCGCCAGGCAGAGCCAGGCATCCATGCGCCCCGTCCAGCCCAAGCTCCGCGGCCGGAGAGTCCCCACCACCGCGCTCCTTCGACCAGCACTCGGTGTGTCACAACCATATATTATTTGCGCGCAGCTGCCGGACTACTTGAAGCCATTGCCACCCTTGAGCTGAAACCCTACAGCGACGCGCATTTCCCGCAATGGCTTCCGACGAGCAGAAGAAGGCCAAGGTAAATCGATCCATTGTTCCGCTCGCTCACCACCAAAAAATATCCCACGGCCCACCCGACATCAGCACACCTCTCACGAGCTTCGAACCCCGCCCAAACGCTTGCATTCGAAGACGTCGCAGACGGCTAACATGTCTCCGCCCACCGCCAGCCCAGCGCCTTGCGCTCCATCATCGCGGGCAGCACCGCCGGCGCCGTAGAAATCGCCATCACATACCCGGCCGAGTTCGCCAAGACACGCTCGCAGCTGAACCGGCGGCTGGCAGAGGGCAAGAAGCTGCCCTGGCCGCCGTTTGGTCCGCAGTGGTACGCGGGCTGCACTACCCTCATCATCGGCAACTCGCTCAAGGCCGGCATCCGCTTCGTCGCCTTCGACCAGTACAAGAGCATGCTGGCCGATTCCAACGGCAAGGTCTCAGGCCCAGCCAACGTCATTGCCGGATTCGGCGCCGGTGTTACCGAGAGCGCGCTGGCCGTCACTCCGTTTGAGAGTATCAAGACGCAACTGTGAGTAGCGATTATACATTCTGGGTTCGGGGGAGGGAGACTAGCTTTGGAGGGCTGGGAGCAGGTGCGAAATGCCGCACGAAGCTGGCTGGTGTATGCTCAGAGACTCAGACGGGATCGATTTCTCCTCGGAGCTTTTCCTGTCGTTCTCCGAGCATGCTCTATCTCCCAAGTTTGTCCTGTCTCTGACGGAGACCCATACCGCGGCGGCCGGACAGCCTCCTCCATTGCACACCGTCCTCCTCCGACACCACTTCGCGTCCCCTGCCTTGACACAAGCACCGCACACTTGCTAACGATTACCGTCCGCTTTCCCCCCTCCCCAGCATCGACGACCGCAAGAACCCCAAGCCACGCATGCGCGGCTTCCTGCACGGCACGTCCATAATCGCGCGCGAGAAGGGCATCCGCGGCTTCTTCCAAGGCTTCGTGCCCACCACCGCGCGCCAGGCCGCCAACTCGGCCACCCGCTTCGGCTCGTACACGACGCTCAAGCAGATGGCCCAGTCGTACGTGGCGCCCGGCGAGAAGCTCGGCACGGTCAGCACCTTCGGCATCGGCGCCCTGGCCGGCATCATCACCGTCTACGTGACCATGCCGCTGGACACTGTCAAGACTCGGTAAGTAGTCGTCGCGCCTTCTGGTCGCTGACCCACACACACACACCCTGGCTGTTCAATGGCTACGACAGTCGTTGGCTGCTTGATTGTCTCTTCCTTTTCCTTTTTTTTGGGGGGGGTTTTTGGCTGACGAAGGAATACGTCGAAATGTAGCATGCAATCGATAGAAGCAAGGTCAGAGTACAGGAACAGTTTCGTATGCGCCGCCCGCATCGTCAAGGAGGAAGGCTTCCTGACTCTCTGGTCCGGCGCCGTGCCGCGTCTGGCGCGACTCATCCTGAGCGGTGGCATCGTCTTCACCATGTGAGTAAAAATTCCACAGCCTCTAGGGAATCCTTTTGCGCCCGATAGGAGCGGGGGAACTTGATATGCTAACAGCTGAACAGGTACGAGAAGAGTATGGAGGCGATGGATAAGTTCGACCCGGACAGGAAGTACATTTAAGGCAAGAAGTTGCCTTGTATTATCACATGGTCCCCGACAAGGACCGATTGTGATACCGCCATACACCCGAGGTGTTGCAGCAATTCCAATTTCTGGGGGAGAAAAAGGCGTCGTGTTGTTGGCAAGGACTCTGGGGGTCTAAATGGCTCTCTCATCTGAGATTGATCTACACAGCATGGCCGGGGGGTGAGGCCACTCTTTTTGAGCGAAATCGAACGAAAGTACACAGGGGCCGACGTGGGATCATTCAGGTCTTAGAAACGTGAGAGATACAGAGTTTGCCCAAGAAATAAATACCCAATCAGAGGGGCGAAAACGGGGCCGGGACAGATCATGAGGTAGGCATTTCAGATAGAAGGGACGAGAACAAGTCAAAATGTACAACAGGATATAAATCTAGATGGTCTTACCCAATCACATCAACGACCGATGGCGAACAGAATTTTCAATGATCATCACCGATGTCCCGTAAATTTGATGCTCTAGAAGAGTTGAGTACGAACAGAAAATGCAATACGCGGAACTCCCATCACTGCGGCCGTGCGCCCGCGCCCACATGGCCCCAAGGCAAGCCGCCCATGGAATTGGATGGCGCGGATCCCGTCGGCAAGGGATGCCCTGTGTGGTCGCTGGCTGGCGGATAGGTGAAGTCCGGAATGAACATGTCGGCAGGGTTGCCGTTCCCGAGTTGCTGTTGTGGGAAAAGCTTGTCCCATTCGTTCTGCGGGAGGGTTTCAAGTCAGCATGTTACCCGGGAGAGACGCCCTCGCTTCTTAGTTCGGAGTAAGAAAGGGGGTAGGGGAGAGAAAGGTGACGTACCCAGTCGATCTCAAGCATAGCCTCATCCCCAGGGCTACCTCCAACACCACCTGATCCCATGCTCCCTGTCTCTCCAGGGCTCATGTTAAACATGTTTGGCATCCCGTACTGTGTCGGCACAGCCATTGGACGCGCAGCTTGTTGACCGTAGCCTTGATGACGCGAAGGGTCATCGGCACCGCCCATACCGTATCGAGATGGCGGAGTTGTGGCATCTACATGGGGGTGTGGGGCATGCTGGAGATTCGGGCTGACATGCGCACTGCTCGAAGCGGAGCTGGCTTGAGTTTTGATCCCCTGATTGCCCATTTGAGCGTAGGCTGATTGCATCGCTGGTGTTGTAACGGCACTTGCGGACGGGTCACTTGCGGTCGGGCTGCCTGTGCGTGCCCTTTGGCTCTTCGCCATCGTTGGATACCAGAATCGTGCAGCGTGGTTGATAGCCGTTGTATGTGGGCGCGGTCCCATGGGTTGGTCCATGTCTGTCGGTGCGCGCATTCGCCGTATGCTTTGGTAAACGAGTGTGCGGTCTCGGATGCCACTGATGATGTATTTCGCCTTGTCGATGATGGACATGGCGGGTGGAAGCTCGAAGACGTAATCGAGACAACGCCAGACGCGCTCCTCGTAGCTTGGATGGGGCTCTTTTGCGTACACTTCTGCCATCAAGAGGAGACCAGTGTGCCATTGCTGGTGAGCACCTGAAGAGACAATCAGCATCTTGCAAGTCATGTGATGGAGTTTGAGCTGCCATGCACAGGAGCACAGAACAGGAATGTGCTGGGAAAACGTGGGAAAGGAATAGGGCCCACTTACCACCGTACCAGACCCACGGCTTCAGACTGGGATGAGTGTCGAGTGCTATCGCGTTTTCTATCAAAAGTGTGGCAGAGTTCAACATCTGAGTCCTTAACCGATCCGGCATGACGCGATTCATGTTACTGGAATAGCGGTGCATGACCATCAAAATAAGGCGCAAACTCAGGATGTTATACACCAGTTGCCACATATGATGCAGTGGATTCTTCACATCAAGTATTGGGCCATAGCGTTTCTCCATGGCGCTACGGAAGTTTTGGATTTTGGCGAGGACAGCAGTGAGCGTAGTTTGCTTTTTTTCAATGCGTGGGCGTTCGAACCAGACCAGTCGGGCCATTTCAGTACACTCGAAACGCATTCGTACAATTGTCATATCCGTGAAGTGGTCCGCGTCTTTTGTAGGTGGAGTGCTGGATTCGAAGTCGGCGTCGTTAACATTGAGGGGGAACTTAGTATCAAAATCATCTTCTCGAATTTGTGGTCGAGGCCCGCTCGCTTCACAAACACGGATATCGAGGAAACATAACTGATACCACACGAGGCGCCGGACGTGGGTCTCCACGGCGGATATGCCGAATCGGGCAGCGTCGCGATGTAGGCCCATGCATTCTGCGAGGCGTATCGCCATGGCCGTGAGTGCTGAGTGGGCCCGTGATACTTCAGTACGGCAAAGAGGTATCTGTGAATGTCAGACGACTGAAGCGAGAATGGGAAGTTGAAAGAACGAACCAGATACATGACAAACGCTTGGAGAGTTTCGAGCTTTGTTGTCCTTACGACATTTGCTCGCGAAAGTGCTGCCTCGGTGCCTTCCTTGAAATTATCGACCAGCTCGGCTTTCGTTGTGCCATATTCGGTTGTCACGGTGTCCTCGGATAGACTGACTGCTGCCGAGAGCATCGCTGCAAGAACGAGAGCTTGCAGAGAAGCACGAGGCTCTAGGCCATTGGAGATGTCTTTCCAAAACGACGCATATTGTCTTTCGAATGAGGGTCGGTGGACCGCTGTGGCAACAGGATGCACGGCGAGCCAATACTGCTTGAGCAGCGTGTCGGCCATGGATTTTGCCGGAAGCGAGTGGAGTAAACCATGCTTCCGGCTAGAGGGCGAAAAGAAAAAGTTCGCAGATGGAGCAAGGTAATCGGGGCCTGGCATCAGATACGAGCTCGGATGGATTTGACGGGATGATGGATGAGGCTCGTTGGGATCGGGAAAGAGTTCTGGGACCTCTTTTAAGGCTTCGGTGAGCTACATGGTGAAGGTCAGCGATTAATTGTTTGTAGCAACAAGCGACCATGTGGGGGACAGACTGACCTCCTGGGCCAGCTTCGGCCGTACGAATCCTCCAATGCGCTCTGTGATCCTCATTCGTCCAAACTGGACACCGAGATCGACAAGGTTGTCATCGCACATGTTGTCATCGTACGGGGCATCTTCAATGGCGAGTGGGGTGGGCTCAAGACCTCGCTCTTCTTCCAGCTCGCTTGCATCTTCGTCGCCTGAAACATCCTCTAGGCCGGGCAGCTTGGAGCCGGGCCGGGCATCAGAACGCTGCCGTGCCTCGTTCTTCCGGGCAATATCCTCCTCGAGCGTGCGTTCAAGAGAGCCCATCTTCTCTTTGATTTCGGCCAGGCGCAGCTGCGAGGCGGCATCCAGCGCGGGCGCCAAGAAGACGCAGTCCCGCGAGAAGCGCGTGCAGTTGCTGCATGGATGCAACTTGTCGCATTTGAGCTTGCGTCGCCTAGGAGCACGTTTCAGTGGTGAGGACTTGTGGGGGCGGGGTGTATGTAGATGCTACTACTGACCTGCATTCGAGGCACGACGTGATTAAGCGATTGCGGCGGCGGATCTTGGGCGGCACAGCATGGTGCTGGGAGCCGGCATGCGACTTGCTGGAGCCAGCGGGGGATGGCTGCGACGGCCTTTCGGGCTGGCTCGAATGGTCGCGCTGGCTGTACGAATCTGGAGAAGCCATTGATGCAGTTCCGCAGGGCGGCAGGGGCCCGCCTTACGTCCGTAGCGAAGTAGTGGGCGCGTCAGGCGCACGCAAGTCGACGGGCGGCGGGCGGTGGGCGATCGATCGTCTATAAAGCCAAAAACGACGCCAAGCTCTTGCAGTCGGCGAGACGAGGGCTGCGACCCCTTTCACGGTGGGCGGCGAGAAGGCAGCGCGCGAGCGGGCGCGTTCGACGTGGCGGTCCGGAGGTGAGAAGGCGCGAAATCCGAGGAGTCGCGCGGACTGAGGCGATGGCCGCGGCTGCACAGCGGGGCGATTGGATATTTGCGGGAGCCTGAAGAACGCTTCGACGGCGACAGCAGGCGCGGACAAAACCCACGAACAAGGTTTTATGCATGTAATGGAGGCTGGCAGGGCTGAGTCGGGGACGGCGCTCTCGACGCAACGCGCGAACTCCCCACCCACGCGCACGGTCTCTGGCTGCGAGAGCCGGGAGGGTCTTCGGTCAGGTTGCCCTGCTGGGCCCGCGACACCCAGGCGGCGCCAAAAATACCAGCGTCCGTCCGCCGCTCGCAAAGGCCCGACTGGGGCTAAGAGGTGCCAAGCGTGTCAAACGTCGCCCCAAATTGCCGGCGTGTCCACCGTCCCGGTCAAGATCTGCAGGGCCGGGAGATCGTGGGTACGCTTCACCAGCTGCGCAGCGCAGCCTGCCGCCCTCGTATAGCCCATCGTGCCATGGCTTGGCCAATCTACACATCAGTGCTCAAGGGGAAAATCGCCATGCGCGCCACTGCAGAACTGGTCCCCGCGCTGCGAGCATCCCGCCGCCATGGTTCTGTCAATCAGCAGCTCTCGTGTGTCTCGGCACTCTCTAGTTTCTCACGAGTCGACTAGGCAGGTACCTTGGAAAAGGGCTTGCTGAGCCCCTGAGGCCGCATTCCTGTGCAATCGCTTGCCACCACGGACATGGCGCTTCTGCTCGGCAGTCGCTGCTGGACGATCCCACGTCTCGAAACGCGCCGCTGGCTGTTCGGGGCTGTCCAGGGCTGATCAACAGCCGGTCGGCTAAGGATGATGACGAAACGGTGTGACGGTAATCCGTACAGTGCGAGGCAGATCAACCGCGCACATCGTCGTCGCGGCGGGAACGGCCGTCACGCCGACTGCCCAGGAGGGGCGAACCTTACTCGCGGGGGCGTGCATGCAGCCTTGTGGCGATGCCATCGAGTTGCCTTTTCCAGAAGCCACCTCCGTCGAGATTGAACTTCGGATGCCCTGCAGAAATTACGGGGCAAGCCGTTCCAATTGAGGCATTGGCAAAATTTGCAGTGGATACGTTATCATGCCGAGCAGTGTTTGGTGTTTTGCAGGGGTTGCAGCACAGCGCCGCTGATCTGCGTCATCGCCTGCGGTTGCTTCTTGGTCCGCTGGCTCGGCCGACTGCAATCACTGCGCCTGCGACTCGCCGTGTGCGTCCTGCGACAAACGTCACACAGCTCCACGCGCTGCTCAACCCACGCCGCGCACTCAACGAGCCGTCGCTCCACACGTTCCGCGTTGCGGTGGGGTCTGAGCGCTCACTCAGCGCTGCCGTTTCCCCGCCGGGAGGGCGCGGGTAGCTTCCGTCGTCTGCTTCTCCACACTTGGCAGCGCACCACCATCTCCACCCCCACTACAGCTGCTGCTGTGGATCCTCAGCCCTCACGCGGCTCCATCGTCTCTAAGCGTCGCCATCTGGCGCGCGCGACTTCTGCTCTCCGCCATGCCGCTCCTCAACCTCCGCGAACTGCTCGCGTTCCCGGACGGCAACAATGCGACCGACACGGTAATCAATGGCATACACTTCAACCTGACTGCTCTTGAGCATTTCAACTACACCATATACGACAATGGCACTATATCGAACGCATCGCGATGCTACCTGATCTTCAACAAATATCAACCCGTCATGATGTCCAACGGTAGCTGGATCAACGGCACCTCCTGCTATCTTCCCTACTACCGCATTCACGCACGCGGCGGAGCCGGCATTGGGTTTGCTTGTATCTTTGGAGCAAGCATCATGTTCACTCTTATCAATCTCCGAAAGCACGGGAGGCTGTTTCTGCGTGAAGACAAGAGGTTCAGGGTGATCGGAAGACGATGGCAATGGTACTGGATGTGCTTTGTGGCCGCATGCGGCATGATCAGCACTATCGCAAGTGTTGATGTGGATCGTTTCTACCTACAGGGCCTCCCTATCATTCTGCAAAGCTTCTTCTACACCCTGATGCTCCCGGGAACCTTGGCCATGGTCTGGGAAGCTGTGAGACACTGGTTGGTGTGGAGCCATCTCACTCGCTTTATCGCTGCTGACAAAATGCAGGGGCTCTTGGCAAGAGAGGCAAATCTACGACCGAGACCCGTTCCATCTGCCCCAGGATGACCGGCGTAGCAGGGTCGAATTCTACCTCCCCTTGGTCTTCTACATGTTTGCCTGGCTGGTAGGTCAAATCCTGAAACAAGGTCGTGCCAATAATGCTGATAGAACCAGAGCTTCTTCATGGAAATTCCTCGTTCCTGGACCAAGCTTCAATATCAACGCTCTCCTTGGCAACAGTCTCATTATGCCGAATCCTCGGCGACCGATGCGCGCTTCAAAGCAGCTGCCGTCCTCTCGGTGATGGCTTGGATTGTCACAATTGTGTCACTTCATCATTCACTGCACCACTATCGTCCCAAGCCTGAGAGCGGCGGTGTTATGGCCAGGATCAACAGTTTCTGTGCGTACTGTCCGACCAAGCTGTTTCTGGCTCTGAACATACTGGCTATTCGCCTTGCATACGCTCTGGCTTCGGCTTGGATTTGGGACATCAGCCTGCTGAAGTACGATGTGCAACCCGGGTGGCCGTACGGACTCGGCTATGGAACTACGATCCTGCTGCTGATTTTGTTCAACGTCTTTGGATACATTGATGCCAATGAGGATAAGCTGATCATCGAGCAAAGAAGAGAGCGAGGCCACGCGGCAGACGCGGAGCTTGGAATTACCATGAAACCATCTTGGTGGAGGAAGGCACAGGGCGACTTACATCTGACACCAGAACAACACTTACGCGCTCTCGCTAGTCAAGGCCCTGAAGCAGACCGGCAGGGGCGTGACCTATCCCCTCCGAGTGCAAATGTGGAACTCGGCGATATGAGCAGGAACCCTCCGGCTTACTACGACGTTCCGAGTAATGGCCAGATGCGCAACCGAAGCCGTCAGAGAGCAGACAATGCATCCGAGGACCCGTTCCGCGATCCTCACACCACCGGAGACGGGGAGAGCCGGCACCTGCGTAGAGCTGACAGCGATGATAATGAGAGCACTGCGACTGGCACCACCGAGCGCACTGGCATGACTGGTGAAACCCTTGCGGAGAATTATCCTCCTCCGCAAAGAGTGCGCAGCATGCTCGACATTTGATTTCTTCCCTCCTGCTATTGGACAAGCACCTTCTTGGAGTGTGCTCTATAATTGGATGGTCATGGAAAGGTAATCGGATATTTGGCACCAAACGAGGTCACGATATGGGTTGGAACGGCGCTTTTCCGGTCATTTCTACGGTGTGCTTGATTTTAAAATAGGTTCTTTAACGTGGCACGACACCTTCACTGCTCGCTACTCTTCATGTGCTTGGCTATCACAAGCCTTTGTTCCCTTTGGTACCAAAGTGCGTCATTTCGGAGTTGCGGATCCATGACCATATAGGCCACGGCGAGTCATGTGGACGCAAGCATCGCCTCAGGTTGAATTTAGAAGAGCTTCCACTCTGATCCGAGCCGTCCTGCAATATCATGTTTAAGACATTCCAAGAATCAAGTATTTGTCAGCTTCGGAGCCGGCTGAGCCGAGAATATTGGAAAGGAAATTCAAATTGCTCCATAAAAGGTCGACGATCGAGGACATGAGTAGATGCTAATCGGCATCTTCGGCAGCCGCTGCGGCAAAAGCCGGCTTCCCACCTATCAGACGCGTCCAAAATAGTGTTATGTTCGGCGCCGAAACGCAAAAGAAAAAGGGAATGATGATAGGTAGAAATCAAGGGCAAAATAGCTAAGCTAAGCTATCGATGGGCTGAGATAACGCGACTGCCCCGCGAACCCCTCTACCCCTCCCTCCCAAGTTAATTTTTTTTTTGTCTCACCACTCCACTGCAACCCCTCCTCCCGCAGTTCTCGCACCTCACGACTGCTCCAGCCAATCCCTCCACCCCACCTTCAAAACGTCCTTCCCCCCATTCGCCGAGCCTCTCCCCTCCAGCTTGCCCAACGTCAACCATGTCCACGCCCTACGAAAAGGCCCTCGCCGCCATCGACGCCGCGCACGCGCTCGACCCGAAGAAGATAAAGGCCGCCGGCCCCGCCGGCGCCGAAGAAGAAGTCCCCTACGAGCTGCACTACGCCAACAAGATGACGGCCTACCTCGACAAGCACATATCATCATCGACGTCGGCGTCGTCGTCCGACGCGGGCGCGGCATCGGAGGCGCTGCGACTCGCGGTGCGGGCGCAGCACCTGCGGCGGTGGGAGGTGCCGCGCGACGGCTACCCGGCGACCAAGGCGGGTTACCACGGCTGGCGCAACGCGCTGAAGAAGCGGCAGGCGGAGCTGGCGCGGGGCATGTGCGCGGAGGCGGGGTACGGCGAGGCTGAGGCGGAGCGCGTGGCGGCGCTGGTGCGGAAGGATGGGCTGCTGGCGGGCAAGGGCGGTGGTGCAGATCCCGAGACGCAGGTGCTGGAGGACGTGGCGTGTTTGGTTTTCTTGGACGATCAGTTTGAGGAGTTTGAGAGGGGGTACGACGAGGAGAAGGTGGTGGCGATTTTGAGGAAGACGTGGGGGAAGATGAGCGAGAGGGGGCATGAGTTGGCGCTGCAGATTCCGATGGGGGAGAGGCCGTTGGAGTTGGTGAAGAAGGCGTTGGGTGGGTGATTGTTTTTCTCTCTTGGTGAGAGGGATGGATGGATGGATGGGTGTGTGTGTGTGGCGGCTTTGCGGCTGAGAGTGTGTAAGGTGCTTCGAGAGGAGGAGTGGTCCTCGAAGTTGCAGTGGCTTTCGAGTGCGCAGAAGAAGGTCTTGGTTCGATGTCTACAACAGTGGGACTTCGACTAGATGTCCTCGCATGCCTCACATTCTACTCTGCACACTGCCTCCCACTCGCATCGGCGTCGATTTCAGCAAAACACATCGTTTCCGAATCATCCGCCTGGCTAAAACCTTGGTTCTGATCATGGTTCGACATGGGGATGGCCTATCCTCATCCAAGCCATATTGAATCCGACATCCACAATATCGAACCCCTCGGGAAAGAGCCCGACCGAACAACGATAGTGGAAGAAGAAAGTTGGAACTTTCCAGATCTGACTCACGGAGAATTCCGAGAGAGTCACAGGTACGAAAGCTGGATGGATCTCGCCAAGCTGCGGCTGAGATGTAGGCGGGTCACATTCACGCAAACGTAAAGCTGCATAAGGAATGGAAGTACTATTACAGCTCACAAGCGGGGAAGAAGACGCAGGCTAATTTTTCTTCAATCCTTCCACCGATTCAAATGAAAACCACGACTTCCTCAGCTAAGAAAGCAATTCAAACCACTACTCTCCCACACCTGCCTTTCTATTCCTCATCCACATTCTCCAAAACACACAGCCATTGCGCATCAACCACCTACCTTCTCGAACTAACCAGCCACAACAGCACCATTAGCAATACTCTAGCCACCCTTCTGGCGCCTTCCCTGCCCATCCACCTCCTCTCACCCAATAGCATCCCTCACCCTTCCGCCCCGGCATCACCTGCACCCACATCCCCACCCCCCATAGCCCCCTGGAACTTCCATCCGCGTCCTCTTCCATCTCAACCACCCGCTCTCGCCACTCTCAACTTTTCCCGTCGTCATAGGCGCTTTCTTCAGCCCCACGGTGCCGGACTCCGCCGTGGAGGAGTTCCAGAGGACCTGCATGACCGATTACGAAAGCATGATTTGGCCAAACCAGATGATGCAGCGATTGGCCTACCCAAGGAATGTTTTGCTGAATCTTGTTGGCTGGGAAAGCGGTGGGCAGAAGGTGCTGGTGGTGGCGGGTAGAGGAGACAAATTGATGGGACGAGGCTGATGAAGGAGATGGTGGAAGAATATAGGGGCGCGCATGGGGAATTGGTGAAAGAGAAGAAGGTGGATGGCGTCGAGGATGAAGTGAATGCACTTGAGCAGGGCGAAGGGACCGCTGGCCGTGGTGTAAGATACGTTGAATTGGACGCAGCGCATCACTTACACAATGACGTGGGTTGGGAAAAGGGGGCTGAAAGGTTGGCGGAATTTTGGGCGCAGCTACGAGGAATAAGAGCCGCAAGATTGTCTCCTCATCCATGGGTAGGCAATGGTGTGGACAGTAAAAACAATTGGATATCTTGTGCTTTTGCATGATAAAATATGTTGGACCTTCTGTTGCGCCGATGCTCGTATGAACTCCACAGCACATAAACCTTTAGAAGATTTTCGACAACACCCTCTTGACCTCTGCCGGCTGTTCGGGCACATCCTTCGTTTTCTTCGACTTGACCTCCGCCTGCTTGAATTGTCTCCTAACATCCTTCCCATCCGGTACAGGCGCCGCAACACCCTGCTTTCCTGCACTCTTACTTTTCTTCTTCGCCGCCATGCCCTCCAACATCTTTGCCCGCTCCACATTCTGGATGAACTCCTTGTTCTCCCTCGTACTCCTCGAGATCTCCGCCCTCATCTTGCTCGCGCGCTCCGCATTCTCGTTGGCAATCTGCTCCGTCAAGTGATGCCACTTGAAGCCGGTGAGGTAGCGCATGTTCCACACGTCGTCGTAGTAGTAGCCGCCCTTCTTGCCGCCGACGATCTTGGCGTTGAGCAGGCCGACGCACGCCTTGGCGTCCCTCTTGTCGACGAACTCGACCCAGCCGTCGACGTACGACTTCTTCTTGTTGCCACCCCCTTGCTTGCGGCGGCGGTACGCGGCCGGGTCCTCGGGCGTCAGGAAGACGCGGCCCACGGCGCCGTGCTGGCTCAGCAGCGACTTCACCGTCGCCGGCTTCATGAACGGCGGGATGCGCGACAGGTACACGACGCCCGTCTTCTTGACCGCCTTCTGCGCCTTCTCCAGCTTCTTCGCGCTCAGCGGCCTCTTGGCCGCCGCGGCGGGTTCTAGCGGGTCGTCGTTGCCGTCGTCGTCGTCGTCGGCGGCGGCGGCGGCGGCGTCCGCTTCTTCCTCCTCCGGTGCGTTGTCTTCTTCGGCGGCGAGTCCGGCGGGCTTGGGGACGCTCCTGGCATCCGCCTTGCGCAGCAGGGAGGGATCAAAGCCGTCGTTGTCGTCGTCGTCGTCTGCGGATTCGTCGTCCGACTCGTCGACCTTGCGCCGCTTGGAAGCGCGGCCGGCGAGCGCCGTTGCGCGGCTCCTGCCCTGCTCCTCGGCTTCCGAGTTGTAGCCGGCGTCCTCATCGTCGCTGGCGTCGTCGGTCTCGAGCCATTCGTTTCTTTTGCGGGCGGACATGATGGGCGAGTCCTGGTGAAGCGCTGGGAGACGCTTCGGAGGAGACGATGCGGCATAGAAAATTGCCGGAGACACAATTTGGTTATCGATAAGAAGACCCAACATGGAAATAGATCGGCTGTATTTCATGACTTTCCACCACCGAAGTTTGGGGAGAGGATGAGCAATGCTCGTGTCTTCTTGGTAGTCTACACTATGGATATAAAACATCTAGTTTACATTCCGTACCGAACTGACTTGCTCATAGATGACTTCAGCACACCGCCCTTAGGCACTGGCCTTTTTGGAGCCGCTTTCTGCTTTGCCCTCTCATCTTGTAGGTCTCGCATGCACCGATCCCAAAGGCTCAACCACTCTCCCTTTCTGCCGCCACGCTCCCAAGACGTATCTATATCCGGTTCGATGACCAGGAGGCATCTCATCAATGCGTCCCGGACATCACCTTCCAGTTCCACTGGAGGCACCTCTTGCCCCATCGTGATGACGCAATCTCGTACGGCTTTGATGCAGTCTTTTTGGTTACCGGTAAACGCAACGCCGTTCAGGGCCACCGCGTACATGTATGCCGATCTGGAGTACATGGCCAAAGCCGTGGAGCTCCAGACGTGCCACATGCCGTCCATGTCCCCCAGCATAGCGTGGTTTGTGAGTAAATCGGCAAAGGTTTGGCGCTTCAGAGGTATGTCGAGCATGTCTATTTGGTGCAGGAGTTCATGGCGAACGGATGAGTTGTACTCCTTTCGCCTCTCCACGTTCACTGGATCCTGGAGTTGGGCTTTGAGGTCGCTGGGAGGCGTTGAGACAGACTTGTGAAGCATCAGGATGATCTCGTCTGTGAGAAAGGCATAAGAATGGCCTTGCATTGCGTAGAGGATGGAAAACACGATCTGGTATCGCCGGCGCGCACTGTCCTCATACTTCTCGCCGGGATGTTCGCTTGATAGAAAGGTGCGGAGACTGGCAAGAAACATGTGTTCCGGAACGCGAATCCCTGCAACTTGCATTTCTCGGAGTAGGTTTTGGATGAAGAAGACCGAGTAGCTCGGGTGATCGACCGATCGAGCAATAAGGTAAAGCTGCATGATTGCTTCATAGTGGACGACACCTGGGTTCTCGGGGACGCATTCATAGAAACCCTTGAGAAAAGGGGTTGAGTTATTCGCTTGTAGGCAATCTCCGGTTCCCAAAGCTTTCAATTTTTCCTCCGTAGGCATCTGGCGCAACAGCTCAAGCCTCTTGGCAAGCGCTATGGCATCACCATATTCGTCTGGCCGTGCCCCATAGCGGATTTTCAAGGAAGTCTCGTCGTTGAACGGAGAGTTCCTTGAATCCGAAATAGTACTCATTGGTACTCCCCTAGGCCTTAACCCATTGTTAGCCAAAGAGTGATTCCCAGCTCTTTCAAACGCCATTCTCGTACCGTTTGCTTTCGCTCTTGTAGTGTGGAACGCGCGGGTCTGCAACGGGGCCCGAGGATCAGTATGTTGAAACGGGTTCGAGCTTTCAGCGACACTGGTGTCAGCAAGTACAACACCATTAGGGTTGTGCGCTTTGTCCATGCGTTGGGTGAGTTCGTCGTCGGGAGTCGACATTTCCTTCCTCCTGCGGTCAGTCTTCAACACCCCATTCCACAAATGCTCAAGATCAAGCTCAGCCCTCTTCTCCTCTGTGAACAGCTGCAGGACAATGCTCACGCCCTTTGATTTTCCACCAAAGCCAACGAAGCCTTTGATTTCTGTATCGGCCTTTGGGGTGGACTCGGCGGCCTTGACGGAGCCAACATTGACACAGATCCAGCCGGTTCGGATGCCGTCATCAGCAGCAAGACTACTTTCGGGCACGCCAGCATTCGAAAGCATCCTCGCCTTTCGCGCCTTTCGTCTCAGCTTCAGCTTCAACTCATTCCGGCCCAGCAGGCCATCAGCGTGAGGGCTCAGCTTGTACTCGGTCCTCAGCCACCGACAGAGCCTGTCTGCAGACACGTGAAGATGTTTCTCACTGCGTGCCGTCCCAAAGAGCATCAGCAGATTGGCGCCAAGCGCCGCCGGCGGATCCAGGTGCCGACAATCGAGGAGAGAGAGGTCGTCGATGCCAAGGTCTACAGAGACATATTGAAGAAAGCCCTCGAGAATTTCCGGGGGGTGGTCGGGGAGTGCGGGGATACGATGTCTGTCGGCTAATGGGTGTGCGGAGGCGTCGAGCGGCTGTTGGGGCGCATCGACTTGGAGGTACCAAGGCACCGACGCAGCCTGGGGGTCTGCGGATGGAGAGGTTGTTGCAGGAGCGGATTCGGCATCGTCCAGGTGCGGCTCCTTTCTGGTGTGGTCGTCGGAGAGGCGCAATGGCGCGGTAGTAAAAGGCCTGGTGGTCGCGCGAGCAGATGGCCGGGCGGCGGCGGAGGAATCGAGGCCAGCGAGCGAGACAATTGACCTGGAGAAACGCGTGCGGCAGGCGCCACATCGGATACCGGACGCGATCACCCTGGAGGCAGCCATGGCGCTGTTCAGTGGAAATCGGGCGGCGGAGGCAAGAAGGACAGGTTCATAGCGCTAAGCCAGCGTGAGGCGCGGAGGAGGCGGCGGCAGCGACATTATTGCGCTATCGATAAGGCGCATCTTTTCCTGCTGACAATTATTCCCAGACCTTTGCCAGAGCTTCGTGGGGCAAATATTGCGACCGCCCAGCCCTCTTCGCCTCTTCTCCTCCGCCTCAACTCATCTTCCAACGCTCGAGATACCCGCCTTCCCTTTGCCCACCATGTCCATGGATCTGGACGACGGCGCTGTGTCCTTCCAGCCCGCCGCGCACAATGCCGCAACTATTCTGTGCTGCAACTGCGGCGCCCCCATCGACGGCACTACTTCCTCGGGCGCGCTCTGCTACGACTGCATAAAACTCACGGTCGACATTAGCGGGGGAATCCAGCGTGAGGCCGTGCTGCACTCGTGCAGAGATTGCGACAGGTATGTCGCCAGGCATTACATCATGCGCCAAATCTTCTAACCCCGCCAACAGATGGATGTCGCCGCCCGCCCAGTGGATCGTTGCCCAGCCCGAGTCTCGCGAACTGCTTGCACTGTGTCTCCGGAAGCTGCGCGGCCTGAACAAAGTGCGCATCATCGACGCCAGCTTCATCTGGACCGAGCCTCATTCGAGAAGGATCAAGGTCAAGATCACAATCCAGCAGGAGGCTTTCCAGGACACCATTCTGCAGCAGTCCTTTGAGGTCGAATATGTCCTCGCCAACCAGCAGTGCCCGGACTGCGCCAAGAGCTACACCCACAACACCTGGAGGGCCAGCGTTCAGGTGCGCCAGAAGGTGACCCACAAGCGCACCTTCCTCTTTCTCGAACAGCTCATTTTGAAGCACATGGCCCATAGGGATACCATCAACATCAAGGAGACCCATGAGGGCATCGACTTTTTCTTTGCCGCCCGGAACCAGGCCGAGAAGTTTGTCGATTTCCTGAAGTCTGTCGTGCCCGTCTTCGCCAAGAAGTCTCAGGAGCTTATTTCCATGGATACACACACGTCTGTCAAGTCGTACAAGTTCTCCTACTCGGTCGAGATTGTTCCAATCTGCAAGGACGACTTGATTGTTCTGCCCATCAAGCTGGCCAAGCAGCTTGGTAACATCCCGCCCATGACTCTGTGCAGCCGTATCGGAACTGCCGTCCAAGTACTCGATCCCCAGACTCTCCAAACGGCAGACATCAGCCCTGACGTCTATTGGCGCGCCCCTTTCACGCCTCTCGCCGATGTCACCGAGCTGGTCGAGTTCATGGTCCTCGACATCGAGCCTCTTGGCCCTGTCAAGGGCCGCTATGTCCTGGCCGAGGCAACCGTGGCTCGCGCGTCGGACCTGGGATCGAACGACCAGACTTTCTACACAAGAACCCACTTGGGCGGCATTCTGAACGTTGGCGACTCTGTCATGGGGTACCATCTGCAGGGCACCAATTTCAACAACGACCTGTTGGATGAGCTCGAGAACAACAAGCAATACTCGTCAACCATCCCGGATGTAATGCTTGTGAAGAAGCAGTACCCCCGCAGGCACAGGCGCAGACGCGCCTGGAAGGTCAAGCGCATGGCCAAGGAGGAAAGCGAGATGGCGCCCCGAAAGCAAGACCAGGACCGCCTCGAGCGCGACTTTGAGATGTTCTTGCGCGACGTGGAGGAGGACGAAGATTTCCGCGCAGGTATTGCGCTGTACAAGAGCCAGCATGCGCCGAAGCCAGCAGAGCCGGAGGAGATGGAGGAAGACGAGGACGAGGAGGACGAGGGTCTCCAGATCCCCATGGATCAGCTGCTGGAGGAGATGGAAGATCTCAATATGGACGAGGGCGAGGAAGTGTAGGGGAGCTATATTTTCTCGTCGAGGCAAGGTTAGCATGGGGTGGCGAAATTTCAGGCGTTCTGGATGCACAAAAATGGAGTTTCCCGAAACTCGACAGAGGGGCGGGCTGCGTTTTCAATGAAATTCATGCTTTCTTCTTTCAAAAAGTCTGGACACTATTCGTGTTGCTCAAGGGCACTCCAGAAGTTGTTGCCGCTCACGTGTGTTTGATTCGGTCTCGCACGGGCCTCGACGCAACGTCAGGGCACCTCGGCTTAGCAGCTGTCATCCGCCGACGGTTCGCTCGGCCGCATAGTCATCCTCTGGCAATGAGCTGCCGCGACCCGCTTCAGACAGCGATGAGCAGCAGGCACGATGGAGTATCTGTCGAGCCAACAAGACGGCTTCGATGAACTGAAGCCGTCGCTGTTCGGTGCGTGTTCTCCTCGTACATCTACACAGTTCACAAAGCATTGACGTCTAACGGCGCAACAGAGCTCCTCTCCGAACAGCAACTGGCTGCTCTGCTGCCACCCTCCCTCCGCTACCTACTCGCCGTCGCCACCCACAGGCACCCGCGATACTTGCTGCCCATTCTCAATTCGTTCGATGAAGTGTACGCGCTTCTGTCGCTGCTGGTCGAGCGGCATTTCCTACGTACCTATGGCGGCGGCTTCACCGAGAACTTCTATGGCTTGAAGCGTGAGCGCGTGCTACATATCAAGGGCGGAGAGGCACGCCGCGCGCAGCTGGGCGCCGCCGACCAGATGCGCGAGACGCTCAAGCTGCGCAATGCCGACGTCTGGGGCAATCTGGCTGTCATGGTCGGTCTGCCATGGCTCAAGAGGAAGCTGGACGAAGGATGGGACATACATGCCGCGCACCAGAGCGTTCTGCAAGGCGCGCCGGGCTTCGGACGGGATCGAGAGGGTCTACCCGAGGGCGCCACGCTCAAACAGCGCATCCTCTTCTACTACAAATGGTTTCTAAGGAAAGTGTACCCAAGCGTCAATGCGGCCTACTACTTCGCGCTGTTGGCCTGGAACTTGGCCTACCTGTTCGACGGGTCAAAGTACCACAGCCCGTTCATGTGGCTGGTAGGCACGCGCCTCCGCCGGCTCAACGCCGCCGACTACCGCGCCATCGAGCTCGCGACCAAGCCTCCCGCCGCCCACACGCCGACCCCCGGCGCGAGGCCCGGCCAGCAGAACAGCATCTTCCACCCACGAACCCTCGCTTCAGCCGTCTCCCAGCGCGCGCTGAGCTCCCTCCGCATCCTCCTACCGACCTCCATCTTCGCCCTCAAGTTCCTCGAGTGGTGGCACGCCTCCGACTTCGCGCGCCAACTGTCCCGCCAGACGGCTGCGGACCTCGAGCTCCCACCCCCCATCGTCGGCGGGCTCCCCGCGCTCTCCAAGCCGTCCCAAAGTGCTTCTTCTTCTTCTTCTTCCAAGCCAACGGCGCCGTCTAAGCCCTCGGCGCTGAAGCAGGAGAAGCCGCCGCCCAAGCCGTCGCCGCCCATCTCTTCCGTCACCCTGCTGCCCATCCTCACCGTCCCCGCCCCGGACAACTCCGCGCTCTGCCCCATCTGCGTGTCGCCGGTGCAGACCCCGACGGCGAGCCCCTACGGCCTGGTGTACTGCTACGCGTGCATTCACCGGTGGGTCGAGGGGACGCACGAGCGGCAAGTGGCGTTCATGGAGGGCAGCAAGGCGTTCACGAACGGTGACGGCGAGGAGGTGGGGGTGGTCGGGCAAGACGACGGCGCGTGGGCGGAGGAGGAAGGGAGCAGGGAAGGCCGGTGGGAGAACGGGAGGGGGAGAGATGCGGTGACGGGCAAGAGGGTGTTGGGCGGGACTGAGGGGCTGAGACGGGTGGTTGTTTGATCGTGGTCCGTTGTTGTTTTGGAGAGCGCGGGCGTCTGGCGCCGGAGGATGATTGGCATGGGGCTTGGTGTCTGTCGGGTTGGTAACGGAGAGCGCGCTTGTTGTCATTGTATATCCCCACAAAATGGTCGTTGTCTTTTCGAGGTGTTGCTCAATATAGTAATGGGCTGAGCTTGGTCTCTTCCTCTGAGGGGTGAGAAACTTGATGCCTAAACACAGTAGGTGACATTTCGATTAGCAACGTTGCGACACCGAAAACTGATGATCGGTAACAGGCTTCTGAACAGTTCCAAGGTCCACGGATCTCTGGGGCTATAGCCAACCACTTTCAATAATGTGGCGGAAACCAGTCATGGCTTTTCGTCTTCACCTCAGTGCTGCTCTTATACTCAACACTCAGCCCCATCCTGTACAATGCCTCACTCGTGGCAAATAATCATGACTGCCTTCTCAAAGTCTCTTCCCTCATCTAAAAAGTTTAAGACATTAACTACTTGCAAGCCTCCTCCTCTCCGTTCCACTTCTCCACTTTCCTCTCTCTCCCTCCCTGGGTATTCGAACATAAAAGCAAAAGACAGTACAAAACAAAACACACCAATCCACCCAGTAAACATTCCCTTTTTTTTCCCCCACATCCCATCACAAACCCACCGCCAACACGGCACTCAACACCACCCCAACGAGCCCCGTCCCGACCACCAGTCGAGCCGTCCCACCCGCCCCTCCCACCATCCTCCCCGCCGCACCGGCCGCGCTACTCCCACTCGCGCTCGCCATCGCGCCGCCCGCAGCACTCGCGCTCGCGCTCGCGCCCGCGCCGCTCCCCGTCGCCCACCCCACGTCTCCGCCCAGCCCACTCGACGGCTGATCCGACGTTCGCGTCGTCGTCGTCCCCCCGCTCGTCGCCGCCGTCGTCACCGTCCTCATCGACGAAGCCGCCGCCGCCGACGACGACCCGTCGCCGCTGACCCCAGAAGACGCACCAGCAGAAGACGCACCAGCAAAAGACGACGCAGCAGACCCACCACTCCTCCCCAACCCAGTCGGGATTGGGATCCTCGTCCCACCGCTCCCTGATCCCGCGACGATGACGGTCGTCGCCCCGTCGGTCGTCAGCGCGACGCTCGGCCCGCCCGTGCGGAACGTGTACGTCTGCGTGCCGGCGACGACGAGCTCGGTCGTGGGGCCGGTGGTGATGAGGCGGACGGCGTCTTCCGTGGTGTCGTCGTCGTCGTCGTCCGTGGTGGTGGTGGTGGTCTTTGGCGTCGGTGCTGCTGCGGGCGCGGTGACGGTGTAGGTCGTGTGGCTGTCGGCGACGACGACGATGTTGTTGTTGTTGTTGTTGTTGCTCCCCGTTGTTTGCAGCACGACGGCCGTGGTGGCGGTGCCCGAGCCGAGGGTCAGGGTGGAGCCTGGGTGGAGGAGGGCTTGGGTGGTGCCGAGGGCGATGGTGGCAGCGGCGTCGGTGGCGGTGGTAGCGGCGGGGGCGGAGGCGGCGGCGGGGGTGGCAGTGGCGGTTGCGGTTGAAGAGCCGTCGACGACGATGACACGCGTCGTGCCGCCCGACGTGGCGAGGGCGACGGCCGTCGTGGACGAGCCGGAGCCGAGGACGACGGTGGAGCCGGCTGCCAGCGTTTGGCTGCCGCTGCCGCCGACGACGACAAGCTGCGTGTCCGAGTTCTGGGAGACGGTGATGCCGCCGACTTCGAAGGGGGGCGGCGGCGGCGATGTTGCTGCGTCGGCTGTAGTGGCGGCGGGGGCGGATCCAGGTGCGGCGGCTGTGGTGGTGGCCGCGGGGAGGGTGCCAGTGCCGGTCTTTGTCGAGTCTGTCGGGACGGTGGTTGCGGGTGGCTTGTTGGTCGTCGAACTTGCTGCTCCGACGGTAGCTAGGACGAAGGATCCGCCGATCTCGGTGAGGACGAGGGTTGGGCCGTTTTGACCGGGACCGAACCCGAAGTCGAATCCCTGGTCGCTGACCGAAGCGGTGTTGTTGGTGCCAGCGGCCGGGGTGCCAGCGGCTGGGGTCCCGGCCGGAGTTCCTACTATTCTTGAGCTCGCTGTGGTCGAAGGGCCGAGGTCGATGCCGATTGTCTGAGGCTCCGAGGTGGTGGACCGGGTGAATCCCATGTCGATGCCGACGCTGGCATCTTCACTACTGCTGCTGCTGGGTAAAGCGAAGGAGAGGCTCGAGGAAGTGGCGTCTTCACTAGGTAGTGCGAAGGAGAGAGCGGCAGTTGTCTCGGAGGGTGCGGTGCTCGAGGCAGCATCCCCGTTAGCGAAGGCGAAGGAGAGGGCTGTGGTACTCTCGGATGGTGCAGAGCCGATAGATGAGTTTATTGCTGTAAGAGGTTAGGATCATCGTACGTCAAGCGGCATGCTCTTCGGGACGTACTTCGGGGGATGACATTGGCCTGCACGCATGACGCGAGTAGGAGGGAGGTGAGTGAGGTAGCGACCATCATGCTCACTGTCTATCGAGGGAGGGAGTACAAGCGTATGTGGTTGGTCTTCGTGATGGCAAAACGCACTGCTCCACCAGAAGGGGGGGAAGAAACTCGGAGAGCAGATGGCTGCTTAGCAAGGCCCTGCATATCGGCGGCTACCGGTACTTGTATGTGCGACTCCAGGTTGCTCAGTTCATAGACATCGCATGCGGCCCGTAGCCGTGGTGGATCTCAAGAATAGCTCGGCATGCATTGTGACTTGCCTATACAGGAAAGCGAGCCTGCGGTCTGCCGTTCCAACCAATGGGACGGCACGGAGCTTTGCTGCCGAATCATGGAAAAAATAAAAGTAGGAAAAGTGTGATGACGAGAAGCGCGGGTGTGGGGAGCAGCCTACTGCGCCGCATTGTGTGGCCAATCGGAGCAGTGTGGCTCCCTTCCTAAACGGGTAAGCGGGCGCTTAAATCAACTGTTCCCGGTGATTCTAAATCGAACTCTGTCTACGCCGCAGCTGCGCCGCACGTCAACAAGGCTCGACAGCCGTGTATCCGCCTCTCTCCTCTTCTTTGGGCATTTTCTAACCTGATTTCTCCCACATTTCGTACCTTCTCCACTGCTTTTCAATAGTACGGATCAAAACCCCTCAGTAAACCCCACCGACTCTCTCCGTATTCAACCTCCCCCTCTTTTCTACTCTAATCCCTCTCTTTGGAGCCTAATGCTCCTCTTCGGCTCCAACTCGCCGTCAACTCCGGTCACATAATTGGTGGCAAAGACATCATCCGTCCGCGTCCCGCAAAAGACGGTCCATTCTTCCTGTGAGGGCAGTCGAGGTCAACACCAATAAGCTTTCGTTTGTTCGTAAGATTTATATCCCGACTTTCGGGCCTACTGCAAACGTAAGTTTAAAATTAAGCTTCTTTTGCCTTTTTTCACCGTGTCCACCATAATCAGCAAAAAGAAAAGAAAATAAGCCAGGCCTACTACTGTGTTCCATCCAGCGTCTGTCCCTCCGACGATTGAGCGTGCAATAGCACGACACTGTCTCTGACCAAAGCCATTACAAACGACCCAACACCACCTAATCACCTACCTTAAACTCGGCAAGCCAAACTTTCGACAGACATGTCTGGCGCAACGGCGAACTCGCCCGGGTACGATTCAATCACGCAAGAGTCAGACCACTCCCTCAGACCTACTAAAAATTATAGGTGGCCGTGTGACGTGTGTGCTTGTGAAACCATCACAACTGACCAAGCAGAAAAGATTTGTTATACAATGAGATTTTCAAGACAACCACAGAATCCTATAATGAGATATCAAAAAAGGAGTGCCGACTCTTTTCCAGAACAAGTACATTGTGTGTTGCTCCAAGTAGAAGAGGATGATTGATGACAGCAAACACAGACGCGTTTGAAAGTGTGTGTTTGGGAGCAATGGTACGTAACATCGTGCGCGTCATTCAATGTGCACGCTAGACAATTCTTCTACAGGACAGAGAACACCGCACCCAGCCAAAGGCTCAAGAGTAGCTGGAGCCGGTGAGCGCCATCCTAAACAATGTACATGAACAAGAAAAGTAGTTATCGTTGAAGAACACCAGATCATCCCATCCGCAAAATTCGTGCATATGTGGAACGTGCCAAAGGTGGCAGCTGGGTTGGTTTATTTTACCATCCCAAACGCTTCGTCATTTAGATGCCCAGCTCGGCATCGGTGATGCAGCTGCCATCCGTGGCGTCGGAGCTGATCTCAGCGCAGAGCGGCTTGTTGGGGCTGGAGATGAAGTTGGCGACGTTCTCGGCGTACTCGGCAAGGATGTTGCCTGGTGAGCTGTCAGTAAAACGTTTCGTACACATTAGGGGGCGAACGTACCCCTAGAGCGGTAGTTGCAGAAGGTGATCATCTGCTGGTCGTTGCTGCACTTGGCGGTGGCGCAACCAACGGAGAACGACGTCTTCCAGATCATCTGCGTGAAGTGGAGAATGTTGGGGCCGTCGGTAGGAACGCTCTCAACACCCCAGTAAGGGCCGAAGTCGTTGTACTCCTCGTAGTACATGTTCATGAAGAAACCGGGAGCGTTCTCCATGGTGGTGTCGTTGACCGTGCCGAGGCCCGAGGTGGTGTACTCGAACTGGCCCATGTTCTGGCCGAAGTTGTCGGTGCTGTTGCGAATGTCAGTATGGCCACTGGAAGTGGATTTGATTTGGCGAGGGGGCTTACGAGGACACGGTGTGCTCATAGACGCAGGTGTTGGCAGAGTCCTGAGCCTTGGCCTCGAGGTCGTAGTCCCAGTACATGGAGCAGCCGTCGGTGTGGTTAGCACGGTGGGCATTGTGGTAGGCCAGCCACTTCTTCTGGACAGTGCCGGTGGGCTGGGCAGTAAGGGACGCAGTCGACTCGACCGAGGTAGTCGCGCAGAAGGCGTAGGAGCTGAAGCCGCCAGCAGCGGAAGAGGTCGTGGCAGCCTCGGTGGTCGACGGAGCCAGCGTGGTCGATGCGGCCTCGGTGGTGGAGGGAACCTCGTAGGTGGCCGAGGTCACGGCGGCCGAGGTGGGAGCAACGTAAACGCTGGTAGCAACGCTCTCGACGACAGAGCCGATGCTCTCGACAACGGAGCTGACGGTCGCGGCGATGGAGCTAACGGGAGCAGGGACGGCGACGGCAGGGGTTTCGGCAGCACTGGTGTACGACGTGATCTCAACCATGGAGCTCGTGACAGCCTCTTGGGTGACGGAGATGGTGTTGGTGACACCCGTGGTAGGGCAGGGGCCGGTGGCCGTAACATACTTCGTGACGGTCACGATGTCGAGATCGGTCACAACGGCGGGGACGGGGGCGCCAACAGCGACGCCGCGCTTGTTGAGCATGGGAACGGCCAGGGCACCGGAGGCCAGCGAGGCGGCGATAAGAGCAGAGGAGCGCATGATGTCGAATCAGGGCAGAGGACAAGAACTTGGACCGGGCAAAGGCTGGAGATCGTCAAGACCTGGGATACGACCGAAGCGTATGGGGAGCGGTAACGAGCGTAGGGTCCTGGGGACTGGTAAAGAATGGCGTGGCCTACGAGAGAGCCAAAGGAGCGTGGATTCAAAAAACCAAAAGAGGGAGCGAGAGGGCGGGGGCAGGGAATATGTACGGCGGAGAGGTCGCGGTGCGGAAAGCCACAGACGGGGCGCTACCGGGCTGGCTGTTTCATAAACATGCGGAGAGCTTGGAGCACAAATGAGAAGGGATCTCCACCCTGTCCTCCTACGTAGGTTTAATTCGTCGGTGGGGCCAGTGCAATTAAGAAGCGGTGCGGCCGCGCACCGCGCACAGGGCTGTGCCCCGGCGGGCAGCTGGCCGGAGATCGCAATTCGGCGGCCATGGCGGTGCCGGCATGAGGCTCTGCAGCGGGAGCAGCGGGAGCAGCACGGCAGCATGGGCTGGCCGCCGTCGCCGCAACAGGTGCGCGGCTCTCGGGCGTGGGCGAGGCAAGAGAGCAGATGCAGGCACCCGGCAGGGGGATCATCTCGGATCCCGGTGGCGATCATACGCGTGGCTGACCAGCAGATTGGGCGACAACGCGGCCTGGCCAACGTGAGCGTGGGCCGAGCCCGGGAGGTCAATTTCTCGCAGCATCCAGTCGGGAGGGCGGCTGCATCCGCGCACCGCACGCCGGCGGGTTGCCGTTGGACGGTGGTCTCGGTGGTCTCGGTGCGGTGGCCGGCCGGGAGATTTGTGGGTGAACGAGGGGCCGCCTGGGGGCCTGAGAAGGCGTGGCCGGTGCAGCTAAGCCAAGGCAGGCGTCGGCAGGCGCTGGTGGGCGCCGGCGGGCGTCGGCCGGCGGCTGCACGGCGGCTGCATGGCGGCTCGCAGGCCAAGCGCAGCTGGCAGCTGGCAGATCCGGGCGCGCGCGACGTCGCTGGCGTGCAAGAGCGTGGGGCTGACAGGAGGCGCCAGCAGAAGCCGGGTGTTGCAAGTGATGATGCGTGGCTGGTGTTGGATGAGGGCAGGATCAGGACCGCCGGCGCAGGCCAGGACATTGCGATCTCGCCCGACTGAGATAAGCGGCCGTGCGCGCCGACTGCCCGACTGCCGGCTAGGTAGCTCCTTCCTCCTGAGCCTCCCGCCGCCGTTCCGCCCACCCACCGCTCAGCCGCTCACCGGCCAGCCTGCTCGTGTCCGCTCGTCATGGCCACCGTCTTCTTTCATCACCTCGCCGCCACGCCTCGTACCGCCGCAACGCCGCAACGCCCGGGCGGTCGTATCGCTCACGTTGCTCGTTGCCAGCCCCGCACAACGGCGTCCGTTTCAGCCTTGCCCATCCGCATCTTATGCTGCACATCGTCGTAGCTCACCTATAGCCGCCCGCGCTTATACCATTGCAGAACCTTTCACAACTTGCCTTGACACCAAGAGACGGTTGGACGGCCTCTCTGCTACCGTCGCATCATGAAACGCTTGCGCCGACGCGGGGGCCACGCGGCGGTGAAGGGCAGCCGTGGTTCAGCTCTTCATATCGCGCCTGACCGCCCGCAAATGCTCCCGCAAATGGAGCCGTGTCCGCCGGGCGGAACCAAGGCAAGCCTTGGCGCCACAACGTTCCGCTAGGTCAGCCCTAAACGTGCGAGGCCGATCATGGCGCCCACAAGATTGCGCCCCGGCTCATTGGCCTCAGCAGACCCAAGAGTCCCAGCTTGACCTCGACCATCGTACTGCTGCAGATTCACTTCTTTCCTGGCCGACCTCTCCACACTCTACTTGGCAAATTCGAGATTCCGCCTGGGCCCAGACTGTGCGCGTTCCCCCTTTCCGGGGCTAAGGTCAGCCTGCTGTCTTGGATATATGAAGGCCTAATCACCTTCGTAATGAGAATCATCCGCTGCGCCGCCTGCCAACTTGCCAGCCCCGCGCACTGCCAGCTTCTGGCCCGCACCGGCCTTGTCTCTCTGCTTCCAGCTAGCCCAGGTGCTATGAAGACAGCATGAGCCCTGCGAAAATCAAAGACATCTGCCCGCTTTCGGCCCCAGGCCCACAGCATCTGCCACGGAAGTAGCGGTCTCCCGCAAGCAAAGATATCTAGCGGTAGGCCTCGCCCTCGCCTTAGTCGATCCACTATTCCTGTCGCTGTGGACGATGTGGGATCGACTGGCCATCAGTGGTAGGCCTGGCCGGAAATAGCAGCTCAACCACCCGTTGTATGATGCGGGAGATAGCCCGCCTTCCAGACCTTGTTCGCTGAGCTTCTGGAACATGCCGACTTGCGCAATATGCTCCCGGCTCTTAACTCCCTCTTTTATCTCTACTGTACATGGGTTCGCAAGAAGTGTGGAGTAGATGATGGCTCGTGTCCAGCAAGCACATTCACCGGTCAGGCCTTCAGCTTCTGGAAGCTTTCCAAGGTCGCCTTGGGCGCTGCTGCAACCATTCCGACTCCCCACCACGGTGGTCAGGGACAACGCAACTTCACCGACTAACCCTTTGGACACCACAGTTGGTAGAGACGCTAACTCTGATCTCCGTTTTATTTCGTACGGCTCTGCCGAGTTGCATTTAATCGTGTCCACAGCAGCCGCGTCATCCGGTCCCAAGCCGGACCATTTACCGATCTAGAACACGCGCCGAAAAGCGCAGAAGCCGCCATGGCCGAGAGACTACCGTTAAATGGAAGGCATCTTGTCAACGCGACCTCGTTGCCATAATCCCAGCCATAGACCCAACCACATGCGCAGGATCAACTGGCCGCGCTCTGGTATTGGTACAACAAATACCGGCCATGCAACGAGACCCACGACTTTGGTAAAATCCCTCTGTAGCGACAGTAGCTTTCCTACCTGATCATGACCTCCATGCGTTTGGCATAGACAGGTGAGTGTTCTCTACCCTGCCTGACGGACGGCCCTTTCATGTGCACTTTATTTGATTGGATGCGCCATATCGAGAAGCCATCCCCATCGGCATCGGCACAAATTTCACGGCCTCTTCTCCTCCGCCAAGCACACAATCTCATACCCTCCCAGGAGATGAGTCGTGCCTCGGCACTTGAGGATTCCTCCCTCGTATACAAATCGCTTTCGTAATAGTCTGCCTACAGCCAACCGGCAATGATGAGCATACTGAACAACGTTCTCGGACCGCCAAGAAACGATACCAAAATTTTCGACGACAACCTCTACAATGACTTGTTAGAGAAAAGGCAGGACTGATGAAGGGATTGTTGTCTTTTTCCTAAAGCATGATGAAATTGCCTGAGACTATGTGAGGCCACGGATACTTATGGCCATCCAAACCCGTCCTTCGTCTCATCCATCCCCACGTCACTCTTCGCTAAACTTGATCAATTTTGCTTCCTGGCGTTTTCTCCAAGCTGCGCTCTGCTAAGCCCTTGCGAAATATTTTGCAATGCATTGCTAATGTGTGCTCATTCACTCACCCGCAAGTTGTCTTCACCTTTCCCTCGAACCCCAGAGCATATCGCAGCAGATGTTCAACAGTGGGAGTCGTCATGATTCACATGACACTAACAGGAGAAACCCCTCACCAGGCCAGACAGAGACAAGCTAACGTCATACTTTGGTTCATCGGTGCATCAATGGCACCAATATCGGATGGATCCACGCGGCCGGTCCGTCGGACTGGCAAAGATGCATCTATATGCCAGGCGTCTCAAAGACGGAAGAGAAGAGGGCAAAGAAAAAGCATAGATACATAAGCATGAGCTATTATAATCTACTTCTGCTTTAAAGGCCCAGCGACTGCACGTCGATAATATTAGCGCGGATACGGCTAGAAGGTAGGCCAGGCATAGGACGAGGGAGGTTGTCGATGTCACAGGTCACCGCTTTATTCCATCTTGGTCCGAAGCACTATAAATATATCACGCAACGATGGAGCTGTCTAGGACGTTATCACGACAGGTAGATCCAAACATCTAGCGAAGCAGACACGGTTTTACTTTGCTTATTCTTTTATGGTCTTCTCCAAGGATAAAACTTCATATAGATTCAGGCCGGAAGATCGCTTTAAGCAGGCAAATAGTTCTGCATTGTCGGGAACTTAAGTGTCTACCCAACCCTTGACATAATCACATCCTATTCTCGCGAATTAAATGTGTTATGAGTTTAACAAGAGATAATACATCTACTTTGAGAAAGTTTCGAGGATTGAACAAATGAATTAGACCCATGCCAGTTTACTACTTCACACGCATGTCAATATTAAATACTAGTCGGAACACATTATATAAGTCCATCAAGAGCATCATTCCCAAACGGGCGTTGGAGTGATGTCGCGTCAATTAAACACAGATTTGTGAGTGTGCAATATTCCCCACGTTGAGGAGGTAGCAACTCTGGGTATTACCGCTATCATAGCCCTGCAATCGAGCGTTCTTCTCCAGTATTCCACAATTACACGTTTTTCTCGAGTGTTTTACGAAATGTCCATGGCGAAGCAGTTTCTGCCTATCATCATCCCGCCTTCTTTTCCCTCGAACAAGGTGAAGCAGCCCCCACACCCCACGCGGATGGTAGTCCCAAGCACACGTCCCCACCCACCCGTGCCGTTCCGAACCGCCATCACATGCATGCATGCATATCGGTTAAGGTGCCATACCCTGTCACAATCACCTCAAGCCCTCTCTTTCTTCAGCCAATCATAACGTCGGCCCCCTTTACCCCTCCATCATTTCGTGTGACCATACCCCGCTGATAAGATAAACACATCGAGGAGACAATATCGATGGGAACGAAAACAAGGAGGGGACCCGTGGAATTGGCCTTGCAAAAGATAGCAAGAATCAATAATGCAGCCCAACGGATACGAACCAAGCCATGGCCATCTTGAAGATAATTGGCCATCTCGCGGCCCGCCGTGCAGTGCTGTAGCAGCCATCGTGCGGCAACCACCAATCAAAACGTATCCGTGGAAAAGCGAACGGCTACCCCTATTGCGCGCTCGACACACCCATTTGCACACCACACGAAGGGAAAAGAAAGAAAGAAGGGTCCGAGATAAGGCCTTGCAAGACTTCCCACGAAAAAAAATGTTCATGCGGAATGATCACAAGAGCTGTCCACAGAAGAATTTCACCAATCAGAAGCACTCCGTTATCTATTGTCTATTCCGCAGCAAACCAGACACCCTTCCCTTATCCCCCCCGACAGCCATGCTTATTTCGGCGCCCCAACAGCTATTTGGGGCAGGCCGCCGTTGGCGATGAAGAAAACATTGCGATAATGCGACCATCAACCACATGCACGACTACCATCCAATCAGCGCATGCGGGAACTAGAGGCCGCATGCGAGGGACGACATCGGGCTGTTCGGATCGAGAGAGCGTGCAGCGCGCATCGGAACCAAACGAGAACTGCATGGGTTTCTTTTCCCAATACACTGCTGAATTCGGACAACTCGGTGGCTGCTTATTGATGTTCGAAGCTGAAAAGAAAAGAAAGGGAAAAAAGAAATCCCCCCCAAGGAAGTCCAACCACGAGAGACCACCAGTGTGCAAAAAGTGGAGTGGATACGACGGACGAAGGAAGGAAGGAAGAATACTACGCATCACTCTTGTGTCGCCGATACTGCTCTGCTGTAAACTGTCATCATGAGCTGCACATGCTCCGCTTGATCCCCTCGTAATACCCATCTCACACGCACATGAGAGTACACACGCACGACGTCACCACATAAAGCAGAGGGGAGACACCTAGCCCGCGTGGAACCCCACAAAAAAACGACCACCCCATCGACGTCATCGTCAATCGGGCCTAGACCCAGGACCACCCACCCCCGCGCCAGCTCAGCCCCCGCCATACACGTGTAGCAGCGCAAGCAATCAGCCCGACCCCTGCGGAAGGGACGAAGGATCAAGGCATCTGAAGATGTATGTATGTATGTACAATGTATACCGAGAGAGACGGAGGAAGCAAGAGAGGCTGCGGAGAGGCACACAAATAACGCGCGTCTCTGCATGTAACGTGTGTTTGTACACGGTAGTATTATACGTGGCACACCGGCAGTAGCTGGAAGTGAATCAGCAGGAAGCCTTAGGCATTCCACGAGCGAATGGGAGATGCGTGGGTAGTAGCAGAGCTCCCATAACGACGACCAGATGTTGAATTCGGCATTGGCATGCAACCAACACAAAGGATCGGTTTGAAAAAAAAAGTCAAAACGCATGGCGATTCTGGTATCTCTAATAACAATGTACGACTCATTTCCCTCCCCCGGGCCAGTTGATACCTATCACAACGCCATGTTCTAATCACGCATAACCACTCCTCCCCGGCCCTTCTTTCCCCCCGGCTTCACCCGTTACATACTTGAGGGTTTCCCACGAACCTTGCAAACCCATATCTAAATCTATCGACAATCCCGGTCGCTTCCGGGGAAGGGTGGGTGGAAAGGCCCTGGGCGAGGAGTGGAACGCAGCAAGAAGAGGAAGTCTCAACAGTCCCAGCCAGCTCTCCCCGAGCGACCACTCCCGTTCGTCCGACCAATCAACTCGTGCAAGGATGACGGCAGAAGCGCCCAGCCCAGCGAGCCGGGGCGGCGCTTCTAAGCACGCCATGAGCCATTACTCGCTCGAACATCTTCTCACCAAGCATGAACAGAGAAGTGGAAAGAGAGAGAAAAAAAAGGTAAGAGAAACTCTGTAGTCAAAGGAAAACCCCGCGTCTCTATGGTTCTGGAATCACCTTCCCCCCTTGCACAAGTGCGTAAGCCGTGAGCTGGAGTAAGCACCCTGAATCCTTTGAACGAACGACCGGTGACGGAGCGCACGCAAAAAGAACGCTTGTTGACCACCCGTCCGCCCCAAAACGCCGCGAACCTGAAACACCTTGCGGGAAAAACTGACGAACGAACACGCGCTTTGTGGTGGCAAAAGAACCACCAGACGGGAAACTGTAAGCAGGAAATGTGGGGTCGACCAGGAAATCTTGAGACAATCACCCGCGAGGGTCCGAGTAATCCGATCTTTGTGACAAACGACCTAGGCATCCGATTTCACCCTCCCAATCCAATTTGTCTGTCTTCTTCTCTTCAGATAATGATTGGTTCCTCCTCTTCTGGTCTCTTTAACGATGGTACGATAGGTGGGTGGTGACCGCTTATCGACGGCAACTAGCGGTTGCGACAGGCCCGCGGCAACGTCTTAGTAGACAGACGACTTTCTCCTCCTTCCACTGAACGCCCCACTCTTGTTGATGACATCCCGAAGAGCCTCGTGGGCATGGTCTTCGCGGCGGTCGATGAAGCCATTGAAGTAATGCGGGAGGAAGCGGCGCGAGTCTTGTAGATAGTTAGCAACACATAAAACATCCGACCACCAACAGACGCGGCAGCAGCACTCACTTGCGTGGTCCTCGGCGAACTCCACCCCCTCACCACCACGCTTGACCGTCTCCTTCACGGCCTCCTCGAGCAGGCCGGTGCCGACGCCTTTGCCTCTGTAGCGCAGCTTCACCGTCCAAGCCTTAATCACACCCCTACCCTTGCGCCGCCTTGCGGCCTTGTTCCCGGTGCTGCTGGGACCAGCCCAACCAAGCACCAACGCGCCAATGACCTGCCCGCCAAACCGCGTGACGAGGACGCTGTCGGCGCCCTCGTCCAAGAAGCTCCAATTGACCGATTCGGCGTGGCGGATGTAGCCGCTCGTCAGGAGCCGCACCGCCACCAAGCATGCCATCGTGACGCCGGCGCCCGTCGTGAACAGCAGCGGCACGTCGCCGGGCTGCCTGTACATGTACTTGTACAGCAGCGCGAGCAGGAGCACGTAACCGCCGATCACTGCCGGATGTGACAGCAGCGCCCACGAAGCCGCCTGGCGCTGCTGGGCCACGCCGTCGGCCACGAGCCTGAGCGCAGCCGTCTTGTCCTCGTCGTCGACCGCCGCCGCCGTCGCCAGCTCCGGCACGTCCGCCAGCAGCGGGTCGGCGGCGGTGGGCGCCGTCACCGGCACCCGCAGCGATCGCGGCTGCTGCGGTTGCAGCTGCTGCTCACGGACCCCCTCCTGATGACGACGCTGCCGCACCTGAGACGCGTTTTGTTGTTGCTGCTGTTTCGACCCCGCGGCGCCCAGGGAGGGCGAGAGCAGGTCCGTGGGTCCCACAGCGTCACTGCCATACTCGTCTGTCAACATTGGCACGGCCGACGCGAGCGGGGACGGCGGCGGCAGGTGCGAAGTGAAGGTCTCGCTGGCGCCGCGCATCGACGGCGTCGAGATTGGCGATGGGAACGGCGAGTCGACGTCCGGGAGCGTTAGGTTCGCCGAGAGAGAGGTCAGAAACGCTGCGATAAGAGGCGTGTCAGCGGGGTCGTGGCAGTCGAGCTTTTCCACGCAGAAGCATCGGACAGGCGCAAAAAGGCCGCGTCAAGGGAGCTGGAGCTTGGGCTCGAGGCCATTGGGGGACCGGCTTCACTCACCAGCCGCGGTCCTGGACCCTGGAATCGAAGCCCCCCGCCGGTGTTCGCCAAAGGCCGGTGGTTGAGCAAACGAGGGATTCGAGGTCGGCGGGGCGGCATGGGCGTGGTGGATGGAGTTCTTGATGGTGTTGATGGGAACTACATGGCGGACCATGATGGCAATGTAGGGTGGCTGAGCAGCTGGGAATATATTAATTACAGAAAGCGGTCGCTTGGGCGAGCGGGAGTGCTGGAGAGCGGCGGGGAGGGCATGTTGAAGAGTAGTCGCAGGCCAATTATCGAGGCACGTTTTCGCTGATAAGCCAAGACGGCGCAGCAGAAGGGCTGGCGCGCCCGGGGCGCTCGCGTGACCGGCCTGGCCATGGCCGCGTGCGCCGCCTGCGACGAAAACTCTGAAGGATTTGCAGATTTGCGGCGTGAAGGGCGCGGGTTTTGGAGGGCGGTCTGGCGCAGGATCTCGGGCAACGCGCGCTGTTTAATGAAGCCCGTGACGTCGTCCTGCCCGTTTTACCCGCCCGGGCGCAATTGCACGCAACGCTCCGCTGCGACCTTGGCAGCCAGCCCATCGTAATTTCCGCCGCTGCGGAGACGAACCTGTCGAATTCTAAATGCTGCTTACTGCGAATGGAAGGACGAGCGATGATGCCCTGGTACATATCGCTCTCACCCAAATGCCTTCTGGAGTCCCATCTATGCTGTGCAAAAGCCCGCATGCAGTTCCCACCCCCATCCAACCTGCGCCGCTAACAACAAAACGCTCTCTGTACAACAACCCAGAACTGTGGAAACCACCCGCGCCCGCAAACGCTTTTCGTAAATTAAACCGCCTTCTATGAATTGAAAACAAACTGTCTCTCCGCGCCCAAAACGTCAAATCCGGCTCTTGCGCCGACGTGTTGAAGTGAAAAGTGAAAAACTGCCCAAACTGTAGAAAGTGAAAATTTGCTGGAGATTGGTGCTGGTGCTGAGCGTCGCCTCACTTCTTGTTGCTCGGGGCCCCCTGCGCCGCAATCGCCGTCGCGCTGCCCGGCTCGAGTGTGTGCGTGTGGTTGTCTGCGTTGACGATTTTGCCGCCCTCGAGCTGCTGGCACACTGGAGTCCCCTTGACCCACTTATCCTCCATGATCTCCTCCAGCGTCGCCCGCTTCTTTGGGTCGGTCTCCAGCATGCGTCCGATTATGTGGCGGCTCTCACGGGGGAGCAGGCGCAGTAGGCGCCACGGGCCCTTGATCGTCTGCTGTGCTTGCGGTGCCGTCGACGTGTCCTTGCTGTTCCTCGACGGCGGTGCATTCTGTGCACTCCCCCCAGCTGTCGTGGGCCGTTCGTTCGGGGTGTCACCGTTGGCATGGTTGTTGTTTTGGCTGGTGTCTTTGGGATCGACCTGGCTGGGCATCCTGCTTGCCGGCGCACTTTCAATAGCACGTCTGGAATGGTCGTGACCATGCTCCTTCACATCGAGCGTGCTGTGAGAGGGTCCATGGATTTCTGATGATTTTCTTGACGTGTGCTGCGGCCAATCGTTGGTGTTTGGCGGAGAGACAAAGAGCTTGAAAGAATTGTCCGATGTACGCGGTGCTTTCCAAGGGAATCGACGCAGAGTCATACAGCAGAAGATGATAGCAATGGACCAGATATCGGTAGGTTGCGGGTCGTACTTTTGCAAGTCATAGACCTCTGGCGCAAGGTATGGGTCGGAGCCAACAATGCCTGCAGCACACGTTGAGTTAGTCGGCTGCCGGCCTTTCTCTCCACAATCGACAAGACTTACCACTAGCCAGAACAATGTCGTTCTCGAAGGGATATCTGTAGACAGCGGCGCTGCCAAAATCGATGATCTTCATGATGCCGTGCTCATTGACAACCACATTGTCCAACTTCAGATCCCGATGTGCCAACCCCATGCTGTGCAGGTACGAAACTCCGTTTAGGATCTGGAGAGTACAGCAAGCGACCTCTTCTCTGCTCATCTTGCCCGTCATGACGATCGCAAAGAGATCGTACGGCGCGTATTCCATCACGACATACCAATTACTCTTCTCTTGGACCAGGTCCATGGTCTCAATGATGTTGCCGTGATGCAACGTGGAGCCAATACAGAACTCGCCCGTGAGCTTTTTCGTGTATTCCTTCTCGCTCTCGTACGAGTGCTTGGCACGGAACTGTTTCACGGCAAACACCGTGTTGTCGCTCGCTCTCTTTATAATGCGAACAGAGCCTCCTGCACCCGAGCCGAGTACCTTTCCAAACTTTCCATACCTGGCTTCAAGTCCATGATCATCAGCGAATGGTATTGCGACAGTGGCACTTCTGGAAGGAGGAGTACGCGTTCCGGATTTGCTGTTCTTTGCCGACAGGACGCCGGTGGATTCCGATGGAGACACGGGCCTGCTCTTGCTCTTGTCCCGCTTGTGGCCCCCAATCTTGAAGAACCTCTTTAGCTCCGACATTGATCCGTGCTTTTCTTTCAGCTGATCACCAAATTCTTCACGATGGTCATCGTGCTCGTGCTTGTCATGCTTCTTATGGTGGTGATTGTGGTGGAAGAGGGTATGGCGTTTGCTTTCCTTTTCCGATCCGTTGCCTCTGGAGCGGGGGAGTGGCGCGGTGACAGACTTGGTTTTGGCCTCGCGGTCACGTCCAAATATAAACCGGGGATCCAGCGAGGACCTGTCGCGGGGCTGCGGCGCGCGCTTGGAGCGCGAGTAAGGATCGTCGATTTCGCCTCTTGGCGACAACGTCGGGCGCATGTATGGCGATAGCGGGGCAGGGGTGCTAGGGCCAGTCCCGGCGTCTCCAGGAGTACTTGTGCCAGAAGCAGAGGGGCTCACATCCTTTGAGCCAGGCAAAGAGTCGCCGGAGGGTCCAACTATGAATCTGGGAGGATCGCGGGGATGACTGGTGACACCGGCAGCGTCGGAGCCACGCTTGGCGTGCGGCGCGGCGGGGACAGTTATGTGCGGCAGCTTTTTCCTCTCCTCTTCGGAAGCCGACAGCGACGTGGGGGGAGTATCGTGGGGTGGAGACACTTCGGGGGTCATGATGGTCGAGTCCTGCGAGAGCCGGCTCGCAGGCGCCGAGCTCTGCTTGCTGTCCCTGGATTGGGTGGCGGCGGGGGTGAGTGGAGGAGAGTGCATCGTGGAAGTCGGCGGAGAAGGTCTGGGCGACGGAGCGCCAGAAAATGCCATGGGCGTTCGCGAACCCGACGAGGGAGAGGGCGCCTACAAGTACGGATCAACATGCGGAACGAAGACCGAGTCATTAGCCAAGTCGCTTACTCTGGAAGCCGGCAACGACACAGGTTCATAAGAGAAGTTCTCCAGCCTCTTTGACTGGAGACGCGAGTGCTGCAGCGTCGAGGCGAGGTTGCGGAGCTCCTCTTGTGCTTCCGGGCCAAGGTCTCCTCTTGGCCTTTCCGTTCCCGTCATCGTCTCGACCTGCTGGAGCGTGTGGTCGGGCTCGATCTCCTCGTTATGCGAGGCGAACCGCACACCCTGCTGGAGGGCTGAGTCGCCCTGCTCGAGGTTGGACATTTTCGGAAGGAGCCTAGCAAACGTCTCAGTCAGAGGATCCTGGGTGGCTGCGGCATGGGAGACGACGGCGGGCCGGCGGCCGCGGGCTGCGCCGCCGCAGAGGGGTGCACTGACGCACGAGCAAAATTAAGCTTACTTTGTCGTAGCCGCGGACGAGTGTCGCGGGCAAGCTATATCGGGCGAAGTCAAGGCTGTGGGTGCTGTGGTGAGGGCGGGTGTGGGCGAGGACAAGGGCAGCGAGGGAGCATTCGCCGTGCGCAGGCGGGAGTGCCGACGGATGAAAGGCGTGCAGGTGGGCCAATGGCGGGGAGCACGCAGGCGGGTCTTCCTGTTCCTGGGAGCCGGGGTCGACGCTGGGCAACCGGGCGTGGATAGAAGAGTCGTCACAGCGATTGAGACGGCGCCCGCGTCATAGGGCGCGCGAGGGGAGAGGGCTGGGCGCGGCCGGGAATTGGCCGAGGCAGAGGGCGAGTGGGCGAGCAAAGGCCGGCTGGGCGCGCTGGGAGTCTCGGCGGCGAGACTGGGATGCGGGCTGCAGCGGAGGCGCTGGGGGCGGCGATCGTCTGCGCGCAAGTGGACCTGCGTGGTGAGGAGAGGGGAGAGGGACGAAATCGCTGGAGACGTGCGGTGGGCGGTGGGCGGCGCGAGGCGGCGATGGCCTTGTCAGTGGGGCCCGGCTTCTGCGCCCCAGGGCCGCGGGCTATGATGACGGCGAGGTCGCTCATGGCAGAGTCTGCGCGGCCAGAATCCTCATCCACCGTGACACACCAGCCAGGCCACCAATCGCAGCCCGCCTTGGCTTGCCCCATTTCGGCACAAGACCCGCCAAGGCACGCCCGCCGCTTCCGCCCAGCGACACCTTCCGCGCCCGCGCGCGCGTGCCTCGCCTTTCCTGCCTTCTAGACGCGCCGAACTTTCGCTGCCTGCCGCCTTGCCGCCCGAACCGTCACCCCCACCCCGACACATCCGTACAACCCAGCCAAACAACTCGCACTTACATCCACCATGTTCAACTGGGCCAAGCAGCAGTCAGTTACCTTCCTCCGCGCCCCCGCGTCCCAGATGCTCACCGTGCAGGCTCGCCAACGTCGCCGGCACCCAGGAGCCCATCTATGGCCCCGAGGCCATCCAGCCTGTCACCAAGCAGGCCGCCGAGACGCCCTACACCGAGCTCCAGAAAGATGACATGAAATGGGTTGCCATGGACTCGACCTGCGTCGAGACGCAGACCTTCTACCTTACCGCCGACAGCGGCCGCCTCGCCATGGTCCAGGTCATATACAGCAATGTAGCGTGAGCAACTTCCTGCGCCTGTTCGTAGCAATAACCTGACCGCCCCGCTTCCAGAGGCATCCGGACGACGTGCCAGTTTAACTGCAAGATCTTCTACCAAGACGGCAAGACGCCACACCTGTGGTCTTCCGACCCGCTCAACAACCAGCGCTTCGACGATGCCAAGCTCAACTTCTACGCCGACAACTGCTCCGTCGAGCTCTCCCCCGATGCCACATCATACACGATCAAGTCGTCGACCAACAAGCAGAGCGTTGTGAGCTTGAAGTTCACCAAGACAGCCCCCGGTTTCGTCGTGGGCAAGAACGGTTCAAGCTACTTCGGCACCGACCCCGCCCACCCTTGGGGCTCGATGAGACACGCCTTCTGGCCGCGGTGCAAGGTTGAGGGCAGTATCCTGACCAGGGCCGGCGAGGTCGATTTCGGCGGCAGGGGCTTCTTCGTGCACGCTCTGCAGGGCATGAAGCCACATCACGCAGGTGAGAATATCGCGCATCGGCGCACCCTCGGCCACCTTCGCGCTAACGTCGAGTACAGCTGCGAGTTGGAACTTTGTCAACTTCCAGTCGCCTACATACTCTGCCGTGATGATGGAGTACGTCACCCCTCCTTCGTACGGTTCGACCGTTGTCAGCGTCGGTGGCATCGCGACCGAGGACGGGCTTATTTTCGCCGGAGCAAAGAACACGGCCATCCACACGGAGAAGAAGCAGGACACGGACAACGACTGGCCCGAGCCTGTCTCTGCATCGTATCTTTGGGACGGCAAGTCTGCGGATGGCAAGGATGTGCACGCGGAGCTCACCGGTTCCCTTGGGCCGCGTGTGGATCGCGTTGACGTCATGGCAGAGGTCCCGGGGTTCGTCAAGGCTATTGTTGCCAGCGCGGCCGGCACCAAGCCTTACATCTACCAGTACATTCCCAAGTTGACGCTGAAGATCAAGGTTGGTGATGAGGAGAAGACTGAGGAGGGCACTCTCTTCACCGAGGCCACCTTCATTTCGTGAGCTCTCTAAGGGGCGTTTGATGTTTCGGTGTGGTGTCTTGCCCCTCTACTAATGACACTGGAGGCGGCTTGACAAGGAACTCCACTCACCCATCCTTCAGTTCACTTTCCAAATTTGGCCAAGTTTGGAAAAGACAGGGTACACTAGAGCGTGTGACTGTTGCATACTCGCTCGCTATTTGCATTGCATTTCCTCTTGATTGGACTAGTGCCATGAGAGGCACGAATATATCATATCATATTTAATTGATTAGATTCGCACGAAGCTGCACGTTTGTCGCGGGCTTACCAGCTCCAGTGAATAGAAAGGTTTCTCAACACAGTTGCTTCACGATTTCCTCCGGTTCCAGTGCTTCCTACCCCGAAACTATGCGTCCTTGGCTTGTGACTGAAAACCACCCCCCGACATCTTCTGCCCAGACTACCGGTGACTCGGCATCGCCCCGGATACGGACAACGCCAACCCAGTATCACAGACATAGCCTTCGGCCTGGGCAACTCCTGCACGCGTCAAATGCGTCGCTAAGCCCCGAGGAAAATCTGTTGAGTACAGTCATACGTCCATCCTATACATGTCAGCCGAGCGAAAGGAGAAGGATGTCGCGAGCTAGCTGTGTCCCATGGACCGCTCACAACACGTCCCTCCCCGAATCCGAATCGAACCACAGAATCGCGCCATGCATGTCCTGACATGCGCCGAGCTGTGTAGTATTATTACGATGGCCGGCCTCCCCTCCCCCTCCCACCGCCCTTCCCACCTTTTCGTCATTTGATGAGATTCAGGAAAAAGCTCGGCGGCATCACCGCACCTCGGATCGTCGTCATCCGGAGGGTAGCTGCTGGTACCTAGCAGGAAGCTATAACATAGATCAGCAAGGCCCCCCGCACAGCTCTCGGGCGCCTTCCGATGATCTTCCTTCCCCCCCCCTCCACCCCATAGTACATGGGGTCTTGGCCTCCTTGTCTTGTCTTGGGTGTGTGTGTGTGTGTGTGTGTGTGTGTGTGTGGGGAAGGGAAGAAGGGCGAAAGAGGAGGGGGGGACCCGCGAGTCGTGCTGGCGACGGACATGAGTCGGAGGCGTGTGCTACGTCGTGAAGCGAGACGGTTAAATTGCCCGTATGACGTCGGAGGCGGATGAGGGGTAGGTGATCGGAGAGGGGTTGCGGAGAGAGAGAGAGAGAGTAGGTAGTAGGGGTGTTGCTGCTAATATGAAAAAGTAGCGTGGATGAATGACTGCGGAGAGCCTGTGGTGGGGAAAGATGGTGAGGTGTGTGACCTCACAGCTTTACTTACCGCTTGTTCTGAGAGTGACAATGCAGGCGGGGCGTGCAATCACCGAATGGCAATGGTGAAGGTGAGGGGGAAATAACATACGTCACTTGGTGCGCAGCGCTCAATAGTGAGTCTGGGAAGAATAAATGCATCAGCCAGTGGCTTATGGCTTTACGATGAAGTTGAGCAAACTCGAACACCCGCCGATGTATGTACATACCACGCTTTCAAGCAACTCCACCAGTGATTACTAGCTAACGATGTGGAATTACCCGTCTTCCAACGTGCGAAAGTGATTCTCGCAGTTAGGTCGAGCGCCATTCGCGGGCTAGTTCCCTTCATCACAGCGGCAGTGTATAGAAAACAATTCCGTATCAACATCGATTCTGCCTAGTCGACTGCGTGCCCGCCTACCACGATAAACGGGAAAGCCAGGCCAAGGCCCAAAAAAAAAGAGGCCAGCCAGCAGAAGGCTCCCCTCTCCCTCAGTGTGCCCTAAAGACAATATCCACCACTCTCTCCATCCAAAAAACCTACACATCCGCCACACCCAACAACCCCACCCACGGCTTCAACTTGATCTTCCCCTCCGTCGCCAGCCCCTCCGGCTTATCCTTATCATAACTCCACGCCGCCCACGCCTTCACCTTCGCCTCAGCCGGGATCTCCCACTCGACCTCCCCGCCCGAGAAGTTCAAAATCGTCACAAACGCCTCTGTCTCGCTCCAGCGCTTGTACGCGAAGACGCTCTCGTGCGGGGCGCCGAGGGTGGAGAAGTCGCCGTAGACGAAGACGTCCTTGTGCGCCTTGCGCTGCGCGAGCGCGCGCCGCCAGAACTGCCGCACCGACAGCTGGCCGCCGGCGGCCGCCGGGTCGTGCGCCAGTTGCTGTTCCGCGTTGACCGCGCCCGCGTCGTCGTTGACGCGCATCCACGGCGCGCGCCCCGGCTGCAGGTTGGGCGAGAAGCCGCCGTGCGCGCCAGACGTCCATTGCATCGGCGTGCGCGCGTGGTCGCGCGCTTTGCGCTGCATGACGTGCCGCGCTTCGGCGAGCTTGGCCGGGGAGTCGGGGTGCATGGTGTTCATTCTGGGGGGTGGAGGGTGGGTGTGAGCAGCTTGGTGTTGTTTGGGAGGGGGGGAGGGGATGCTGTGCTCACTTCTTCCAGTAGTTGATGGTCTCAATGTCCTTGTACTCGGACGGCTCCCACTCGGGCGGGATGTTCCTCATGCCGAGCTCCTCGCCCTGGTAGACGTAGAGCGTGCCGGAGAGAGTCGTCTGCATCAGGCAGAGCATCTTGGCGCCGAGCTCCCGCCACTGGTCGCTGTCGTCGGTGTAGCGCGAGACGCTGCGGGGCTGGTCGTGGTTCTCGATGAAGACGGAGTTCCAGCCGTCGCGCTCGATCATCAGCCGCTGCAGGCGGCTCACGATGCGGCGGAGGTCGCGAGCGTCCCATGGGTGGAGTGCCAGCTTGTAGCCGAGATCGGGGACGTTGTCGATGTCGACAATGTCGAAGGAGAAGATCATACGCAGCTCGTTCTCCTTGGCGCCGACGCCCCTGATGATCTCGTCTTCGTCGCGCACGAAGGGCATCTCGCCGACGGTGATGGTGTCGTAGTGAGAAAGGACCTTCTCGTGCATCTCTTTCAGGAACTCATGCATGCGCGGGCCGTTGGCGAAGAATCGGTCGCCCGGCTGAAACTGGTGACCGGGCGCTTTGTTTGGGGCATCGGGGAAGGTCTGCACCTTGGAGATGTGGTTGATGACATCCATTCTGAAGCCACAAGCGCCCTTGTCCAGCCAAAAGCGGAGCACATCGTGCACGGCCTCGCGTACAGCCTCGCACTCCCAGTTGAGATCGGGCTGCTGAGGGGTGAAAAGAGAAAGATAGTACTCTTGGGTCTTCTCATCCCAGGTCCATGCCGAATTACCCTCGCCGAGGAGCATGGCCCAGTTGTTTGGAGGCTGGCGGTTGCCGTTCTCATCGAACCTGGGAGGCTTCCAGATGTACCAGTCACGGTAAGGGTCAGTCTTGGAAGAGCGAGACTGGAGGAACCAAGGATGTTGGTCAGAAGTATGGTTGACGACCAAGTCAGCCATGAATTTCATGTCACGCTTCTTCAGCTCGGCGATGAGCTCATCAACATCATCCAGAGTGCCGTAGCTGGGATCGATATCTTTGTAGTCGGACTGGGAACCACGTCAGGTTTTCGGCTTGATAGCTCAGGAGGTTGGGGATAATTACAATGTCTAGAGCGTGCAGATCAGTACGAAGTCCAATGGATGTATGTCAACCACGAAAGGGAAAACACGCACCGTATCCCATATCCGCCTGGGGAGATTTGAAGACTAGAGCACATCAGCCGTTGCACAGGCTATGGCCGATTGGAAACTCTTTACGCACTTGGAGACGACCAGACAATATCGACTGCACGCCAGATGCAATCAGCTTTTGGATCAGCAACGTAGGCAGGCCATGATTTTCTAACCTCCCAAATCCTTCAGATAATCAAGCTTGGCGGTGATTCCCTTGATGTCGCCCCAGCCATCGCCATTCAGATCGTAGAACGAAGCCGGGTAAATCTTGCTTGATCAGCATTGCGGACAGTATGTGCCTGGGAAGAGGAAGACGTACTTGGTAGACCACGGCCTCCTTCCACCAAGCCTGCTTGTCCGTTCCGGTCGCCATCTTGATGCCAATTGCACAGGATCCGAGAAGGCTGGATGTCGACGAGCTGCGGGCGTGGGAAGGTAGCAAGCGGTCACACGAAGAGAAGTGGTCGAACAGCAACGGCCTGATCTGCGCAGATGGGTTTTTGAACGTGTCAAAATGGAGGGGTAGTTTGAAAGTTGCGCAAACGGCTCCACCGAACAACAGCTCATGCAGCTAGCTGGCCGGCTATGAGGTCATCGTAGCGCTGCCGTACCTTTACGGGCCGCGAAACCTTGTGCACACAGGCGTACGCTGCCACAGACGGCGGCCTAGCAACTGTTGGAGCTTCTCGATCCGACATTGATCCAATGGGAGCAGACGAGCGCTTCGAGAAGCACTGGGGGGCCTATCCGTGGGAGACAAGCCCCACCGCGTACGTGGGGTGGGGCAACAACGGCGCAGGAGGCCTCTCCGCCTTGCGCCCGCTCTGCCGTCAACGCCAGTCGTCAGCTCAGCTCAGCTTTGTGGAATGGCGATTGTGAGAAAGGCTCATGAATGCATCACCACCAGGACCATGGCACGACCGCAACTTGGGTGCGATCCGGGTCCGATTGTTTGAAGCACGTAGCAGTCCACCTCTGTCAAACTTTGTGAGGCAATCATTGTATCTCGACGTCGGGCTTCTGGCCGTGATGCTGCGTGCAATTCGACAGGCTTCGTGTCAGGTTCGAGTGTAGGTATCGAGGTCCGAGAAGTAGACAAGCTCTCAGCATAAAGCAGAGCACGACGGCAGAGCATTCTCTGGCAGGGCTGTTGTGCTCAGAATGACGATGATGCTGTCCTGTCGCGTTCCAATCCCCATGGGCTGCATCGCCAGGAATTCTCTCGGATGGGGAATGAGAAGCAGGCGTCGCTCCTGCGGCATCCGAACCAGCTCGATGGCATGAGACGTCCTTCCTCTTCGGCCCCAGCTTCCGAGTGAGGTCCAGTACAGCGACGCAGAGGTGAAGCAAAGACCATATCAGACGCACTCATTTCGGCCGAGCATCGACACATATATTGCGAATTCGCGCAAACGACTGCTCTAGGCCTGCGCAACCAAGGACACATGACTGCGTGGTCCCACGTTCTCGCAGGCGGCATTTTCGGCCAGCGGAGGGAGGCAGGCCACAACACGCGAGATCGGCATCTCACTCCACACACCACATCTGTGCCCGTTCGCATCTCCGCCCTGCCACCGCGCCGGACCCTGGTGGCAGAACGCCCCGTGGCTTGCTCTTCTTCAATCAAAGCCGACACCGGCACCGAATGCCACCTCAGCCCTCATCAGCCCAGCGTGGCCCAGCCCCAGCAGCCAGCTCTGCCCGCATCCAATTGACCGAGAAAAGAGCGGCTGATGAGGAGTCGCCTGTCGCCCTCCCCCAGACTGATGACCAGACTCGGTTCCCGACGCGGGACCGGGGCGTGATAGAGCTTCAGCTGCTGCTAGGTCGTCATCACTACTGTCGTCATCGGGCCTCCGCCCCTCCTCCTCCTCCCGGGAGAGCCGAATAGCCGTGCCAAAGAGGACAAGGGGAGCAACAGACCGGCAGCGCGCGACAGCGACACCATGCACGCACCAGCACAGCGAGGCGCCGTAATGCAGCCGGTGCCTGATGAAGCAGGCCGCCGGAGGACGTGTCGTGTGAGCTTCTGCAACAGCCGGCCCCCGTACTGCCTGCGTTGCCCGCGCCCGGTCCCAGATGCGTATATTATTGCGCGGCGGGAACCATGCAGCTCTGGCATGCGGGCATGGAAAACCACGAGCCGATTAGCATCTCAGGTAGCTTAGCTGAGCCCCTAGCAACGACAATCGCGAACGATGATCGAAAGAGGCGCCGCGCCGGGCAGGAGAGGGCGTGAGGGCGTTGTCACTGCGGGGGGGTGGTGGTGCATTAGCGCTCCCTTGCATCCGCTGGTTGCGTATCTTCCCCTCCAACTCAGCGGTCGCGGCGGGCTGTAGCGCGCGTGGAGAGCGTTGGGGTGCCACATTTCGGCTGTCTGAACGCAAGCTTCCGCTCCAGCGTCGAGGGGCAAGCGCACGAGCAGCACCGCCAGAGAAGCCAATGCGGACGACTGCACGGCGGTGATGGCTAGGCGATGGCTAGGCGATGGCTGGGCAGTGACGGCAGCCCGCAGCGCAGGAAAGAGGGGGAGGCCAACGAGCGAGGAGGGCAGGAGCAGGAGCAGCCCAAGAGCTTTCCCCGCATTCCGGGCTCGCTGCAGCAGTAGTGTGGCAGCGTCACCCCAGCTTTTCTGGCAACAAAGAAAGCCCGCGTGCGGCCAATGGCAGCCGGGCATGGCGCGATGCCCGTGGCCCAAGCTCCCCTTGCGCCATCGCCGCTGATTCGCTGCGACGGCGTGCACTGGCGCCGTTGCGTGGTGTGGTGTGAGCAGCAGCGTGAGCATCACGTCGAAACGCTGCCCCGGCCTGCCCGCATCGGCGCCGCCGCCCTGGGGCGAGCCCGGGGGCGGCACCCAGCCCGCAGCCCGCCGCCATGGGGAGAGAGCTGATCGAGCCTGTGGCATGGGCAATTGGCTTGCGATCCGGGTCAGGTGCTCGTCTCCTCATCCCAAGACCTTGTTGCACCAAAGAAAGCCCGCAGCCCGTCAGACCCCGCGCCGCCTATATTGAGCCTGCCTCGCCCTGCCTCCTACTCCTCTCTCTCTCCTCACACAACTCCTCTGTGTACTCAGTCCAAACCCTCACCATCACACACCCACCACTCACCCCGTTCAGCCCATCGCTGCAACACCAACCATGTCTGCCGATACCGAACCTCTCCACAAGGTCGACTCCGCCGTCGAGGAGGGCGGCACTCTCGACGACACCAAGCCCAAGCACAGGAGAAAGAGCTCCTCAGCACCCGGCGTCAACAACATTCTCGACCTCGGTGAGTCTCGCTAGACCTTCGACTGGCTGGGATAAACGAACAGAGAACTGACGGCCTACTGCAGAGAAGGAAGGCGTAGAACTACAAATAGCACCGGAGACACAGAAACTGAACTGGTAAGCCATCGAAACATGAACCCGCAACGATCCGAGTCTCACCTTACCCCTTCACACCTTGTCTTTGTTCGACACCTGGACGTGGTGACGAAAGGCTGACGTGCTCTCTTCGCCGCCAAACAGGAAGCTCAACACTTCACCAGCAACACTAGAAGAGTGGAAAGATGCGCTAAAGAAGCCGCTCGTCCTCCCCATGGTCAAGAAGATCGACCTGCACTTCCCGCTCGGCCTCGAGGTCACCGCACGGAACCTGAAGGGCGTGACGATCAAGGACGCGTTAGATGCCATCTACAAGCAGTTCAAGAAGAAGGTGAGCAGCTTCTCAATCGCGGACAAGACGACCGGAGCTAACCCTGGCAAACAAGGCTGACGACGAGCTCGACAACCCCGTCCTCGCTGGCTTCGAGTGGGACCGCGAAGAGTGCTACACGCGCTTCATCGTGCACCAGAAGAAGGAAGGCGCTCCGGCGCCGACGAAGAAGTCGAAGAAGAAGAAGGAGGAGGCTGGCGAAGCCGCCTAAGGGAAAGCGAACATCCCCCCGCTTCTCCTGTAGGCGTACACACAACCTGTCGTCAAGATCGATGAATAGGAGAGGGGAGAACAAACCAGCGCTCGTCGCTGCTACTACTTGTATTACTTCGGATGGATTTTCTTTTCGCTCATTGGCACTTTATCTTCAAGGCGTGATGGGGGAATCGGGGGGTTGAAGGGAACGGGCAACGGGGAATGAGGAACGTGCTGGCTACGAGAAACTTCTCTCTGACCACGGTCAGCAAACAACACAATCTTCCATTCATTATTCTACTCATTCTTCCAAACCTCTTTCCTGCTTCTTCTCTGTCGTTGGTCGTCTTCGTCGTCGTGTTGTCGTCCGTGTGGAGTGTTCGTGGTGTGATGTCTCTTTCCCTCTTTTTTAGCTCCATGCACGCTTTCACGTCTCTGGCGAAAGACCCACATGGCGCCCTTTCCAACCCCCGTACCCGCGCTGACGCCGCCAAGCTCTTTTCTGATCACGGCACCGCGCTTATCTTTTTGCGCGCGCGCACACGTTGACGACATCGACGTAACCGACGGTTGAAAGATTAATCTCGCAGAACAGTTGAAAGAAAATGAAGACTGACCGCTGGTGGGATTGCGATGCTACAGGGAGACGACCGCAAGGTTCGCGAACAACAACGCATATACACTTCGGTGCACCATGTGAAAGAGAGGAAAATCGAATTCGATCCGTTCGCTGAACAGCTAGTGTCTCTAGAGAAGTGTCGATCGACTCTCTCTCCCCCTCCCCTATCTGCAAAAGGGAAAACAATCGCAGAGGGTTTGTCGCTCGACCGTTGACGGAAAAAAAAGAGACCGACGGGAGACCAAGGCTTTCCCTCCTCGCTCATCCCGACCAAGCCCAAATATCCAACACATCGCGACGATCGAAGCTCGCACACTGATCTGAGATGAAGACCAAAATTAGCGACAAGACCAGACTGAAGACCGGAGATGTATGATTTGTGGAATTCAGGTTTCGAATCAGGCAAGGAATTCCTCGTATAAGGACCTTGCGGCATGCTAATCCGCAGCAAAAAGAGTACAAGTCTTTCTAGGACTGGTGCCAGCGAGTGTCTCATCAGGCGAAACAGAGAGTTGGGTTTTGGAAAGTGGCGGGAGAACCGACAGGAAATTGCTGATATCTTACCTTTTTGGATGGGAGAAGGGCGAAGAGTGAGAATCGGAATGCCGGCCAAACTTTTCGGAAGCTATCGTGAATCTATCTCCAAGCGGTATACGTGTTAGCAAATCTGCTCGTGCGCACAGCTTGAGACGTGAATGTTTTGTAGAAATGAATCAATGAGATCAGAAGGAAGGCAACGGAAATATCCACACGGTTTTGCGCTCTCGGTGGTATACTGATAGATTTACATCCGGTATGCTTCATCATAGAAGATTCGTAGGGCTTGGGGTGTGCGGGGAAGAAGATTGAAGGATGATAGGAACAGGTTAAGCTTACCCTTTAAGCTGGAAGGTCGATGGACGAAGAGACTTCGCTGCCCGACTGCTTTTTCTCCAAGTCACTTGGTGCCCTTGATTCGACCCTGAAATCATGCCACCGCACTGCTGGACGGCTGCCCCTCTTTCCCTCCCTGAATACTCCGAAAGATCCCGTTGCCCGCGCCTTGCGCCACATTTGAGGCGGTCGGCGGTCGGTAATGGTTTCCAATCTGGAGAGATTGGCGCTTCTTCGAGAGCTGCTCGCGTCCGGTTGCCGATGTCGTTCGCTAGTCCCTATGTTTGGGGTATTGAATTCGCGTCCGTAATGTTCCTGTGTGATCGGAGTGAAAAAGGCGCTTGTGGGCAAAATAGTGACTATCTGTTAATACATCAAGCTTTCAAGAAGGGTCAATGCTGAGGAACGCTGGTTGGTCAATATCAAATGAACAGTCATATACTCCCTGGATACCTATCCGCCCGTGGCACAGGGGGTCAGAGAAAGAAGAAATTTTTCAGCATTTCTTGAAGTGCTATTAGGTTTCTTGGACCTATTTTCCCCTCATAATGCCGTGTTGCCGTTTTCGCTGAAAAATGGCGCCAACCCCCATGAAGAACCCCACTCCGTAAATCGAGTTTACTCCTCAATGATGTTGCCCCTCTCCGAGACGTACAGACCGTCCAAGAACTGAGCCGCCGGTCAGCGCTGCGACCGCCTAAAGGGGTGGGCGTGCCGCTACTTACCTTACGGATATCCTTGTTCCTCACACGGCAGATCTGCTGGATGTCTGCGGCGCTCTGCGAAACGTTCTCGATGTCGTTACCGGTGAGCAGGAGCTCATCCTTGACGTTCTTCGACGCCTCGACGTCGACACCGGGGTGCATGACGACCCTGCGGACATACTTCTCGCCCAAGAAGTTACTGCGGCCCATGTCAGCCCATTTGGCCCTCGATCGATTTTGCCCACATCCTTCGCTCTCAGCCGTCTGGTTCCACATACCGGATCTCAACCTCGAAAAGGCCAGTCTCGTTGTTCTTGTCGATGTTGACGTTGATGGGGAAATGGGCGTAGACGTAGCGCATCTTGTACTTGAAGCCCTTGGTAACACCGATGATCAAGTTGTTGATGATGGTGCGGACGGTGCGGAGGGTGGCGATGCTCTTGCGGATGCCATGGTGGAGCTCAATGTTGATGACGTTCTTCTTGGGGTGGGTGAAGGAAACCGCGAGGTGGCCAAGGTCCTTGGTGAGCTTGCCTGGAGGCCATCGTCAATCTTGTTTGCTCGAATCGCCATTGCGCGCGGGTTGTGCGTACCGCGGGGACCCTCAACGGTGACAACCCTCGTCTTGATGGAGACCTTGACTGCAATTCGCGACAGTTCGTTAGCCCGGCTTCGTGCGTCTCGGTTTTGTCGCTGGCGCGCGCAAGCGGTTGTGGGTACTCACCACCCTCGGGGATGGTCAGCGACTCGGAGCTGTGAATGTACTTCATTTTGAGTCGGTTGGCGGAGTGTCCTGGGGGTCGTCGTCGTCGGTCGTCGTCGCTACCTGCCCGTCACGATCTTTCGTGGAATTTCTGGTGGGTGAGGCCGATCCAGCATAAGCGAGCCGACCGGTTTTTCCGCGCCGTTTCCGTCGCTCGCCTCGCCCACGTGATGCGCAATTTCAATCCCGCGCCACAAACATCGCCCATCCAGACTGCCAGACTTTTGCTTTTCACCTTGCCCGCGCACACCTGGTCGAAGCTTTCCCGGCTCGTACTAGACTGCATTCACGTTCAAACGCTTGCCACTGGGGAGTTTATAAGGCGCCCAAACCTTCACACAAACTTCAAAAACTGCCATCACTTCAACACGCAGCATCCATGCGGCATGCAGTATACACAACCAAGATATTCATCATCTCCGTGGAGACTTCATATAGACAGAACCGATTTCTGTTCAGGCTCGCAGCCTCATTCCCACTACCCTTTCCTACTAACAAAAAAATCCTGGCATTCCAGATTCAAACCGCATTCAAACGGCCATAGTTCTCATACGGGTCATCGCTATACTTCTCATGCTCTTTGGCGTCTGAACCGGTGGCTGATAGGCGGCCCGCACTGGTCTTCAGGGGGCCTCTGCGGGCATCAACGATAGGATAGCAGTGCACCTTCTCGCCGGCCTTGACGCCCAGAGCCTCGTTGTCCTTCTCCAGCGTAAGCGGGACCGTTGTTGCAGCTGCACAGCACGTTAGCGAAACCGAAATCGAGGGCCAGTTGCATTGAGCGCTTACCAAGACCGCGAGGATGCGAGTTGACGTAGATGCCCTCCCAGTTGCCGGCCGGGCAGCGGAATACCTCGTGCCAGATGCTGATGTGCTTCAACTTATCCAGGTTCTTGTTCCACCAGTTCCAAGCTTCGCGGTGCAAAGGATCATGAGCGAACTTGTGAAGACCCCTGAGACGGACATCAGCATGGGATTTTTAAAAGTGCGATTGAGGGGCTTGGCCTACTCAAGGTTCTCAAAGAACATGACCGTCATGGTCTCACTGCTGGTTGATGACTCGCCAACGACGTTGTAGCTTGTTACTCCCATGAGGCCGTACTCCTCTGAGCGCTCTGATGAGGGATGTCAGTACGGGGCCTTAACCAAGTGATATATGTAACGGCTTACTCTCAGCGTCCTTGACCATTCCGTCGAAAAAGTCGCCAATCCCCTTGAAACCGGGTGCAAACATTCCCATAGGACTTCGCGTTGTCAGTCAACCGAGTTCCGCGTTGAATATCTCCATGCATACTTACTGAAAGTTCCTTGCACCGATGTGGAAGACGACAATGTCCTTGTTGGCGGTCTTGCCACCGTACTTGCCTTCGGCGTCTGGGTAGTGAATGGCGAACTTATTATAGATTACGTCTTCCACTGCCGGATTCGCCTTCCAGCCTTTCGTCATGAGAGCGGCGTCAACGACGCGGTAGAAGAGGAGGAAGAAGGGCGGCACGAATGCGATGCGGCCCCCGACAAGGAAAAGCAGGCATTGCAGACAGCCACCCAAGGCAAGCCATGAAGAAACCGTGAGCTGGTCACGGATCATCTGCAGGTGGGATGTCAGATGCGGATTTTCGGAGATCGCATCTCGAGAAAAATGAACCGGTTTGAGGGAAGGTGTGTGTGCGTACCCCGACCAAGGCTACCGGAACCCCCCATTCTTTCTTCGTGCCAGCGCTAACATGCGACGACACCGGGCGCTGATGTACCGGCTTCTTGAGTGGGACGTATTGGGCCATTTCTTATTTCGCAAAAACTTGGTGACGAGTTTGGGGGAGAGGTGGTCAACAGAAAACTGGTCTTGTGAAGCTAAAATGTGGAGTAGGGAGACCGAACTGCCCCGCAAAGCCTGGAATGTTCAACGCGACACCTAGCTCAACTCCACGGCAAGTGCCTTTTAATAGGGATGGAAGAGTTGTAGCCTGTCCTAAGACCCTGCGCGATCCCTCACAAGGACAAGGGAAGTAGAAGGTGCAATGAGGTGCCGTCACAGTTGCTCCGTTGTCCAGATGGCGGAGCGCCAGCTTGGATCAGACTGTCGCTGATTCGTGCCATGACTTTCTGGGCGTTGCACCTACGACACATTGGTAGGCATTTGACTCCAGCCTAATGGCGGAAAAGGAAGGGGGGCGTCATCCTTTAGCAAACACCCGAAACGGACACAATACGCGCGCGGGCGCGCGGCAGGCGGTGCAACGTTTCGCTGTGCTTGCATCGGGTGGCTGGCAACTCGGCGGACAAAAAGCTAATCATAAGTCGCGCTCAGTGATGACCGCGTAAGATTTTAGTCTAAGAAAGGATGGAGAACGAGGAGGCTTGCTGCTGACGGCCTAGGAACACACCGCTCGCTTTTTTGGCGCCCAGGAGACCGCCAGGCCGAACGATCTTCCGAGTGGTCGCCAATTGCCTTTTGTCATCGCTCCGGTGAGATGACTGTCTCATTCTAGTCGGCCGTAAGTGAAGTAAACTCCATCATAGTGAATTGCATAGGGCGATTGTTGGCAGTTTTGAAGTGTGCTTAGGATCGTGTGTGCCGCGCTGTGCTGGTACGGCCGGCGCGGAGGGATGATTCACCCGACCGGCTGACCACCGAGATATTTACCTAGGTAGTATACGGACTATAGACATGTTCCTCAAGCTGTCGTCATATGCAAGATAATGTCTTGGGCATTCTAGTCTTCTCTCTAGCTCTCGTCTCTCTCGGCTTTTCCTAAAAAAAGAAAATTCTTCCATTATAAAGTTTAAAATGCACCTCGTTCTCTACACTTGCATTGACGAATCATATGGTATACTTGAGAAATCACACAAGTAAGTAAGATGTGAGAGTAGATACACCTATGCTAAAGACGTAAAACAGATTAAAGCCAAGTAAGTCTAAAAGTGCTGAACGATATACCAAGAAAACACCATCGCCATGTAAAGTACACCAACACTTCCTGATCTTATCCCAATCTCCCGTCCACTTTCTACTCCGTCACCTCTGCGCCGATTCCGCCGTCCTTGACCTTCTCTCCCTTCTGCCTCATTTCCAACAAGAACGAAAACCTCTCCTTCAAGTGCGCTATACCCCCGCGGTCAAACCGGCTGCGCATGCTATCCCACGTCATCTGCTGGATCTTCTCCGCGCGGGGGAACATCTTCTTCTCATACGCCCAGACCGCGGCGTCCAAAGCATCCGCGGAGGTGGCGGCGGCACGGTCCGCGACGATGGCCTCGGCCAGCTCCATGGCATCCCACATGGCCGCATTCACGCCCTCGCCCGCAAACGGCGTCATCAGATGCGCCGCGTCGCCCAGCAACGTGAAGCCCCTCCGATGCGGCCACCTCACGCCGACGGGCAGCATGTACAGCGGCCGGGGGATGACGTCGCCCTGGTCCCACGCGTCGATGACGGCCGTCAGCTTCTGCGGCCAGCCGGCGTACTCCTCCTCCAAGAGGCGCCGCTTCGCCGCCTCGCGGTCCGTCCAGTCGACGCCGCAGTCGCGCACCCACGCCTCGGGCTTGCGCATGAAGGCGTAGCAGCGCACGCTGCGGTCGCCCTGGCGCTGGCTGGCCAGGCAGCGGCCCTCCTCGTCGCCGAACGCAAAGTACGAGCCGGCGCCCAGCGCGGCCGACAGCGCCGGGTGCGTGCGGTCCGGCGCGCGCAGCCACCACTCGAGCCCGGTGACGCCCGAGTAGAAGGGCGGCACGGTGCTGACGAGCGGCCGCACCTTGGACCACGCGCCGTCGGCGCCGACGACGAGGTCGAAGCCGCGCTCCACGGCGCCGTGATCGAAGTGCAACGCGCCGTCCTCGTCCACCCGCCGTAGGCTGTGGCCCCAGCGCACGTACTCGGCCGGCAGCGAGTCGAGCAGCATCTGGCGGAGGACGGGGCGGTCGATCTCCGGGCGGCCCGTGTCGATGCCCTTGACGTTGACGTGCTCTTCGCCGAACCGGTCCGTCAGGACGAGGGCCTCGGCGTCGTAGCGGGCGTGCTTTTGGAACTCGGCGAAGAGGTTTGCTGCTTGGAGGGCCTTTTGGCCCGAGTGCTCGTGGAGGTCGAGGCACCCGCCTGCGGTGTGGCGGAACTGGCGATCGCGGTCCTTCTCGAATATAGTGGTGGGGATGCCGTTGACGTGAAGAATGCGTGCCAGAGTCAGGCCGCCGGGGCCGGCGCCGATGATGGCAATCTTGGGCGAAGACATGGTGTGGCAGTGAGTCGAATTGAGGTATGTGATGCACTGTTTTTGGACAGAGTAACCGAAAAGGGATGCGAGTGCTAGAAAGGTGGTTGAGGATGTGTGAAGAGAAGTGCTGCTTGATGAGGTGCATAGGGAGGTGATCTGTAGTGTTATTTATACTCAGATATCTCCTTACCTGCGCAGTGCTGAAGGAAGGATGGCCACGACCATCTCCAGAAATCCCTGCCACATCGCGCTGGTACAGTAAGTGCGGGAATAAGCGTCGTCATCCTATTAGCCCGGAGAGTAGTGCTAGTGTAGCCACAGGGGAAAGCTTGGTATTGTCTTGGTGCCTAAATGCAGCTATTATTACAGCTGGCGCATGTTGGCACAGTGGTGTTGTTGGTTGTTGCCTTGGATTCCGGCACGCGAAAGAGACGAAGAGGCCGAGGGCGGGGCATAAGTCTTGCATAACCTCGCATAACCGCGCTTAAACTTGCACAAGAATCCTTTCGGCATCGCTGTTTCGGCACCGCTGCATCGCCTCCGTCTTCCTGCAAGCCGGACACTGTTTCGGCGGTCAGGATTAGTACGGGATAGCCTGTTGCCGCGGCTGGGTCGAGAGTGTTTGGTTGACGTTTGTTCTGGGGTCAAAGGCTGGGTCTGATCTTTGGCCGCGAGCTAGCCACGTACGTCAGCCTTTCCTAAATAGGCCTGCCCACCTATCACGAGGGCTCTTTTAGAAATTCACCCCTGATGCGCTCTTTTTTTTTGGTTTATTCTTTTTTCAACAGAAGATGCTGCTACTAGACTCTACCTTTGACTCGTAGCCAAAGATATAGGTCTTGAACCGTGTCGTAATGACTGGGTTCATCGACAGCCACAGGTGCTTTGTTCCAGTGCATGTTGACCGCTATTACATCAAAAAACCACCGTTGTAGCTCTTAACTAGTACTGCGTACCTTTCCAAACAGATGTTTCATCGTACATATTTACTTTTCATATCAATCCCATTCCTTCCTCGTGACTCCAACATGATGCTTTCCACAAAACCCAAGCAATGACCGTTCCTCCCAAGTACCTGTCAGACCGCGTGTAAGTACTAAATGCAATACGAAATAAGATGATGTAGAACAGCCACGACACCCATCCAGCCAACGACAAAGGGCGCTGGCGATGCCCTCTAGTCGTCCCAAATTGCCTTCTTCGCCTCCTCTTCCCTGTTCTTCGCATTCGCCGCCTCCTCCCTCTCCTTCTCCCGCCTCTTCCGCTCCTTCTCGCGCATGACGCGGTCGTACTCCCTCTCCTCGTCCGTCCGCTTCGGCGCCCTCATGCCCAAGCCCGCGGCAATCATCCGCGACGCCGCCGACGTCGTCTTCTCCGGCCGACGCGCGGGGCCATCCGAGCTCGGTGTTGGCATTGTGGCCGCCGCGGCGCGTTGCTGCTGCTGCCGCTGCTGCGCCGCGGCGAAGCGCGCGTCGATGGTGCTGGCGTGGCCGCCGTCGAACTGCGGCGAGGCGGGCGTCGGCGGCGGCGCCAGCGGGCCTTCGGCCGCGGCGTGCTTGTTCAAGACGCTGACGGGCGAGGTGGCGCTGCCGTCGAGCTCCGTCTCCGTGCCCGACCCTTCCGAGTCGGACGCCGCGTCCTCCCACGACTCGGCGACGACCTTGTTCGCGGGCTTCTTGGATGGCTTGGTGGCGCCGGGCGCGGGCGATACCGACGGCGATTGCTCTGAGGACGAGGTGGAGATCTTGAGGTTGTTGAGGGAAGCTTCGAGCTCTGTGAAGATGCGTGTTAGCTGCGGCGCTGTTGCCGGGGCTAGCGATGCAGCCATTGGGGAGGATTGAGCGTACCTCCCGATGAGATGGCGGATGACATTTTGGCGGTTCGGATAGGAGGTTGGCAAGCTTGTGGTGGTGTTGGTGGCCTGAGGAAGTAGTGCAACAGAAGACGGGTTGGGCGGGGAAAAGCGAGCGTCTAGCTGTAGCAAAGGCTGAACGAATGGAAGCAGGCAGGTCGAATTTGTACAGGTGAAAGCGCGAGACAGTGGATTTCTGGGAGCAGAAGAAGGCGACCACACAAGGCGAGCTTCCAGACTTTAAGGCGGCGTGCGCTATTGATGCATGTCACTCCCCGGTGAGTGCAGCAGCTTGCGCAGCTTCCGCGACTACGCGGCGATCACCGCGATTACTCCGCGTGGGGGAGCCCTGCCACAAGTCCATCATCAAGGCACATGCAGGGCCGAGGCCCGCCAGTCCACAAAAAGGGGCAGCGGCCACCACTTCCCCTGCACGGCGGGGTACCGTCCTGAGCTGCAGCAGCAGCGCGCGAGACCCGAGGGCCGATGTCGCTTTCGGCGTATGCACTCCACCACCCAGCTTATTTCCTGCTTCGTATTTCCGCCCAGCTTCACGCTTTATAGATGACAGCTCCTCTTCCCCGCGTCTCGGTAGGAGTGTGTCCTTGCGCCGTCACTGCAGTTCTCGTTTCCATTTGATATTCTGGTGTGTTGCACGCGAAAGAGCAAGGACCACAAGACCCTCGGCAGTTCACGATGCTGTCTCATCGCCTCTCATCCATGACGTCGCGCGCCGCCTCGACTTCGCGGGGCATACGTCTTGCGCGCAGCTCGTTCTCGACTACTCCATCGAGGCACTCTTACGAAGACACGATCCAAAACCTGAAAATTGGCCGGCATACGCGAGTCATCTTCCAGGGTTTTACCGGCCGCCAGGCCACAGCCAATGCCAAAGAGTCTCTCGCGTGGGGCACTAATATCGTCGGGGGTGTCAAGCCAGGAAGCGAAGGAGAGCATCTGGGGCTCCCGGTTCTCCCAAGCGTGCGGGCAGCGCAGGAGAAATTGAAGCCGGATGCCACCGGCATCTACGTCGCGGCACATCAGGCGGCACCGGCCATTGAGGAGGCCATTGAGGCCGAAATCCCGCTGATTGTGGCCGTTGCTGAGCATATTCCTTTACACGATATCTTGAGGGTACAGAGTCCATCCTTGTTTGGATCTGCGGGCACCTGCTGAATGTTGACAGATACATTCTATGCTCAAGACTCAGTCCAAGTCGCGACTCGTGGGTGCCAATGCTCCAGGCATCATCTCAGCCATCGGAAACTGCCGAATTGGGTTCCAGCCGCTGCCCTGCTTTGCTCCAGGCCACGTCGGTGTGGTTGCAAAGTCAGGAACCCTGAGCTATGAGACTGTTGCCTCTCTCACCCGTGCGGGACTCGGCCAGAGTCTTTGCATTTCCATGGGTGGTGACGTCATTGCGGGCACCAATTTCGTCGACGCACTCAACGTGTTCGAGCATGACCCGGAGACCGAAGCAATCATCGTGGTCGGTGAAGTCGGCGGCCGCGCCGAGGAGGAGGCGGCAGAGTGGATTAAGGACTACAGAAAGCGCACCGCCAAGCCAAAGTAGGCCCAAACTGTCTCCAGTGAGCATTTCTAGACCACTGACATGGATATAGACCAATCGCTGCCCTTGTTGGCGGTAAGCTTGCCCCAGCCGACCGGGTGATGGGACATGCAGGTGCCTGGCCCGCTCCTGGAGAGAATCTGGCAGAAGTCAAGGCCCAACTCCTTGAGAATGCTGGTGCGGTAATGGTGGATCATCCAGCCAAATTCGGTAATGTAATGAAGGGCCTCCTCGCCGAGAGCGGCAGAGATGTCCAAAGCATTGTAAGATGCCGACCATGGCATGCATCCAGCTGGCGTTAAGCCGTATGCTCACACCTGCTACAGCAATCTTCAGCATCCAACGCAGCAGCCGGCCAGCGTCGCGGCTATCACACGTCCCACCGCCCACGAGTACCCACAACCGCACCTTCTCCCACACTCAGTAACCATCAGAGACGCAGCCTCCACCTGAACGCCTCCCAATCCTCGTCTCTCCTCTCCGAACATGGCGTTGAAACCACTCGCGAGGCAAACTCCAACGAAGACCCCCGCTACGTCAGCATAACCATCGACCGCAGCGCCCGCTCCCCAGCCTTCGTCGTCTCCCCCTCCACGCACCCCCGCGACATGTACGCCCGCGCCCGCTACATCCCATTCGACTACCGGGCGGGCCCCACGCAAGAAACCCTCACCCGCGCCCTCGAGCAGCTCCACATGGACGCCGCGCCACCGGGCGCCAAAGCCGCGACGTACAAGCTCCTCCAAACGCTCTGGACGCTCTTCCACACCCTCGAAGGCGTCAGTCTCTCCACCCACCTCGCCGTCGCCGCCTCCCCCACCGCCGACCTCCTCGTCTACAACCCCGCCTTCACCTTCGACGACGCGGCCTTCCGCTCCTGCAACCGGCACGCCGCCCTCCACGCCCTCCGCGACACCACGCCCAGCGCCATCGACCCGGCCGAGCTCAGCGCCGAGTCCGACGGCATCGTCTACGTCAAGCTCGGCCTGGTGTCCGCCGACCCCTCGGCCCACAACATCGGCACCCTCGTCAACGGCGCCGGCCTCGCCATGAACACGGTCGACGCGCTGGCGCTGGCGCCGCACCACGGCGCGGCCGCAAACTTCCTCGACACGGGCGGCAAGGCCACGGCCGCCACCGTCAAGCGCGGCTTCGAGCTGCTCCTCGCCGACCCGCGCGTGCGCGTCGTCTTCGTCAACATCTTCGGCGGCCTCACCCTGTGCGACATGATCGCCGAGGGCATCCTGCTCGCGTTCCGCGAGCTGCGGCTCCAGGAAAAGGGCGTCCCCGTCGTCGTGAGGCTGCGCGGGACCAACGAGGCCGAGGGCCAGCGCATCGTGGCCGAGAGCGGGCTGGAGGTGTTTGCTTACGACGGGTTTGACGAGGCCGCGGCCAAGTGTGTGGAGTTGGCGAGGGAGAGGAGTTCATGAGTGCGGAGGTTGAGTGTTTTTTTTTGGGGGGTTTTTTTTTCTGTCATGAGTAAGGCGTAGGTTGGTGATGATTTCCTGGTGTCGATCTCAGGTGCCCTGTGGATGACGTCGTTGATAGTCCTTTGAACTTGGGTTGTAAGTGCGTGGAGTTTAGCAGATATCAAGAGGCAGGAGAACTGTACCTTTTTCTATTGATTTAGGGGGAAAACATCGAAGAGCTGGTCCTCACGAGATAGGTATAAGGCATTATGATGAGCTGCGAGAGTACCCGAGGGAGCTCCCGTTGACTGGTTGTGTGTCCTCACCGTCCAGAATTGCCTGGGTTGTGAATGATGCCCGAACGAAACCTTCATGCACGTGACACCACTTGTAAAGCACCGGTTGAGCACCCAACAAGGCGGCGCTTCGGGGCCACCATCCAATTGCCATAGACTGTCTAACGTTCATTCGCGGAAAGGAACAAGGTAGACGGTGCACTAATAGAGTAGTCAATGGGGCGGCAAAAGGAGGGTTCCGAGCAGACTTGCAATGAGAGAGAATCCTGCATGGTGGTATCTATAGCCGTCGTCCAAGCAATGGGTCGTCAACTATGATACACGAGAACCCTCCAAATTATAAAGAGGAAAAAGAAAACCCGGTTTGACGCCCAGCGCGCCCAAGAGATGCTCTTGTCCTTGCCTGAAACTCGCCGAAAGTTTGTGTGGTATCCATCGTTTCCGCCCATCGGTCCGCGTCATATACTCGTGAAGACGAATTTGTCTGTCGTAAAGGACGCTTAGAAATGGGATGCCGAGTTGTCGTCCCACTGCGTCAGTGTCGTGGAGTGACGATCAGCAGGCACCTCCGATTTGTTCTTGGTGCACCTCGAGAGTGTCGCCATCTTGCATTTCGAGCTGTACAGAGTGCGAGCGCGAGTTAGCGTGAACGGTGCTTTAGACGTGCCGCCATTGGTGGGGTGTGGTGCGGAGGCGCGACTAAAGTTCAGAGCCGGCCTAGCCGTATGTACTCGGATGTCCTGTGGTTGCGCCACGCTAATTCTCCGGGCGACAGGTTTCACGGGTTAAGTTGGCGACCACTCACGGTTTCGGGGTTGTCCGTCGCGTTGACGCGCTGGCCGTCGAAGAGAAAGCGGACGCTGGCCGGGGACTTGCCCTGGCGCTCGCAGAAAGCATCCATGAGCTTTTTCAGCTGAGTCGTCCTCTTGATCTTGAAGAAGACCTCGTTGTTGTTGTCCGTGACCTTGATGTTCAGGTGCTCGGACGGAGCGTCTTGCTTCGGGGAGCCGTTGTCTGACATTTTGGTTCTTGTGATGAGGAATGGCCGATGAACGCGTGGGGAGGAGTTGCAGAGCCTGTGTCGCGGCGGGTTAGCAGTCTGCGGTTGAGTGCAACGCCGGTGGCGTGAGGCGCGCAAGTGGTGAGGAGACCGTGGTTCAGCGGGCGACGCGACTGAGCGCGAGACGGATCGCTGGCGGCGGTGAGGCAAGCGGAGAGGGTCCACGAGCGACGGTGATTGTTTGGAGCAGGACTCACCGGGCGTTGGATGCGCAAGAGCGACGCAGCGCGGAACACGCGTAGAGGTTGTTTGGTGGGAAAGGGAGGAAGGGTAGGCGCGAAAGGAAGATGAAGGTGTAGGGTTTGGTGGGGTTACTTCTGGAAAGCCGAGCCGATGGCGCTGGGTGGAAGTCGTGGAAGCCTCGCCTTGCGTCACGCACGGCAAGAGGCAAACCGCTGCAGCAAGCTCCGGTGCCCTCCATTCACCGAGCCTCATTGTGCCTAGGCTATTTGCCATCGAATCCCGAATCCCGTCTCCCCGCACGCCGCCGTCGGACTGGCCAAATTCGGCATATTCGTACAATGGTACACGCATCTCAACGGTCACAACCCCTCTCCTGCACGTTTTGCTGAATCGCCGCCAGGGCAAACTTGAGCAAGATCTCACGACGAATCCGCCGTGCCACCCTCGAGCATGCGCTATACAAGGTGCGTTGCCAAGCCACGCAGCAACGGATTCTTCGCTGATACAGGGCCAGATTGTCTACAAAAGTCGGGCTACAAGGAAGAGAAGTGCCAGCAGCAGGTACGTGGTCCCGTGACAGTCCCGTAGACAGACGTAGACAGACGTTGACCGTGCTCAAGATTGACGCGCTGTACGAATGCTGCAACGCGTTCTACCAGAAGAATGGCGATGACGCAAGTTGCGTGAGCTGTCCCAAAGCGTCTCTTCTCAGGTACTTCGCTCCGATCGGTTACGAGAATGCGGCGGCTGATGATCCCAAGATTGAAGATGAAGCAGCGGAGCGAAGCCAAGTAGACAGAGTCCAAGAGGTAGAGCAATGCGATATGTTGCGCCGTAATACCTAAATCCACTCCCATGCCCCCACGGATGGGGGGAGAGCAATAGGCGGACAAGAGGCGTTACTCTCAGAAGATCTGAAGCACCATGTAGACACTGAGCCGTCTGCATCGCAACTCTAATGATCTCCTTTGTTAAAAACATTGTTACTTTTCAAAATTTTGGGCGGCCGCAGAGAATTTAAGCGGGCTGGGACTCGCGGTTCACGCTAGCCCCGTTCTGACGCTAGCGCGCATAGCTCTCATCGTCGCGTTTCGCAGCTACGGCCATCGCTCTGCCGCGCATGTTTTGCGGCTGAGCGTCACCACCGCCAGGCCATCTCCCGCGCCCTTCGCACCGCACCCGCGCCGCCGCCCGCGTCCTTCTGTCACCCTTCCACTCGCTTGCTGAAAGGCCCGCACGGCAATGGCTCCGATCCCACGCCCAGCATCCGCGCCTCGGCGGAGGTCGCGACGCGGATCGAATTCCAGCGCCGCCTCGGACCACACAGCCCTCCGTTTGACATACCGCGCGCACGACGAAGACCTCCATCCGTTGCGATCGATGGCCGAACGCGTTGGCAAGGAGGTGGAGAGGTTTGCCGAGAGCGTTGACAGCTGGCTGAAGGACATGAACGACCAGAATGCCACTCCCGTCCAGAAGCATCACGCCACCCTGAACCTCGTTAAGAGGCTGAAGAAGGAAGCCGAGGCCAACGTGCGTACGCTACGGAAGAAACTAGCCCAGGAAAACCGTGGAGCGCCTAACAAGCGCCTCGATCGCGTGCGCGATTCTGAAATCTTCCAATCCATTGAAGATGAAGACCCTCTTCCCGTTTCCACCACCCAGAGCTCGTTGAAGCAATGGCAGTCGGAGGTCGCTACCTGGGAGTTGCTCCGGATTCTTCTTGAGCACGACGAGCAAGAGCCGGGCACGGATGGCAACAAACAGAAAGCACTGGCAGGAATGCCTACGCTCCATAGGTTCACCACCGAGAGCGAGGTCTGGGATCGTTTCATGTTCGAAGAGGACAGCGCTCGGGAGAAGGAGCTCATCTTGCGTTGGCTGGAAGAAACGGCGGACGAGGCGGGAGAGGATATTGCTACTATAATGGAGGAGAAGTCTGGCCGGGGTAGTGGGACGTGGTCGCAGGGCTGGCTTGATACGAAATTGAAGCTCAAGCATGAGAAGAGACTTCGCCCATTCGAGAGGTCCGCGGAAAAGGCTCTTGCTAACGTCCGGCGTGACGATACAGGCGAGCCAGTTGCATACCAGCTGGACCCGGATGCTCCTATGCGCCAGGCCCGTGTTCTGGAGAAGTCGGATGAGGATTATGAGAACGCTGCCTGGATGGCAGTGTGGGAGATGATGAGACGTGGCAAGCCCTGGCAATCGATCTGGGACTGGTGCAACGAGCACAACGAGCAATGGCGGGCAGTCGCATTGGGCAAGTCCTACGACAACCAGGACCGCCGGACTTCGTTGCGCGGGTCCAACTTCGGTTCGCTCTGGCGCCGTGTGTGCTACGCTGCGGCACAGGCCGGGCAGAATGAGTTCGAGAGCGCCGTCTACGGTCTTTTGGCGGGCGACGTCGCGTCAGTCGAGCCGATCTGCAGAAATTGGGACGACTTCCTCTACGTGCGACTCAACAATGTTTTGCTGGCTCAGTGGGATCAATACCTGCACCAGAATCTACCCTCTGCCGTCCCGCAGGCCTCGTCGCGGCTCGCCTCCCCACCTAACGCTCTTCAGCTGGAGGGCGCTTCACCCAATCCAAACCGATTCGTCATCGACTATCTCACGGAATTTGCACCCACCAAACATGAGAGCAGGGAGCCCATGAAGATGATTCAAGGGGCTTTGATTGGAAAATCGTTCCAGGATCTCGCATACAACATGGGCGTCGCTTTGTCAAGTAAAGCCAACGAGGCATCTCAGTCGACGCTGCTGCCGGCGGTGAATCTGGAGACGAAAGAGCAGTTCCTTGGCCTTGCCGATAACTACGATGCTATTCGAGTCGTTTCACACATGCTTCTTATCAACAAGGCTTTCGGTATGGAAATCGACGAGTCCCCCGACCGACACATCTACGAAAATGTTTTGGTCAGCTACATTGACTTCCTACGTATGGCGGGCAAGATTGAGCTTGTGCCGCTCTATGCGTCGCTGCTCTCCGAAAAGCGCTCCTGGGTCGTCCTTGGAGTCGCTTCCACCGACATTCGTAACTTTGAGGAGCAGAAACTTCAGGTCCAGCTTATGGAAAGCTATGACATTGATCTCGACGAAGTGCTTGAGCACCAATTCGAGTACTCGATGTTGGCAGCAAACTTCCGACTGATCCCCGACGACTATATTCGGAAATACGAATTCCTGGAGCCAGCGAAGCACCAACAATGGCCTGGTCAGCGTGTTCGCAAAGCCTTCCTGCCAGACGGTGTCAGACCAGAGGATGAGATGCTCATTCGGAGTTGTGAGTGGTGGATGCATCTCCCGGAGAGGTGGCACAAGACTTTTGTCGCGTTGGCAGAGTCCCTGAAGTCTTTTTTGCTCTACGGCCACATGGGCGCTGCCGTCAGGCTCATCGAGCGGTTGCCATACCGCCACGTTTCGAAATTGAAGACGGCCGAAATGCCGATGATTGGTCGTAGTATTGACGTTATGGAAGATGAAGACGATACGTTCGTCACCGTAGAGGGAGACTCCAACCATCGCCGCTCCTCTCGTAACATGCGTCCCACAGTTCAGCAACGGCGCTCGCTCTCGCCAGAGACGATTGAGATGACAAGAAAGATCAAGGCGGAATTGAAGGACGATAGCAGACTCTACTTCGAGCTTCAGCAACTCGTCCAGGCGATCAAGATGCTCGACGAGTGGCGAATCGAAGAAGCCGAACTGATCAAGTATGAAGCTGAAACATCATCATCCCTTGTGGAACACGACAGTGTTAACGACTCACTCAGCCTTAAATCGACCGGCGGAGCCATGCCTCCCAAGAACAAGATCCGCAATCTCCTCGAGAGCGTGTGCGAAGCCGCGAATCCCATCCTCGGCGACATACTCATGCTCGCGTGCGACGGTAAAACTACTTTCTTGCCACATCCCCTTACCTTTTGAGACGTTTGAGGCTGACTCTTTGCATAGACGGCGAAGCCGAGCAGCTCATCCACCTTCGCCGCGCGTATCTCCCTGAAGTGATCATCGGCTACCACAGCGTCCTCCACAGCGCAGCACACATGGTTGGCCGCGACAACATCACACGCTGCATGGACCTCGCCACGACGCTTGCGGCGCCGGAAAACGCCGATCTGACCAGCGTGTTCTTGGAGACGGGTCGCATGCAGGAGCTCGTCAACGCGTTCGCGCACTCTAGCTTGGCGATGATCAGGTTGTCGGAGGGCAGCGGGAAGAGAGAGCCGAGCAAGAAGCGCACGAGGGACGGGCAGACGATGAGGTTGTGGGAGATCAATACGGGAGATTCGGAGAATGGGGCACAAGAGTGAGGTTGTGTTAGTCATGAAGAAGAGACCTTTGGGGACTGGGGGGAGAGCCTCGGCGGGGAACGGGTGTATGGAGGTGGATGGTAACATGGCGTTGGTGTGTGGAGAGTGTTCAAAACAAAAACAAGCATTGCGCTTGCAGCGAGGCGTCTGGGTTTGGACGACGACAAAGATGGAACGAGAGCTTGCCAGCTTTAATCGTATGTAGAGAACAATGCAAACAAGCAACATGGGAAGCACGATCGTTAGAACACCACCCAGACAAAGTGAGCTACGCGGTCGGAGGCAGGCGGCATCCGCGGCGCGTACCTGCATTCGGGACCCTGAGATGGTCAAAGGGTGGTTCGGGACACCCAACGTCACTTGTGTTGTCAGCGTCTGTCGTGTTTGCGAACAACGCGCCGAGAGTAATTTGATCGTTGCCACTGACACCTTCGCTGATCGCCTCTCCCGCTTATGGGTGAGGACGCGCTCGGTAGTGGGAAGAGCTAGGAGCCGGACTTGAGCCACCAGCTCGCAGCGCAGCTTCGTTGATGAGAGTCACGTACATGGGAAGGTCAAGTAGCGGCACGTCAAACAAAGACGCGTCAAGTGGAGGCGCGTCAAGTAGAGGCAAGTGAGGTAAAGACAAGTGAGGTAAAGACAAGTGAGGCAGAGGCAAGTGAGGTAGAGGCAAGTGAGGCAGAGGCGGGCCAAGCAGAGGCAGGTGAGACAGAGGCGGGCCAAGCTGAGGCAGGTGAGACAGAGGCAAGTCAGGCAGAGCAATGAAGAAGAAGAAGAAGATCTATTAAACTAATCTTGAAAGAAGAAGCCCAAAGGCCCTTCTTTTACCAACCCAAAAGCAAAGGACGAACCTTCGCAGTTTGAGCTGCCCACAGCAAACCCGGGAAGACCCATCGGCTGTGAGCACCACTGACCACGCATTGTTTACCGAGGATAGCGTCCGTGACCTCAAGATGTTGTTGGTGTTGACCCGGATTGCTCAGTTCTTTCCAACGGGATTTTTCTTACTTGTTTTTGCGATCAGTGCCACAGCTTGAATCTTGAAGTGAGCAGTTGACTGTTTTTTCTTTTAAGCTTTGTGTTTTTGCTGGCACTTGATCCAAGCGGAAAAAGGATGAGGATGAAAAGAAGAGGAGTGGGTTGGGGGGGAGGGGGGTTTATAAGTGTTGGGCCGGCTGTGAAAATATTAGCGTCAGCTGCCCTGGACCCTGGACCCTGAGCTCGGTTGCCAGGCAACAAAGGTGTTAGAACGTGGTAGAAGTTTCGGGTGTGTGTGCCTCTCACTTGCGACTTCCGTTCCTGGCGCGGTTGTGAGTGCCTAGTCTGGTACCCGGTTCTGCGCACGCCCACTTCAATCACCTTCAACCCAAAGGAACGCCGCGTCGGAAGGTATAGCCGACCGGCCACACTAGAATCAGGGCAACGTCATTGCCTGCTCGGGAGGCAGCGTCTTAATCACCAGCAGGAGGGCCATGAGGCCAAAATGGGGACGGCGATACCGCTCAAGCACCGAGAAGGGTCCTCATCAGTGTGGACAAAATTCAACATTATGGTGGTATGTATGTACACATGCTAACCGGTCAACCTTTCCCTGGTTCTGAGCTACCGTTAACAGTCGTCGTCACACCTTCTCACCCGCCACGGTACCATCCACCCCCTCGACAACGCTACCTTCGTCCCTTTGCTCCGTCTCGCTACCGGCGCCGTCCACGACGCGATTCTTGTCCGTCCGAACCGTCCACAGGAGCAAGATGGTGGTCCAAACCACGAGCGCGATCGAGCAACCAATCATGGCCCACATACCTCTCTGTCATCCTTCGTCAGCTACCAACCCTTTTCCCTTTCCTACAAGCGATATGACGAATGAAGACTTACCGTAAACTTTGGCGCAAAGTCGGCCGAGTAAAACACAATGGACCACCACGCGTTGAAGACGTTACTTCCCATGTTCATGGCGGCCACGACAACGGCACGCAGCATGTCCTCCTCGTGGCGCAGGGCGTCGTTGGCCCAGGCGAAGAAGGTGGCCTGGCAGGCGTAGACGCTGCCCGCCCAGTAGTAGGCGCCCATGACGGCGGTGGTGTTGTTGAACTGTCCCAGGATGATGGCGGACGTGGCGACGCCGGTGAGGCCGATCCAGAAGCCGACGAGGTAGCGGCGGCCGCCGAGGAAGTCGGTCAGCGTGGCCCAGAAGAGGGTCGAGGCGATGCCGACGGCGGGCACGCCGGTGGGGTAGTCGTTGAGCTGGGCGACGGTGTAGGTGCGCGAGGGGTGGGCTTTGAGGTACAGTGCGAGCAGGGTGTTGGTCGAGAAGGACTCGGTCTCGCCGGCGATGATCCAGAGGATGACGAAGGCGTAGAAGTAGAAGGAGGTGAGGACGCGCTTGGCGAAGGCGAAGGTCAGCGGGGCGCGCTCGGGGACTTCGGGCACGCGGGAGATGGCGAGGGCGCGCTCGCGCGGGGAGAGGTACGGGGCGGTGGTGGTGCTGGGCGTGTTGGGGAAGAGGAGGAAGCCGTAGAGGGCGACGGGCAGGGTGATGAGGCCGTCGATGATGAAGAGCCAGCGCCAGCCCGTCAGGCCGCCCTTGTGGTGCAGCGACTTTTGGATGCCCGTCTGGATGAAGCCGCCGAACATGGTGCCGGCGAGGCCGGAGGCTGTGAAGATGCCGCTGCGCTTGCCGAGCTCTTTGGCCGTGTACCACGAACCGAGGATGTAGTGAGTGCCGACGAAGGTGGTGGATTCGGCGATGCCTTGGAAGAAGCGGATGGCCATGATATGCTCCGGTTTGTGAACGGACGCAGTGACCATGGTAAGGCAGGCCCAGACGATCATCATCGAGGGGAAGAAGATGCGGGGCGAGATATAGTACAGGGCCAGATTGGAAGGGATCTGGCCGATGATATAGCCACAGGTGAAGATGGTGTTGATTTGGGTGAGCTGATTGCCTTTGAAATGAAGGTCTTCCTCCATGCCCGAGACGTAGGCATTGGTGAGGTTCGAGCGGTCAAGCTTGACGTCCGGTCAGTGGTGAAAATGGAGGGTAAAGGCTCAACGTACGTAGTTGCAGAAATAACTCAGGCAACAAAAGGTGAGAATGAAAAAATCAATCTTCTGGACCAATTTGCGCTCTTCCTTGGTAGCCTGAGAAGGGCCAAAATACGCCCGCACCCTCTCCATTGTGGCCATGACCTCTTCTCGAGCCCCAGGGCTTTGGGCTTCACACGGTCCTGGGAACTAAACTCCCGTGACTGGGAGACGGCGATGTCGGCGGGAAAAATCAAAAACTCGGCATCAGCATCCGTAGATATTTGGGTCGGTTCGAGGGCAATAAATGAGCGGCCAGCGGCTGTGGCGATAGCAAAGGAGGCGAACGGAAACGGGCGAAGATTGCCGGCAGGTCAAGACCGATCTGATCTGATAGGGCGATAAGAGACCGGGGGGTGGTCGCAAGTAGGTGGAAAGATACAGCGGCGATGCAGGCGAGTCAGCGACTCGATGCGCACGGATGCTCTCTGACGCGTCGACGGCGTGTTCGCTTTGTGTGCCGCGTTAGGAAAGACTCATCAACTTCTGTGATCGGACGCCCAAGAGTGCTGGTGCTGCCCTTACTGGCAATCCCGGCCATCATCTCGGCCAGCCTGTGTAGCTGGACGTGCCGAGGCAGTGTCGGTTGCGGGGCCGGCTACGGCGGCCAGCTACGGCGGCTATACCGACAAGTATCGGTTGATCGACTTCCAAGCCCGTCTCATCAAGATAACACTGCCGAACCGTCTTCCAAGCACCGGCGGCCGAAAGGGGAAGAATGGAGCGCCGCACTTACTAAGACGGGAAGGGAGTCTGAGAGAGTGCTTCTGCTCACACACCCTGTCTTCCACGTGGCGGGGAATGTGTTTTCTGCCGCCTGATGTCGGCTGTGTCCTTTGCATCCCTGTGTAGGTACTCCGTAGCAGCGGGTGACGTCGACGAGGCTTGCCCGCTAATCGGCTCGGGAGTAGACCGAAGGAAGCCGATGGCGCGCCAAAGGTGGGACGCTTGCCCGCCCGGCACTGCCAGTACTTCGACTACACAAGAACCGCTGTGAGTCCCCCATCCGCCGCCGCATTCGTCTTGCCCTCGGAATTCCTAACGCAATGCCAGCTTGGGAGGACATCGCCGCCAAAAAGCGCCAGGAGCTGCTCGACTCCATCCCGCAGGAATGGCGCATTCCCGCGGACAAGCTGCCGCCCGACACCCAGCTTGACGTGACTGGCTTCCCCGAACAGTCTGGTTGGTTCTCGGACGAGGAGCTCGCCATCACCAGCACGCCGGCAGCGCAGATACTCGAGAAGCTCAAGAGCCGGCAGTGGACGTCTGAGCACGTCACCAGGGCCTTCTGCAAGAGGGCCGCCGCTGCCCACCAGCTGGTACACTTTGGCGCATTGCCGTTTTGCAAACACGCTGACCCTCACGCTCCCAGACGAACTGTCTCTCCGAAACCCTCTTCGACCTCGCCATCTCCACCGCGCGCTCCCGAGACGAGCACCTCGAGAAGACGGGCTCGCTCGTCGGGCCCTTCCACGGCCTGCCCATCTCCATCAAAGACAACTTCCAAGTCGTGGGCAAAGATGCCACCCTCGGCTTCGCGTCGCTGGCCGGCAAGCCCGCGGCGTACAACAGCACGCTCGTCGACATGCTGCTGGCCGCCGGCGCCGTGCTGTACGTCAAGACGAACGTGCCGACGGCCATGATGATCGCCGAGTCGGTCAACAACGTCTTCGGCCTCACGCGGAACCCGCGCAACCGCGCCCTGACCCCCGGCGGCAGCAGCGGCGGCGAGAGCGCCCTCATCGCCTTCGGCGGCAGCCCGCTCGGTGTCGGCAGCGACATTGGCGGCTCGCTGCGCATCCCCGCCGCCTGCACCGGCATATGGACGCTGAGGCCCAGCCTGGGCAGGTTCCCAACCCTGAAGACGCAGTCCGGGCTGGCGGGGCAGGAGGCGGTAGCCAGTGTCAACGGCCCGCTTGCGCCGTCGTTGGAGAGCGTGCTGCTCTACTCGAAGACGGTCGTGGGCCTCCAGCCGTGGCTGCAGGACCCCAAGTGCGTGCCCATTCCGTGGCGCGAGGTCGAGGTCCCGAAGAAGCTGAAGCTGGCTGTCTTGTGGCATGACGGTGTCGTCATGCCGACGCCGCCCGTGAGGAGGGCATTGAAGGAGACAGTCGAGAAACTCAAGAAGGCAGGGCACGAGATCATCGAGTGGGAAAGTCAGGGGATGCACGCCCAAGCAGGCAGCCTGATTGTACGATGCCCCACAGCCAAAGTTTCGTTCGCGCTTGCAAGGCTGACATTCTCATAAGCAACGCATGTTCCTTGCAGACGGTGGCAAATCCGTTCGCAAGCTCTTGGGTCCGACTGGCGAACCCTTCCGGCCTGAAATGGCCGCCTACGAATCAGCGACGGAATTCGGTGTCCACGAGATGTGGCAGATACATATCGAGCGGACGGATCTACAGAAGCGCTACCTAGACCGTTGGAATGCTGCAGAGCTGGACGGGATCATCTGTCCAACGACACCGTATGCGACGGTCGAGCATACAAAGTTCAAATACGTTGGATACACGTGTGTGTACAACTGTTTGGACTACTCGGCCGCATCTTTCCCAGCCGGCATTGCCGTAGACAGTGCACTAGATGAGCTCTCAGCGGAAGAAAAATCCCGAGAGCCCTTTAGTGAGTTTGATAAGGTGACGAGGGATGATTGTAAGTCTCTTTGAACAGTTCCTGGTCCTTGGGGTTACTGACTTGGATTGTAGATAATGTGCAGGCGGTGCATGGTCAGCCGATCAGTCTGCAAATTGTGGCGAGAAGATTGGAAGAGGAAAAGGTGCTAGGGATGGCTGGTAGGATATTGGAAGCCTTGTGAGCTGACAGCTGGATAGTCCTGTAGATATACACGGAGCTCGGAACAGGGTATATGCGCCCTCCCTGACATAACAAATCAGACTCGCCGTGTTGCTGTGCGAACAAGCTTGTTCGACGATTGCTACACAGCAAGGCCACTTCACCCTAATAGTCGTGGTTCCTCTTCATCTCGGTTTCACTTTACGCTCGCACACAGGATGACTTGCACCGCGCTGCCCCGCTTATTTGTACCACGTACAAGGGGCGACAGCCACTTGAACTATGCCATGTCTTCAAATGTGCAACTGCAACCAGGCTGGACAAATTTTTTGATCTCATGCAGGCTATACTGACCGTCAATATTTGGAGGCTCCGTCGTCGGGCTGCTGATTCATCTCACTCTCTTTTTTTTTTCATTCCAGCCTGTGCTCTGCCTTAAGATGGACCTTGCGGATGAGCCGAATATTTTTTGATAGGTAACCAGACCGCCGCCGCAAGTAGACCGACCCAGCGAAATTCTTCGCATGTTGGCCGCCAAAAGTCGGCGAGCAGAGCTGTAAAGATCCGGTGGATGGGTTTACTGACTTCTTAGAACTCGGCCCGCGATCCATCCGCCAACCACTGCCTTTAATTTGCGTCGACAACTCACACAAGACTTGGACAACAGCCCTTGTAGATCCGAATTGCGAAACTTTGGTTGTTGTGAATAACTTAGTCCACCGGTCAGGATGCCGCCTAGGTAGTAGAACCCGAGAAAAAAAGAAAAGAAAAGAAAAGACAAAGACCATTTCCCTTATCCACATCTCAAGCACCACCCTATTTCCTGCCCCCACCAACCTCCCTCCCCCCTCCCCC